ATCATTTGGCCACACAAAGGTAGAACCCAGAAAAGAGTAACATGCCACCTTCAGAGAGTAATATTAGAAAATAAACATATAAATAAAAAGCCAAAAAAAAAAAAAAACAAAACGTGTTCCTCAGAAAAAACAACACGAGATCAGGATAGATATTGATTTAACAGAGGATTTTTGGATTTTCCATAGAGTGGTTTAAGTTGTAATGCAAACAAAAGAGGATTTTTGGACATATAAAATAGATGATTTAAATATAACAAGAAGTAAAGGTTCCTTTTAATCTCTGATGGAACACTCCGATGACCTAATCCATCGAATATAATTCTATATCGATGATGAGATCAAAGGAATTGAGAGATGTTTTTACAGCTTCTTTTTTCTATGAGCTGAAAAAAAAAAAAAAAAACTGTTCTCAGAAAACAACAAGAGACAGATAATATTGATTTTAACAGATTTTTGGATTTTCCATGAGGGTAAGTGAAGTAAACAAATAAGATTTGGACATATAAATGATATTAAATAACAAGAAGGTAAGGTTCCTTTTAATCTCTGATGGATGAACAAATAATGATGATAATAAGTGGGAATTGAGAGAGGTTTTTACAGCTTTTTCTTTGGGGTTTGAAGTAATAATGAAGGTGGCAAGCTAATGAAATGGGGGGAAGTGATTTACAGTGGACATAGATATTGGAGTAATTATAAAAGCTAAGCCAATCCAGATTCCTTTTTGGCATAAGGAATTTCCTTTTAGTCGGTTAATGTCACCTTCCTCTTTTTTTTTCTTTTTTTTTCAGCTTTTTAGTTAATTTATTTATATTTATGTGTAGTTTTTTAATAATTATGGTCTTTGAATTGTCAGTTACACTACCAAGCCAAAAGTCGTGGTTGTTGGTTAACTAAACATGTTTGTGCTGTTAATGAAGCACTCAAGCCACTACAAATTACATTTCTTTTTAGGATTTGTTTGGTTTAATTGTTTATAATAGTTACTAGAATGTTTATCATGTAATTTTTAAAATAAACATATTATTTTTTATTTTAATATGCTATAAATAAAATATTAATTAAATTTTTATATAATATTTAATAATGGTTATTTATTATTTTTAAATAATTATAAATAAAATTCATATAACCATATTAATTTAAGTAATCATTTTTGTAAAATTAATATACTCTATATCATATAAATTACAAATCAACTACTTTTTTCTAAAATTATTAAATATAAATCATATTATCTCAAATTGGAATCTTCACCAATATCAAATTAATTAAAATTTTTTTACCTTATACAACAGATGTTACTAGACAATTGGAGTATACACAGTCTTGCCCCTAACGATAAACTTGAAGTATTTCATATACCCAAATAATAATTATATATACATAAAAAAAAAAAAACTAATAATATATATGATTTGAATATTTCTTTATAGTGTCTAAAATTGAAAATCCATCCATGAAAGTTTGAAAGGTAGCTGTCTGAGAGGATGGTCCGCACGGCAGCTTGTCAGCCGACCGCCCTTCCTCCGCTGACCTAAAATGCTCGCTTCCTTACATGATAATTAAAATGTTTCTTGATGTATTAATTGCTCGATGTTTGTACACATTTTCTTACTTTTAAGTGATATTATATTTAATCACCGTAAATTTTATTAACAACGATAAATAATTTTAAATTTAATTTCTAATTTGTAATAAAATTTTTTTCTCAACAGACTCTAAATTTACTCTTCACTTTCTCAATTATATTTATTTTTTTAAATTACCTATAATATTTTTTTTTATCTTTTCGATTTGTGAATTCCAATTTCATACCTAAATGGGAAACATTGCACGTTGTTGAACAATAGATAAGCATTATTGTGAGCATGAAGCTATTGAAAATGATGGAGCTTGTAATAAATTGTATAGTTTAATGTAGTAAATAAATCCTTTAATTAATTAATTATTCAGAAATGGAAGCCATGTGTGTTTTTAAGTCTTTTAGGTACATATCATCATTGCCACCTTAGTTGATCCTAATAATCAAGTGTAAAGGTTATATTACTTCTTATCTTATAAATTATAAAATTTTAAAATTAAATAATAAAATATTTTTTTTCTTATAAATTTTTTAATTTTAATATATATATTTTTTTCTTCTCATATAAATATAATAGAACTTCGTTACTAGAAGTTAATGGACAAAGCGTTAATAATAATAATGATAAAAGGTGAATATTTTGATCTTAATTAATTAATGAATAAAACCTTTTTTTTTTTTTATAAAAAACAATTATTGAATAAAAATTAACGTAATATGTAATTATATATATAAAGACTGACCTAATTGGGGACCATCTTTCTGGTAGAAATAAATGACTAATTAAGAATTTAGGTTTGTGATTTCAATTTCATCTTAAATTTGATAGAAATGAGATTATATATTTATGCTTGGGGAAGATTACAATAAAAGATTTGGTGAGCTGTAATAGTTTGATTTCCTTCTTGAAAACCCTAAAATTAAAATCCAATCATCAAGCTACTAGAGAGTTGAGAAACTAAAATCTAAAAGCAAAAATAGCCATGTGAGAGGCAGCTTTAACTTTTTGAATGCTACATTGAAAAAGGTTGGTATGGAAAGAGGGTAAGGGGTGGGTTGCCTCATGCTAGCTAGCTTTAAACAATAATAATGCATATTATGTCAACTTTTTCAGTCCATATTTATATCATTTTCTTGCTTCTTCAACCTTTTCTCTCCCAATCTTCACTATCACATGGGCATAAAGCAAACACATATAACAATATCTCCATTGAAGAATGGCTCTCATCACTTGGTCTCCATCCCTTTACTGTGTTTTACCTAAGGATTGTGTCCTTCAAAACTTAGGGCCACCAATATATACATGGACCACGTATAACAATGGAGATCAAAAGATAATTGTGATCATTTTATATATATCTCATTTTGTTTATTTGTTATTCATTTTTTGAATGTCCTAAAATATTTGTAAAGTTTCTAAATTTATAAATCTAAATAATTAATTTTCTCATAATAACATTTATAATTGTTCATTAAATTTAGAACTTTTATTAATATCTTAATAAGTTAAGGGTATAACATTCTAAATTAATTTTCTCATAATAACATTTATAATTGTTCATTAAATTTAGAACTTTTATTAATATCTTAATAAGTTAAGGGTAAAAAATAGGTAAAATAATTTTTGTTTACAAAATTCTAATATTGTATTTTGTCAAACCATATAAACAAAATGGAACGGAAAGAGTATATATATTTACCCACAATTTTCTCTATTTTGGGCTACTAGTAAGTGACTTGCTTATCATTATTAGGGGTATAAATGAGCAGAGCCGGCTCATGAGCTATTCGAGTTCGGCTCGAAAAAAGTTCCACTCAAATCGAGTTTGAGTCTTCTCAAAGCGAGCCGAAGTCAAGCTCAATGACATTCAGCTCGAAAATTCGTTGAGCCTTATCAAGCTTATATATAGCTTATATAAAGTATTTAAATTATATTATATATGAATAATTAATAGTTCTCGAACTGCCTTGAGCTGTAGCTTGAGTTAAAAATTTTCAAGTAAGTTAAAACTCAAGTCTTTAAGCACCCTCAAACTTGGCTCAATACTGAACCCGAGCTCGAGCTGAAATACCCATTTAGCTTAAAATTTCAGGCATGTGATATTCACGAACCTGAGTGTGCTAACCCTAACTAAATTCTATCGAAGCCGAACTTATGAGCTCCTGGCAAGTTCAGCTTGGCTCAGACTCATATATATATATATATATATATATATAATAGGTTACTCGAACCTTGAGCTGAGCTTGAGTTTAAAATTTTTCAAGTTAAACTCAAGCTTAAAGTCGACCTCAAACTGGCTCAAACTGAACCCGAGCTCGAGCTGAACCCGAGCTTAAAATTTCAGGCATGTTGAATTTCGAACCGAGGTTGAACCCAACTAAATTCTATCGAGCCGAACTTTGAGCCTGGCAAGTTCGAGCTTGGCTCAGACTCATTTACACTCATCATTGTAATTTGAATCTTGGGCATATAACATATTAAACAGGTGTTCCCCCCTAGTATGCACATTACAAACCAAACCCAACAAATTGATTAAAAGAAAAAAAAGGGTTTGGTTCAGAATATAAATATCCAAAAACGGTCGTACACTTATGAGCATTAAAGGGCCACCAAGTCAATGATAAGAAGGAAAAAGGAAAAGCTTTATACATTTCACTATGAATATCTGAAGGATGGAGGGTCACCATTGTTAAGATGAGTAAAGGAGGCAACAGGAGGTGCCTTCCACCTACTAAAAGTTCATTGGCAAGTTTAGGGCCCAACTGCATAATTCAATTAGCTACCTCTAATTACATGACATGAAGTAATAACTGCTTACTTCAATTTACATAGAAACAGATAGGAACCCATCAACTAAAAGATTCTACACAAGGGTCTACATCTACTTCTGTTAGTCTGAAGAGTGGGCTACATGTATCAAACCAAAAATATTCATGTTATTAAATTTCATCAGAACAAAATTTTTTGAATCATTGAACAAATCTGGAAATCAGATTTTTTTTTCCACTTCATTCCCAATAAAATGGTCCTGCAACACCGTCCAAGTATATATGTAAAAACTGAATGACATTGTCTTATAAAGATAATGTCACAACTTGCAAAACCTAAGTTAAGCAAAGTTACAAGAGATTCTCCTTGTTACTCTGCATATTTACAGCTAAACTACCGTTAAATTAAGCAAGCAGCCATGAGTATGTATCAAAAACCACTTTGAGAAAAGGAAAACAGTGGAAAGTCAAGATTACTTGCTAAGTCTATGATGAAAGTAATGAATCATTAACTGTCTCATTAAAAGATGAAAAAGAAGCAGACATACAATTGCATTGTTATAATTTCTTTCCTTTTATTTGGGAGGATGCCTCGCATAGCATTGAGTCAAAGAAATGCCAATTCAGAGTTTCCAACAGCAGAAAGTCAGCAAATCAAAACCTTTATCGCCACAAGCCCCAATATTATACTATTTGAAACAGCATACAATGTTCTAGACAGAAAGTAGAAACTTAAAGTAAAACAAGAAAATAATAAATAAAAACAGAACCTGGAGCTGCAGATAGATACTAAAACATTTCTGCATTTCCTCGAATTCCATTTCATGAATGCAACTCAATAACATTAAGGATCCTAGACAAAAACGATAAATTGTACTGAACAAAGAGTCAAGACAATGCCTCTTACAGATTTCTTTATGTCAATTTTTGGCCTTAACAGAATTATTTTCCTTGATTTTAGCACGGTTGTTTAGCTTGACAAAGCGTTTGAGCTCTTCATAGGAGAGAGTTCTAACATTTTTCCTTTTTAATTCACTCAGTGCAGTACGTTTATCGAGCAGGTGCCACAACCAATCGGGGTATTCAGAGTCAGGCAAGACCTTGGGATCTGCTCCATCCTTAAGAATATTGGCACCAACTACAGTGGTAGACTTAACTTCTTTGCTCAGAGATGATGCTTTTGGAGCATCGGCTGCTGCTCCCCCTTTTCCACCCTTTTTTGCTTTGCTAGTGCTAGTAGCAAATGTTCGCTGATCCACTATTCTAAACGCCTCCTTAGTAATCATGATACCCCTCAATGATTTGATGTGATTCATAGCCATAACTCCTGCAAAATTATCTCTAACATTTACTGACTGATGATTTCAGAATCTGAACAAATGAAGACCGATACACATTCTTAGACAAACTGTTACATGACTAATATCTCAAAATGCTTCAGCGTGTGTCAGAAAGGTGTTATCCTTCAAACATTTGGGTTTTGAGAAAATCTAAATACCTAACTCAATGAAAGAAACTTACAGCCAAAAGAAAATTGGGTTTCATAAACAGTTTTCCATAAAAAATTAGACTCTTAAAGTGCCTGCATTTCACACTTACTTTCCTACAAAAGTCTCTGTTTTTAAACGAGCAATTCAAATTGACATACAGGGGAACTCAAGATTTAGGGGCAGAGGCAGAGATTGCCTGAAATATGTATAGTACACCTTTTTTTCTCCAAAAAAACAAAAAAAAAAAAACAGAAAACAATAAGATTGTGTTTATAATTAAATAATAACAGAACAGAAGAAGAAAAAATGATAAAGCATCAATTTTGCAAAGAAGAAAATCACAGCATTTCATAAAATAAAAGCAAAAGCTGAATCACAGTTCAGCACAAACACAAAAGAGGGCCAATTCAAAAAAAAAAAAAAAAAAAAAAATTCAAAAAAAAAAAAAAAAAAAAAAAAGATATAATTAACGAACTCGTACAATCGAGATTCCATTTCCGATTCGCTTTTCCCAAATTACACAACCTAAAAAATTGAATCAAAATAACAAAGAGTATCACTATAGACGCCAAAAAAAAAAAAAAAAAAAAAAGATTATAATAACGAACTCGACAATCGAGATTCATTTCGATTCGCTTTCCAAATTACACAACCTAAAAATTGATCAATATACAAAGAGTATCACTATAGACGCAATGAGAGAAAAAGAAAATTCCAGCCTTGAATAGTTTTCCTACAACATTGTCAGCAACCAAACAGCGCATTACAAAAGAAAATGGAATAAAATGGAAATACCTGAAAGCGAAACTCGAAATGTTGGAGATCGATGCTTCAATATGTTGAATTTGGGGGCTAGGGTTTCTGAAACAAAGAAACCAAAACAAAAACCCTATTCACAATTCTCAAATAAAAACTTGATCTTCACATCTTCGGTTTTGACCCATTAATCGGGGCAGCCCATATTTTGGGCCCAGGAACCCAGTTCTTTGACTAATGGGTCGAAATAAACCCAAAAGGACCCGACCCACCCGTTCAGTACACAGTTCGAAAATATAAACCTCAATTTCTCCTCTAAAACCCCAAACCTCTTCTCTTGAGCGATCAAATCATCTTTCAAAATGGGAAGCAATCAAGCAGCTGTTTCGTTTCTAACAAATCTTGCACGGGCCGCTTTCGGTTTAGGCGCTGCAGCCACCGCTCTCAACGCGTCGCTGTACACCGTCGATGGAGGCGAACGCGCGGTATTATTCGATAGATTTCGTGGAGTTATTGACACCACCATTGGTGAAGGGACTCATTTCCTGATCCCATGGCTGCAAAAGCCATTTATCTTTGATATCCGTACCAGGCCGCACACTTTCTCGTCTGTCTCCGGTACGAAGGATCTGCAGATGGTTAACTTGACCCTCCGTGTTCTCTCCCATCCCGATGTAATCATCTATTCTTTGCAAATCTTGTTTGATATGTGTCAAAGTTAGCATATTTTGCTTGCTATTTGATCTTTTTAGCATATGGGTTTCAGTTAAATGATGTGTCTTTTGGCTGCAAAAACTGAGGAATATGATTATGTTATCTGGGAGACTATATAATTGGCCTAGACAAATGCAGTTGCTGTTATATGTTATTTCTTCCTCCGCAGTATTATATTTTCCTCTTCAGCTAAAAGCTTATTGAGCCAGAAATATACACTTTGAATATGTATAAATATGCATTTCTAATTTTTATTTATTTATTTTATTTTATTTTTTTTTTTTTTGAGCAAGGTAACCAAATTGCCCCAAATCTTTCAACGCCTTGGTCTCGAGTATGATGAGAAGGTGCTCCCCTCTATTGGCAATGAGGTTTTGAAGGCTGTGGTTGCACAGTTCAACGCTGATCAGCTCCTTACTGAACGTCCGCATGTCTCGGCTCTAGTCCGTGAATCTCTTATCAAGCGTGCAAGGGATTTTAACATTCTGCTGGAGGATGTGGCAATCACCCACTTGTCTTACGGAGCAGAGTTCTCAAGGGCTGTGGAGCAGAAGCAAGTGGCGCAGCAAGAAGCAGAGAGGTCGAAGTTCGTTGTCATGAAAGCTGACCAGGAGAGGAGGGCTGCAATTATCAGGGCAGAAGGTGAGAGTGAAGCTGCTAAGATGATCTCTGATGCAACTTCAAAAGCTGGTACAGGGCTGATTGAGCTCAGGAGGATTGAAGCATCGAGGGAAATTGCTGCAACTCTGGCCAAGTCACCCAACGTGTCATACCTTCCTGGTGGAGCCAACATGTTACTTGCATTGAATCCAGGCCGTTAAAAAGGTAATCCTATTCGTACCGATTTTTATATGTTGATATTGTGTGCGCTCAAATTTGCATTTAGCAGCTGGATGGTAGTTCTTTTACTGGCTTAAAATGTATGTAATTGCTTCTTGAATTTATAGATTGGAAATGGAATGCGAATGACTTTATTAGATGATTATATGTCTCAATACAATTGCATACAATGGCACATCCTCTGGCTATTTTTTCTGTGAAATTACTACCTTGTGCTGCTTCAATTATTGTCTGAATTGGTAGAATTTTAACCTTTGTTTTCTTTCCTGGATATTCTTTGAATGCTATCTTGTTGATACTTCAATTGGTCTGTGAGTTAGTTGGCTTCAACCTTTATTTTGCTGGATTTAGAAGTTTGGAAATTGAAAATTAAAATTGTTGAGCTGCACAAGGTTATTCCTGTATTCTGCATTTTAGGATATTCACAGTTTGCTTTTTAGACCATTAGTATCATGAGTATTCTGGGAACTGCTCCATGTTGACAGACATTATCTTACCTGGCTGATTCTTGCTTCATTGCTCTTTTCGAGGAAAATATTTTTGGTGTAATTTGCTTTTACCAATGCTATAATCTTGGTGAGGCGAGCACCAAAATGCTGATCGTTTGCTTGTCAAATAATCAGGGAAAATATGTTCATTTAAAAAATATTTTTGCATCTGTATCTTTTTTTTTTTTTTTTTAGGTCTAATTCATCATACCAAGAGCATTTAGACAATCGCTATTTGAGTTGTTCAATTAATGCGTGGATAATGAATTACTGGTATGTCGGTGTGGCATTTAAGAAACATGAGCGGGACTGAAGTTCTGGAAGTTTAATGAATTTTAGCATCAGTCCTTAACAGTGTTCGTTAATGCATTTGGTTAATGCATGGTAAAAATGCATGTCAGTCACTTCAGCTACCAGCAAGGTGTTGAACATGTTGGCAAGCCATTCCAGTTAGAAGCAGTCATTTGTTAATTTTTTTTCTGGATATGTTGTTGGTTTTCTACTCCACTGCCTTTTTTTCTGTCTACATGAATATTACATGTCCTGGATTGTCTGAATAACTTCATGTGAAATCTAGTATGGAAGACTTAGAATTAGGGGCTGCCTGAAGAGAAGAAACTCCAAATTTTACGGATGTTTTTTGGAGGAAAATCCTTTTCTTTTTATGAGTTATTACTTCAGTTGACTACATGTACAGACCTTGTCCACTTTGTTCTGAAGTATTTTTCTTTTAACTTATTAGTTTGGTTTGGCCTGCTCCAAATGATTGGCACATCTTTTCATGACTCATAACTGAAAGCGCTAAACTGGGTCATGTTTACCACTCCACCTCAATCTGAAATCATTCAACTCATAATTCATTTCTTTTTTTTTATCAAAATATTCGTGTCATAATCCATTTTAAGGCAATATGGAAATACCTCGCAAGGGCAGCTGCCTTAATTGATTAACCTTAATAATCTTACTGGTTTAGATGGTCACACAGGCGTCCTGTTTTAATGTTTTGTAAAGGTAAATCTCATTTCAACCATCTTTTCTCTCTCTTTGCAGGGTATTCAGTTGTGGCACAATGGCATGACCTTTTTGTGAATTGGTGAAGTAGTGTTTGCTTTGTTGCTAGAAAATTTTTGAGGATGCAAACCTGACATATGTGGAGTTTCCTAAGAATCAGAAGTTTCACATGTAGAAACCTTAAGTACTTGTGCTGATGAGCAAACAATGGATTTTATTTGTATTAGATGAAATGCGGGTTTACAGACTTGTGTAGTAAATATGCTTAATAAATGTTGCCTCTGACGGCCATCTTTGGTGGTCCAATGTGCAGGAGTTACTATATTACAATTTGACATGATACATTAGGGAGTAAATAATATCATGAGCTATTGAGACTCAATTCTTGCGCATTCTTACATAAAATTTCTATCCCATGTTAGTTTAGAGAGGAAGTAGAGGCTAGCTTAGCCAAAACAAAAGTAAGATGGGGTAGAAAGAAGAATTGCAATTTTATGTTAAAAGTGTTTGGTTCTTGAGAAACAAATAGTAAAAGTTTCATCAAATGAACTCCCAACACTAGAATGCTTTCCTATGACATTCTCAGCAACCAAACAGCATATTACAAAATAAAATGCAAATATCATTTACATTCAGTAAGTTCAATTGAACTCTAATTAATTAAATATTTTAAAATTGTATTGAACTTAAAGTATTTGATTGAGCTTATGAGTCATTTTAATAGAGTATCAACTCTTCATTCAAATTTTCCATTTTTTATTTTTTGGTAGAATTAAGAGGTCCCCTTTTACCTTTTTGGTATAGGTTAATGTTTTCTAAAATTATAGAGTTTGATCTTGCTGTGAATCGAAATTTTGCGTTGTGATTCTTTAAGCAAGTTTAAGCAAGTTTGAACTCAAGTAGACTAAGAGTAGCTTCACTCAATAGCAGACATTCCAAAATAACTACTTGTACAAATGGCTCTAAAGTGATGGGACCGCGCGTACCATCCAACTCCGAATTAGTATGATATTGTTCACTTTGGGCCAAGCCTTCACGGATTTATTTTTGGGCACCTCCCAAAAGATCTCATACTAATGGGTTGGGTTTGAACCATTATATTTTGATTCCACTTCTCCTCTTTATCCGATGTGGGACTTGAGAGGATATCCCAACATAAAGGTCTCAGCAACCCAAATGGACCCGTTACGCCCACAAGCCAATTTTTCAGCAATTGGTCTAAAATGAGCCCATAACAGGTCGGAGCTATTCGGGTTTGGATCTGACCCACCTGTTTATTACACGTTTCGTGAGCACCGGCCAATCATAAACCCCCTTTGCGTGAGTAAACCATAAACCCCAATTTGCCCGCTCTAAAACCCCAACGCCTCCTCTCTTCTTCAGTACTCATCAAGCAATGGGCAGCAGTCAAGCAGCTGTTTCATTTCTAACAAATCTTGCACGCGCCGCTTTTGGATTGGGCGCTGCAGCCACCGCCCTCAACGCCTCTCTTTACACCGTCGATGGAGGCCAACGCGCAGTGCTATTCGACAGATTTCGGGGAGTTATTGATACCACTATAGGTGAAGGGACTCACTTTCTCATTCCATGGTTGCAGAAACCATACATCTTTGATATCCGTACCCGCCCACACACTTTCTCCTCCATCTCCGGTACAAAGGATCTACAGATGGTTAATTTGACTCTCCGTGTTCTTTCTCATCCTGACGTAATCATCATTGCTCTTTAAACATTGTTTGATATATGCTAAATTTAGCATCTTATACTTGATATTTGATTTTTAGCATATGGGCTATGGTATTATTTTCTTTGTTTTGGGATGTATTTTTTATCGATTATATTATATAGTTGGGTTGTTTCAGTTAAATAAAATGTGGTTTTGGCTGCAACAAGATTGGAAATGGAGTGTGAATATGGTTACTAGAAGATAATATGGTTGCAACTTATGTTTTATTTTGTTTCATTTCCCCGTTGTCTTTCATTTTTATTCTTTGTCTTGAACCATGAATTTTAATGTATAATGTTTTGCTTAGGTGAATAAATTGCCCCAAATCTATCAACGCCTTGGTCTTGAGTATGATGAGAAGGTGCTACCCTCAATTGGCAATGAGGTTTTGAAGGCTGTGGTTGCACAGTTCAATGCTGACCAGCTCCTCACAGAACGTCCGCATGTATCAGCTCTGGTCCGTGACTCTCTTATCAAGCGCGCAAAGGATTTCAACATTCTGCTGGAAGATGTGGCAATCACCCACTTGTCTTATGGAGTGGAGTTCTCAAGGGCTGTGGAGCAAAAGCAAGTGGCGCAGCAGGAAGCTGAGAGGTCCAAGTTCATTGTCATGAAAGCTGACCAGGAGAGAAGGGCTGCAATTATCAGGGCAGAAGGTGAGAGTGAAGCTGCCAAGATGATCTCTGATGCAACTGCAAAAGCTGGTACAGGGCTAATTGAGCTGAGGAAGATTGAGGCGTCAAGGGAAAATGCTGCGACTATGGCAAGGTCACCCAATGTGTTGTATCTCCCTGGTGGAGCCAATATGCTTATGGGAATGAATCAAAGTCGTTGAATAGGTAACTCCTATTTTGGTTATATGCTCTTATGTTTTGGGTGTTTGAGTTTGCATGTATCAGCTGGATGTAGTTTGTTACATGCTTTATATGTGTAATTGCTTCTTGAATTTATGGATTGGAAATTATTTGAGATTGACTGTTTATTTGATGATTACATGACGAGTTAGTATTGCATTGTATACTCTGGCCACTGTTTCTGTGAAATTGAAAGCACATTGATACTTACATTAGTCTCTGACTTAGTAGACTGTACCTTTTTTTTCTGATTTTAGAATTTTGGAACATTAAAATCAGTATGCTCCATAAACTATTTTATTCTACTTTTTACAATCTTGGAGCTTTGTTGTTTGGTATTGGCAATTTGGTTTCATTGCTTTGACACAATTTCTGGACTCCATGGAGTTATCTTGCCTACTTCAATGTGCTTATTTAGAACAACACATGTTACTTTGTTATTGGACATACAGAGTTTATTAATATGAGGGATGAGATTTAAGATTTTGTTTTTTGAGGAATGTAAAGTGTTAATAGATCATGATATACCCATTTAAAAATTGGGACTGTTGGCTGTATGTCTTAGACTAGGATTTTAGCATCAAAACATGTCTAAACTGCAACAAGTTAAAAATGATGAGTGAGATTAAACTGTCTTCTGTTGCAAATGAACCTATAAAGTACAAGAAACTGCATTGGTTATCAGGAATTGCAATTACTTTGATAAATGAGAATCATTAGTGCCTATTTCCAGAGATCCTCTTTAAGAGACATGGCTGGCTGTTTCTTACTTTATGGCTGTTTACAAGGAAGATATTGATGGTGTGTTGGTGATTTACCAACAATGTAACCTTGATAAATTAGAATATCATTCATTTTTTAAAAATATTCTTGTGGAAGGAGCATTTGCATAAGCTCCTATTAAGTTCCTCAAGTTGTGTGTGGATAATGGATTGCTGGAATATTTGTGTAGCATTTTAGAAAGGCAATCAGGACCAAAGTTTTGAAAGTTATAGGGACATTGACATCAGTGATTATTAGTGTTTTTAAGTAGGGTTATTCATATTTGTTTCAGGTGTTTTTTTTTTTTTTTCCTTCTTTGTGACAAAGGCATTTGGTTAGCCCATGATAAAGATGTGTGTCACTCGCATCTGTTACTAGCAAGGTCTTGTACATGTTTGTAAGTTGTTCCATTTTAGAGGCTGTTATCTGTGAAGTTTGTGTGGATATCTTGTGATGTGAATGTATCTCTGGATAAATTGAGGTGAAATTTATTATGAAGAGTATAAATTTAGTATGTGGGGAAAGAAGGAACTGGAGCACCATAAGGCCTCTTGCTCCTTACTCCATTCTTTTTTATTGATTGCACAAATTTTCATTAGAAATCTTTCTGAGGATTTTTTTTTTTGAATTATAGTTTCAATTGACTTGATCTATTGAACTTGTCCATTTTATTCTGATGCATTTACCTTTTGTAAGTTTGGTTTCACAAGTTCTAATTGGTGCCTACGAATTACTTTGAACGATGGCATCTTCAATCTTTTGCTTCATTGTTGCCATGATTTCTACCCCTTCTCAATTTGTAATTTTCAACTTGTTGTATCTGATTTATTTTTTCATTTTTTTTTTTTTTTAACTAATGCTCCTATGAATCTCCTTTTAAATGCATTATGGCAAAAATCATAGAAGCTCATTGGTCTTAACCAATTAACCCCAATAATTTAACTGGTTTAGATAGTAATGGAGGCTTCCATCACTTTTGGTTATTTATGTAATCGTCGATCTCATTTCAGTTGTCTGATCTCTTTGCAGGGTATCCTGGTGTGGCACAAGAACGAGACCAAGATTGAATTGCTGAAGTAGTGTTTGCTTTATTGCTAGAAGTTTTTTTGAGGATACAGGCCTTACAAACTTTCCTAAGAATCAGAACTTTAGCAGCATCTATGAAGTTTCTTACATTTATGTTAAACAGCACGACGTTAGAACTATATATAGTCTATCTTCAAAGATGATTTTAAACACATTTGATGTGATAAATATGCTGAATGAATATTTCCTATTCTTCTAATGACCACATTTGATGGTCCACTACTACTTCCATTGCATTCATTATACACACTTCAATCAATTTCAATGTTAATGTTTAACTTGATTCTTGAATGTCTAATTTAAGACACATTTTAGCTTTCTGTCTATGTTTAACTTAGGTTGGCCGGTTCGGTTTTTTTTTTTTTTTTTTTTTTTTTTTTTTTTTTTCTAGTATTTATGAGTCATAGCAAAACTTTGGAAACTTATATATAAGTATTAACAAGAAAACTTGCTAATTACATATTTATGTATATGTTTTAATCTAAAGTAATATTATTAGCATATATATACCTTTATTTGTACTATAAATGATTAAGAGACAAAAAGTTACCATTTTTTTACAAGTGTGTTCTCCACTTAATTCAGAGAATGCCTTTCATTTTTAAGACTGATATTGGGCTGGAACTCGTATTTTCTTTAACCTAATAGATCATTGGCTGTTTTCACACATGGATAGAATATTTCTTTCGCTCAACTAGGCGTCGTCTTTGTGTCCGCCATCATTTCATTTCTATTAAATCTCCTATACCGTCACTCACTGTAACCTTGATAAATTAGAATATCCATTTCATTTTAAAAATATTCTTGTGGAAGGAAGCATTTGCATAAGCTCCTATTTAACGTTCCCTCAAGTTGATGTGTGGATTAATGGATTGCTGGAATATTTTGTGTAGCATTTTAGAAAGGCCAATCAGGACCAAAGTTTTTGAAATTATAGGGAACATTGACATCAGTGATTATTAGTGTTTTTAAGTAGGGTTATTCATATTTGTTTCAGGTGTTTTTTTTTTTTTCCTTCTTTGTGACCAAAGGCATTTGGTAGCCATGATAAATATGCTGCTGTCACTCGCCATCTGTTACTAGCAAGGTTTGTACATGTTTTGTAAGTTGTTCCATTTTAGAGGCTTGTTATCTGTTTGAAGTTTGTGTGATTATCTGTGATTGAATGTGATCCTCTGGGTTTAAATTGGAGGGTTGAAATTTATTATGAAGGGTCAGTCACTAAGAGTGTAGTCTAGTTGTTCTGCGGGGAAAAACGTATAAGGAAACTGTGGTAGCGCACACGCGCCATTGTAACACGACCTTCTTGCTTTCCTCATTTTATTCCATTGCTCCTTTTATTTTGGATATTCCGAACAAAGTTTGTTTCATCATTCTTCACAAATCTTTCTGACGTGAATGTTTTTTATCCAGTCGACTCTTATTTCTCGTGGTTGTCAATCTAGTATTTTTTATTTCTTCATATCAATGAGGCTTGCATCTATGAACTGTCTCCCTTATTTTGTACTATATCCACTCATGATGCTGAATCCTATTATATATTGTATAAAGATTATTCGTGGTGTTATTTCCCCACTAGCTTACGCGTTCTCGAATGGGTATGTCTCCTGGCATACGGAATATGGTGGATTTTGGAAGGAGGCCTGCCTCAAATGATATTTGGACATAAAATACATTAGACATCGCACACAAGAACAACGTGTTCTGATTGGAGGGTTCATTGCCATCTTTGTTAGGAAATTATGCCTCAACTGGTATTTTGCGACTCGGCAGTTAAATTACTGAATACAGTGTTACGGATGGCGGTATCTTCATACGTTTCAATAATACTACGGCATTTGTCCTCATCACATATGTTGGCACAATGATTTCCGGAAAGTGGAGCATTATGCCTTTGCTACCCCCTTTCTGCACACTTTAGTAATTTTTTCAACCTGGCTCTCGAGCGTGATTTCCTCACCTCTCAAATAAATTGCTGTCAATTATAACTTTTTATGCTAACTTATATAAGTGTACGTGCTTCTCAATATCCATGTGCCGTCAATAGCTCCTGAAATAATGCAATTTATGGGGACTACAAATAGAAAAAGAATTCCCATAGAAGATAGACTCTTTCATTGTATAGGTCTGAACACCTAAATTTATTGGCAGGAAACTTTTATCACCCCGCAATTAATTTAAGTACCTTCCAGGATTGTTTAGTGATTACAGCATTAAAATGGACCTAGACCTTTTCCCACATTTCATTCAGTTATTCTTTTCGCTTGGAATCAGATGGATATCTTTTTCTCATCTTAATTGTCAAAAATTTTCCTCTCTCGTACATACAAAGAAAAAAAATCGTAATTTCTACATTTTACAGCGACTAATTTGAGTATGATCTAGCCTTTGGCGTAGGACGGTAGGAGCACGTAGAGAGGAGAGGGATGGTGAGGGCAACGAGAGCAAAGAGAGCAGAGGGATAGACGACCTCGAAATGAGAGATCTTGAACTTTAGCATGAAGATAAAGATGTTAATGCTTTTGTCTTTTATATTTTGCTTAATGCTTACGGCTATTTTATATTTGAGTAGATCGAGTACAGCGGGTCCTTTTACCACAAACGTTTTTTACCTTTTACAGGAATATTCAGACAACTAATAGGTTTCATAGCGCCAATCTATGCAGCAGTTATTCTCTTTTACGATGAATTTATCAGGATTTGAACACAGCAGCCAAATCGGTACAACGTTAAAGATTGAACACCTACCCTTATTAATTTAAGTCTATATCCTTTCACAAAGGTACACCTTTTGGGTACACTTTTTCGTCTTGGTTATTTTATGTGTTTAAACATAACAATCTTTTGTATTGGGTGATAAATTAATGCTGAAATGTGAAATTATTCTCTCAATATTGCTTCATGAAATTGACCCACATTTTGACTGGAGCTTACGGGCGCATATTACACTTACCTACTTTACCATTAGGTAATTTCCATAATACACCCACGAATGCGATAGTCCAATAGTTCGGAATATTTCACGCGCCTCTCGCAAATGATTGGAATGCGTGTTTTAGAGCAACATTTAGATTTCTTTTTACTTGAATTTAAAAGATGTTTCTAATTTTATATGAACACCATGTTTCACAGGCGTTTTCTCTAGTTGATCATAGTTGTGTCTCTAAACTTTTTGATAGGGTTTGGGCGCGTGGTTTCGGATCTGGTCTATAGTTTTCTTTTCTCTATTTTTTTATTTTCTTATTTTTTTTGTCTCTTTTATAAAAAGGGGATTTACTTAAAAGACTCTGCTTCGGTACACAGGAGCCTATCTAGAGTTAGAAAAACCAAATGTGGAACATCTTTGATGGGATATATTTTCTTATTTATATCTCACCGCATGTTTTCATTAGCTGACACGTACTTCTCTAGATATTATTGGGACAATCTCGTCATATTTAATGGGGCTCGGCCTAATTTGTATTTGTAAATTTTCACTGTTTGGAACAAATAATTTTGTTTTTCATTTTTTAAAAAACTTATAAAGGCAAATAATACCTTCCTTTGTTACTGTATCTCAATCCTAAAATCATTACTAATAGTGTATTTATCGCGGCAATGGCGGTGTATTTGAGTTTGTCATGTTTCCTGAGTGTATATGTTGGATAAGTATCACCTGGAATAAATGTATCCAGCCTTTAATATAAGTAGAGTTATAAATATTCTATTTCTCTCGGCTTCAAAGATTCTATTAATTAGGGTCCTCCAAAGTGTTACTTTTCCAGCATATTCTGTTAGACGGTGACATTGTGGCCGATTCTCATCTCCAAGACAAGACAAACTAATTCATTAAAAAGAGAATGCTTTACGATAATGTCGTATATGCCATTTTTTAGAAATTAGATACTTTTAGCTCATAGTTTGAGCATTCTCCGTTCTCAAATGTATCAAGTCAAGCTCTCTGTGAGTTAGAGTAATCTCTATTCTATACCACGATACCACTGACATTTGGCTGCTTAGATGAGGGCTTCCCAAAATATATAAGAGGCGCTTGTATGACATGTGTTGTAATTAGGAGCGCGAATAGTTCATCAATTGTTAGAACACTTAAGTTTAGGACACAAATAACTAGTGGCTGTTCTAATATTGTACATAATAGAGTGTGCACTATACCAATATTTATGCAAGTTCACGTCCTTACCAATTTTATTAACATCCCTTATATATTGATGGTGATACATGGTGGCATATCTCTCACGGTAATATTCTTGTGATTTTTTATGCAGGCTCAATGGCGGGCTGTTGGAAGGGAGGATAGAGTTGACAATTCCGAAGTTGGCATTTAATTAGTTTATTATATAGGAAAATGACTACTTTAAAGCTGTGTGTGTTTCTTACGCTGCCTATAATATGAGAAAACTAAACTAGATTGGTATTATGTTTTATCTTATTTAATCAGGGGATTAATTGATTCAAAAGATGATGTAATCTTTGTGCCATTAAAAAAAAAATAACCACAAATAGAATGAAGGAGACTACTTGGACTCTCATGGCAAGAGCTCATTAAACTATTTGTTAGACGAACCCTATTTATGAGAAACAAACTTAAGAAAAACAAAGATTGGCTTCTCGTTTCAAAGACATTTCGAGAGCTGGCGTCTGCGAGGTGATCCGAAACAAGTTTATGGGGTTTGATTATGTTCCCACCTTGCATTAAGGCTGACAGGGAGTTTGTCTATAATAATTTTTAACGGGACAACCCATAGGCCCGAAAGGGGATTCCTTTATACAAAGAAGCTGTAAAGAAAACGAAGAAAAAAAATAAATAAAGATACTCAAGGGCACTAGGTCAATATATATTTTAGGTGTTTTTTATCTATTCTGGGTATATTCTACTTTGAATCAGGGTACGGAAGATTATAAACTCTATGGTAGCAGTCGGCACAAAGTATCTATCATGCCACAAAAGTAGTCTAAGATATATTGGAGTATTAAAGATGCCCTTCATGGAACTACGCTCTTCAGTTGGTCCACTTTGACGGAAACGAGAGGTCTTCAAATTTCCATGACCATGAGGGCTTTGATCTCAAAAGACGTGGAAATAAATTATATAATATTTAGAAATATTACAATATAAAAAAGGTACAATTAACTACATGATGTTTTACATTTTATAATTATTAGAGACTGGCATGACACCAATTGGTAAAATATATCCATAATAACTCCTTCTCTTCTTCTCCCACCACCATAGGTTTGCATTGTACCCTAAACATCTATGACGACTGCCATCCAATGCACATACCAAAATTTCCTTGCGACATTATCCAGAACCTCTCCATATGAAAACAAGAACATTATACTTTGGCACTTTCAACAATATAAAGGAAAACTCCGCGCATCTGGATTTACAAATTGATTCTTCCAAAGTGGGATCATTAATCTCGCTCCTTCCAAGATTTGGATGTACCACCATATACTATATTACATCGGTGGTGGGCAGAATCACTTGTAAAAGACACGGGGAAAAAGCGTGGAGAGGGGATCCGCAGCTCCATTTCGCAGGATTTTGAGCTGACAGTCTAGTGGGTGTGGGGCTTGTCCTGCGCTAGTGCGATTCATGGCAAAAGAAGGGAGCTTAGTTGAGTGAGACAAGATTTAATTGACATTACGTAATCGTTTAGAGTTGCATATTCACCACCCTTCGAAAAACAGCATTCGAGCCAGGGTACAAGAAGTAAAAATAGTGTTGCAACCAGTCTCATGAGAATTTAGGATCAGGATTGCAGAAAATTAATTATATACTGAGATAAAGGAACCCCCTTTCAATGCTTAGTGTATCTTCTGAATAATCTTCTTTGTCAATTCTTGAAAAATACACATACACCCAAAAACCATATGGAAGAGTTAAGGACATGGAAGGAGGGACTGTACTAACATTGATATAAAATAATCGATAATTCATTATTTTCAACACATGCGTAGACACCCAATATCACAATTATGGTTCTCTAGTTACACACAAAGAGGATCCAAAAGCTTATTTTCAACCATATATATTGTTGATTCATGTCATTCCGTATTATTTGCACTTGATTCAATCACAATCTCGCTGTTCTAGGTGGCAATCAAAGGATGCTTAGACCTTGCAGTTGCAAAATTGGATATAAAGACGGCATTTGTATTCTTATTTTAGCGGTGGACACAAGGAGAGGCGAAAAACCCAACCTTATCAAATGGGAACAAATAAATAAAACACAGAAAGAAACCACCACTGACAGTTGAGAGAGGTGGAAAAGATTGCAAAAGGCTTTAACAATAATTTGAAAAGGAAAATACATAGCATAAAGTGTAGGAAAAGGGTTACCGTAAGTTTGTTGGTTTACGATATTAAATTGCAAGGACCATTTAGAGGCCAGCTCATTGAACTCATAGGAGGATGGGGCGTCCCTAAAAATTCATTGACCGGACCGCAGGATGGCCATAGCTAGATTGGATGACCCAAACATCCAAAAGTTATCGTTTTCTCACCTTGTATAGTGCATCGCGCCAAACCAAAAGGATCCAGTTTCGAAGTTTCCCCCGACCATAGAACCAAGGTGCAAATAACTAATAACAGGATGGTTAAAAACAGAACGAAGAGATATTCCTAAACAGTCATCCTTTACCACAGTTTCGAAGATTATTCTATGCTCAAACATGTGCAAAAAGAATTCAGTGCGAGATTTATGAATAAGGAAACTACCTACATCTCTATTTCATAAAAAGAGTACTCTCCATTGGAATTTTCAATGTTATCAGTAGCGTCACACGTTTTCTAAAGCAAAACGAGAATCATGTGCATCATAGAAAACATAAATTAAGAAGGAACGAGATACAATCAGGTTCCACAGTATCTTTTGGATTTTTATTTTATATTTATTAGGGAAGGTACAAATACCTAATATGTAATTTAGAACAAAATTTTTGTTTCTCTTTACGTCGGAGAAAATTTTATTCCTCCAAGGTCCAACGCAGAGAGCTCTGGGCTTCAAGTCACAGGACACGTTTTATGTAGAGAGAAATTTTGCAGCCAACAAAAACTAGGGGATTTCCAATGGAATAATTCCCCAACCAAAAGTGAGTGGGACCAACCCTAGCAGTGGGTTATGTTGAAATCATATAAGAAGGGAAGGTAGATCGCATACATTGGCCCTATTTCTTCGGAGTTTCAAATATCACTCACATCTTTTTTTTTTTTTTTTTGGTCAAAAGTAATAAAAAATTTTCTGAAATTTTCAGTCAAAGCTTGCAGGAAGCATAGAGGGGAGAAATGAGCCAAAAACAGATAAAAAAGGACAAAGGATTTGAAAGAGAGACATCGTAATCCTTACTTGATGGCTGCTTTGATCTCCTCATAAGTGGCCTTCTTCTCAAGCCTCACAGTAAGGTCAACCACTGAGACATCAACAGTGGGAACACGGAAAGCCATTCCTGTCAATTTTCCATTCAATGCAGGCAGCACTTTCCCTACAGCCTAAACAATTACAAAAAATCTCAGAATACTCATGTTCGATAACTACAATACTTTATCAGCTCTTTTACTACAAAAGAGATAAGGGGTTACAGGCATAGTTGGCCATAACAATACAACAGTGTGATGTATTGATCATTTAAGTACGAGGTTGCGCATCCATAGACGCCAGGAAAATTGCAAACCATACATTCATCAGGTTATGCAGAGCAAGCTGATACCAAACATTTTAGAAGAAAGTTCCAGATTACTAATTGATGCCAAGTGATTTTGTACCTTGGCAGCTCCAGTACTGCTAGGAATGATATTGAAGGAAGCAGCTCTACCACCTCTCCAATCCTTCATTGATGGTCCATCAACAGTCTTTTGTGTAGCTGTATGACATAAAAGAAACTAACGCAGGGGAAAAAAAAAAAGAAGAAGAAAAAGGAAAAGAACTGCTTTCGGTTCAGTTAAATATCCAAGGTGCAGAATACTCACCGGTAATAGAGTGGACAGTGGTCATGAGACCTTCAACAATACCAAATTTGTCATTGATAACCTGCAAAGGTGGTATTACCAAAGATTAACTTGCTTTCTCAAATATTAATAGAACAAACAAATTTATTGCGAGGAAGATGAGAGCCTACCTTAGCCAAAGGAGCAAGACAATTGGTAGTGCAACTAGCATTGGAGACGACAGTAAGGTCAGACTTGTACTCCTTTTCATTGACACCCACAACAAACATGGGAGCATCCTTGCTGGGTGCAGAAATAATTACCTTCTTTGCACCACCCTAAATTCAAATAATAAAAAACCAAGTTAGCTAAAACTTACTTGTTAAGCAAATTACCAGCAGAAACTTAAATGATCAATCATTATAAACCAAAATGAACTCATCTTCAGAATAAAATGAAAGTATTTGAAAGATGAAAGATGGGAGTTCTGCGATATTGTTATTAAAGGAAATCATAAAATTATTAAACTAAAAAGATAAGACAATTTAATTTTTTTTTTTTTAAATTTTAAACAGTCAACTCATTTTACAAATTTAGTGGGGGAGGATTTAGATGTAGAGAGAAAACCCATTACTACTCTGGCAACATTAGAGAGAAAACCCATACACACCTTCAAGTGAGCAGCGGCTTTGTCCTGATCAGTGAAAACTCCGGTGGATTCCACCACATAATCAGCACCACTCTGGCCCCATGGAATTTCCTCTGGATTCCTGATCGTAATTGAACCAATTAAACCATAAACTATAGTTAATTGATTATGACATGAAAAAAATAAGAAATTAAATTTTAAATTTATACCTGAAGCCAAAAACAGTGACGGCCTTGTCGCCAAAGAGAAGCGTCTTATCATCTTTGACCTTAATATCATGGTGCTTCCATTGGCCATGAACGGTGTCGTATTTGAACATGTAGGTCTACTCAATCAAAATTATATGAAATTAAATTAAATTAAATTACATTATAAGAAGCCATGCATGCAAATAATAACAGTACGGTACGAAGTTCGAACCATGTAGTCAGTAGTAATGAAAGGATCGTTAACAGCGACGAGCTCAATATCGTCTCTTTGCAATGCAACTCTGGCAACCAAACGGCCGATTCTTCCAAATCCTACAGAAACAATATTCAGATACAGAATATTCAAAACGAAGAATAACAAAAAAAAACGACGTCATTTCGTTGCATACCATTGATACCGATCTTAATCTTGGCCATTGTATTGTAGTAGGAAAGCAAAGAAAACGAAGAAGAGCTAGAGAAAAGAGATCTGAAACCCTAGGAGAAAGAGAGAATGCGATGGTGAAGAGAAGAGAGTGAAGAGGAAGGGTTTATATAATGTATGGTGAGTGAAGAAGCGGCGATGTGACCTAGGAATCGGGAAATGGTGAAACTGAGAAATGAGCGGAGTAGTCGAAGTGTAGGGACCACGAATATCCAGAGATGGTGACCGTTGATCTCAAGAAAGGTAGTGAGAGTCACGTGATTACTTCGTGGCTTCACGGGATCATCGGTATAGAATCGGTAAAAGTAGGATTTGGTTTTACCATGTTACAAGAGAGAGTATTTACCATTTCTTTTTTTTTTTTTTTTTTTTTTTTTGAGGAAGAGAGGTGAAGAGGAAGGGGTTTTTAGTATAATGTATGGTGAGTGGGAGAGCGGCGGCCGGATGTGACGCGGGTAAGGGCATGTGCGGGAAATGGTGAAGACTGAGAAAAATGAGCGGGAAGGTCGTCGGAGAGTGTGAGGGACCAGCACGAATATCCAGAGGATGTGGGTGACGCGTTGATCTCAGATGCAGAGAAAGGTAGTTGAGAGTCACGGACCGGGGCGAGTGCCAGTGATTATCTGCGTGCGGCTTGCACACGGGATCATTCGGTATAGAATCCGGTAAGAAGAGTAGGATTTTGGTTTTAAAACCATGTTCAGAGAGTGGAGTATTTTCCGATTTCCTTTTTTTTTGTTTTTTTTTTTTTTTTTTTTTTTTTTTGTGATCAGTTAATTCTTTTGAATGTTACAGGAATGGAATTCCCAGTTCTAAATTTATTTTGAGAAAAAAAAATTTCAGGATATGTACTTTTGCTTGAATTTGTGCTTTTAGATGAGTGACTGATATGAATATGGTGGTGTTGCATTTTTGGCTCACTTAGTAAATTGTTGAAACGCTTGTAATTTAGAGGTTGTAAATTTTAAGTTAAGCATCTACTGCTAATTTAGGAGGGTTAAAATAATCGTAGATTTGTTTTTTTTTTTTTTTTTTTTTTTTTTTTTTGTGATCATTTTGAATTACAAATGGAAATTCCATTCTATTTATTTGAAAAAAAATTCAGGATATGTATTTGCTATTTGTACTTTTAGATGATACTATAGAATATGGTGTTTCAATTTTCTCACTAATAAAATTTTGACCTCTAATTTAGAGGTGTAAATTTTAACATCTAATTTAGGAGGGTAAATAAATCTAATTTATGAGTGTAAATAAATCAAGTCGGCTAACTAATTGTTCGAACTCGGCTCGAGAATAGTTTGAAAAAATTCAGTTCAAATCAAACTCAAGCTAGCTTGCTTAGCATTTAAGCTGAGTTCGAATATAATGATATCGTTTGAATGTAATGATATATTCAATTTGAAAACTCATCGGCTTGAATATGATGATATCGTTTGAATGTAATAATATATTTAATTTGAAAACTCGTTGAGCATTATAGAGTTTTCATATGTATTTATAAACAATATTAAACTCAAGCATAAAGTCTTATAAAGCTTTTATATGTATTTATAAACAATGTTAAACTCGAGGATCAAGTCAAGCTCGAGCTAAATAAATTCTACCGAGCTGAACTTCAAGTCTAGCAAGTTCAAGCTCGAATTATTTACATTCTAGCCTAATTCATAAATTTATTCAAGAAATTTACATCGTATTTAGTGTTTTAAATCCATCAAAAAATCCTATTATTTATAGGGTATGGTGACGTAGTGTTTAGAATAGTTCCTTCAACGTTTTATCTTGCCTTGCTCATTTTTATCCCATCTTATCGTTTTCTTGAAAACTATGGCAATGATCCCCAGTGATCATCAAAGGCTATAGTTATGAGATCATCCACAAGAGATGTGGGTTATGGGCTTTTCTTTACATATCGATCATACGCTAACAAACCAGGGAGCTTCTAACAGATCATTGCCTCGAGAGGATAAAACCAGTCATATGCATAACAGACCATCTAACAGAAATCCATGGATGGACTTGATCAATTACAAGCTATACTTGACAAAGTTTGAACTTGTAGTAAAACTGTATGAACATGCATTTCTTCTAAGGTTCAAATGCAAGTAACTTCATAATTCAGTTGCAAGGAAAACATTAATCTTTAGGCACAAAAAGATGAGAGAAAGAAAAGAGCATATAAGCTAATAGCAAGTAGACTAGCAATCGCGTAATCAAGATGCAGCCAAGTTCAATAAAGCACAAAGTCACAAATGAAGCTGAGCAACTATAAAGGTACAGGCTTATTATACAGAATTGCTGTACTGATGCAAAACACTCAATAATTGTTAACTTGTGTAATCCGTATACCATAAAGAAAAAAATCTGCAAAACTACTAATTAATTCAGAAAAGGAAAGAATATAAAATACAAATCTAAAAAAACAAAAAAGAAAAGAAAAGAAAAGATCCATCTTTAATAATCAGCTCAGCTACATAATGCAGTCCTAACGCCAATTATTGGCTGCCAGTAATTTTTCTATGATATTCTTCAGTGCAGGTGCACTTACTCCACACTTTTGATCTGCAAAGCAGGATCTCCCTTCTTCAGCTGCCTTGCAAAGCTGTGGATCCAATGGTACCTTTCCAAGGAAAGGCACACACATCTCTCTGCACATCCGTGTTGCACCACCGCCACTGCTATCAAATACTTCACTAGAAGCTACCAAGTTTAACATCTCTGGAGCTTTCTCTCTCATATACTCCAAAACTTTTTCTGTGACATCTTGTTGATCACCAGTCTCAGTCAACTTCATAAATTTAAAATCTGTCAATGGTTGACACAAGCCACTCATGTTCTCAACAACGCCAAGGACCTCCACTCCAACTTTCTTGCAGAAACTCACTTCTTTACGCACATCAATTAGAGAGACTTGTTGTGGAGTAGTGACAATAATTGCACCATCTATTCCAGTAGCCTGAAGGAATTGAACAATCGAGATATGCTCATCTGAGGTCCCGGGAGGGGCATCAACCACTAGAAAATCAAGCTCTCCCCAGTAGACATCCTTTAAAAATTGCTTGATGAGCCCATTCTTGCGAGGCCCCCTCCATATAACAGCTTCATCAGGGTTGGGGAGCATGAATCCAATTGACATGACCCCAAGGTTTGACTCCACATATACAGGAGACCAGCCAAGGTTACTCTGGTGAATGTCTTGACCTTCTAGCCCAAGCATCTTAGGAATGCTTGGTCCACAAATATCAATATCCAAGAGACCAACCTGGAAGTCCATAGCTGCTAGAGCATATGAGAGTTGGGCAGAGAATGTGCTTTTGCCAACTCCACCTTTGCCTGATAAAACCAGTATCTTATGCTTTACTGTAGCCATTCGTTCTGCAATTGCCACCAAGTCTACAAAAACCAATGAGCATAGCATTAAGCAAGTACCTCATTTTGAGTTGAGACTTGAGACATTATACTGTCAATCAAAAGTGGGACAATTATCAGGACAGGTCTATTCTATACACAAGATTAGCACCAAACACAACATATCCTGTTATAAGAACATTCAAAGGCATATCTTTACACTAATATTTTAGAAATGCAAAACTCGTATCCAATATTTTCAATTTAACTTGACCAAGATGGATAATGTGGTTCGGGAAGAAAAATCTAGTAGCATTGCATGTTTTTATTGAAATTGAACTATTAGAGTATTTCTGCCTCATATTCTTTGGCATCATTTTCTATCCATTAAATTAGTTCACAACAATAAATTCCAAAAGACATCCATCAGAAGCGAAATACAGAAAAGGGAAGAATTTCTTCTTGCCTATAACGTATCAAATCTTACGAACAAATTCAGTTTGACAATTTGTTTATCTTCACGAGTACCTAGCCTCTCCCTCTCATGTTTCTTAAAAAATTGTCATAGTTTCAGCATTCCTTTTATAAATCATTTTTACCAAATACTAATAGCTTGCCCACTATTCTTCCTTTTGCGAGAAAATCCACAATCTTTCAAATTTCCTAGCTTGTCCTGCATGCTATATCATAGAATGACAACTGCTTGGGATGCTACTAAATGAAGCTGAATTACAATTTTCAGTTTTCTAATTCTAACATACATAGAGCGGTCACCAAAGAATTTTTGAACATCCCCTGCATATAGTGGATTCAAATCTAAAGTTTCCACCAAACAAAAAAGTCACCAAAGCTTTATACACTTCAAAGCCACCAAAAGGGAAGCAAACCTAGAATCCACAGTTGGAATTCATTAAAAGAACCCCAGTAAGAACTGCAGAATAGGGTTCTCAGTGCTCACACATAAGAACAACTTTATCTAATATAATAGAACTAAATGACAAACACGTTACTACAAGAAACTGAGACATCAATTACCTCTTACTATTAGGAGATATAACAACCATGAACAAATAATCAAGAATCAATAAAAAGTACAATACTTTCTGATAACATGAGCTGCACAACAAAACAAGTGACAATTCAAACCTAAAACTAAGACTAAATTATTTTAAAAGAGAATCACCAAGCAATTGAAAATACTTTAAAACTCTTTCTAATCAGTACATGCAAGAAATAAAATTTGCCCAAATGAAAAAAAAAAAAAAAAAAAAAAAAAAAAAAAAAAAATTACTATTAGGAGATTTACAACCATGACAATAATCAGAATAATAAAAAGTACAAAATATTTCTGATAAATGAGCTGCAACATAAAAACAAGTGGACAATTCAAAAAAAATAAACTAGACTAAATTATTTTAAAAGAGAATCACCAAGCATGTTGAGAAATAACTTTAAAACTCCTTTACTAATTAAGTAACTGCAAGAAATAAAATTTGGCCCAAATGAAAAAAAAAAAAAAAAAAGAAAAAAAAAAAAAAAAAAAAAAAAAAAAAAAAAAAAAAAGGAGATAGAGGATAGAGAAAAAACCAGGATCAGGGCCTTTGGGAGCAGAAGCACAAGCTTCTTGGTTAGGGCATCCTTGACACGCATCTGATTGTCCAGCTGATTCTGATTGAGGACCTGGGCAATCTTTAACCCAAACAAAATATATATATATATATATATTCAATGGAAATTAATTTCGTGAGGAAAAATTAAGTAAGTCAATATAACGAAGCACTAAAAGCATAAAAAGCATTACTTTCGTTGGCGTTTTCAGGAATTTCACCGTTCTCCATAGATGCGTTTTCATGAATTTCACCGTTCTCCATAGATGCGGCTTTTGCTGTTGCTCTTGTTTGCTACTTTATTCTTTGTTTTTTCTTATTTGTTTCTGAAATATAAGTTGAACCCAGAAGCGTACATGAATTGTTGCACTTGAAAACGGCGGCGTTTGGCGGTTCTAACATTTATAAAGTCAAAAAAAAAAGCTTAACATTCAAAATAAAACAAGGCTTTGTGCCTTTAATTTCAAGCAATGACGTCACAGTAAAACGACATTTCATACTTAAATCTGTCGTTTAGGCGAGACCTCAAATTCCTCGGTATTTTCACAGTAATTCAATAATAATAACCATCAAATAATAGTTAAATCCAGATGAAAACTCGATAACTCACACTCATCGAATCTTCCAAAAGAATGATATCATCTATCACCTTCCTTTACAAAAATCTATAAATTATTTGCAAATTCTATTGACTTTGATATAATTTAATCAAAGTATAACTAATTTCATGAAATTTCATGTATACCAAATATAAAGATTTAAATTTTTAAACAAATTTCATAAAATTTAATGTAATTCATTTGTAAACAAATTTCATAAAATTTGATGTAATTCATTTATATTAAATAAACTTTTATTCTTGTATTAGTACATTACTAATAGATTAAAATAATTATACAAGAATTTAAAAAATCATTAATCAACCCCAGTTTTGGAAATAAAAGATGTAATTAATTAAATTACTATTTTAACAATTTTCTTCATAATTAAAAAAGTAAAGCTAAAAGTATTGATTGGAGTGATAAGTGTCCTCAACTCTTGCAACGATGAAAACACAAAATTAATCCCCTGCAAGAGTAAAAACACAAAATCGATCCCAAAAAAGTGTATTTTGCGATTCCAAAAAACACATTTTGCTGGGATGGAACTGAGTTTACACTTCCTGGTTATAAAATTAAAAATAGAAAAAATAAAAAAGCAAAAAGTAAGACTAAAGTTATTCAGCTAGGAAAGTTGTTACTGGGATTAACGGGTTTCTCTGGAGTTCTTCACGATCCTCCTATGGCTGAAGCAATTGGTGTGGCTGATACTCTTGGTTGGATTTGCAATAAAAAAAAATGATTAATACGAGAGATGGCATATAGCAAGAACCTGAAATCATTCACTTATGAGTTGTATTTGTGAGAACGAGAGATCATACAAATCTAAGATTGATCTATAAATCTTTGTCCAAAGCTTTCTATTATAATTTCAACAAGCAGCTTGTGTATATATATATATATATATATAAAGAAACCAGATCCTTCCTGCTGGATTACAAGGCAACAGAAATAGCAACATGACGTTTCCCTAGTTATTGCCCATTTTATACAGAACACAACAGCAACCTGCTGCAAAAGCAGGCGTTTCTTTCTCCAAACCTTGGTGCTAGTCTGGTACATTGTCATTTAACAGGCTGCCTTCTCCTCTGCACCAATTAGTCCCAACTTTGGTGGCGGAACTCGTTATACCTTAGCTGCACCGCAACAAATGTCGCTTCAAATGCTCCAGCAAACATTTGAATGCCAACTTCACTGCCCTTCTGAGGACGACATCCAATGTAACATTCAGCATATCTCAATATTGAGCTTATTCAGGTAAACATTAGCTAGTAATTTGATAAAATTTCACCCCTTTTTTTGTTTTTTTTTTTTTCCCTTCACAGGCACATTTCCTCGCATGTTTCTTTTCCATCCATTTTTTTCTGCATTTTTTTCCAGCATAAAAGCAATGTATCCTGCTGACAGAAATCCAAGCTAAAGTTCATTAATGCAACAACAAACTCGAACCACAGAATCAAGCAGCAGCAGCTAGAGCTTTGCCTGCCAAGTAGTGTAGGAGCAATAAACAAGGTAACCCTGGATTTCAAGCACGCCTACTATCAATGTGATAGTGTGATAGAGAGACACCCCCTCACATGTGAAACAACTTTTGATGTAGCCGAATGATGTAAATGACCAATCACCATGGGCATATACAATTTCTTTCCTATTCACCATAAAAGCAGAACTTGTAACTCATCCCTCTATGAACAACCGTGTGTCCAGAAGAAGAAGCACCGTTTGATTCTGGTGCCTCCTGACAACTTAGTAGTTGCTTCAAACAAACCAAACAGAGAAAATCTAAACAGAAGGTCTCCTCATAATCACAATCCTTAATGCAGGACCCGCAATTAATACAACGTGCTATGCACAAAGTGCAAGCCCTACATGACTGATTAGCTTGATCTTTCCCTTGGCAACTCTCTGCCGGGCAATCATAAACGAGTTTCAATTTTTGGCATTTGGGGCATATCTCAATGTCAATGGCACAAGCATCATCACAAGAGAGATAAAGCTCTCCTAGACGATAAAACCGTGGTTTCCTGTCTTTCAGCTGTACAGGCTTATCTGCACCAAGTAAGGACTTCAACTCTTCAAAATGCTTCTCTGTTACACCAAAGAGCCCACCAATTCTCAAGTGCTTTATTCGCAGGTTTCCTGCAGACTTGAGAAGCCTCAGACTGGACAAGATGCTGTTAACACTCAATCTCACACATCCTGGCACACATAACTGCAAATGAAAATGTAGATTTGGCATTAGAAAGAGTGAAAATCATAAACAACTGAATTAGGTAAAATAAATTGAAATTTTAAGGCTTTAGGCTACAAATAAAACAAACACAAGAAGACAAGGAAATCAGTGATAATAACTACAAGTGCAACAAGATATTCATTTTATTGTTCATTTAATCTGACAAACAGTATGAGAATGTAAGTACTAGTGCATTAATGTAAGTAGCATGTCTGTCAGGGCTCAGGAAAGTAGTAGTCACGCAAGTTCATTGTGGAATGTAAATTTTGCTACTTTTGAAAGTGTAGCTAGTGGTCAGATGGTTGGAAGAGGAGTCAGATAAGGCCATAAAGATTTTACATCTTAATTCACATCCATTAAGCTGCTTAGTTCAAATTCAAATTAATTTCTAATTATGCGTAGAGGAAAAACGACTATTGATGAAAATGTTCTTAAAATTACAGCAGTGCTTTCAAGAAACTAACATCTATAGGAAAATATAAAAAAAAATAACCAACCAATAAAGCAACAAAACAATGGATAGAAAATCTTGATGCTTTAAGATGAAATAAGCAAGGCACATGCACAATCTAACAATTTCAATACATTTTTTAAGATTTTTTCCCCTTCCCTATCAACACTTCTATAAAAGCATATCACATTACAAAGTCGTAATCATTAATAAACGCCAAGCAAATGGAATGATATCACTGATTCTAATGTCAAACGACCTTAATTTACACATGAAATGATTAAATTCCTATTCACCTATTCATTACCCACATTGTGTGATTTGAATTGGAAAACGCAAGCAATCACGTCAAATTCAAATCATAAATTGGTTAAGATGTAAAGAATGTCCAAATCCCCAACATTAGTCTTTTATATAAGAACATAAAAACCATGTCTTATTACAAAGAACAAAAACTGCATGCAAGAAGATTCAACAGTCATCTTTTCATGACAATATAACCCAAAGCAGAGCTATTGATTACAAAATATTTGAATTTCACAATCCAAACTAAAAAAAGTATTTTAATTTTACAATCTAAAAACTCCTGATCAACATGAGAGCATAATAAAAGCAGAAAGTTCAATATTCTAAATAACCATATTAGTAAACAAACATGCATACAATACAAATAATTGAATCTATGATTCATTAGAGCATTAAGAATGTCTCAAATACCAACCTTTGTTAATCTTGGATTGGTTTCAAGCACCTGCTTCAATCCATTGTCAGTTATTTTAATACACTCCACTAGACTCAAGCATTCCAAAGAACCTTGAGCCCTGTTAGTCAGCTTAAGAAGAGCCTGATCGGTAACTTTGCCGCTTAATGGCTGATCAACATGTATACTCCTCCATAAAAGAGCATCACCTCTAACAGCATCACGTAAGGGTTTACAAACCCTTTCAACCACAAGGAGGTCCTTGACGCCTAGATAACTCAAAGCAAAAAACAAAGCATCATGTGGATCACCTCCTTCAACTTGCAATTCCTTTCTCTTATCAAAAACTCCCTCATCGCCTAAATTGTATTTAGAATCAAAACCACAATTGTTCAATCCATGATCAACCAAAAATCCCTCTAGGCCATGATCTCTAATTGAAATAGCACCAAAAGTCAAGTTACCCTTTTCTGGCTGCATTTCCATAGCACCATTTAAAAACAAATCCAAACCCTCAAACAATTCATCATCAACAATATTTTTTTCACTGAAATTAGAACCAAAATCCTCATCAAACTCTTGAAGCCAACCCTTGATTGCTGTGACCGTAGACTTAATATCCATCCCAAAAGGATCCACAGGTAAAAGATCAGCAATATCATCAGAAAATACCTTGCTACACCCTTCTAATTCAGGTTTTTCCATTCCTTGATTATTCGATTTCTCCACATTCAAATTCAAATCAAAACTCCTAAAGCTCCAAGAGCTACCGACTTTATCCAAATTCTTGGCCATTCTTTGATTGCCAAGAAAAACAGAAAGCCAACACCACACAAGAAAGCCAAAGAACAGTGTAATACAATATCATTAAAAGACCAGCAACATATCTAGGTAAAAACAGTGTCTTTCAAAGAGGAATTACTGATAGGAAGGGGAAAAAACAAAATGATGCGCATACCTTAATATCGAACGATAACAAATTCCAAAACCATGACTGGTACAAAAGCATTAGTAATTAAAAAAAGATGGGTTTTTTATGGAAAATTCCAGCAAGAGATGAGAATCAAAGTTTGACCCATCCATGCAAGCAATGTAGGGAACAGAAAGAGTTTGCTAAATTTAGCAGAGAGAGAGAGAGAGAGAGAGAGAGAGAGAGAGAAGTGGTGTTAAGGGAGAGGAAGGGAAGAGAAGAGAAGCAACACGTGCGTAGCTAAACAATAGCACAGGTGATCCTCTCTCTCTACCTTCACCAATGGATGTTTAGGTGATGTGTCATTTATTTAGCTTTATTTTTTAGACTCTAGGGTAAGGTTTTGTGGGGTCCACGTATAAGGCTTTCTGAATCTATAATATCATTATTGACCGTTGGATTGGATTTCAAAGATAGCAAGTAAGATTAATCAAACGGTGTGCATTAAAAATATATTAAGTCAAGATTTTGTTTACATCGTTGATTGATTAATTCAACTATAAAGAGGGACTGGCAAACAAATTATTGTTAATTTATTATTACTATTATTAAAAATTGTTAATTAGTTTTTGACTTCTTTATTTGCTTTTATTGTCAACCTAATAATACCAAATAGTCTTTATGGTAGCTCTAAACCTTTTTTTTTTTTAATTTAATGTTAAATTGTCTTTTTTTTATTATAATAAGTTTAAATAATAGATGACATATAAAACAAGAATTGCGAAGTTATTATAAATGATGAATAAAGGTTCGACTAAAATTATATATTTACATAAAATTTTTCACTAATTTGATTATTCGGATTTTTGATTGCTGCAATTTCATGAAAAAGTATTTTTTTTATTTTAAAAATAAGTTTTCGGTATTTGGTTACACCAAAATTCTACTTTTTAAGAAAATTCAAAATTTTGAATATGTGGGTCTTACCTTTATTTTTCTTCTCAAATAAGATATATTTACATTTTCTATAAGACTTAATATATTTTTCAAAATATAGTTACATTAATACCCTCAATTAAAAAAAATATTTAGATAAATACAACATTTTGCATACTATTATTCACAATATTCAAAATGGAGATTATATATGTTGATCCATCCATTAGTGAATTACATTTATTAAGTAATTTTTCAACAATATTTATATTTCATATTAGTGAGTTATATTATAAATTGGAAGTTTATATTTATGATATATTTGTAGATTAATTAAAAAAATATTTAAAATTAAATGTAATAATGTAATCTACTTGTCTGTTATAATTTGTTAAACCTTTTACTTTCTTGAAATTTTTTATTAATATATTAACAGGATAATTCAACTATCCAAAATAATTAGTATAATGGAAACCACGTTTAATAAACTTTCTATGGTCCTAAATTCAATTTAACTCCAATATGTGTTTGAGCTTAAGCCTGCAAATGCTCGTGGATCATAACCCACGTGTAATTGGTGGAACTATAATTTAATATGTTTTTTAACTTTTTCATATTATTTGAATATTACTTTATTTAGACTCTAGTAACTTCAATAATAATAATAATAATAATAGAATTTTAAATCAATATTTATATGACCATTTTATTTATAGCTATGTAAAAATATAAATTTTATCAAATATTATTAAAATATTAAATAAGTGTATATAATACATTTAAAATAAAAAATAATATATTCACTTGAAAAATAAAAAAAAAATATACATTACAAATATATAAAACAATAAACCCATTTTACATTTTAAAAGAAACTGCTATTAAAATATTATCAAACACCAACACTCATCAATTAACCGCTATCAGCTATCCGATAGTATGAACAACTAAATCAAACGGACTCTAAATTTAATCCCTTTTAAAAGATTTGATTAATAAAACTATTTCATCTTCCTTTCAATAAATTTAAGATATACTCATATTTGAAAATTATAAGTGAAATTTGTTACAATTTTAAGAGATGAAAAGTATTTAAATGTTCTGCCTGGTTATAAAATCAATAATGAAATGGCTAAAAATGAGAATAACTTAAAATGGAAAAAGTAAATATTTTTGGCTGCATTTATTGATTGCCTTCATTTGGTTGAATGAAATAAAAATGTTCTTACAAGAAAAGGAAAACACACAGAGGAAAGGAAGGAACAATGTAGTCCACACACACTATCCAAAGAATGAATTATGAAGCACCTTGTCATTGTCAAGTAGGCTGTCTGTTCTGTCCATTACTCTTCAAAATAAATAATTCAGAAAGAAATATAAACATGTGGCCAAGGAAATTTTTTTTTTTCTTATTTGCACACATATTTCTACGTTTGAGTTCAAAATAAATTAATTTTATTTAGTAATTTATAATATGTATATATTAACATTTTGCATGAAAAAAATGTAGAAAATAGTACTTAAAAATCAAAATTAAATGGTTGGTTAAATTCGAGGAAGTATATAAATTTCCCCTCTTCTATTGTGCTCTTAAAATTATGAATTTTCAATAATATTTCACACCAAAGAGCATGGTTTTTAGAATTTTTGACTTATGCACAAAATATTAATTTTAGTGTTAGAAGTCTTTCTGTCGTTCTTTTTTTTTTTTTTTTTTTCTTTGGCTGTCGTTCTTTTTTTTTTTTTTCTCTTTTGGCCAATTAGGTCTTAATTATTAATATTTCAAATTGAGAAAGTTCTTATGAAATAGTTTTCAATTCACGAAAGAGCTATAGCCCACTTTTGAACAAAGATGATTGATTGGATACAAATAGCTTGACAATTTTATTCTTGCCAATACACTTATTTATACACACCATTTTTTTTTTTTTTTTCTCTTTGGCCAATTAGTCTAATTATTAATATTTCAAAATTGAGAAAGTTCTATGAAATAGTTTTCCAATTCACGAAAGAGCTATAGCCACTTTGAACAAAGATGATGATTGGATACAAATAGCTTGACAATTTTATTCTGCAATACACTTATTATACACACCACAAACAGAATTATTTTCTGGGTGGCAGTAAATCAAGCTTACAAGTGAATTCTCTCAACACCCTATAAACAGAAGGCTGCGTTCGATACAGAAAAGATAAGAAGGCAGGATCAGAAAATTAGGGTATTATAGATTGCATTAGACAGGCTCGGCGAAATGGAAATGCCGGTTTATATGGCAACCGGAAAAAGGATTATATATGTGAAAAAGATGCTACATTTCTATAGTGTTGGAGGAATCCAGATGTAGCCATGTGTTTGCATATAGCCAACTTTTTCCAGTAATTGATCTGCTTCTGCAGGACCTCGGCTACCTGGTTCGTATGAGATTGGCTTCATTTCGCCATCGTCAATCCTATGCAGAAGGGGTGTAAAAATCTCCCATGCCGCCTGGTTATTGAAATTATGCGACAGTCAAACTTTGAATGATATAATTTCGATAAAATATAATTATACTTGGAGAAAGTAACTTTACCTTCAACTCATCCCGGCGTACAAAATGCTGCTGATCACCTCTAATTCTGTAAAATATAATTCAATCTTTAGTACCTATCTTATTACATATTTTGCACAACAATCACAAATTTTATTTTGTTTTTAGCTTAGGAAGGCCCCTCTAAGCTCACTGGACTTCAATGCAAGATAAACAATAGAATGCATAAATTGGGGCAGGAATCATACGTGTCAAGAATCAATCGCTCATAAGCCTCCGGAATGGTAACCTCTTGATAACGTTGCCCGTATGACAAGTCTAGTTCACTTTGAACAGTATGCATATCAAGTCCAGGCTTCTTGACCTGCATTTGAGAGTCGGAGTTAATCAGAGAACAAGTGATTGCTAAAATTTTCTAGCAATTGTCTTAAAGGATACAAGTACACAGCCGAATACAATTGAGATTAGTAAAAATGCGATGGGATGCATTGGTAATTATTGACGAGTCCTAAAGGGATACATGAATACCTACAGCTCAGATATTCCAGTAGGCAAAACATGCATGCGGCTCTGTACACAGAAAATACTTTGCAAACAATTACCATTCAGACACATACCGTAAGTTTCATGTAAATAGCTTCCTTGGGTTGCAAGCGTATTACAAGCTCATTTCTTCCTTGCTTTTTACCTAAATCATAACACACAAGTCAAGCTACAAAATAAAAAGCAATATCTAAATAAAAAAGGAGTACAGATCAAAAAGATGCCACATGAAACCAGCAGCCATCATTGATTATATCGGCAAAAATTTTGAGATAAAAATTAGTTAGATTGCATCCACAACTCAAAAAACCATTCTGCTTATGAGCCTTTACAATTATCTGAAGTCAGAAAACACTCCCAATTCCAACACAAATTCAACGTAAACTGCAGAAGCATCGCGATGGAAACCATAAAATGCAGAAGCATAGAAATGTTGAATTCTGAAGTTCCAGCATCATACATTTAAATATATCACCAGGAACATCTTTAAATTGAAGACGTATCTCTGCCTTTCTTGAATTTAATGCTTTCCCTGCCTTTAATATAAATGGAACGCCTGAGAAACAAGAATGAAGAGTTTGCTTTCATCAATCAAATAAAAAAATCCAAATGTGCAATTCCAAAATCAAGTGTCAAGTCAGGATAAATTTGACAAGTACTAAATCAAAGAATGCAAGATGAATATTACCTTCCCATCTTTCATTATGAATGTGCAAAACAACAGTCGCAAATGTTGGGGTGTTTGAATGGTCTGGAACTGTTGGATCATCTGTATAGCCTTTATATTGTCCAAGAACAACCTCTTCATCTTTGATAGGAAGTACGGATTGAAGAACCTGAGTTTCAGCCACTGGTAAGCAATTGGCAAAGAAACAGCAAATCTACGACAACATCTAACTATGAAGCAATATGAAGTATCCAAACATGATATTTATATTGGAAGTCCAGGTAAACACTTCCGATTAGGTCTCAAAAATTCTTGAAAATCCTCATGGAACCAACATATGTAAGACACTTGATTCATGAGTATCAGAAGGGTATCAGGTCATACCCATCGGGAGATGGAAAATATGAGGCAGCTAACACCGTCAACTAGCAGAATAAAAAGGTACAAACCTTCACTTTCTCATCTCGAATGTGCTCAGGCTTTAGAGAGACAGGTTTCTCCATGGCTACAAGACAAAGAACCTGCAGTTCATATAGAGAAGTAACAAATAAATCAGGCACAAATAGCACTCTTTTACTTTAAAGTCTCTTCTTTTTCACTTGCTTAGCTGTTGGAAAAAAAAATCAAGATATTGTCCAACAGAGTTAAGGTCTCAACCCTCAAGTTCATGAATTAGAATTAATTTTGAGCAATACAAAAACTAAACAATATTCAAATGCTCCACAAAAGAGGAAAAAAAAGGGTTCCTCCATGTGCAGGATAATCAACACTCTGAAGAATACGTTGTTAAGTTGATAATATTTCAGTTCAATGTTATGGCCCTTACCTGCAATAGGTGGTTTTGAATAATATCACGGATGATTCTGCAGGGGGAAAAAAGAAAGGAAATTAACCATCTTCACTTCTCAATGTTGTGGAACTTGAAAACACAGAAAGGTCAAAAACATAAATTATCAAAATTATTTAAAATAAAGATTTAGTTAGCATATTTGAGCATTAAAAAAAATGACTCAATGATACAGATCTAGATTATATAATAATGAAACAGAAAAATCAAAAATCATGCTTGTGTAAAAATTTGTGCGTCTTGTTAAGAGATCCTTCTTATATTGAACTAATAATTTTCTGCATACCCATATTCATCAAAATATCCACCACGGCCTTCAGTTCCAAAATCCTCCCGGAATACAATCTGAGAATCAGGCAACCCAAGGAGAGACAGTTTAAATTTATGAAAACATGAGAGCTAGCAAATAATCACTGCTATACTTGACAAACAATACGCTCAATCAAGTACTTGGATAACCATTGAAAAATACAAGTTAATAGCTAGGGAGCACAAATCAAACCTTAATCTCCTTAAACTAAATTTACCTTTTTGAGCAAGGTTAGAACATAATGACTAGATAAAAGATTCTTGCCTGTACATTAGCAATGTTGTCACGATTCCAAAGGGGTAGAAATAGACGATTTGCAAAACGAAGTACCAACTACAAGATTGAAACAATAAAACCAATAAAAAAAATTAATTGGAGTACCAAAAAAAGAAGCGAAATGATATAGCACATATTTGCACTTATTTTACCATGTTCTGCACCAATTCTTTTCCCAAGTAGTGATCAATACGGTAAATCTGCGGTTCGTCAAACAACTCTCCAATCTGAGCACTAAGCTTTTCTGAAGATTCCAAATCCTTGCCAAAAGGCTTCTCGACAACAATTCGGGTCCACCCACCAAGATCAGCTAGAAAAGAAAGTCATTCATAAAGATCAAGATTAGAAGTTCTGCTCTAGAGTTTCAGGGAGCATAAGATGCCAGCACATGTGATTGGAGTCTTTAAATGCCAATCATATAATCACAAAGCTCAGAGGAACATCAATTTGCATTGTAATATATGAAATGTGATTATGCTATGCAGATTACATGGAACATCAAAACAAGAAAGAAGAGTGATTTATGAGACAAATGAGTTTCCATTATTAAATTTCTAACATCAATCATTTAATATTATATGAAAATAAATTCACGAATATTCTTCTTGATGAAAGGGCAACTCAAACCAGCTTTCCTGGGCCAATGAAATGCATGATGAATAAGGCACCTAAAAGGACAATATTATTTGTCTCACAAACAGGAACAAAAACTGAGATTGCCCAGCAAAAGGAGATTCTATGATGGTTGAGGGCATAAGTAGACAATCCAATTTCACCTGCCTGATAAGTACACTTCAGAAACATTTATAAGCCAATGTATAAAGACGAAAATAAAGGTAATTTAATCTGCAGAACTTATGTCACCCCCGATCCCTTCCAAAATCCCAAAAGATACAAATGGTGACCATATATGAACACAGCATAAACACCTTTATAAAACAAATGAACAAATGGCCAAATAACAACATCCTGATATTTCGGCAGCCTGAAAGGCTATTCTCAATCAGTAAAACTTACATTTGTTCATGCAACACTTTTTTATCATCTTGCAGACAATTGGATATACTGATGGTGGAAGTGCAAAATAAAAGAGTCTCCGAGATGATCCCTCCACACTATTTTTGGCTAATTCATGTTTTGAAATTTCCTTATCCAATAGCTGAAAGCCCTCCTCACTATCATATGAACCACTTACATATTTGATCTACAAGATTAAAAAGTCACTATATTACTTTCCAGGCAGGCAGGAAGAGAGCAACCAAAAACAATGCAGAAAAGGGCTGAACGAACCAACTGTAAGAAATTTGATACATCTTCTAAGTGCCCAGATGAAGCATCTTTGCCAAGATATCTGTAATTATTATTCAACGTGAATTATACATAAGCATTATAAAAGTTTCTTTAACTTTAGTTTTCTTTTTACAAAAATACAACTGAAAAGAGCTGATAAAACAAAATTTTAAATGGAAATTCGTCAGGATCTATGAAATGTAACAAAGAAACAGGAAGTTAAAAATAGCAAGCTGCTTTCATTAAGTACAGCTTTCTTCACCAAAATCTAAACCAGAAATCGACCATCAACAAGAAATTCTCAAATTTTAGCCACTTTGCATTATACCAGAAAGATAATGCTAATGAACACACATTTAGATCATGCATACACACACAAGCATGCTGGCAGAAAGAAAAAGAACAAATCAAAAATCAAAAATCAAACCAAGATATCTCACCCACGAATGCGATTTCTGAGATCATCATCTGAAATCTTAGTCCTTGCATACCCAAAAATATGAACTTCATGTGATTGAAGAAAACCCTGAAAACATCCAACAAACCAAAAGATGAGCAAAGTTTAGCTAATGATTATCAGAAAAAAGTATAATTCATCTATCTTCTTATAACCAAAGAATCCTCTCCGCCATATAGAAGATCAATTGATCAATCATATTTCAACTCTAAATCCAAACAATAAAAGAAAAAAGAAACCAATGACAAAAATTCCTAATTCCCATTTCATAACAGCAAATAATAATTGATATATACCTGGCGATAAAGATTGAAGAGAGCAGGGAAAGTCTTCTTCTTAGCAAGATCACCAGAGGCACCAAGCACAATAATTGAGAGGCACCCAGTTTCAGGCACATCTTCTGAATCTCTACCAAATGATTCACTTCTGAAATTCGATCTCTTCTCTATGGACCATTGACCAGAACCCATTTTCTTTCTTAAAATTAGAGTTTTTCAATCAAAAAGTGCCTCTATCAAATATACAAGCAAATAAAAATATGGTGTCATTGATCTGTTTGGCATTCAAAATATAAGCTGTTAATAGAGTTACTGAATTATAGGTGGGTATATGAAATCATCATTGATTAAGCAATTATTATATAAAAAAGTCATGCCAACAATCAAAGTTAGAAACTTTTCAAGTGACATCCCATTTACAAATTAGATCCAAATGAAGAACCAGAGAATATTCGAATATTACACGAACGATAACATGCACAGAAACTTGGAACAACAGGAAACACAAAAGGATCAAAGCCAATAACATACCAAACAAAATCAGCGAAATCTTAGCCCAGCAAAGTATGCTGGCAAGGTGGAACGTGTGAGAGATATTTTTAAGTCAGAGACAAAGTGGGGAGATGGACATGGGCAATAGCTAAGTGCTTTAAATCTTTTGAGAAGTGGTTAATTAATAATTTTCCCTTTCTTTTTACTTTTTTTTTTTTTTTTTTTTTTTTCCCAGGCAACAGTATTGCTGGCAAGTGTGGAACGTGTGAGAAGATATTTTTTATAAGTCAGTAGGACAAAGTGGGGGGAGAATGGACATGGCGCAATAGCTAAAGTGCTTTAAATCTTTTTGAGAAGTGGTTAAATTAATTAAATTTTCCCTTTCTTTACTTTTTTTTTTTTTTTTTTTTTTTTTTTTTTTTTTTGTCCCGCAGAGGTTGAATTCCCACCTACCAATGACCAAACTCTTCTTGTCTCGTATGAACATATATATAACTATCGTTAGCCGCCTGCAGACGACGACGCGAATTGGAATTTTCAAGCCATCGCCCCCATATTGTTTATTTATAATAACTTGTGCCCCTCATGAGTATAAACTATTTCAATAGCATCCTACTATATTTGAATTTTTGTACCCATTTATTATCAAATACATAAATTTACTTATATCCTCCTTACAAAACTTTGTGATATTTTTTACGGAAATTTTGTGATATTCTTAATTTTTATTTTAATCTATTAAACACTTTAATTTATAAAATTATATTTATTAAACACTTCAATTTAATATACTAAACACTTTAACTTGTAAATTTGGATTAATTAGGTATTTATTAAATAATTAAAATTTTAAAATTATTATATGAAAAGGTATAATATCAAATTAATATTTACATATAAAAATTAAAAATTCTAAAAATTATTATTTGCTAATATATAGTACTTCACATAATATATGTCACATGATAATCGAATGACTATATTTTCGACACCTTTATTTTCCTTATCAATAGAAATATAAGATAATAATATTCATATAGAATACACCATTCTTAGTGATGATTCTCCTAAATAAAGTATAATTTTTTTCCTTCTCACAGAGATTACTGTGAGATAAGGATGAACATATTTCGGTTCTAAATTTAGTTGAATCGTCTAATAAAATTGCTTTGGTCTCTTTTATATTTTTTGAATTTCAATTAATTGGTTTCAATTTTACTTTTTTTTTAATTAATCCAAAATAATAGATTTTTGTAAGAAGAATATGCAATTTTATTCAAATAAAATTTCATTTTTTTAGCTAAATCAAATTCTTTCTGAAAATAAAAAGTCAATTCCTCCTCAATTCAATTTTCATGAATAAATCAAAATATTTCAAATCAATTTTATTACTATAGTTTTAGTATTCAATTATCTCAATTACAGGTGGTTTGATTTGTTAAACATATGTGATTTTTAAAATCATTTAGGAAATATACTTAAACTTGTATATTATTTAAATTTTTCTCTAAATGTTACTCATATGTGGTTTAGTATTTTCAATTATCTCATTACAGGTGGGCTGTTGATTTGTTAACATATGTTGATTTTTTAAAATCATTATACGGAAACTATACCTTAAACTTGATTATACCTTACTTTACATTTTTCTCTAAATGATGTGCATCTTCTATACCCCCACTATATATATACTATATATATACTCTATACTCCACATCAATAATAGAAAGAAAATGAGAATTGCCTCCCCTCCCCTTATGTTTATATATATAATAAATAGAAAGAAAATGAAAATGCCCCCTCTTATTTTAGGAATGAAGATAAGGAATGGCTTCTTGTTCGCACCTTCCCATCAATTATCATACCCTAACCGTACACATGTACAAACACCCATTCAATTCGGTTGGGTAAAGACCGAACAACAATCTGACATTACAAAGGACAAGATTGGATAACCTTTAGATTGTCTGGGCCAAAAAGTAAAATATTAAAAGGTGAGAGGCATGTGAAAATACAAAAATATATAAGAAGGTGGAAAGTATAATAACTTTCCCACCTAATGTCCTAATCGGAGTAACTGTAGACTATCAAATCACAAGTTGTAAAGTACTACTAAAAATGAATAGTTTCATCAAATAGCAAAAAATCTCTGACCCAAACCCAAATGGCAGGCTTGATATTACGTTATGTAATGGGAATACCATATTTAAAATATAATTTTATATATAAAAAATAACATTTTATATAAAAAAAATGGACACGCAAAAATATTATCGAGGCATGAAAGTCTATGTGGCTAGAGATATTTAATTTAAATACCTCAATTTTTGTTTTATAATATTATATGTGAATCAAGTGTTATTTGATTAATTTTTTGATGTGTAATATTTTTATCATTTTAGTAAGTATAATGAGACTGCGTGCAGTTTGTGGCGTTAAGTCTCTCTGTCAATAAAAAAAATTTATCCGACATGGAAAAAAAAAAATGTTCCGGCAAATTTTATTTCGGATCAGCGGATCCAATTGATCTTCAGAAAAGAAAACTTAAGTCGACCGATGTTGACCACCAGCCACGTAACGTCGTAACGTAACCGGTTTGACTTTGAGTACGGTATCTTTTAGAAATCTAAATGGCCCACCCAGTTTTTTATGTTTTTTCTTTGAATATAATAGAATTCTTTTTTGAGAATAAAAGAAATATATATTTATATGCTTTATTTATTAACGATTAAAAAAAAAGGAGAAATTACTCCTAAGTTTAGCCAATTAAAAAACGTGGCAATGGTTTTTTTTTTTTAATAATGGTTAGGTGAATGGAATTTTGTTTTAGTAGGATGCAAAAATTATATTATCTTAACCTTTGTCTTTTTAGAATAATTGAAATTATAAAATTTAGAAAGACCTAAATCACATAATTTAACTACTAAATTATAATTTTGTATATTATATACTTTTTGTCATTTCTTCTTTTTAGGCAAATATTATTCTTTTATTTTAATTACTAAAAAGACATTATCATTTATCAGATTGTTAACATAAAAAGATAGCACTTATTCACTTTTATAAAATGGTTGAAATTTTTTAATAAACATATATTAGAAAATAATTGTTCCTCTTAGCCCTTGTAAGACGCTTTCAATTTAATAATATTTTTATAGAATTAGTATTAAATTAAAAATAATATAATTAATTTATTCAATAATTTAAAATATATTAATTTTAATTAATTAGTATTAAATTAAAAATAATATAATTAATTTATTCAATAATTTATTATAATTTATATAAATTTAATAATTTTATAAAAAAAACATGAAATTTCAAATGTAAAATATTATAAAACACGGACCGTACAATAAAATTATTTGATTAATACATAATCTGCTGAACCTATAATATATGATTGCTCATAGAATGGTGGTTGAACACATTTTTCAACCATAATTTTTGATAGGTGGAGGTTAACTAAATTTATGCCATAATTAAGAAGATCAAACCAAACATCTCCATTAATTTAGTGCCAGTGAAAGGAAGCCAAGTGTTTGCCAAAGCAGCTAGAAAAAAAAAAAAAAAAAAAAAAGAAATTTACTAGTATATCTTTTTTTTTTTTTTTCTGAATATTACTTTTTTAAGATATGAAATTAATTTTTATTTTGGAATTATTCTGTAACGACATAAATAATCTTTCACGGATCTCAATTAATAAAAAAAAAAAAAAAAAAAAAGAAATTTACTAGTATTCTTTTTTTTTTTTTCATGAATATTACTTTTTTAAGATATGAAATTAATTTTATTTTGAAATTTGTAACGACATAAATATCTTTTCACGGATTCAATTAATAATTTTATAAAAATGAACTAAAGTATTATTAATTTAATGACACGTTAATTATTTTTAAAATTTAAAAATTTCGAGTTGAAATTTCTAACTAAAGTTTAAAAAGAAAAAAAAAAAAAAAGAAAGAAAAGCTATCAGGTGGCAAGTAAAATGAAAAAATTCCATGAAGAATTGAAAGAGAAAGGAACAAATGATGGAAAAAGGAAGAGTGAGCAAGAAAAATTCCTGTAATGAGAGTGAGAAAAGAAAGTTTTTAGTCAAAGAATAATCTGAAAATTGGAAAATGGAAGGGAAAAAAAGGCCCCATCTTCACGCAAAAATTGTTTCAACATTCAAAGTCGATGACTCTGGAGCTGCAAATACCAAATTTGGCTCCAAAAGAAACACAATCTTGACCTACACATTCTTTATTATAATATGAACTTGGCTAAAATTAATTGATCAGCAAATGAAATTCAGACCAGCAACACTACAAATTTGACTCTGAATAAGAGCATTTAAGTTTTAAAATGAGCTGTTTAATACAGAACATTATCAAATATAAATAGTTCTTTCAAAATCCATTTGTATAAAATGAAAATTTAAATTGGGTCTATCCATAATGAGGTTTATCCTGTGGGTTGAATACTCAAAAGGGCTGTCAAAATGCAAGAGTGACCACATAAATTTGAGGATCTCCAAACCCAGAGCCTCAAGAAATAGCAGTACTACACTGGGGACTTATTTAAAGTCACATGATCCAAGGACCTATGAAAGCCAAGCCCAAATCGCATGCATTTAAGGTGAGTAGGAAGATCATAGTACCCTGCTTGCTTTCACTGTATAGTAGAACCAAGGGAATGGATCGATGCATACAAAATGATCAAGAAATACCAGACTCCAAATAAAAGCAATCACATGCAATTGAAGAAATTTTGAAGCAAGACCAATATGACTGATATTCACATGATTGTTAGCCAACAAACTTTACAAAAGAGTTGATCATAAGAAACAAGTAACTTTCTCCGACCTTTTACAACATTCTATCAAATTCGGTTTGGAATGATTTCCTTGTGTTCTGTCCAGTCATCTTCAAAATGTGATTCTATGGACTTGTAGAAGTGTTTTAGGTCGCATTTTAAATGTAGCCTGCAACTAAAAGAGCTAGGACTGAGAATTACGGCAGTGAGGGACAAAAAAATGAGTGGAAAGGTAGAGAGGAATGAGTTGCTCACTTGCGTATTTGAGACCTCACATTTTCAGCCACTTCGGCTTGATAGGTTTTTTCCCAGCAGGCTTGGACTCCTGAGGAACAGGGGTAGGCGCTGCTGTTACAGGTTCAGGTGCAGGCTGAAGCTGAACAGGTTCTGCAGGTTCAGAAATTGCTTCCAAACCTTTCAAAGATACAATTTCCTCTTGGAGGAAGGGGCCAGACTGTAGAGCTGCTGCATCATCACCTATATAAAATATCATTTACATTATATATCATATGATCAGATCGTAGAGAAGAGGATAAAAGAAACGCAAGAGATGTATTTTTCCACAGAAAACAAACATTACAAATCATCCAGATGGAATACTCAGAAATATTTATTTTGAGATTGTGCTCACACGGGACAGATGTCCAAAAAGAATGCAGATGTGTTAGCTTTCTATAAATAGAACGAGTTACGGGTTGGCGTGAGAGAGGGTTGGGTGTAGGCTGAAGTAGGCTAGGTGTAGGCATGCACAATTTCTTCCTTCAATCTATGGTTACAAGGATAGATTAGTTAAGACAGAACCTGTAGATCTCTGAGTTTTAAGCACTCAAGACTTGGTTTAGATTCTGAATAATTTTCTTTATTTCTTTAGCTGCTCATAAATACAACTTTGGTGGATTAACCATCCCCTCCTACAACTATGGAAATGGAAATTCTAAGACTAGCTGAAATGTAGGAACAAATAACTGAAGCTGAAACTGTCAGCATTACAGCAACAGTTCAACTTTGCCAAAGATCAATGTCAAGATTTGCACGTGTGAATCTCTTGTACATGGTTAAGGGTTTATCTGTTAAGCTATCAAATTGTTCTAATGTCTATAACTCTTGCTTTGGAAAACCACACAAAAGAATTGGTGGTTGCATAACTCAAGTTTCTAAACACATCTTCAGTCTGTTCTTGATCAAGGTGACCAAAATGAACTGCTATCTTCAGATAATTATAACTATTATTGGAGTAATGGCCATAACATTTCAGTCATATGAGTTTCACATTGTTTTCTTAACTACTCTTGTAACTACCAACCACAAACACAGAATATTTAGCATATTTCTGTACTAATAAATCAAAGGTATCAGTAAATATTAACTAGTTCTGCAACTTCACAATGCATCCACAAATAAACAAGAAAATGAGATTAAACATCAAAATACTATATCCATGAACATAAAAGTATTTCTCCCACAATTCACATCTCATCTATAACATCAGTCACTGGCACTACCAATTCCCCTGTTTCTTCTGCCAAGAATAAATGCTTTCCAAAATCAACAGGAAATGGGAAAAAGAGTAGAAACTTCTTTTTGTTTTGAACTTGGAGAAAAATATTATATTACCGGAAAGGTTCTCTCTCTAAATAACAAAGAGGGAGTCATTCATAAAATAACTTAAAACCTTTGAATGTGGAAATTAGCATAAAAAGCTTCGGCATCAATACATACTGTAAATAGGAAACTACCAACTTTTCAACAGAAGATGTGAGTGCAAGTCCAAATTTCACTACCTACCTGCATATATTACCTCAATAAAAAAAAAATAAAAAAATAAAAAAAAACTCCAAATTTCACTTCTCCGTTGGACTAAAAGGTAATAGTGAAAGGGTATTTCAAATGGGTGCGCTTCAAAAACTATTCCACCAGAGGAAGCATTCATCTTTCTCCTTATAAATAATTGGATTCAGTATATGTTTACAAGAGAATTATTGAAAACTAAGTAACTAACCATAAATATCCAGAAGTAATCATGAACAGCCACTAAATTTGATAGCAAATTAGCTACTTCCATATATGCACCAATGGCTAGGGTTAGCCAAAACAGATTATCAGTAGTGCCACTGACATTAAATTTCAAAATAGACCATTATTACTGACCAAATCACTAGCGCAATTGAACAGAGGGAAAAAGAGTAATATTTAGAAGCAATAACTATAATGACTAGGTTACAAAGAAAAGGTCAATGCAACTTCACATTTTACTGATTTTAATCATCCAAAATGTAAACTAACCTTGTGGTAGGTCATATGAAAAATATACAATTGCACCAGGAACAAAGCCAGCCGAGTAAAAATCCACTGAGAAGTCTTTTATTTGCTTCTTTGGTGGAGTGGTATCTGTAACATGAGAACGTGTTAGACTTTACAACTTCAGTTTACATAATTCATCTCACCAGTAGAAAATAAATAATAAGTGATATATGGGAAAAATAAAATCTTAGCCTTCTCTTGCATACATAAATAGAATGGTACTTCTGGTCGAGCGACCACTTTCATGAGAACATCGACTAAGCTTTGAATCTTTTCTGATGGAAGAAAAGCTACCTCCAATGTAAGATTATCAGGAAAGCGAACCCTAATCACAGCCTGAATACATTAACAAGCAAACAAGTTAAAGCCTGACCACGCAAGATAAGGTGCAGCGTGCATAACGTTTGAAATGCGTTAAACAAGTTTATATCACAGGAGCTGAACCAATAAATAAATAACAAAAAAAAATCTATTGAGAACCTTGCTTATTTTGGATCGCCGAGCTGCTTCTTCTGCTTCCCGAATTTTCCTTGTCTTTAAATATTTATCTGTTCATAGTTCCACACACACATTAACAACATAGATGTGACAAAAATGAGTTCACCAATCCAGGATGATGCATATAGCACATGCAAAATTGGATTCCAATCCCCAAAAAAAATCTTAATTCAGCAATCAGCAACATATGCACAAGAAGAAAATAGAATCCTATATATCCATGGATACATGGAAAAATCCTTTGCAAGCTACAATGGACATTCCTGAAAAAATAGTATTGTGAATCAGTCATGTTTGGTATTAGTATTACCTCCCTTTTCCTTTTTTGTTGCCAATGCCATCATGTTATAGTAGTCCTCGGCAGTGAACTCATAGAAGTCATCTGACTCATCTGCCCAAAAGAATAAAATAGTAACTTTATCAAGGAATCCTAAATTAAAATTCTAAAGGAACCAGGTTCACATTTCAGCCTCAACAAAAGCATAATGGTTGAAGTAATTCATACCATCACCGGACAGTTGATTTGCTGATGGAGAGGGTCCTAAGGTTTCAAAAACACGGATATCTCGCCCAAACTTTTCTTTAACAGCTGCAAGCTTAGCCTGAAATGACATAGAAATAAAGTCAAAAAACAAGCCAGATAACATTCCACAAGCTTTAGAGAAGCAGAGTACAAACACAAAAAAGGATAATTTATTTTTGTTCATATAGCTCTTTGATGACTTCAGTATCAAAACTCAAATTAGCGAGTATATCACGCTTATTCCCCATCTCACTAAGCATGAGGTGAGAACAAAAAGAAAACAATAACATGATGCTTTTTGGAAATTAGACTGAATAACCCATATCATGACCTCTTCTATGGACCTGCCAGAAGAGCAAACATTTTTTTTTTTCTTCAAGGAATCACGAAGCTTTTCCACAAGTGAGCCACTTTTAGAATTGACATAACTCGTGAAAATAAACAAGCAAAAATCGCACAGTTTACTAGTAATCACACGATAAAGCTACAAATAGAAAACTAAAATGGCCATGAGATTGTGAAGAGATAGAAAGAAAACCGAAAAGCCTGATGGCCGCAACCTTTAAAATATTTGCTGTATCTAATGATAAATTAAGGAAAGATGAATGAACTTCTTGCACACATAATTGAAACCAAAACTTCAATCTATTGAAGAACCAAAATACCAACAGCAGCAAAACAACCAAGGCATCCTAATTATGAACTGAAATACGCAATAAAATAAAATAACATCGTTCGTATTACAATATGATCTTCACAAATTGTAAAAGCAAATCATACATATGAACGTATCTCCATTCATAATGCCTAATTCAACTTACTAGCGTGCAACAAACAATTGAAGACTAAAGTAAACCGAAAAATCAAGAAAGAAGACAGAACAAAAGCAAGGATCAACCAACAAACTAATAATCAAACATTTAAACACAAAGACCTGATTTTGAACATGACCCAGATCCACCATGTGTCAATACAGAAGAAAACCCACTAAGATTTACATACAAGGAAGATATACAAGTCGAAAGTTGGAAAAAAAAGAAAATTAAAACCTTAGCCGCTTCAGCTTCCATTATATCGACGGTGGTGAGTCTCCTTCTCTTTAGAGGCAGAGGAGAAGAACCATCAACAAACATCAGCAAAACGCAAATAGATAGAGGGAGTATTGAGTGTATTTACGCGTATGTCTATGTAATTGGATTCGAATATATATAGCCCAACTAGGAGCTGTCTTGCATCGTCTCGCACCTAGCGCGGGGTTGATTCGATATTCCGTTCCCCTTTCTACAAGTCTGCGTTGATGCGTTGCGTTTTTGCCGTTTGCGGTGTATGGACTTACAAGTTATAGTCTCAAAGACTCCAATGTTTGGAAGCTGGGCCCATAATGGGCTTATGCCTGGTTAAATTAATAATATTCAGGAGAATTTCATTGCTAGGAATTAGGAAGAAACACAAATTTCAGTATAATACTTATAAATCAACAATGTTTACAAGAATTATTATTGTTAAACTTCACCAGATTGATAAAGAGAGTTTCCATCTTTAAGAATGCCTTTTTAATTATGATAATGGTTAAATGGGAAAGATGAATATAAATATAGGAAAAAGATTTTGTATCTAAAGTGATTCTATAATACGAAATGGAGAAGAGATAGGATTTGAGAGAGAAAAAAATTGTCAGATTTAAATTAGAAAGGGTAAATAAGTCCATATAGTGTTATAAAAAAATTGCTTTCTCTCAAAATAAGTGGGTCTGGATGCAGGTGATTTAAAAAAAATACAAAATTTAATAAATAAATAAATAATCCACTTTATCCATCAATGGGATAATTTGGCACTTAAGCAAAGCAACAGTGCAATAGTCACTGCCATTTCAAGCATCGCGTGCATCCTCGCATACTATCCCAAAGTTGACTAGCTTTTTTTTTTTTTTTTTTTTTTTATTCGAAAGGGTAAATAAGTCCTATAGTGTTATAGGGTCAAAAAAAATTTGCTTTCTTCATAAATAAGTGGGTCTGGGATGACGGTGAACTTTAAAAAATACAAAATTTAATAAATAATAAATAATCGCACTTTATCCATCAATGGATCAGATTTGGCACTTAAGCAAAGGGCAAGCAGTGCAATAGTCACTTCGCATTTCAACATGCGTGCATCCTCGCATACTATCCGGCAAAAGTTGACTAGCTTTTTTTTTTTTTTTTTTTTTATTTAAATTCAACATCATTTTATACGCTTATTTGCTAATTTTATATGCGAAATAAAGGATTACAACGGGTCCTTAGTATGGTAATTTTTTATACTTGGAATAGAAAGATTTTGTTTTTTTTTTTTTTTTTTTTTTTATTTAAATTCAACATATTTCTATAGCTTATTTGCTAATTTTAATCGAAATAAAGGCATTACACGGGCCTTGTAGGTAATTTTATACTTGGAATTAGAAGATTTTGTTTGATAGTAAAATTCAAAAATTATAAGTATAATTAAAATTTTTTTTATTGTTAGATTAAAATTTCAATTTAAAAATTTAAGCTAAAATTTTTAACTTAAAAGTTTAAGTTCAATGTAGTAAATTATTTAGATTCTTAAGTCTTGATTTTTATAATCCAAGAATTTTAACACTTGTATTATCATAAGCTTAAAATTATATTTAAAATTTTTTACACTAGTATGTATTTTATAAAATTGAAAATTAAAGTTTTTTTTAAGGAGAAAATTAAGTCTTAGATTGCAAGCACTAAGATTTTTTTTTTTTTTTTAAATAAAATGATTCCATTGAGAAAATAAATTCAAATAATACAAAAAATCAAAGATTATATCCCAAACTTGAAAACGAGCATAACAATAAGATACTGTAAGGTGTTCGGCAAAATTAGTTATTTTTTGACAATTGTTAGTTATTTCAGAATTTTTTTATAAAATATTAAAAGCTAAACGTTATATGATTTTAATTTTTTTTTATAAAAAATGGTTGCCTAAACACAACATTTATAAGAGAATGAGCCTTTATATTAGCTTTGTCTCCTAATCCAGTGAATTAAAATATCATTTATACAACTTGGGATAACTTACTATCATCAACGATGATTCCTAAATCTTCTAATAATATTTTATTGCATTCAACATAGATTTTAAACTATTTTTTTGGGATAATTTTAAATTAAAAATTTTAATTCTTAATTTATGTTGTTTATAACAGTTACATTTATTTGTTCACATGTCACTTAAATAATATTTTCTTTGTTCAATTTTATTTATATGGTTTGACAAAGTACATATAGTAAGAAATTAATTAACAAAAGTTATTTTGGTATTTTTACTCTTAATTCACTAAGATATCAATAAAAGTCGTTCATTTAGAAACCTTCTAAATATTTTAAAATATTAAAAAAAAAAATACAAGCAAACAAATGAGAAAGATGAATTACTATCAAAAACACTGATTTCTTCCAATTTTTCTATAAAAAAATCAGTTATGCTTTGTGTGATACAATTAGTAAGTAGAAAATAAAAAAAAAAAAAAAGAAAAGAAAAAGACTATTCATTATCCAAGTGGGAAAAAGAAACAAAAAGAGGAAAGAATATAATAGACTCCGAAACATTAAATTATTCTACTACTAAGCAACAAGATGATGACACCTACATGATTTGAAGTTGGCCGGCAACACTGTAACTGGCGCACGTTAGCCATCTCTCTCTCTCTCTTTACTCTTCATTTCAAATTCTTCAAAACGTGACCTCTTTATGGCTTTATCCCTCCAGGGCCCCATTTTCAAAAAATACACCCCAAACAAAGCCCTTTAAAATTTATAAAATTACAAAATTTCCCCAATTTGCTTGTAATTCCTTTGGTCAATCTCGTAAATAAGAAACTCTCTAGGGACCTCCATTTTTTAAAAAAATTTCAATCGAAATAAAGAAATTGAAAAAACGCAAACGAAAAAACCAACCAGAATCAGAAGAAGGAAAAGCAGTAAGGCAGAGAGAGATAGAGACAGAGAGAGAGATAGCAGTTGGGGGAGGCGAAATTTAGATGACGATGGACAGAGAGAAGGAAAGAGAGTTAGAGCTAGAAAGCGCAATGTACACCAACTGTTTGCTGTTAGGTCTGGATCCGAACATAATCGGACTCGGAGCATCCAACGGTTCTCCTCGGGTCGGGCTCTTCCGTCACTCGAACCCTAAATTGGGCGAGCAGCTCCTCTACTTTATCCTCTCATCTCTTCGTGGCCCTGTTCAATCCGCCAAAGTACGTTTGTTCTCTCTTTTAGGCCTGTGCATATAGAGGAATATTTATTTTCATTTTATGCGTGCCTTTATGTTTAGTGCAAGTATCTATTTATATAGTTCTCTGTTGCAAATGCTGCGATCTCTCAGGATTTCGATAAGGTATGGCCGATTTTCGATTCTGCACAGTCGCGTGATTTTCGTAAGGTAAGGTTTAAGGTTTTTCTTGAGGAGTTTGATTCAATTGAATTGTGTTTTTGTTGGTTTTTTTTATTTTGTTTGGAGTTTTATTTTGTTCTGGATTTGAATTGGGTATTCTTTTTGGTGGTTAGGTTGTTCAAGGGATTATTAGTGAGCTCGAATCTCAAGGGGCGCTTCCAAGGAGCAATTCGAGGGTTTCATCTCTGGCTACTTGTTGTGGACCGAGGTACAGTCTAGTGAAATTTATTGTTGTTGCCCTTTGGGTTTGAAATATAAATGCAGATGCAGATATGAATATTATTCTTGATGCTTGTTCAACAAAGAGCCAAATCAATGTATGAAAAATGGTCTTTATCCTATAATTCGCGAGAATGCTATAAGGAACATTTCTCCCATTGCAACCCAGTTGATGATATACAACTACTGTTTCTAAGTGAATTGCTATGATAAAAATCTTGGTTTAGCCTGTGCCCACATTTGGTTCATTAATTTCAAATTAGATGCTCATTGTTGGGAATTTATTTAAAATGACTATTGAGTTCATTTGTTGGCTGCAATAAATTATTCATGATCGTAAAATAGACTTTTTCTCATCTGATGGGATTTTGACATCATTACAGATTTGTTGAACTTTTGTGGCAACTTTCCTTGCATGCATTGCGAGAGGTTCATAGACGGACATTTGCTGCTGATGTAGCTTCCAACCCATTGCCTGCTTCACTAACTGATGTCGCTTTTCAGCATGCAGCTACACTGCTTCCTGTAACAAAGGTAAAACATATAATATGATTTGTTTTATGTCTATTAAAACTGTCAGAGCAGCACAAAGTCAATTTTAACTAACAGCATGCATGGGATGTCCATACTTGCAATGGTTATTTCAAATAATATTGTTTTCATCTGCATAGTGCAGGCACAGTTATAATTCCTTTAAGTTACATGGAAATCCTAAAAGCTTTCATGTAGGATGGCGCTTTTAAAAGCTGTTGAATCATCATTTAGACGATAACTATAATGACAAGCACAATTTTGAAGAGGACTAATATGAATCTTTATGTCCATAAATAGGTCTCAACTAGGTTAGGGTAAATGGGTAGATGAGGTCTTTGATATGGTTGACAATATGGAATGCACCTAGAAAGGGAAGAACGTTAATATATATGTGATTCTGGTTTCTAATATGGACATGAAGTAAAAGACCCTCTTCCCCCCTTTAAAAAAAGGACTGGCATCTCAAGTTTCCAAGTTCTGGTTGTTCTCCTTTCAAGTTTTATATTTCTTATTTCTATGTGTTCTAATACTATGTGCTATTTTTTTTATACAACTGGGAAGATGATGTTTTCTGTGACCATATGATCGGCTTCCAGATAAATTATATTTTAAGTTATTAAGGTATTATCCATATCAGCTTCTTGGTACTGCTGCTTTAAATTTGCATGTTATAGTGCATAGCCTGTAGGCTGGAAAGTGTTGGGGAAAAGAGTTGGGTGTTTTTTATGGTCTTTCTGATCTCCATTTTATTTAGCATATTATGTTTTCTGTATGTTTCCTTTTAGCAGTAGTTTCTAGAACTTCTTTATTTGAATTCAGTAGCACTGAAACTTGTATCTTAAACAGGCTAGAATAGCACTTGAAAGAAGGAGATTTCTTAAAAATGCAGAAACAGCAGTGCAGAGACAGGCAATGTGGTCCAATTTGGCTCATGAAATGACCGCAGAGTTTCGTGGTCTTTGTGCTGAAGAGGTAAAGGGAAAACCCATTAGCATTCTCTTGAGATTTTCAACAGACAGCAGCTCAGTTTTTGCTCGTATTTTTCTGTGGAAAACCTGGATGTCAGGCTTATTTGCAGCAAGAACTGGAAAAACTGCATGATCTGAGGAACAAAGTGAAGTTGGAAGGAGAGTTATGGGATGATCTTGTATCAAGTTCTAGTCAGAATGCCCATTTAGTTTCAAAGGCTACTCGATTGTGGGAATCTATATTGTCTCGTAAAAGTAAGTTGAAATAATTGCAGTTTCCTTTCTCATCACCTATAAACTTTTTACTATGTTAGTGTTTCTTTGGTATTATGGTTGTTTTTTTTTTTTTTTTTTTTTTTTTTTACTATGCTTAGTGTTTCCTTTTGGGGTAAAAAAAGTTTTTTTTTTTTTTTTTTTTTTTTTCACATTGCGCTTTTAGATGATTTGGAAAAAGTTATATAAATGTTATTTTGGATTTTTATGACAAAATGATTCAAATCACATTGGAAAATTTTTAATTGCCGTTAATTATTACATTTAAAATATCGCTTGTCTCACCACATTGCAATAGTAATGCCGAACATTCTAATGTGCTTGGTTTCTTCAATCAACAAATCGAGAGCGGTTAGGAGATAGAAAATGGTTGAATGGATCAATTATTTTCTTTGAAAAATGCTTTTCCTTCAATGGTTTGTTTCCTATTTCTTTAGCAATTTGCCACTAGTGTCTCAGTCATTTCCATCTCGTCTTTTACTGTCAATATACAAAGTTGATCCCTGTTTATCTTCTTCTCTGATATCTAGTCATATTGGTATTTAAGCCTGGGAGAAAACTGCTAATGTGTTCACTTCAAGAGAATGTGACATTTATGCTTTGAAATATTCGCCTTTCCCCTTTTGGGGCTTCGCCTGCAGGTTCTATGTGATTGTCATGTTTTCTCAATCTCCAGTTTCTTTATAGGATGTTTCCTAGGAATATTTTTTGTGCTGTTTAGAGGCATAGTTGAGTTGGTTTTTGCCAGTTTTGGGGGTGTGGAAAAACAAGTTTACCAGCTTGGTTTTGTATTTTTCTGAAATATTAGTTCAGACATCAAATATTGTCTACTGTGTTCACTTCGTTCAGTATGTTTTTGGATTGGGAAAATTGAAATTCATAAGTGCATAAATCTTCAATAAAAAGAGCTCAAACTTTCAAAGCTTGAAAGCCAAATGTGAGTTGAGTCGAAAGTCAAGACAGAAAAGCCTGAATATAGCTACAGATGATGCAAATCAAAAGAATAATGGGAAACTTGTACCGAATATAAAAGTCAAAGTTCAAAATTAGTGTGCAGAATCGAGTCCATGCAAGCATATGGCACAGGAAATTCAGAATACTTGAGGAATATAAACAACTTCCAAAACACAAAACATCATTTTTTTCATATATAGGCGGAGCTGAGATTTGATGCCTCTGTTCAGATTGAAGCTATATGAGGCAGTAAAATGGGTAAATTACAAGCATTCCTTAGAGGTTTGGCATAATATATACTTTGGTCCCTATTGTTTGAAAATTAGTAATTTTAGTTCTTGGCATTTGTTAAATATTTTTTTTACCGAGTCAGCATAGTTATATTAGTTTAGATTTAGTCAAATGCTAAGGTGCCCCAAATTCTTTAACTTTGTTGATATAATTACCCTAATAGGATAGTTTTGCTGGAAGGGTGTTAGTCCTCGCATAATCCCTACACTTTTGATTTTCAAATGAAAATACAAGAATGATGGGTGACAACTGACTTTACCTTGTCCACTCTATGTTTTTTCTTAACAAGAGGAAGTCAATCCTCTTCATCCTCAATCCATTAGCTAGCAGAAAAGCATCCCAAATCTTGGACCATCTCTTGTTTTTCAGTCTTTTTCTCCTTTAACATTTGCGCTAGACTAATTATTACAAAGAATCCACACTCATTTTAATACCAAAACCTTAATTTTTTTTTCCCCTTAAGAAGGGGAAACTTGCTTGCCATTTCTCATGTTTTCTTATCTGACTACTGTTTATTATTAATGTTTTTTAGCCTCCTAACGGATTTCAAGCCATCATCATGGCATGCTTCTTAGTGATGTTAGCATCTTCTTTCTTGTCTTTCTCTAAATTTTCTTCGCATTTGACTCTTGTAATCTTTGTTTTCTGATGCTGCTGTTTATGCATGTCTTATTCCCATGACTGCATTTGATAAAACCTTCACATATGTTATGTCTTTTACAGGTCAACATGAAGTTCTTGCTTCAGGTCCAATTGAGGATCTAATAGCTCATCGAGAGCATAGGTAATTACTGTCTGTGTTGGGACTCAAGATCCTAATTTACCAGCTTTAATCTTCATGCATAATATTCTCTTTACAGATACCGCATCTCTGGATTGGCTTTGCTCTCAGCTATGGATCAGAGTTCTCAAATTCCTTTGTCAGATGCTCATTTGGATGACAAAGAACAAAGTGATGGGTCAAATGCAAATCGGGAAAAGCTGAAGAACAATTTAGATTCGTCCCATCTACAAGTAAATGACGAAAGACATTCTTGGGTGGATGATAGAGGTGGAAGAGTGCACCCTACTGTTGATGTTGCAGAAATCATTAGGCGTTGGACTCATGCATTGCAACGTATTCATAAACAGTCGCTTCATCTGGTATGCTATTCCTTTTCCTGGTTACTTCGTTTTTTATTCAGTAAGTTGTAAAAAGTTTATTCTTTCTGGGTGCCTTTCCATGGCCTTTATGCTATGGCTTTGTTTCTGGATGACATAATCAAATGTATTTTTTAAGTCCAGTACTGCAAAATTCTGAAATGGGTATTTGTGGGAGGTGATTTTGGAGTTGGCGAGTTGAGTGCAAATACTTATGATGATGCCATAAAAGACATTGAAGAGAACTTTGGTTACTGGAAGCAAAATGTTTGCAGAACTTATCGTCTTGAATCTGAATTGAAGTATTTTAATTTCTAGAATATCATTATCGTTGACTTGCTCTAATTTGTATCTTGAAAATTAAAGGTAAATATTGCATTTCAGCTAAGGAAGAAAATTGACTTAAAATGCATGTGTATAGCATACATATTTACCTCTTTGGCGTCATGAAAAAAGTATTTTGGTGTTGGTGAAGTGCAATCTTTTCTTGATCTGCTTATAACATGGGCATAACCTCATATTGTGTGATTGGCTACTATAAAGTTTATCCTGGTGCTCTTTCTTCCATTTTTTTCCCTTAAATTTGTTGTTGAAGATGTTGCGAATTTATGTGCGAACCAATTTTTATGCATGGGCACTAGTGTCATCAATGTCGTGTTTTGAATTTGTTGCTGTCAGATATCATATTCATGCAAGCAAGGTTATGGGATTATTTCTCCCCATTTTTTCTTCTTGGTTTTTTACTTTACGATTTTCTAAAATCCAGGAAAGTTTATTTTGTTTGTTACCTAAATGTTCATTTACTTACAACTTCCATCTCCTGGTGCATTGTATAACAAGCTTGATTGATGTCTAATATATATCGTTTAATACTTCTGTATAAACTCCTTGCCAATTTTCCATTTTGGCATAACCGAGAATGTTTATCAATTTTGAATTTTGCACTTAAATATTGTAAGTATACAAAATTGTCACTAACAAGAATTTAAAAAAAAAAAAAACATGAATCTAGAAAACTAGGGAATTTTGGAAACAATATGCATATACACTCTCTTCCAAAAATGTTAAAACAGAATTAAAACTTGTCCCATTGAAAATTTGGGTTACCAGAGTGAAAAGGGACAATGAGTAATGGATAAATTCATCTGCTTTTACGAATTATGTGAATAATTTATTGGAATTTGCCCATCATTTATGATGCATTGAAGTGCTATTGTGCAATGTTTGTTTTCTAGGCCAAAGCTAATGATGGAGAAGGTCCTGATTTATTACGAAGTGCAAATGATGGTGGCGCAAGTGGCCACACGGAGTCCTTAGCTGCAACTCTTGCAGAGCATCAACAACACCTTGCTAGTTTTCAGGTAATGAGGTACCCTTCATACTCAAGCAAAGGAGCTTTGCAAACAGTAAAGCTGTTCCCAACTTGAGTTCAAAGTTCAATGTCTCTGTATCTAATTTCACTTTTTGTTGATTATAACATTTGGATGTATTTGACATTTGCACAAATGTATTCTTCATTTTGTTTCCTGTGATTTGTGTTGATAACATGATAGTTAACTATTCTTTCTTTCAGCTTCTAACTATTCTTTCTTTCAGCTTCTGACCTTACATTCATAGAGCAAGGATGTCTCACAATGTTTAATGCTCAAAGTGTAATGGATAGCATGTTAGTTCTATGTTGATTTGTTACATGATGGTGTTGTTTAAATTTGAGAACCTTATATTCTAATTTTTCTGCAGTTGCTTCGCTTTAGTTATCTAAATCTTCTCTAATTTCTATGCCACTATTACATCAAGTAACAGTAATATTCATGCCTTGTGCATATTCTTTTGGGAGTAATAATCTTAGTGAATTACTGTAATTTGCATTATTTGTTTTTTCATTTGTGTGATTCCTTTGACCTTCTAAAAATACTTCATGTGTAGGATAGGGACTGAGAGAAGGGGTATCCTTGTATTTTATAAGAATGGGGTTTATTGGTTAAGGTTTTAAGTTAGACAAATTTTGAGTAGATTCTGGTAATTTTCAATGAACAGTGAAAGCTGGCAAGATATATTTTTTTTTTCATGAAAGTGATAAGGTTGGTGCTGTACAGTTAGAAAATATCTGTTGTAATTAATTGGCTATAGGTTACAATGCTAGATTGAACTTGAAGCACTTTTGTGACATCTGCATTGTGTTTGTTAGGTCACTGTGCTTCTTTGTTTACCAGATGCCATGTTGATGGATTTTCCAACTCAAATATTTTTCTGTACAGGTGCTTATTAATCAACTTAAGGAAGTTGCTCCAGCTATACAAAAGTCCATAGCTGATTGCACAGAGAAAGTAAATAATATATCCTCCACCATTCCATCAATGCCCAGGCATCGTGGTCGAGCAACCTCACCTATACAGGCTCAGAGCAGCGGAAGGACCATGGTAATTGTTTGGCAAATGATTGTTTCATGCGAGGGAATGTGTCCAACCTTGTATAATTCCTTGTATGTAACTGATTTTTTTTTTTTTTTCTGGTATCATTAGGAAAGTAGCTCGGATGATATTGCTGAGGTGACTTCAAAAATGTCCACCATTCAGCTTGACAAGGTGTCTGCCAGTCCCCCTACATTAAAACTGCCACAATTATTCAGTTTGACTCCAAATTCTTCAGGAAAAGGTGGAAACATGCAAAAAAGACAAACTTTAGCTCCCCAAACCAACCAGATGGAAACAATGTCTGAAAGAGACTCTCTTGACCAGCCTTTGTTGAATAGTCGCATAGAAAACACAGCGCAAGGTTTGATGCATCTCTTTGCCACCTATATAAGCATATTCACTAGGCATTTCATTTGTCTCTGAACAGATTTAGATGTGACTTTGATTTTTGATTTTCTATTTGTAGATAGTGATAATTCTTATGTCCAAAACTTAAAAAGATCTGTAAGAGAAGCAGCTCTATCTACCCAATCCTTGAATTCAGAATCAGCTCACGAGAGTCATTCTGATGAAAGTTCTGAGCACTTCTTCTTACCTCTATCTGCGGCTGGGTTTTCTCGCCTGGGCCTGGAAAACAAAGTGGGTACAAGAAGAAGCAAAAGATTATTTACACCTCAAAAGGACATGTCCCTACTTGAGAATCACACTCCCGATGATCATGTTGGGAGCAAATACAATGATCTACCGGACATTTTAAGTGATTTGGATTCCCTTTCTGATTATGAACATGTAAATGGCTTCCTCTCAGCTGCTGGCTCAAATGGTGTAATGTTGGATGGACAAAAGTCCTTTTTTGATTCTGAGGAACCTCATGATCAGGTCTTCTCACCTCCTTTGCTAATGGACACATCCCTTTTAGCGGATTCATATGAGGATTTACTTGGTATGTTGCTTTGATATAAACCTCTGCTGTCATAGACATCTTTATATTTACTTGGTGTTTGTGTATATATATATATATATCTTTGCTGATGTCTTTTTCTCATTTGAGTCATGTATATATATGTTATAGTTTCTTTGATTTTCTTGTAGCTCCGCTGTCAGAGACTGAAACTGCCTTAATGGAACATTGAAAGTGCTGTTTCAACGATTAGGTCATTTTGATGGTTTTCTTTTGATTCATTGATTGGGATGTTCTCCACGCCCACTAATTTGTTGACGGATTGTGCTTTATGCGTTCCTTCTTCCTCTTCTGTACGTTTCTGACCTCATTTTGCACACAATTGTTATCCTATCATTTGGGGGCAAATGTAGACCAAACCAGTGCTATTATACATGTGGGACAACGCCTGGAACCAAGCTGGCGGATTCATTTAGCAACTCAGTGGAAGGATTTTATAGGCCACAAGCCACAGTCAATCAGATTATTATGCTAATTCTTATGGATGGTTTGTTTATGGACAATTCTTCAACCCATTCTTTGTCTGATGGATATGAGGCTGCAAGTTTGCACTCCATTGTATGGCTCCAGGTAACGCCGGAGATTGATTGTTGATGAGCTGATCCTTGTGTATTTGATATGTGTATAGCAAGGGATTTGATTGTGTATTTAGATAATTGTTCAGCGGTAAAAAAAAAAAAAAAAAGAAAATTATTATTTGCTTGTTTTTATTTATACTTCTATATAGGAATTATTCTCTCTCTCTCTCTTTTTCCCCAATGATTCAATTAGGAGTTTGCTTTCTCCTCTCTGAACTTGACTTTGTGCCTTGATGTGATATTTTTAAATAAACTATCTGTTATTAGAATCAACCGCTAGTTTAAGTGATTAACTTTTGTAATCTCAGTTTCTGGCATATTATAGTTTTTAGAGTCATGGTCCTCTAAGATTTTATTCTTTTTGTTTTAAGTAACCATTACAAAGTTGGTTAGAGATGGTTTATCAATGAGATCTCTTTAACGGGTTCAAGTTGATTTTCCTTTATTCCTAGTGGCGTTCTAAATTTTGCGAGAAATTTCTCTATCATGTTGCTAAAGTTAAGAATTTAATAACGTTATATACTTCTCCATAATAGTCATAACAATTTTAAAGTTTTTGAGATTTTTTATGGAGAATATTAATATGTGATTAGAACAATTTTTAAAACAATAATTTTCATATTTTTGAACTATATTTTAATTATTTAATTGAATTAATTGTATAAGTTAAAAGGTGTTCAATCGTAAAAGTGGGGTGCGGTAAGATTTTTTTTTTTTTTTAAGTATAAGAGTAAATTTATATATTGAGGCTATTAGAATTTTTTTTTTTTTTTTTCAAAGGACGAGTGAATTTGTACATTGAGGCTATTAGAAAAATTGTTTATTGATGATTCATTCATCCATACATGGATTGAAAAAAAAAAAAAAAAAAAAAAAAAATGATTAATATGTGAAGTAGAAGACAATTATATGAATAACGAATATTGTATATTTTTTGAACATATCTTTTCAATGTATTTACTTGAATTAATTGTTATAAAGTTAAAGGTTGTATCATAGTGTAAAATAGGTGGGGTGCGGTATAGTATTTTTCTGTGTTTTTTTATTACAAGTATAAGAGTAAAAATTTATAATAGTTAGAGAGGCTATTTAGAAGTATATAGAGCATTTTTAATTTTTTTATATTTATTACAAGAGGACGAAAGTGAACATTATGAGGGCATTTGAGGCTGATTAGAAAAATTTGTTATAATTGATTGATATCATATCTCATACAATTGATAAAATAAAAAAAAAAAAAGAAAAGAAAAGCACGAAACCTCTGGTATTTATGCAAAGATAAAGAATTCCCTTAGTCAGTCTCCTCAAAGATTTGCGTGGTTATCTCTTAATTTTTGGCAAGAGAGTTTGGTGGATGTGGAGTTGGGCCCTAAAAATTAACAAACTATAATGCCTTCTTCTCTTGGCAGCTTTGCTGTGTTGAAATACAACCTATGATTGTTGGTAATGAAACAAGAAACAATTTTGAGGCGAATACCATCCTTTGTTTGGGTTATAGCTTGGTGGTTGTCATTGAAATAATTAATCCCGCCGGTCAAAAAAAAAAAAAAAAAAAGAAAAAGGAAAGCGACTTTTGTGCAAAAATATTCCCAAGTCTCCCTCAAGATTTGCTGGTTATTCTAATTTTTGGCAGAGAGTTTGGTGGATGTGGCAGTTGGGCCCTAAATTACCAAACTAGTAATGCCTTCTTCTCTTGCAGTCTTGCTGTGTGAAATACAACTATGTGTTGGTAATAAACAGAAAACATTGAGCGAACCATCTTTTCTTGGGTTTAGCTTGGTGTTGTCATTGAATAATTATCCCCGTCAACCTTTTTTTTTTTTCCTAAAAAAAGGGAATGAGTGATTAGTAGAATTCAAAATTCTAATGATTTTGTAGTTGGAGGGACTGTTCCAATAGCGTGTTTGTTCAGTAAGAGAATTAGATATTTAGACACTAGAGGGTTTAAAACGTATTTTCCAATTTATAAGTTAATCTCTCTATATATAATTTTATCCAAATGGTAGCAATTTTAACAAAATAAATAGTTGATTTATTTATTAGGAAATATAACATGTATGTTATGTAAGAGTGAATGGATATTTAGACAACAAATGTCTAACATGTAACCGTATGATTGTTATTAAAATGTGATGTGATGTTAAAATTAGAAATTAGAAATTAAAAATGATCATATAAAATAAAATGTGTAAGTAACACAAATCGAGAATAAAATGAGAAAGAATTTTTTGTCATAACGTATTTAATCTCTCCTGTCCGTATAAATAGTACTAAACAAGAAAGAGGTAGATCTATAATAATGTAAAGAGGGATGTCATATATATATATATATAAATCTACTGTGTTTTGACATTAAAGCATGTTAAGTTATGAAGGAAACAAGTGATTTGTATAACTAACTATAACTAATTCAGAATTAAGGGTTAGTTGTTTATTTTATAAAATAAGGATATCTTAATTAATAAACTTTGAGAGTTTGTTAAAAACAAAGAAAATGTTTTCATTTTTGGCATTTTTGAGGTGCTTAAAAAATTCCTAAAGAAGTAAAAATTCTTTAATAAAAGGTATTTTATTATTATTTCTTTAGGAATTGTTTAAGGTGTGGATTTCTGTATTTAAATATTCAATATTGTGCTCTAAAAAATTATTTTGGATGTCACAAAATACATAAATGTAAGAATTAAAAACTAAAAACTGAAAAATGTCTCTTAAAGAAAAACTAAAAAATGTAATTTGAATAATTTTCTCGACTGATTGAGATAGGGCATTCACGCTCCGAAAAGCGAGTGATATTTTTATCCGATCACAGCGAAAATCTCTGACAAAAAGAGGTTTTGGAACTTCCAACTCTCGAAAGACAAACAAACAGAGGACATGCTTTCCAAGGTGAAACAATCTCCTTTCGCAGAAGACTAGCGCGTGTAATTACAGTTTATCCAATTCCACTCTTGACCTTTTCCTTCTATCCTCAGGCAAGACAGATTGTGAAGGGTATTTTGGTCAAATTGTTCTGCATCTTTATCTGGAGACTGGAGGAAATTAGAACATGACTCAGAGAGAGATAGAAAGAAGAATCTGACAAACAAAAACAACTGTGGTTTTGAGGTTGAAATTCCTGGGAAAAGTATTAAAAAAAAAGAAACTTTAGAAAGAGAATGAGAAAGGAAGCAAACCAAGAACAGTAAATTCATCTGCTACAGCATGGTAGCAGAAGCAGCAAACCAGCACCAGCACAAGTTATTATTGTTATCTGAATCTTTCTTTTATTTGATCTCTCTTTTTCTTGTACACAACATAGAAAAATGAGCAATTGAACTTTTCTTCTGTAAGTATGGATGGTAAAAATTGTTTCTTTGTTCATTTTTTTTGGTATTTTCTATTTTTAAATCTTTATTTTCTTTCAATCGCCCTTGTTCCATGTTTTTTTTTTCCTGAATCTATATTTTGCCTTTTTAGTTGTTAATGCTTGTTTAATGTGTAATTTGTTCCTTGCCTTTTGTGTTTGTTTATGTGTAGGTTACTTTTTGCTCATTTTGGTTGTCTAGATCAATACCCAGATCTTGTTACCTTTTGATCCCGCTTAATTATTTTTCATTCTTGGATAAACTGAAGCAAAGATACAAAGAAAGATAAAGAAAGAGGTGAATATTCTTATCTGTTTCTCTTTTCTTGTCGAGTGAGATTGACAGGAGCTTGAGGACATTATCTAAATCCAAAGAATTATTGATTGCTTTCTGATTTTCAATGTTTAATGCATCTGGGTTTCCAAATTGAACTCTAGGGAGTTAATTTTCTTTCTAGCTCCTTTTTTGGTTGTATAAATATGAAGAATCATACTTCTTTTTTATATGAAAATGGTCAAGTTAGGTTTCGTTTTTGTTTGTGTAATACATTTGAAATTAAATGTAATTATTTCTTGCTTGGAGTGCCATTTTTGTTATGTTTTTTTGGTTTTGTAAAAAATGAAATATTGTTTTGTGGCAGTGTCAACATATGGATTGGATTATCTCATTGGTAGCTCACTAGTTCAGGCTTGAAATTGTTTTTGTGCTTTCATTATTGCTCCTTTTGCTTTGAAGGAGTGCTTGGATAAGTTCTAGAGTGTCTGAAAAGGAGATATTACTGCCACTTAAGTAATGATCAAGCAAATACTAAATAGGCTCCCTCGGAAGCCATCGAAGTCATCTGAGAACCGTGAGGGAGGGGGAACCTCTACCTCATCATCAAATGCTTCAACCAGTTCAAGGGACAGTGATTTATCTAACAACTATTATGCAAGCCCTGCTGCTACATCGATTAATTCAACCTCCAATTTAGGATCAAATTATGGTAGTAAGCTTTCCCATGCTATAAATTCAAAGCTGAATGGGAATCCATCTGCTGCTTCTTTTGAGGCATTGCCTAGTTTCAGAGATGTTCCTAATGCTGAGAAGCCAAACTTGTTTATCAGAAAGCTGAACTTATGCTGTATTGTGTTTGACTTTACTGACCCTACTAAAAACTTCAAAGAAAAGGACATCAAGCGACAAACTTTGGTAGAGCTTGTGGATTATGTTTCTTCTGCAAATGGGAAATTTTCTGAGAATATGATGCAAGAAATCGTTAAGATGGTATCCACAAATTTGTTCAGAAATCTCTCTTCTCCGCCACGTGAGAACAAGGTCTTGGAAGCCTTTGATTTAGAAGAGGATGAGCCCTCAATGGACCCTGCATGGCCTCATCTGCAAGTTGTGTACGAATTTCTTCTGAGGTTTGTATCATCACCTGAGACAGATGCAAAATTGGCCAAGAGGTACGTCGATCATTCATTTGTTCTGAGGTTGTTAGATCTTTTTGATTCAGAGGACCCTAGAGAGAGAGAGTATTTGAAAACAGTTCTTCACCGCATCTATGGGAAATTCATGGTGCACCGGCCATTCATTAGGAAAGCAATTAACAACATCTTTTATCGTTTTATTTTTGAAACTGAGAAGCATAATGGGATAGCAGAGCTATTGGAGATTCTGGGAAGTATTATCAATGGGTTTGCGCTGCCACTTAAAGAAGAGCACAAACTTTTTCTTGTTCGAGCACTCATTCCACTACACAAACCAAAATGCTTACCTATGTATCACCAGCAATTATCATACTGCATTACACAGTTTGTGGAGAAAGACTGCAAGCTTGCTGATACTGTTATACGCGGGATGCTAAAATATTGGCCAATTACGAACAGTTCAAAAGAGGTTATGTTCTTGGGTGAACTGGAGGAAGTGTTGGAAGCAACACAGCCAGCTGAGTTTCAGCGTTGCATGGTACCCCTGTTCCGTCAGATTGGCCGTTGCTTGAGTAGTTCACATTTTCAGGTATTTAGTTTGCTTGTTTAATTAATTTTAATTTTGGGTTTCTTCTTCTTTTCAATCTTCCTTCTTCATAATAATCAAATTAAAAGGGAAATGCATAATCATTTGAATTGAATGATTAACCTTGTTGTCTGCATTTTATTACAAGTGAAACAATCATTCAATTTAATTGTCTTTGCTCCTCACCCTTTGTTTTGCCCTTTTCTTGATTATAGCTTATTTTACTTTGGTCATGAGATGTCAAGGCACATAGTATTGCATATTTAAGTTGCAGTAAAATATTGTAATATGGATCCCGTAGGTTAAAGAATAGTAAGTACTGAAACCATCTGTCACAGAATCAAATCTCAATAAAATTTTGATCATTTGCTCTGTTGTGATTAAGGTTATGAAAATGAGTCTTTCAATTGTATGTGCTACCACTTTCAACTATTTTGAAATGGCGCTAATATTGAAGGTCTGGGAATGGACTGTTGGGCTCTCTATTCGTTCGCCCTTTCTTTTTCTTCCTCAGTTTGCAGATGGAAGGGTCAAATGCATAGAGTTATCTTTCTAAAACCCTTTGAGAATATAATGAGAGAGCAAGAATTTGGGAACTAAAGACTCCAGAAGTCAGTTGAGTGGATCACTCAGTGGGCTGTACAATGGGAATTTATTTTTACCCTGTGGAGTGCAATAATGGGACACAAAAGGATCAGATATGGTGAACTGATTACACGTGACAATATCTTTTGACGGTGGAAAGTTGTAAGCTACTGTAATAAAAGACATTAGGTGGCAATGGCAGAACGTAGGAATAATAAAGTGGATTGAGGCTGAGCCCACTGTCATGTAAATAGCTTCTTTTGTACTGGGACTGTTTCAAGCCATTAATAGTGATAGACCCATGTCATGTGAGTGAGTGCAGGCCAGAATAATCGTTAATGACATGAAAGGACTCTGTGTCTGAATGTTGAAATTAAAATTTCTTATACTTTCTGTTCCGGCATGAGCCATCAAGAAACTGTAGCAAAGGCCTGATTCCCTGAAATTCTTATTTATATTGGTAAGTACTAAATAGGTCTCGCAGTTGGATGATTTGGAAATCCGGGTACATAGATGTTTGCTGCCTGAATGGGTTGGCTTCATAATTGTGTTTAGGAATGATGTTACTTCGAATTTCCTGTGTTCAAATGGACTCAAGTTTCTTGTTGGTAAATATAGATCACGCACCAACTTGAAACAAGCCATTCTTGGACTACGGATGAATTATGAATTATAGAGGACCATTTTTATAGTTTGCTATTATTCTTGAGCAGTTTGCTTTTGTGACACCTGTTGATGATGGTGATGCTTGAATTTTAGAAAAATTATTTCAGTTGCAAGGATTTTTAGAATAACATGAAATATAGGATTGTAATCCCATGAAACAGAAAGTTTAGCATGTGGATAATGACTATTGGGCATATTAATTTGAGTATGAATAGCATTACTATGGCAAGGGACAACATATTTACACATCCTTTTATATATTTGCTTTCATCTTATTTTCAGTTGATTTATAGGAATTTTTTATTCATGGAAAGCAGGCAGTGTTGATGAAAGTGGTATTAGCTGGCAGTAGTGTGGTTTGGCTGTATGGATTGAGAGATAGGGGACTCAGTGTCTTGGCTTCAGCCAGGAAGATTTTCTTTAGTTTTTATCTTGTATTATAAGGACCTGCAATTAAGTTTTTATGTCATAGGAAATTTTTTCAAATAGCATGCCCTCACATGAAAAGCAACAGTGGCATATGAACTAAGTTCTGGGCAATAAAGAAACATGGCAAGCAATCAGTGGCCGGAGATAAGAATGCCAAGATGTGTGGATGGATTAAAGGAACAGCTAGAATGAGGAATGACCTTAACTATAAACAAATGGATTGAACTGACGACAGAATGAAGGAAAATCTGTTAAAAGATTTATGAAACAGTGACTTGTTAGAGTGGAGGGCACTAAAGACTAGTAGTAAACATAGATTCAGGTAATGAATATGATAGCATTGCAGACTCAACTTCTGATGTAGAGGAACAGTGCGAAGGGAGTTTGATCATATTAGTTGTCACTGAGGTTTAGTTGAGCTGTATGCTGGTTGAATAGGCCTTCTAATCATCTGCATTTTATTCTGCAAATAATCTGAGGCAAGCAATTTGCAACCTTTAATGTCCTTGGCTTGCGATCTCTAGATCCTCTTGGTTTTTTGATATTTTTCTTCTCATTGTACGACCAAGGATTCCTGGACTGCTCATATTTTCTTCTGCTTCTCCTTCCCTTCTTCTGGATGATCTTGTATTGCTTCCATTTGATTTTCCTTTCCTTATTTTTTTCTTTTACTTATCTCCAGAAGCTTGTTGATCTAATAATTGATAAAGCTTCTTTTTCCAGCAGGTCTTATTGGACCGTTTTGCACCCCTCTTCCCTTTTTTCCCCTTTTGAGAATGTTGTTTTTCGAATTGTTGCTTGCGAGATTGGTTAGCACCTTTTCCCCTATAATTGGGTGCCATCGTAGATTAAAAATTCACAGATGTTTATGGTGATTACGGTGATCAAAATAAACATTTGATGGTAATAAGCCCGCTGGAGGCTTTTAAAAACCTCACACCTGGAAAAAAGGCTGGCAAATAAGCCAAGATTTTTCCCAGACAGTCAATGTTAATAGATACAATCTGTTCATGAATGATGAAGTTTGGCTTTTTAGCTGGGAACACTTCATTGTTTGGTGCTTCTGTGGAATCAGGTCAATTTTTGGCATGGAGTGTTATAATTTGTTTGGTTGCTATCTGGAGACTATTCTTTTGGTGCTTTATTTGCAGGTGGCAGAAAGGGCTTTGTTCTTATGGAACAATGATCACATTGAGAGCTTGATTAAACAGAATTGCAAAGTTATACTGCCAATCATATTCCCTTCGCTGGAGAGAAATTCAAGACAACATTGGAATCAGGCAGTGCAAAGCTTGACACTAAACGTTCGCAAGATATTCTCTGATGTTGATCCAGAGCTCTTTGAGGATTGCCTTCTCAAGTTCCAGGAAGATGAAACACAGGAGAAGGAGATTAAGTCAAAGCGTGAAGCCACGTGGAAACGCTTAGAAGAGATTGCTGCAATGAAGGCTGCAAGTAATGAACCGGTGCTTGTTTCCCCAAAAGTTACGACACGTGCACCATCTGGCTAGAAAGTTGGAGAATCCCATGAGTGATTGCTGTTACTTTGACTCGGTTGGCAGCTGTTGTGCAATGCAAGCCATGGATGGAGGTGGTGACTGAAGGAGGTGGAATATCAAGCCACTCTTATTTTTCAGTTTTCCATGCGATTATAACACAATGGGGAAGGTGCAATTGTTGTATGCAAAATGTTCCCATTTTGCTTATCGTCGAGGACTGCAAGTAACAAGTGGGGTGGAGAAACAGATGGGTGAGAGCATGTCTAAAGAGCAGTTCTGCAAGTAAAACTGTTGGTTAATGTTTTCAGAGGGGTACCAAAGAAAGCTTGAACCAAGTGTATAATTGTTTATTGATTCTGGTTTAGTGAAAAATATGCTCATTTCCTTCAACAAAACAATGGAGTTAAAAGGGGAAGAAAACTACTTGATTTGTACTTTTTTTTTTTAATTTTAAATTTTGAGGATAATGCAGATTTGAACTCCCACAAGACAAGCATTAGATGCCTGCTTCAATGGTATATTATTTGTTGATTTAAAATTCTACTATATGCATATCATCATTTCTTAAAGTTTGAAAGATCTAGCCAATTAAATAGCATGAAAATACTCTTTAGAAATCAGAAATGCATTGCATTTTATGTTCCGTTTAGCGATAATTTTTTCGGTAGCTTTTACTTTTCTATTTATAATTTAAATATTATTTTTTTTAACGTTTGATGAAATGTGAGCTAATATTTATGTATTTTTGCCGAACAAGTTCCTAATCATAAAAGTAAATTACTAAAACATGGAAAAACTGTGATGATGGAGCATGTCCAACAACTACTTGAACCTTTTCCATATTTAATACATGAATCTATAAGAAAGCTCTTTTATGGAAATGGAAGATGATATTATTTATTTCAACAAACAAATGAGCATAAATATTAAAAAAAAAAAAGAAATTACCAATATAAAACCTTATTTTTTTATACACAGTAATTTTAGTTACAGATATTTTTAGAGAAATAAAAAAATAATTATTTATATGTATTCAAATACTGTCTTGTATATTTAAAAGTAATATTCAATTTAATGGCTTAATAACGAGGAATTATAATTCTCAAAAAAAAAAAAAAAAAAAAAAAAAAGTAATATCAATGTTTAATGGCTTAATAACGAGAATTTAATTCTCAAAAAAAAAAAAAAAAAAAAAAAGAGGAATTATAAAAATATTAATTTACCCGCCTAATAGCTAATAATATCCTGAATTTTTGCTTGGAAACTTCATAGTTTCAATCTAGCATTACCACACAAAAAGTGAAAAACTATAAATAATAGTAATCTATGCAATCACCCTCTGAATCATAAATATTTCTTTTTCTTTGAATGATAAATTATCGAGAGAGAAAAAAAAAATGAAATTTTCAATCATTTTAGTATGTAAAATTTCTTTAAATGTTATATTAATTATTTTAGAGGGTAGAAATATAGTATTAAATTTTATATTTTATCTGTTACGAACTGTGGTTCAGTTGGCAACCTAAAAGAAGATCTCTCGAGTTTGATATCTGTTAAACACACTTGCTGGAAAGGGCGATGAGTTTTTAATTGTGATTAAACCCTAAACCGCATTAGATGATCCCTGATAATGAGGTTTAGATATCAGTAGTTTAAAAAAAAAAATTTGTGTTTTTTTTATTTTTTTTTCTCCAATGCCAATTATTTTTGTAACTAATTTCTAAAATTAAAAAAGTTTCGAATAGTTGCTTAGTAGGGATATTTTAATTTCCCAACTCACAAGTAATATTATCTGATTTAGATAGGTGTCATGGCATCTATTGTGTCGTATCAGTTACATTTTTCAATGACAGTCCCTGTCGTTTCACCCAAACACAAACTCCAACGCCACCAAGCCCACTTGCACCCTATCCAAAACCACATAACAAATCATATCATGGATGAAAAATAAAATTTATTAAGTTTTATTTTATTAAAAATATACTATATATTTTATAAAAAGATTTAGTATCTTAAAAATCTTAAATTTTTATTTTAATTTATAAAATTATAACTATCAATTTTTTTAGGACATCATCCTATTAAAAGCTTTAAGTTATAAATTAAATTAATTAAATATTTATTTAATAATTTTTAAATAAAAAAATTATTATTAAAAGTTATACATCACATTAAATCAAGTGTGTTACTAATACGAAAAACATTCCTGTCTTACTAAAATCCGTAACTTTAAAATACAGAGTGCTTTCAAAATTTCAAATGCTATAAATAAGTAGATATCTATTTTTATTTGTTAAATAAAATTAAATAGTTTAAATTTTATCACAAATAAAAATAAAAAAATTTAAAAATTATATGTTAAAGTGAAATTTTTCTTTTTTTTTAGATTGTAAAATTGAAATTATTATAAAGTTTTTATGAATTTTATGGAGTATTTTTTCCTGATTAAATTTTTTTACAAATTGATTAGATATTTAAATCTTAAATTGAAATTCTTATAAAAGATTATGAATTTTATTACTATTTTGTTTCCTGATAATTTTTTTTAACAAATTAACGAAATATTTAATTTTACTATTATTCAAATTTTAATCAATTAAAAACAAGTCGCAAAGAAGTGATTGCAACAAATCACCTACGTACAATAAAAATAGTCTCATGACAGAGTCGCCACGTCACACATGACAGAACTGGCATTACCAAAATTATAGATATTAAAAATAAAAAGACAAATAAACAACGCCCATCATCATCATCTATCTCTGTGTCCCTCTCTATCGCCATTGAAGTTGAAATCAAAAACACCGAATCACAGATTTACAAAACCCTAAATAATCCAAATCCCATTTTTAAAAAGAATTGAACTTTCCAATAATAGATTTCAATTACTTCCCCAAGATTAATCAATCTAACCATGCATTTATCTCCACCTCTAAAAATTTAAAATTGCTTTCAAAACCAACACCCATAGCCAAATCCTCCATTTCCTCTCTCCTCATACCTCGAATAATCGCAGGCTGAGAGAGGGATTTTGGGATTTGATCTGGACGGAGAACGAGAGGGATAGAGAGAGAAATGCCAAGCGTGGCTGTCAAGTTGTATAGTGTCTTCTTCAAGTTTCTCTTGAAGCACCGATTACAAAATCGGATCCATAGTCCGCACGATGATTCTAATCCGGGTTTCGGCGTAACAACCCGACCCGAAGAGTCTGTTTCTGCTGCCAATCCTTCTTTCACGGATGGTGTTGCCACTAAAGATATTCATATTGATCCTTTTACGTCTCTCTCTATTCGGATCTTTCTTCCTGAATCAGCTCTCAATCCCCCGGAATCTGATTCCAAACCCCAATATAAACCAAAATTGAAAACTAACCCTAGAAAACTCGATTCCGATCAAAATGATAGCCCTGCTACCTTCATTGCCAATCATCATCTCCAAACTCAACGCCGTAGTAGTCTTGGCCCATCTGCAACACGTAGCACTACTGGATTATCGCCAAAAGAAGAGTCTAGAAGGAATAGTTATGGTTGTAGCAATGATGTAGACGTGAGTTTGAGATCCGACGGTGTCGGTGGTGGTTATAGAGGATATTCACCTTCGTTCGATAATTCGAGGAAGTTACCGGTAATGTTGCAGTTTCATGGCGGTGGTTGGGTTAGTGGGAGTAATGATTCGGTGGCCAATGATTCTTTTTGTAGAAGGATTGCCAAACTCTGTGATGTCATTGTGGTGGCTGTTGGGTACAGATTGGCACCAGAGAATAAGTACCCGGCAGCTTTTGAGGATGGGCTAAAGGTTTTAAATTGGTTGGGAAAACAAGCGAATTTGGCAGAGTGCAGTAAATCTATGGGTGCCAATGGTGGCGCGGAGTCCAAAAAAGCTGATGTTCATCGACATATTGTGGACACGTTTGGAGCTTCCATGGTGGAGCCTTGGCTGGCAGCTCATGGCGATCCATCCAGGTACTAGGTTATCATTTTTTTTTTTTAAATCGAATTTTATTATAAATTCTTTTGATTGCATATTGTTCTGTTTTGGAAGTGAACTACTGATCTGCATTATTTGTATAATACAATGTTACCTGTGGAAAGAAGTTAAGAAGTTAATATGATTAGTTCAGTGGAAATGCAGAGAATTTGTATTGGTATTGGTGCGGTCAAATGGGAGATGGCAATCATGTTTTATACATCATTGATGTTGTTATATTAAACAAGTGGATTAATTTTTTGCTTTTAAGTAGTATATGATTATGCTTTCTTTATGTTGGTTTATGAAGGGGAATGCAGTTCATCTTTCACAAGATTCATATTGATTCTTGTTTTGTGTCGAAGTGCTATGAATTTTTTCTGATCTTAGTTGACCAAGTTTAGGTGGCTTGCAGTGGATCTGTAGTTAAGCTCAAAATTTGATTTTGTTTTAGTTTTAATTTTCAATTGGTTGAGTATAGCTATATCAATTTTCTGACAGAGTCTAGTGAAATGCTATAGTTTATGCATGACTCTCTTAGTTGAGTGGCAAGCTAGATTGCTCTCTGTTTCAAAATTTGGTATCTGTTGCTGTGATTAAGAAATTGGACGAGTGAATCTTGAGATTCAGCTTATCAACTTTGTAATCTAAATTGACCTATCACTCTGTGCTTCTTTGTAGAGGAGAAAGATTTTGAGTTATCGGTTTTATTGAATGATGTGTGGAAAAATTTTGAACATTATTGTACTAGGGTTTGATTTTTCCTTGAAAAGGTGAAATGATGTTTAGCAAATATATAATGCGATACTTGCATTGATCTATACAACTGTGGTCTTTATGAGCTGTGGAATGTGATGGATTTAAGGTTGAAAAAATTGGGCAAATGTAGTAACTGAGCCAATTATGGAGCGGAAGGACTGGTGGTTTCATGTAAGCAAAGAAACCAGCAATCTATATTATATCTTGAAGTATCTTACTGCAGCTTTGTTGGCCTCTGCATAGCAGTTCATATTTGTAACTTAGTTACCTCAGAGTGCCACAGTTTGTTGGAAACTCCCGTTGGAGATATTTGGTATTTTAGCATATCTTTTGATGCATACAGGGTGGTATATAGCAGTTCATATTTATAACTTGGCGACCTCAGAGTGCCGCAGTTTGTATTTTGGAAACTCCTGTTCGAGATATTTGGCAATTTAGCCTATCTTTTTGCGCATAGCTAGTGTTCTCTTGTGTGGAACTTCTTCATTCCCTACGCTTAGAGATTTTATAAACCCATTTGTTCTATATCTTCCTCCTACCATGAATATGCTGTTACAACAATATTATCAATAGCAGTTGCTCCTCATTATCCAACATGTGCATGTGTGGTTGGGGGCTCCAATTTATTTAATTATTTCATTTTCAAGGTGGTAAAGAAAGGCATCCGGAACATTATTTATATCCCAGGAATGTAAGAAACTTAGCATAAGCCCCCACTTTTCCATCCAAATTCAAATACGTTTATTGATTTTGTCTTGTGTGACCATGTGAATGCCAATTAGTAGGTCAATTATAGATTTCAATGTTGTAAATTACTGAATCCTCTCTAAGGTTTGGTGGCTTAATATACAAATTTGTGCTTTTTGTTTCAAAATTAGTTACTTGGTTCCACTGATTTGCCAAAGGCTCTATGCATTAGTTCTTCAAGTCTAGAAATGAATTCTTAATTGCTTTTTAGTCGGCATTCTAAATTTGACTGCACAATCTTGAAATTTTAAAATTTGACTGTATTTTAGTCCTTGCATTATTGTATTAGGAAGCACTTTAACCCCTCGAAATCTTTCCTTTTCATTGACAGCATTACAAGGATTCAAAATGGCAATTATAGAATGACTCGGACATGTGCATATTGTCATGCCAACCTTTTGGGGGTTTTTAGCGATTTACCAATTTTAAGATAACACCTCTTTCCTCCGTAACCATTTTTAAACTTACAATACTTCTGTCTTTTACGTAAATGTCGTGGTGGATGGCCAAAGTTGAGTGACTAAGGGTTAAACAGTTTAGGTCAGGCTTTGCTTATACACCTGAGATTTTGGATGGACAGCTTATTAGTTATTTCCAAAGAGTTGAGATGAATTCTTTCACAATGCTAGCACGAATGCTGTGATCTGCAAATTACTGAAGATATTATGTTGTGATTAAGAATTTTGAATAACTTTCTCCTTTTTATTTGTTAAACATATAGCTATTCATGTGGTTTTGCTGGTTTACTGGTATGCTATAAATTTGGTTTCTTAAACTGGGAAATGCTCTTAGTTTGGTGTTCTAGCATCTTTATTGCATGATCATGATAAAGGTAGTGGCAGCAAAATTTGAATATTCAGCCATGTTTTTTTGGACATTAGAGCAGTTCTAAACATATTCAGCCAAAGAGTCCATTGTCAATTCCAATAACGTAACAATGATACGAAAAGAAATTAGGTTATTTCCACAATATAGATCTGAAATCATCTGCTTGGGAGCTAATTTCATAACTGCACAAGCATGATCTGTTGGCAACATTCTCTTGATGATGTTTGAATACTAAGTTCTATGTTCTGTTTTCTGAGCTGTATTTACCCTGTTTCACTCTATATTTATGGATAAATTATTTCCGTGTAAATGTACCATGTCCTTTCTGAAACTCACTATAATAGCAAACGTTTTTCTGTTGTCAAATTTCTTATTTGTTTCATTGTTCAAACAGGTGTGTTCTGCTTGGAGTGAGTTGTGGTGCAAATATTGCAGACTATGTGGCTCGAAAAGCTGTAGAGGCAGGCAAGCGTTTGGATCCTGTTAAGGTTGTAGCACAGGTTTTGATGTATCCATTCTTCATTGGGAGTGTCCCCACACATTCTGAGATAAAGTTGGCAAATTCCTACTTTTATGATAAGTCAATGTGCATGCTTGCATGGAAACTCTTCTTGCCGGAGGAAGAGTTCAGCCTTGACCACCCAGCAGCCAACCCCCTGATCCCTGGAAGAGGACCTCCTTTAAAGCTCATGCCTCCAACACTGACAGTGGTGGCTGAACATGACTGGATGAGAGACCGAGCCATTGCTTACTCTGAAGAGCTGAGGAAGGTGAATGTCGATGCACCTGTTCTCGAGTATAAGGATGCAGTTCATGAATTTGCAACCCTCGACATGCTATTGAAGACCCCACAGGCCCAGGCTTGTGCTGAGGACATTGCTATCTGGGCCAAGAAATACATTTCATTACGAGGCCACGAGTTTTCTTATTGAAAGGTTTAGCCAGTCAAGGAAACGGTTGTAGCAAGAGCATCATTTGCCAGCATTATATGATACAGTGAAAGAGCAACCAGCTGCATGAGTAGGCGGGTTTGTAGAATGAAGGGGCTCTATATTTATTTCACTTGTTGTAGCTACTGGGTTGTTCTTCACTTTTTGTTGTTTCGGCTTCCCTTTTTTTGTAAGATAGAACTTTTTCTGGGATTAGGATTAGTATCTTGTGAGATGAAATTACCTCTCTTTCGAGTTTGTGCCACATTAGGACATCCTCGAAGGAAATATTTTTTCCACTGTGTATTACACTGTACTATTGTTCATGAACAAGGTTGATCAATGAATCTCACTCTTTTCTCTAGCTCTACCTCTACCCCGTTCATTTCTTATGGATATCTTTAGCTACTAGGGATTTGTTGGCAACTTCATCGCCAATGCAGATAAAGAGATAACATCTAGTTTAACAGTGTAATACACAGTATTACACTGTACTATGTTCATGAACAAGGTTGATCAATGAATCTCACTCTTTTCTCTAGCTCCACCTCTATCCCGTTCATTTCTTATGGATATCTTTAGCTACTTGGGGTTTGTTGGCAACTTCATCGCCAATGCAGATAAAGAGATAACATCTAGTTTAACAGTTCTATGAGGAGCATTCCTTAGTCCTCGGTTAATTCATAATTAATCAGACAAATTGGCAGTTTATATGATGTCCACTAGGATGGGATGAGTTTTATATCTATAGACAACCAATGAAGCTCCAAAGATAAATCATAAAGTAACTTGTGAGATAATCTTATATTTGAAGCATTGCAGCTAATAGGATTCATAGTGTACTTTTCGTGTTCTCCTATGTGCACAGGCACTAATTTTTATTTTTTTCTACTTGTAGGTTTTCTGCTAAGAAGAAGTTAATGCTTTTATTATCAAGTATAAATATCACCAATAGCATTGCACAAGGAATTTGTGGGGCTTCAATTATATTGATCAACTATGCCTCACCCTACTGGTTCTGTGGTTCCTGCCATTCTCCGATGGAATATGGCACTGAGAATCACCAAGTAGCCCAAGAAGAATTTTTAGCTGAGCTGGCAAACGATAAAGAACCTGGATGGTTATTACAAGAGATAGGAGAGGCTCTATTTCTTTGTTCAGTGCAGATACAGACCAGCTCACAATTCGTTCGGCTACTATATGCCTCAATATTGGAAGCACTTTTGAGGGAGGTGAGTTCATGTAGTAGATGCCTACACTGATCTGGGTTGCTCAGTTACTTGTGCTATCTTTCTGTTGAATATAAATGATGATAAGAGAGCATTTATGAGCACTTTGTTATGTAAATTTACTAGTCTTTTTACATGTGGAATAAAAGATTATGGCTCAGTGAAGCCTTTTTGTAAAGGCCTTATTCTTTTGTAGGAGCACTTGGAGCCAGATTCTGATCTTTCATGATGTCGTCTGGTGTAATTTTGCTTATTCAATCTTACTTTATATCCAAGTACTTCTGAGAATGAATAACAATTTCGTTTCTTAATCTCTCCAAAATTAGGATAAAACTTCTGAGAATGAATTTTGACACAAAATATGCTTGTAATTGGAGCTACATAGGCCGGCTTCTAACACGAACGTTAATGGCTCTAGAAGCCATTGCTCTCAAGTTTGCTCTAGCTAAAGAAAGAGAGGTTCCTGATTGCTCGTTTGTTCCCCTAAAAGCTTCCATGAACTCTTCTCTTTGAAGCCTTAAAGCTAATGCAGCATCTTCATCTTGGCTCGGCATCCCTCCTCTTCTCCTTCCACTTGCATCTCTCCTCAACAACCTCGATAGACCTTCACTTTGCAATCTTTGGGCTAAGTGAGCATCCTCATCTTGGCTCGGTGTCCCACTTTCCAATAACCGCAGCTCTCTTTCAAACAGTGCAGAATACTCCTCGGGGCTTATTACCCTTTTTCTCCTTACATCCCTGCTTATTGATGCTGCTGAAGGGCGAACTGGTTGGTTTCTTACATCAGTACTAATTCTTGTTTCTGGGGTTTGGCGATCTGCTTCTCGAGCATTAAAGGCCCCAGATGCTTTCCTTGCTTCAATTTCATGAGGAAACAGAAGCTGAATTGTGTTCCAAAGAACTGTATTCACAGTGCAAGATCTTCCATTGCTAAAAAAATCACAAAATAGACACAGTTAATTGCTAAACGTGCATGAGATAAAATTGCTTATGTTATGTACTAATTAGTTTAAGTATATACTTAATATAGCTACTTGTAAATGTTAGGTACTAAAGTTTGCTTCAAGTTAGAGGAGTTGATTTGCACCTTATTAACTGTCTGCATTTTGGACATTTCTTCCCACATTTATCAGCAGCAGATCGCAAGCATTTCTTACAGAAACTGCATACAAAAATTAAGTTGATTAAAAACATGTAGAAAGAATACCAATAAGTTTTATTTCAATGGTACTAAATTAGACTCTAAGAGTATGAACTTGTTGAGTTCGATAAAAAAAAAAAAAATCTATGTAAAAAGACTTAAACTGGACATGATTATGATATTCAATGAACGAAGGCCTATGAAGAATTAAACCAAAAGAAAAAAAAAAAAGGATCATCTTTGATGTGGTTTACCTGTGTCCACAAGAAGTGGTACTAGGCTCAAAGCAGATCTCTAAACATATCTGCCAAGTATCAAGACCATTAAACTCAATTAAAATTAATTAAACAAAAAAAACTTCTCCAAAATCAATTAGAAAACCAAAATACACAGCAGTACAAGAAATCAAACAACTCTTACTGCACAGGAAAGCTCTTCTCTGAGTTTATCTATGCAAGGAAGAACTTTGTTCGAGCAAGAAACACCAGAATTCTCTTTATTCAATTCATTTCCTTCTGTTTTGCTTTCTTCTTTCACTTTCATTTTTGGTTCTGTATTCTCTTTCTGATTCTCTGCAAATGAAGTCGCAATAAAGAATCAATTCTTTAATTCTCTTTAATATCCAGTTTGAACGGACAAGGATTGAATCAAATACCTTGTTTTTCAGATTCTTCTTCATCAAGCCTAATCACAGGGATAGAAGTTGAAATGGGACTCTTTCTTTGAGCCCTGCGTTTTCTGATATAAAGAGAAAAAAACAAATTATCCCCCCAACTTCCAAGAAATTAATTAATAACCGAACACTTTTAATTAATTAATTATACCTTCTTGAACTGTTGGAAGGTGGAGTCTTGAAAAGCAAATCAGAGCGTTTCTTGTGCTTAAACTCCCGATCCGGTGTATCTTCCACAATAAGGCTAGCAATTAGAATGGACTCTTCGTCCCAACCAGCCATGGCAGCCAAAGATTTCAATCTTGGACTAAACAAACTCTCCACATTTTGGTCACTTTCTGTTGGGTCTTTTTGCGTTCGGTCCAGTGGATACTTTTTCGGTTCTTGGCTCACCATATTTGGGAGTGAATTTTTCTGGGATTCTGTTTGGGAAGAGAGAAAGGGATGGAAAGCTCTTTTCTCTATCGAGTTAGAAAGTTTGGAGACGCGTTCGGAGTTAGAGGACAATAGATGGTTAACGGTCGAATTTTTTTGAATTGATTTTTGAAAAATATTATTTATTGATTTAATACTATAATAGTCCGCCATTTGTAACGGCTATAATTCAGTAGACTGGGATTCTGGGAAGGTAGTTTGAGTAGTAACGGGACCAGTAAAGTTTGGTAAACCCGCAATCTACAACCAACCGCACGTGTTTCTACGGATGATCAAATGGTGATGGGAGAAGGTTTTGTGGAGGAAGTTTTGGATCTGTTTTGCTTTTTCTAAACAAATTAAGACAAAAAAATAAAAAATAAAAAGATACTGTACTTATGTTTGTTATGATTTTTGTTTTTGGATGACAGAGCAACTTATTTTTCTTTAATCCTCAACTTGAATAAGCAAACCTTTGATCATCTTGAATTTTAAAATCGAACTTACCGCAAAATAAACTTTACTTTTCTCTTTACAGTAAAAATAATAATATTTAACATTTTTTGTATTTGTACGCAAAAAATTAGTTTAGTATGTAATTAATGCAATTTTTGAACAATAAATTTTATATTTTCTCAATAGGTCAAATAAAATATTTTATAAATTAAAATATTTAATGCATCAAAATAAATATATAAAAATTTTCAGTGAAAAGTACAAATTTAAATTTATCTATTCTGACTTTCATCTTTATATAAATAGCAAGACAACTCATAAGCATCTAATCACCAATTTAGTGGTTTAGATCATCTCTTTCAAGCTTCCTAATAAAATATAAAGCCAATAATGGCCATCTAATGCATGTAAAAGATTATTCTAAAACGTTATTCAAACTTTCTACACGTAATATCAACACCAAATGGACTAAACAAATAGCAAAAACTTAGAATTACTCGAGGAACGGATTTTCTACAATATTAGGGAATCAATCGATAGAAGTTTATCAAATCTTTATAAAACCAAATATAAAAATCACTTTTTGACAGTAATCTAGGAATTTTATACAAGGCCCCCAAAAAAAAAAAAAGTTCATACAAGGTATCTTCTAGGAACTAAATTTTTTAAGCAAGTAGCAACATCGTGCATTCAGATTCTAATTTTCTAGATCACTTACTGCATTTTCTCAACAACCAAACAAGTTGGAAGTTCCAATTTAAACCCATTAAAGCATTTTCCTTATCAACACTTCTCAAAAAAAAAAAAAAAAAAAAAATCAACACTTCAAAAAAAAAAAAAAAAAAAAGGCAAAATTATAGATATGAACTTGATCCAATATTTTTTTGGCATAATGTTATCGTTTTTTGTGACTGTACAGGATCGGTGACAAAAATGAATTTATCTACTCATTGTTCTCTAGAAAAAAAAAAAAAAAAAAAAAAGGCAAATATATATGAACTTGATCAATATTTTTTTTGGCATAATGTTCGTTTTTTTGACTGTACAGATCTACAAAAAGAATTTATCTACTCATTGTTCTCTACATAATCATAACAACCAAAAACAAAATCTTTCCCACAAGTAATCATCACAAACTTTTAAGCTGTCTTCTGCTAATTGCTTTCCTATCTAAAACTCCCTGTTCCTCTTGCCATGGCAAAATGTTTGTGGCTGGGTCCATAAACTTTTGCAATACTTGATCTTTAAGCCCAGTATCTGTCACCTCACAGAACCTATTAGGCCAATCTGGTGGCTCAACAGCTCTAGTTCCCAAGCCCGGCGTTCGATCCTTAGACCCAACATTCTGCTCATTCTGCCAATCAGCTACATAAGTGGCCACCCTTCTATAAAACTTCTCCTTGAAAACCTCCCAAACTTGATACTTATAGTGATTAATAACCAAAACTCCCATATCAGCATCCACATAACTAAACCCATCCCTTAAATGAAAATGATGCACCACATTCATCAATGTGGAATTCAATGCCTCAGGTTTTACTATACTCTTGTGCCTCTCCCTTATCACCATTCGACACGTGTATCCTACAGTAACTCCTTGCTTCGGCACGTGTGTTAATCCTGATGGTCCAAAACTATGGCATGATACACGTAACTCAGCAACGTTACTCCTATTACTAGACTGTGACTGATTTCTAATCGCCTCGTGTAAATCCAATCCAGTTGGTAAATAAAAATATTCGTCTACGTCTATAAACCCCACCCATTCGCACAACCCTCGAGCCCTTAACGCACAATGTGCGAACCCTGCCTCCTGGGTCTTAACCCATGGCCAAACATGCCTTGAAATGTTAAAATTTGAACCCACTAATGACTCTATAACACTATTAATATCATCATCACTATTGTTATCGTAAATGAACCAACGTTGAACTCCAATTTTGCTATGGTACATCACCCATTCCTTAAAAAACCTTGCTTGATTGCGTAACATGGTACATATGCACATCTCATGGGGCTTTTGGGCTTTCGGGTCGGACCCGGATGAAAGCTTCAGCCTGAGTCGGGCTACAGAATGTAATGTTCCTTTACCTTTGAGCCTAATAGAGACTTTGATAGAATTGTTCACCTTTAGTGGATTGCTCAAGATGCTTAAAGGCGTTTGGCATCGTACGATCTCTTGGGCTATGGATATGACGTCGGATCCTATTAAGAATTTTGGTCTCCTGAAATCCCAGCCGTACACGCACTCGAATTTTGATGCGTTGTACAGCTTATCTGGTCGTAAATTAAGCCCTTTGACAAAAACTATTGTGGTATTGTCGCTGTCGATTATAGCTTCATACACGAGTGAGTCCCACCGGTGAGTGGGCCTAGGTTGGATATATCCACCGTCCGATTTTAAGGCTAGAGAAACTGTAAGGCCACGTGGATTGAGAGGACACCGTACGATCTGGTCATCAAGATCATCACCATCTATATGATTCGGTGGCTGCTTTACCTGCGGCTCTGATGAAGATGCGTTGGCCAAGAAATAGACGCAGTCAAAGTCCTCTTTGGTAAATAAGCGACCTAACCGAGGGTACTTTGGGAAAATGAGAACCTGGTCTGGTAGCATAACTGTTTCTCGAATTGAAAACGCCGAATTCACCGGAGAATCGCTCAAGATAACCGCCAGCGACGGCGGCCTCCATGCAGGAACAATTTCTGGGCGATATTTATCTGTTAAAAATTTAAATTCAATATTAGAAACAATAAATTTAATAAGATAATGAAAAATAAAAAGATTCAATAATAGAAAAATGATTTTAACCGAATTTGCCAAACAAAACCGAGCAAGAAACAAAAAGCAAAGAACGGATGAAAAAAAAATCCAGAAAATAGATAAATATTACCTCCAAATAAGAGGCGAAAGGAGGATAACCTTAAGCCGGTAAGGAAAACGCAGGAGACAACAACGAAAATAGTACACCAAAAGAATCTACTCCATGAAACGACCTCGCGTCTCCGACGATCCTTCATCGCTGATGCTGCTGGTGCCGGCGGCTGCTGCTGTTAATACCAACAACAACCACCACAAAAAGAATAGAAAAAGACGACAACTCGATTCTCGTCATACAAGTAGGTCGTATTTAAACTAAAACCACTGATCTGAGTATGTGGATTTTGATTGTGAGTAGTGCTTTTATTCAACTAGGCACTTGAAACTTCTGGGGAAAGTTAATTTTGTTGAGAGGAAAGAGAGAGAAAGCGAAAACGAAAGCGAAAGGGAGAGGCAATCGGCGAAGACGGGAGAGAGAAAGAAAAGGCTAACATATCTCTCATCTCATCATCTGGTATTTGGTGTTTCGACCGTTCCGGACGGTTTTTACTTTTTATGTGGTCGTTACATTGCCTATACTCAATAGTGGGGGTTGCAATCTGGTGTTTCTCTTTAACTCTAAGCAGAAAAATCATACACCAATAGCCTTTTGCCACTTCATATAAGTTTTAATAAGAAATATTTGTTGTTTGTGATTATGAAATTTTCACTGATATTATTTTGGAAAAAGGACCGTTGAGGTACATTATCATGAAAAACAAAATTTAATTAACATTGTGATTTATTTTAATATTTTTTCACCCCATAAAATATAAATTTATTAATTGACAGAGTAAAATTGATTTGTTAATTCCGTGATAAACCTTTATGGAGCTTGTAAAATAGAAGTAGGTGATTAAACGGCATAGAAGGTGCAGTGTGGTCCGTCGCGCAGCACATCCGATACCTTCCGTGTTAATTAGTGCTGTGATGGGGGAAAGGATGATTTTAAAATGCCCACAAAGAAACCTTCAAAAGCGCAAAGCCATTGATAGGGTGTGAAATTGCGTTTTAGTAAATGCGGGACCCACTGGCTATCGGAGGGCACAATTCTCAGTTGCCACGCCATCGATAAGCTGCTGATAGTCCAACTTGGAGTCTTTGTGAATGACGACTGCGACAGTCATACAATTCAACAGCGGACAAAACTAGAATATGGTGAATTGGAGGGCAGAGGATAAGGATGGAAACCGCCCGATGCCACAAATTTGAGCCATCCATGCTGTATTGGTTTAGGATATTTCTATCAGCACTATCTGCTTAGGTACCATTATTGAAATATATTTAAAAATTTTACTATGTTCTAAATTAGTTACCAGACGGTGGAATATTCGTAAATTTTAAATTATTTAAATCTAAATTTATTTAAAATATGTATTTTATAAATAAATGGATATAGTAGTTATAGATATTTATGACCAACTATTTAATATAGAGGATATCCAGATATCTCTATCCGCATCCATTGTGATAATAATTTCATTATCATACACATCCTAAATGTATTTACAATTATCATATCTTTATTAAACGGATCGAAACAGCCCATGTATTTTAAAGTACCCACCTTGATTCCATCCTTTGCAGAGGGACATTGAATTTTGTTTGAAAAAAAAGTTGAGATATTGACAATTAAAATCACAATTTTACTGCATTATTTTTTTAATAAATTATATTCAAATTTACTAAGAGAAAATTATAATTTTATCTCTATATCACTAAAAAAAACGGCATTTTGCGACCTACAAATCGGTCGCAAAATGCCAAAAATCGGTCGCTAAACTCAATTAGCGACCGAACAACTTCGGTCGCAAAAATTTTTGTCGCAAAATATTTTGCGACCAATTTTTTTTGTCGGTCGCAAATTTGAAAAAATCGGTCGCAAAATTTGGTCGTGTTTTCATGTGGAAATGCTGTCGCAAATTGGTTGCAGAAAAAGTCTGTCGCAAATTGTAAATTTAAAGTGTTATTTTTTTGTTGCAAATTGGTCGCAAATCGGTCGCAAAATTAAAAAAAAAAATATTATAAAACCATAATTTGTTATACAGAGCAATAATCTGCATCTAACTATTCCTCATTAATTATTCCTACATAATCTGACAAGTCTCAAAAATAGCAAAGCTATTCAAAATTGGTCGTGTTTTTCATGTGGGAAATGCTGTCGCAAATTGGTTGCAGGAAAAGATCCTGTCGCAAATTGTGAAATTTAAAAGTGTTATTTTTTTGTGTCAGAATTGGTCGCAAATCGGTCGCGAAAATTAAAAAAAAATATTATAAAACCATAATTTTGTTATACAAGAGCAATAATCTGCCAATCTAACTATTGCCTCATTATTATTCCCTAACATAAATCTGAACAAGTCCTCACAAAAAATAGCAAGGCTATTCAAATATTTTCATCCTCGAGTTTTTCTGTAAATATAATGATTTTGCGTGTCTCATGGCGGAAGCTAGTTGGAAAGAAGATATAGTTTGTCTAAAATACAAAATCAAATAGGGAAGAAAAGAAAGGCAGGAAAGTGATCAGGAATGGGTAAAGCTGAGGGATGTCATATATGTAAAGACAACTGAACAAAAATTTGGAAGCTTGGTTAAGTAACTGTGTTACGACTAGTGAGGTACATTTAATGACGATGGACTGACGCAGCATTTACTGTTTGGGACATTCGTATGTCAAGAACATGTGAATCGAAATATGATAAAATTTCCATCAAAGTAAACACAGTAAGATAAAGAACTCGTGTTGGAATGGAATGTTGGCAGGCCAATCACTTTTGTTCTGCTTAGCCAGCAACAGTCCTCGGTGGACATGTGTTGGAAACACTCATCTTGTACAAATTTTCGTTGTGGCCGAAAGACGGTGACATTTCGGCACTTGTTGAACATGCCTTCTTGGTCAACAAGGTAAAGCAACATATAACCTAGGTGTCAAGGATAGATTCAAGAAGGAGACAAGTGTAAGACAAATATATCCCTTAGCATATTTATGCTTGAAAGGCAGAATTTTAAAGCACTACGGGTTGCATTCCAGGCCAATAACCAAATAATTCCCAAGCAATAACCAAAATTCACTTTAACTCCACATTTGCTGCTAAATTATTCCCTTTGCCACTAAGTGCATCAAAAGAAAATTATTTGACCTGGGAATGTGGGAAGTGAGCTTTGATCATTCTCTCTATGTTCTGTGTGTGGCATAAATCAAGAGCTGCATCAACCTGTCAAACGGCTCAACATTAAATCACTTGCAAATACATTCATGACAAAATTTTACTTCAAATTATGAAACCACTAGACACTAGAACCAAAAGTAGAGTTCATTCGAAGTAGTTTCAGTATAAAAAAATAATAATAATAAATTGTATTTTGTGTGCACATGCCTAATCTAAGACACATATGAAGTACCATTCAGAATCTCCTCAACAAAGCCCCTAAAATGACTTGTCCATTTAGTCCCCAAAATGACTTGTTCCATTTACCTACACGCACCTTTAATATGAAATGGATATGCTTGAATATCTTCAATACAATGTCATAATAGATTCAAATTCCAATCCAATTAATGTCTAAAAGGGAAAAGCCTATAGTATCAGCTTTTGCAGATCCCAAATCAATAAATGAAAAATCAACTAAACTATAACCTCGTCCAGATACTAAAGTGGCAGGTTTAAAGAAGACAGCCAGTGCTAAGATTAGCAGCAAAGGCAAGCAGAGATCTTAGCCTCCGCTTCAGCTCTGACAAGGACTGTTTCCAACACCTCCAAATGAAATAATAATAATAATAATAAACAGTAAACAATTAATATTTATAATAATCATGATAATAATAATAAATAATAATAATATAATAACAGTACCTCATTCCTAATCGCAAATACACAAAACTTACCAAAAAATTATTATATTAAAACAAATAAATCACAAAAAAAAAATCGAAAAAAAAAAATCGCACAGACTTACCTCAAACAACTTGTGTCCAAATAGCAATGGAGTGACTGGAGTTGCAATGGAGCGGAGATGGCGGCGTCAGGCGGGCTGGAGCGGCGTCAGGAAGGACTGGAGCGGCGCTTTGAATGGAGGAGAGGAGAGGAGGAGAAGAAAGAAGAAAGAGGGCATCTGATTTTTAAAGCCCTAAAATTTGTGACCGACTTGTTAGTCGCAAATTTCATTTATATCGGTCGCAATTTTTTAACTCGACGACATCGTGTTACTTTGCAATAAAATTGCAACCGATTTGCGACTCAAACTATCGGTCGCAAATCAGTCTCAGAACTTATTTCTAATTTTGAAGCGCGCAAATTTGCGACAGAATATAACGTAGTCGCAAATCGGTCGTAAAATCGGTCGCAAATCCGTAGTACACTAGTCGCAAACTGAAAAATAAACTCGCGGAAATTTTTAGCGCTACAATTAGCGACTGTTTAGCGCTACAATTAGCGACTGTTTGTCCATCGGTAGCAATTCGGTCGCAAAATTGCGACCGATTTTAGTCGGTCGCAAATTAGCTATTTTTTTGTAGTGTATTATGTTTTTCTGTTTTTTCTTCTTATACACCATCATCATTTTGTTAAAAAAATTCAACTTTTTTTTTTGTTAAGTGGCTTATGAAAAGAAATACCCTTGAATTTCTCTTAAATTTATATTTCCTGCCAAACTTAAATAAATGCAAAAAAAAAAATAATAAAAGCAATTAACCCCGCTAAACGAATACAAAGCTTATATTCACATTTAATTACAATGCATTTCAAAGATGAGAGAGAGAGAGAGATAGAGAATGGATAGGAAGTGAAAGGAAGAGACAATAGAGTATCTTAGTATTTTCTTTCAAATTTAATAGCAAAAATGAAAATAATTGTATGAAATTTAATATATGGAGATAAAATAATATATTTTAAAAAAGTAATTAATTATGATATAATATGACGATAAATTTATAATTTTTCCAATTATTAAATATCTTCCACTAATAGGACAGATATTATTACACAATCATGCTAATACTTAATTTAATTTGAAGAAAGAGTGAAATCAAGAATCCAACTTTTTCTTTTTTTTTTTAAAAAAAAAGTTAAATTAACATTGAAAATTATATAAAAAAAGGCGGGTTAGAAAGGCAAGCCTGAAAAGATCAAAGGTCTCTGTGTCTCAAAGCCCAGTAATTGGGCTTAAGCTACAATTTTGCTGGGATAATGAGCAATGGTAGCAGCTTTTATTAAACAATTTTTTTTCTTTCATATAATATAATATAATATATATTATATATCATCAATCCAAATTCTGATTAGCATACTCAAAAAGAAAACTCCAAGAATTAACATATTCATCATCCAAATTCTGATTAGCATACTCAAAGAAAACTCCAAGTGTAACAAAATTTATGAGAAAAGTGCTTGTCATATTGCATTTATATGGGAATGAATACATATTTTGGTAGGTAAGAGTTACCAGCACATATCAGTGGTTTTTATTTTGTGAAAGGTTATCAATTTATTATTATTTTTTTTATTATTTAGAGGTTCAATGAATCGGAATAACATTGTGAGCTATATAATAGTTAAAAAAGGACTCACCGAATTGGTGAAAATTTTTATGATTAATGAGGATTTGAATATGAGAATTCACACTTTTCAAATTAGTTAAAAAACACCAATTAAACTACACATTGTTAATATTAATTTATTATATTTTTTATGGTAAGTTTAAAATATAAAATTCTATTCTATTCTATATAATTTATATTTGGAATTCAATATGATAATTGTTTAAAGAAAAATATAAAAAGAAAACCAAAATAAGAAATAAAATGAAGATAAGAGAGGGTAAAGGAGAAAGAAAGAAGAGAGAGAAAGTGAGAAAAAGATAAAGAGGGAGGAAAAAGATTGAGAATGGAGGTGAAGAGAGAAATGGTTTTTTTTGTTTTTAAATTTTGCGGGTCCCACACTATTGATTTTTTTGTCTTTTTCATGTAAAATTAACCGAAAATCAATATTTTTTTAGAAAAAAAAACTGTATTGTGAGACAAAAGCAAACTTTAGAAATATCCGAATAATTTGATCAAAATACAAAAACCAAATTATTAATTTGGTCAAAATTAGGGATGAAATAGTAATTTTCCCTTAATATTTTATGCATAAAACATAACTTTTTTTTTTTTTTCCTTGCATTTGCTGACTCTGTCTTCACTCACTCCAATATTTGCTTCGCTTTGTCAACTAAACAACACCACAAATATGCTTAGTGAGTGCTTTCTTACTCACAATTCATTTTCCTTTTCCCACTTACTAGGTAATAATGATTATAAGTATTGTTATTAAATCCTTTAACTTAAGTTCTTTTGATTAGTTTAATTACTAATTAATTCCCTGAGACTTTATATGTACTTAAAGGGACAAAAGTTTAATGCAAAAAAAAAAAAAAAATCAAGTATATAATTTATTTCACTAATTGATAATTGCTTAAGACTATAAATGAATCAAGCCGAGATAATCTCTATTTAGCTCAAGCCCGACTCGCTAAAAACGTATTTGAATTTGAATTTGGATTTGGATTGTTTATAACTCAAAAATTAGCTGTTGAGATTAAATTAGAAAATTCAATCTTATATTAGTTTTATAATTAGGGGTAGAACTAAAAGTTGAAATAATTTTTTTTTTTGAAAATAAAAGTCGAAATAAATTTATTTGAGAAAGTGTGTGAAAATAAATTTGAACTTAATATATTTCTAATTAATTTCCTGAGTTTAGTGTTTGTTATAAGAGGTATTATTTGAATTTAAAATCACAATATATTGTAAACGACTCTGTGTTATTATTAGAAAGAAAAAAAAAAAAGATTGTGAATTTATTAAAAGACACTTGAAGTTTTGTATTAATTTATGTTAGAATATAGCATTTTTAATGTGTTGTCCTATTGTCCGACAAGGGCTGGCAAGTGTAATCTTTTCAAGATTATAAATTAGGAATATTCTTTATCATTTATATGAAAAATACATGAACCAAAAATACTGCAACTACCATTTTTTTTTTATCAAATATTAATATAATACATGGAGTTCTTAATGGAAGTGAAACAATCTCTTTCTTTGTTCTTTTTGTGAATTCTTTTTTTTTTTTTGCAAGGCTTTTTGTTAACATTGTATTTGGACTCTCCTCAATTTTTATTTTTTTGGTTTTGGGGAAAGATTTAGATTTTAATTATAAATCCATGATTTTTACTTGAATAAGCTTTGATGGAGTTGAACTTTAAAAGAATATCTATTCTTTTAATATGAATTAAGGAAAATAAATTGAAATGTAACATAAAATCATTTTCTGCTAAGATCTGTCGAGTTCGAGTTCTTTCTATCACAAATTGTTTTTACACGTGTTATCCGGTCAATGTAAGGTTGTTAAAGCCTCTAGGTCCATCGTTGAAACTCAGGTAACTTTCACATTAGAAACTAAAGCATCTTTGCCTCTCTCTTCCATTGACATAATAATAAGAGTTCCCCTCAAACGACAAAACTGGCCAGCTTTTGAGCGGCCAAAAGAATCCTACCAGTCTCTCTATTTTCATTTTTTTAATTTTTCAGAAGAGAAGACTTTAATTAGTATCACAATATTAAAAATTAATACTATTCTTGCTTGTCAACTAAAAACGACCCACCTCTGGTTCTTCTTTCCTGCACTTATTTTCTTGCTTACAGGACCATTTCCATTGTCTCCATCAACTTATTATTATTATATACATAGAAAGATTGTTATTTTGCTTTCAATCATTTATCTCCCCTCTTAAACTACATCCTTTTCCTTTTTTTTATGCTTGAAAATGAACTGGCAGCATCTTTGCTTCCATTGCAAGTTCTTATAAAGCAATCTTCTTCTCCTTTCACTTTTGGCTCAAGAATATAGCAATATTGGTTTTGTTTTGCTGAATCAGGAAAAATGGGAAGGCAACCTTGTTGTGATAAGGTTGGACTAAAAAGAGGTCCATGGACGATTGAGGAAGATCACAAGCTTATGAACTTTATTCTCAACAATGGTATCCATTGCTGGCGTATGGTTCCTAAGCTTGCAGGTTTCATACTCTCTCCTTTTCTTTTCTCTGTTCACTAAATGAAAACTGGGATAAACGGCAATGCTTATTCTTTTTGTTTCTTTTTTATTATTCGGTTAAAAGGTTTGCTGCGATGTGGAAAAAGCTGTAGATTGCGTTGGATTAATTATCTTAGGCCTGATCTTAAAAGAGGCGGTTTTACAGAAGTGGAGGAGAATCAGATTATTCAACTCCATTCCCGTCTTGGCAATAGGTAAAAGTCATTTGTATAACCGCTAGTCATTATATATAGCCTTCATAACTGTTGTTTCGTGTAAATGCTGATAGTTCAGTTTTTTTGTATAGGTGGTCTAAGATTGCTTCGCATTTTCCTGGTCGGACAGATAATGAAATCAAGAACCACTGGAACACTAGAATCAAGAGGAGATTAAAGCAACTCGGAATAGACCCTGTGACTCATAAGTCTATCGAGCAAGCAGAAATAGATAAAATTAGTGTTAACGATGAGACAAGTTCAAAGATCAGTAATTTGCCGCAGCTGGAAGATCAATCCAAGAACGATGATGAGAAAACAAGTGGGAAGAAAGAGTTGGTATCATCAATGGATGAAACCTGTGATGATGATCTTTTGAAGAACTATGAAATGTTATGTGGAAGTTTGGATTTAGGGTCATGGATTAACCAACTAGAAACGAATAACAACAACAACAACAACAATAATAATAATATGTCTTATAGTTCTTCAATGTCTATAGAAGAATCAAATAATCCTTCCATTGGAGAATATTCTTCTGTTCAAGATGGTTGTTCAGTGGTACTACAACAATGGGTTGATAGTGTTGATTCTATTCTCTCTTGGGATGACTTCAACCATTTAGGTGATGATATTTTCTCTCTTGGAAAATAGAAATGTCGTTCTGTTCTCAATTTTGGGTTTTAATTTATTCCTAAATGTTTCACTTTTACCATTAATTTAAGACACTGTAATCATCTTGAATATTCTAAGTTTCATGATAAGTGAACATGTACATGAAGAGAAAGATTAACTAAATGATGATTGTGACTAAGTTGTTGTCTTTAACCCCAATATTTGAAGTTTGAGAGCGAGAAATTAGTTAATATGATTAAACTATATTTTTTTATTTAATTTTTTTTTTTTTTTCTAAAATATTCTCTACTGATATTAACCGATGTATATACAATTGAGAACAAAAAGCTGACTCTTGAACTTATAATTCGTCCTTAATTTACCTTAAAAAAATCTAAATTCCCATGAAAATTTGAGCAAATTACGTTAAAGTATAGCAAATTCAAAGGCTTTTTGATAAATTTATTCGTAAATTATATGTTTAGAGAGTAAATTGTGACAAAAGATTGTAGCTTTTTGTTTATAAATAATGAAAATTCAGGAAATACATTGAGCTTTATTCAAAAATATTGTGGCAAATTTAATTTCTAATAACTAATGAAAAATGATTTTCTTAAGACAATATTGGCACATCTCCAATAAAATGGTAGACAACAAATACGTGTTGGACTAAAAAAAACATGCTAGGATTAAACATAATTCTTTTATATAAAGATAGGAATAACTTAAAATATGTATATATATAAACTAATTAATCAATTTATTTTTTAAAATTTAATTATTAGCTTATCATATATTATCTTGTTTGGACCTTCTCCATATATAATAAACAAAATTTTGTGGCACTAAACACATAATAATTAATTTGATTCCCACTAATTATTTATTTATCCACTATGTCCATTACATAATTTTTTTAAGTTCAGTGCCCTATCAATAGCATTAGAGGCTTAAGTACAAGGCATAATCCATCCAAACAGCACAGAAATGCTAAGAGAGAAAGAGAGAAGAAGAAGAAGAAGCCAAAGAAAAAACAAAGCATTAATTAATTAATTACCCAACACCTACCCATTTCTCATTAAGGAGCTAGATCACTTTAGCTCCTAATAATTTAATTTATCCTGAATTTTTAAATTTTTTTCATTTTCATACATTTTATATATAAAATCAATTTTTTTTAATTGATCAAAATACAAATTATTCATCTTAATTAAGAAATATTTTATAAAGGGAAATTTTTTTTAAAGAAAAATTATATTTAAACTTTGAAAATTGTACGCTAATATTTAACAAGTCTATCTTTATTAATTAATTATTAAGAATAAGAATGATATGCGTATGGGGTGGCGTCATCAGTCTACTTATGTTCATCGTCATCATTACCACTGATCACACACCGTTGATCAATAACATAAAAATAGGAAGATGATGATGTGATGTGGGTTATTTATTATTTTACAAGAGAAAAGCTTGTATTATCTTGTTTTGTTTTTATGGAACAAAGTCTACTTTCAATTCTATTTATTGTTTTATAAAATAGACATTATGATGACATCCTCCTTTATTTTATTTTATTTTATTATTTTATTTTTATAAGAACCAAAGTTAGCTTCAACTATTCATTGTTTTATCATTTTCATATCTTATTTCTTAATGATATAAATAATATTATATATTTAAAAGAAGGTTACGTATATTTAATTTTAACTATTAGCTTAATTAATTAATAAGTTTGCTAATTCTAACATAAATAGTTGATCTTAATTAATTTTTAGGTAAAATTTTAATACATGTTGCTATTAAAATGTAAACTGATTATTAAATATATATATATATATTATTCCAAATTGTCTATGTGAGATTAATTGATAAATAACATTATCATTATCGTCAACGATGACTTTCTTAGAATCATTATCAATATTATTTTTTTTCTTAAAAAAAATATAATTGGAGATTAAAAAAGAAATATATTGGGGTTAGAATTATCAAGAAATTAATTAATTAATTAGAAATACTAAAATACTTGTATAATAATGAGTTGGTTTGAAAGAAAGGTGCCCAATTACAAAGATCCCTTCAAGCTTGTTGGAGTTGAGATTGTGACAACCTAATAGAATATAGGTTTGAATTTGTTGTTGATGATGTGAGAATTTCTATAATCCAAATTGTTGAAATTCAGATTATGACTCATTTAAATATTTAGAGAAAAATATTATGCATTTCTAAGTAAAACAGTTTTTCCCCGCTCTTCAATACCCTATTTGTTTGTTTCTTTATATATTTCAGTATCAAAATTTTTAAATTGTTAAGTTTGGGTGTAATTAAATTTATTGGTTCAGAATTAAATTTCAGAACGTGTTAAATTTCACAAAATACGGATAATAATAAATCATAATATTTAAGCGATAATAACTCAAATTTGTATACAGAAGATTATTTGAAAAAAGAAAAAGAAAAGAGAGCTTACCGTAACTGCCTTGTAGAAAAAAAAAAGGGTTTTTAAATTTTAAATTTTAAGAGAAAGAGAAATAAAATTGTAAACTTGAAATTTTCTTGATTTGCTTATAGTTCTGTTTAAATGTAGACATGTTACCAACCTAACTTTAATAAGAAGCTACTATTTCCATGCTTATAGTTCCTTAATGATAATTTATTAACCATAAACAAATAATTTATCCATTCTACACTATGCAATATGGCAATGAGTCGGATATGAGTTCGCTTTCTAATACTTGTATTCATCCCATAACTTAAATACTTATTTATCTTGTATAGTCGCAGACTGAGTTCAGATTGAATTCTATTAAAAAAAATTAAATAAAAAATTAAAAAGACTAAACTTAGGTTAAAAAAATCATATAAATCAAGCAGATTATATGTTATATTCAAATCATCTTTAAATGAGTCAAAGTTTATCCCCTCTACTTATATTAGATTCGGACAATATTCACTGAATGATAAATTATCAGATGAGATGAATTATAATTTCTTCTCTAAAGAATCAGAATTGTCGGTTTTGTGAATTGAAGCCATCATTTTGACTCGTGATTATGGCTAGGATAGGATATTTTATGTAGTTAAATTAATGCAAATTTAAATTATTATGTAAAATGCAATTGAATTCCATAAATATAAAAATCTATTTAAAATGAATTGTACATTTTAATTTGGTTAATTACTAACGAACCTAAAAGTTCACAAAGAGTTCAAATTCTTGAACAAAGCAAAGCCCATACACAAAAAGCCTACGTTTATGTAAACTAACAATTTGCCTTTCAGAAAGAAGCCCGATGAGGTAGGCGTCCGTGAAACTCTACAAACTTAAGATGGGCTATTGTTTCTGTAACAACATTTATGATTCAGAAGAAATCCGAGGAAGAAGGGAATGATGTTAGCAGCACAGCGAGCAATCAGGTTGATCCATACAAGCTTGGATCCCCCACGCCTCACTAGATTCACACTGCAAGCACCGAAATGTGTAAGCTTTTCTTTCTATTTCAATTTTTCCAGTTGTATAGTCTTTTATTTTGCTGGATTGGTTTGGTTCTTTATTATTATTTCTGGGGTTTTGTTGGTTCTATGTGTAAGGGGTAATCGGTTTATTAGCTATTCCAAATGATTTGATTTCAAACCACTTGGCCCTTCAGTCTTTATTTGATCAATTGTTTAAGCTTGTAGTTTACAGCTGATTCTCATTTTATTGGTACACTGCCCTTTAATCAAATTTTGGTTTACGATTGTTTAAGATTGTATTGTTTTTTTTTTTTTTTTTTTTTTTTTTTTTTTGAGAATGAGTATTTGTAACATTTCGCTCCTATTTGTTTTGATATATGATTTGCATTTGTGATATTCAAATTTGGAGTACAGTTATCTGAAGCTGTGGGCTTGCTTGAGTTCTTTTGGATGTTTGATCCTGTCTCTTGTGAAATGGTCATGTAGTTTTCTGCTTGTGAACAAAGCTAATTGCCCATGACAGACTGTTCTTGTGTATTGGAAGTTTCTTGCAAAAATTAATTTATTTTAGTACGGCAATTACCATTATATATATTCCTCTTATCTTCTATGCATGCTTGTTGTCTGGCTATTCTATGGAATTTTAGCTTTTTTTTAGTTCAGATTTATACTATTTTCAATCTTTTGCTACAGGTAGAGGTGGAATTTGCCAATGGTAGCAAGTTTAATCTATCATCTGAATTTTTAAGAATACATAGTCCAGCTGTTGATGGGAAAACTAGGTCAATTGGGGGTGAGAAGGTAGCTTCATCAGAATTGAGAACTATTATTCTTTGCCTATTTTAAATTTTATTGTTTTTCTGTTCAGTTATTTTTATTTACCCTTTAATTCCTATATAAAATATATTTCTTCATTCAAATTATCTACCACTTCACATGTTACTTTTCTTAATCATCTGAATGCTTGGAATTTAAAATAAATAACAACAGTTGGTTAAGAGATTTTAAGTTAGTAATTTTTGGCAAGTTTCAACTTAGCATTAGACGTAGTAACAGTAATAGCAATCCTACTATATGAATACATATTGGGTTAATTCACTTCACCAGCATCCACTCATTCCTTTTTTTGTAAACATCAAGTAAAAGAAACGAAAATATACTTTCGTATTGGCATGAACTAGCTTGTGGCTTAAGTATGATTAACTGTTTGAGTGCCTGGCATTTCTTAATCAGGTGATTTTTGGGCGGCGTCATGTGGGTATCATGTCTGCAGAACCTGTAGGGAATTATGGGGTAAGGTACTTCCAGCTTAAGCTCGTGTTTTTGTCTTTATTCCATATATACAAACCTACTTGTAGCAGCGTGTTTTTGTTTATTTATGTCAGTTTGCTTCTGACTGCATGATTTAGGATAATATTTGATGATTTGCATAAAACTGGGATCTATACGTGGGATTATTTCTATCACCTTGGTAGCAATAAGTTCACCATGATGAGAAATTATATCAAAACACTGAGGAAGCATGGACTTAGCCGGGATCCACCAAAAAGAAAATGATGGACAGCTTGTTTTGATCGTCTTAGTTGGTTATTCATGTTGGATAATGAACAAAAAGCTGCACATACTTGATAAAAGATTTCCTTCATGCTCTGATGCTGAGAAGTTCAAATGTTATGTAATATTTGAAGCAGGCCAAAAAAATCAAAACATGCTTATGCATGAAGTCCTAGAAATACAATTGTTTTACTCAGTTTTTACCTATTATACTTGTGTAAGCCATTTTACCTTCAAATATATAAAAAAAAAAAAAAAAAAAAAAAAAAAAAAAACAAAGAACGCAGCAAAAAAAGAGATGAGCGACTGATATGTTTCAGTAGCAGTACAGGAATATGATATCCTATTCCTCAAATAAGAATTACCAGCTAAAGCTATGAAGTGTTAATGTGCAATAGAAGCACATTGAGTGTCTAATTCCTAGACCATAGTTCCAAAACATTATTTTATTTTTTCAAATTCCAACTTTTCCACCCTAATTAAATCTTTGTTATCATAAAAATGAGAGTTCCAATGAATAAAGCATTTGTATTCAGAAAAGCATTTGTATTCAGAAAAGTAAGTCGCTTAACATGTTCCTTTACATCACTCACGGTCTATGCTACACTCTTCACTTGTTTCCCTATCTGGTTTCCCCACTCCATGATTCAGGGTGCGGAAAATTACAGTTGATAGTATGCCTAAAGTGCAAAAATGGACAGTTTTTTTCTGTAAGAATTGAAGGTACATCAAACATCAAAACCAAAATGGACAGTCTATGAAGATTTTTTGTTCTGTCCACCCTTTGATATGCGCCGCAGCCCTTGAGTGCCCGTTTTTATTCCCCTGCAGCAAAATAATTAAACATTTGAAGCAATTTGAAAGGAGCAAGAAATTTCACGAAAATTCGAGAGTTCAGGAAATGAATACCTCTTGTACAAGTACATGAAGGTATAGTAAAGCAACAGCAGCATCAAAATCATGACAGAAATTACAATGTACACTACACTGATTTGCTTCTGCACGAAAGAAACAGCAAAGGAATAAGCAAATAACAGAATAATCAACAAACCTCAATCAAGCATGGAGTTCCGAGTTTGTAGCATGCTGAATAACACAATCATGAGTCAATAAGATGCCAAATAATGTCTCATGCATGGTTCTAACCACAATGTCAACGCCAGTGTGTGGCTCAGTGAAATATTCCACTTCACCAGTAAACTAGACCTAACTTGTTTCAGTTGTCTGATATAGGCATGAGTCAACTGATGAAAGGTTTTCATTAACTAAATACTTAACTGGCTATAGGCTTGAAAATAAAGAGGGATTGCAAAAATGCTTTTTGCCACTTCATCACCAATCAATCTGAGCTTTGTCGTTACTTGATATCTCCTTAAACAGAACAAAAACAAGCCAGAGAAGTTGAAATTTACCTCGCCCCCTCTGGGAAATGGTTTCCGACGACCATTGCAAGTGTGGGCATCACAAAATTGACGCAAGAACAACTCTGTCAACTCAAACTTATCAGTTAAAAACATGATAAGCTCGGCAAGCTACTAAGTACATGACAACTTCTCCAAGTACACAAAGGAAGAAAAATTACCATTAAGGCGATGTGCTGAAGGACCTTCATTGGCTGGAAAACAACTATCAGCTAGACTCTGCATTGGATCATCATATTGATATGACAAAACATAAAACATAATTCACAAACATGCAAGTATTACCAGTGCCCACCTCACATAGATGTTTATTCTTTGCTGCTGCCGCAGGATTACACTTGGTCTTTCGTGTTGCAGAATCCATCACAAGGTCACAATGTAGTGCACCACATACATCTGCCAAGCACCTACCATGACTCTGGTTCAGCACAAGCATCAGATGTTTCAATTACAACTTACAATATTAAAAGGGTGGTCGGCAATTCCTCAAAAGAAACCAGAGCCATAAACCCATCGGCATAGATATAAACTTTGGCAAACAAACTGAAACATAAACATAATCTCAGGTAAAACCAGTGCACCAGCTCTGTCAAGATATGAAAACTTGATTTAAGTTGCAAGAGGGTAAGACAAATACGAGACCAGAACTACCACAATTCAAGGTTTCCATGGGCTAAATTAAGAGGTTAAGACAAATCAAAGGTGACATGTTCTTCTCAAAATTTCATACTTCAGCTTCCTCTGTCATGGAAATTATCTAAACTCAGGATCCTAAAGCTAAAGATGGAAAAGAGAACAAATCCTTTCCTTCTTCTGCCAAAAAAAAAAAAGTAAGATGGACCGATATTTTGCTATTTCCTTGGCCTAATTTTGCTGGAAAGTCATATCCACTTTACAGGGTCACACTAGAATAACCAAAATTCACCGATAGACTTCCATGATGCTACAGGCATGACTTCTTTAACATAATGGGCCACCTGTTTTAGACATGCGATTCAGAGAACATCCAAGAAAGAAGCAAAACCATATCTAAAGTTTCTCAAAATCTTTGTTAATATATTTTACATGTATTTTCCAGATAAGAAAGATATTCTGGAGAAGTAACTTAGCATGGTTGAGCATGCTGCATGGGATCATCCATGTTAAGAAAACATCCCACATAATATCAAGTCAACTTTCAATGGCCTATGATCTGTTGTTTTCATAAATTAATACATGAAACTGAAAAATTTACCCAAAACAAAGTGGAACCATAATGCAAGCAAATGTTGTCAAAAACCATAAAAGAAAAAAGGAAACTGTTTTACTGAAGCTTACCACATTCAATATATCATAGTGTCTGTTATCAAAATGCTTATCAAGATACGTCTCATCATAAAAAACCTTTTTACAATACCCACATCGCCAATCATGTAGATCCTGATGGATCTTGTGCTCTTCCTGATCTCTGAACAAGTCATTTTCTGGGTGAAGCCTACACCTAGTTGAAATGTGATATCTTTCCTTCTCTACGAAAGGCATGAAATACTGCTCCAAAAATAAACAAATAAATAAAAACCCTCAGTTAAAAAAAACAAGCATTTTTCTTCAATTTAGAGTTGATCACTTCCAGTACCTCCTCAATTATTTTCCATGCTGCCCTACTCCTTTCTCTTGAACAATGCACTTCATGGGCATGTCCCTGCTCTTGCTTCAGTGTTCTAAACATCAAATTCTATACATTAACTAAAGCTTGAAAAGGAAACATAATTATTTTATAGCGTTGTGAAAAGAACACCGCCCTAATTACTCTGGTAAAAGATTGATATCATCCATAGCAGTTTCATTCATTCATTCATTCATTTAATCCCATAAACAAAAGAAAACAAATTCAAGAATCCAATCAACAGGTGAAATGGTAACCCTAATTTCAATTAAAGAAACAAGCATCAAAGTGATATTACCTTGCACCTGCAGATTCTTGATAACCCTGAAGTCAATAAAAAAGAAAATCAATTACTGCTCTAATTTGTCGCTGAAGAAGATAAAAAGAAGCACCAAAAGATTAGGGCTTTTGGTTTGTTGGACAAGCAATAAGACTAACAAGAGAACTGAAGCAGTATATATTGATTTTGTTTAAGCAGTACCCGAGGTGAAGTAGAAGAAGAAACTGTCAATAGAAGGTGAGAATTTGTTACCCATAGAAATAGAAAAACGACCAGCCGTCTTGAACACTTCCCCATATCTCGTTTGGCATCTCTCGCTCTCCAGAACCGCAGATAATGAGCATTTAACCAATAGCTATGGCGGTTGTTTCTGTCTCCCTAAATCGAGAAATTTGCAAGAAGGAAAGTGCCATATGTCTTAACCAATCAAAAGTTGCCACGTCAGATACTGTGGACTTCCTCGACTTGTTTTTAGAAATTTTGCTTGCTTTTGTCAATTGCAGTCTAATCCGTTTTTTCATATTAGCATGTTCTATTTTTTTTTTATTATTAATTTGAAAACATGATTTTCCTAAAAATCGAAATAAATTATTATTAAATGATAAATTTATTTAAAATAGTTTTTCCTAATTTTTTTTACAATAAAGTGAAATTGTTATGTTTATTCTGAAATAATGAAAATTTGAAATTTAATTAGATAATAATTTAAAGTTAATTATTGATATTTCATAAATTTTATTTTTTTACCTAATTTAAGGTCTTTTTGATTTAATTAAATAATAATTGTTATTTTTGTCCTCTAATACTAATAATGATTTTTTTTTTGAAAAGTATTGAACTAATATATATAATTTTAAAGTTAATTATTGATATTTCTAAATTTTATTTTTATTACCTTAATTTTAAGGTCTTTTTTGATTCAACTTAATAAATAATTGATTTTATTTTTGTCCTCTAATACTATATAATGAAATTTTTTTTTTGAAAAGTATTGAACTAAATATATATATATATATAGTATATATATATATATATATATATATATATAGATAATATTTTCTATATATAGATAATTATTTCTTTATTGAATTATTGTTAGCTCAATTATAAAGTTCGTGAATTAATTCACCAGCTTCCATTTTAATGTTTAAACTCGACTCATTTATTAAGCAAGTGAATTTTTTTTGAGATAAATTTAAATAACTAATAAATGATTTAATTTATTTACAATCCTAATTATATTTGAAAAAAAATATTTACAATAAATTCTTAACACAACTATATCTTGAGATTGAATTCAAATTTATATAAATGCACGATTTGTAATTGAATTTTGATTTTAATAAATTAATAGAAAATATAGCTACATACTATGTATGTTACTATTTTTAATTGATTTTGGAAAATTATACCGATCCTACCATTATTGAGAATTTGAAGACTTCAATTCTCAATAAATAATAATAATAAACAATATGCACAAAAAAAAAAAAAAAAACTCACAAAAAAAAAAAAAAAAAAAAAAACCCACATGAATCAATCTTACAAAGCGATGTCGTTTCAATTGTTCCTGTCAGGTGGGCCGGTAGCTACTGGCTGCGCCGAAAATAAAAAGAATTCTTTAATTTAAGCCTGGCCACCGATTTGGTTCAAACCGGAATAAAAATGAAAATCGAATTATACTGTAGATGAATCAAAATCGGACTGAACAGGCTGTTTAAAATTTTAAATTGGAACTAGCGGTTCAAGAGCCGGTTAAAGTTCATGTGAATTTTAAAATATGATATACTTAAGAATTTTTTTTTAAATACACTTTACTTTAAAAGTTAAAAATCTAAAAATAAAATGGCAAAAAAAAGAGAAAAATATTTAATCTAAATTTATATTATTTTTAACTATTTTTTACGCTTTTAAATCGTTTGTTAAGTTCAAAATTACATTCTTTTGAAGCATTTTTCAAAATTTTCTTATAATTTATTTAATTATGTCAAAATTTAACATTCTTTTGAAGCATTTTTCAAAAATTTTCTTATGAATTTATTTAATTAATAAAATATTTTAAACCAAAATAAAGTGATAATTTATTTTGATTATTTTGTTTTTAATTAATAATATTTAAACAAAATAAAGTGATAATTTATTTGATTATTTTGTAAAATTAATTAATTTTATTCATATAAGAGTATAAGCATTCTAAAATTTATTTAAAATAAAATTTATCAATATTTTTTAAATTCATATTAATATGTATGAAAGAAAGATATAACATTAAAACCGATTTTTTTAAAAAAAATAAACATATATCCCCGAAAATCGTGAATGGAACTGTCGGTTCATTGGAACCACTTCGAAACCGGTTGGAATTGAAACTGGACCAACATCGACGGTTCAAAACTCAGCTCAAATTCAACATTTTAAAAAATTTAAACTTTCAGTTCGGTGAACCGAAAACAGCAGTTCAATAAACTCGCTATGCCTACTTCAACTCCAGAATCATTTGCAAATCTTTAATATAAGACAATTGATCAAAGAAAATTGCAAAGTTGACTGCTACTTTATTAAACCCCGAGTATTATCAATCATTACTAGGAACAGTAAGCTTTTCCTACTCCGTACTCACCATTACTACCTAATCATTATTATTATTATTTATGTGTTTAGATGAAAAAAATGAAGAATTTCAGGGTTTGACTTTTTGAATATCTGTCAAGATCAATGAAATTTAGATCTTCGAGAGAACCCATTTCGAATCAGGCCTTGAATTTGAGCTACGATGGCAAAGTTCATGGTTTTGATATTGGTTTTGTTAAAATTGGGGTTTTGGGTTGGTAGTGGGTCGGGTTCTGAAACGGGTCAGAAGGCACCGAACAGGATCCATACTCTGTTCTCAGTTGAATGTCAGAATTACTTTGATTGGCAAACGGTGGGGCTCATGCATAGTTTCAAGAAGGCCGCGCAACCGGGACCCATAACTCGATTACTGAGCTGTACGGAGGAGGAGAAGAAGAATTATAGAGGTATGCATTTGGCTCCTACTCTGGAGGTGCCCTCCATGAGCAGACACCCCAGAACTGGCGACTGGTGAGTCTCAATCTCTTTTTTCTTTTCATTTTTTTAAAGTTACGTGTAATTTGTTGGTTGTTACTGTAAGTATTGAAGTCAAAGTTGAGTGATCATTGTGGTTCGATTACCAATTGGGTGGTTTCATTGTCTCTATGACTTGTTTTTATATGTTAAAAGTTATTCAGTTGTTTCTTTGCGTTGAAATTGGGATTGGATTAGAGGTTATTGAAATGGGCACCTTTCTTTTTTGTTTAGATATTCAATGCTTATTTGCTCAAATCAAAACTATGAGCTTTCTATTTATAGTTGGTTCAAATTTCATTTTAGTATTCCATTTTACTCTTGCCTGGGACAGCATCAACTTATTAGAGAACACGCCAGAGAAGGTTTGATTTTTCTAAATGAATGAGGCTGTCAAAGTATTTGTCATTAATGTAATATTTGGTTGGATATTATTTTGAACAAAATAAAAGGTGCAAAAGCTAGCTGTGCTTTTTAATGATGCATCAGTGCAGTTCAACACTAGACCAAATAACAGACGCTTGGATAAAACAGCATGATCGAAACAGTTTGCTGCGTCTTATTTCTGGGTTGGTTGGAATTGTTTTGTTGTCTTTTTTTTTTTTTTTTTTTTTTTTTTGCTGCTCTGATTTCTGGTTGGTTGGAATTGTTATTGGTGTCCTTTTTTTTTTTTTTTTTTTTTTTTTTTTTTTTGAGACTTTTAATTGTACCCCTTCTTCATTTGCAATGTTCATAAGTGGTTGCCCCTCTTCTATTGCCATCACAATATTTTCATTAAGAATTAGCTTTAACTTTTCTAACATGGATGGAAGTCAGATGGCTGTTCTTAGCTTTAATACCTCTCATAATCTCAAGGAATTAAGCTTCTTTTTGACTTTTGGGCCTCTATTTCCTGATTCTTATATTCTTCTGCTTCATTCTGGGTCCTTCTTATTGGCATTTTAATATTGTCCTTGCCAAAGAATCTAACTTTGAAATTCATTATGTGCCGTTAAGTCAATATTCAATTAGTTCTGATCATGTCTTTGCCAAGTTCCAATGCACATTTTTTCTTGCTATATTTCTGCTTGCTTGCATTTGAAACACATGTTTTCTCTAAAACTTAGATGAAAGTTGAAGCTCTTTTGGAGTTTCCTTACACTGGACAGAAAAAAAAAATGAAGTGCTACTTTTGTTTTTTTTTTTTTTTTTTTTTTTTTTTTTTTTTTTTTTTTTTTTTTTTTTTTTTTTTTTTTTTTTTTTTTTTTTTTTTTTTTTTTTTTTTTTTTTTTTTTTTTTTTTTTTTTTTTTTTTTTTTTTTTTTTTCAGGTACCCTGCAATCAACAAACCTGCTGGAATTGTTCACTGGTTGAAACATAGTAAAGATGCAGATAATGTCGATTGGGTTGTCATTCTAGATGCAGACATGATCATTAGAGGTCCAATTATTCCTTGGAAACTTGGTGCAGAGAAAGGCAGGCCTGTTGCAGCCTATTATGGGTACTAATTTTTATCTCAATCAAAGGTGTTTTGCACTAAATATGAGTTTTCTCCCTTGATGAGTGCTTAAGCAATATTTATAAACAAGTTTCTTCCCAATACATTGTCCACTATTCATGGCTGGCCTGCCAGTTACATTGGACGCTTCTGCATTATATTTTGTCTAACTTTTTGCACTTGACATTCTTCCAGCTCGCAGTAATCACGCTTTTCAGAGGAACATAAATAATTTAGAATTGGAGTGTTTTCGTCCGGGTTTTGGATGATGAATTTGGACATTCTTAGAGTTTTTTCTATAAAATTGTTATTTCATTCCCTAATTTGAGTAATAAATATGTCTTGCCTGTAACCTTTAAAGTAATTATGGTAGATATTCCTTGTATTAATTGCAATTATTTGATCAATTTCCATTCAGGTACTTGGTTGGATGTGACAACATTCTGGCTCAATTGCACACAAAGCACCCAGAACTCTGCGACAAGGTTGGTGGGCTTTTAGCCATGCATATAGATGATCTTCGAGCATTAGCACCCATGTGGCTTTCAAAGACAGAAGAAGTACGTGAAGATAAAGCCCACTGGGCAACCAATATAACTGGCGACATCTATGGTCAAGGTTGGATAAGTGAGATGTATGGCTACTCATTTGGTGCTGCAGAAGTGAGTCAGTTTCTTTAGTTCCCTGAGCAAAGCTGTGTTCTTATTTGTTACTACTGGACTAGAAATTTCTATTGTTATATTTATATTTTGGTTACTGCTAATTTTCAGGTTGGACTACGACACAAGATTAATGATGACTTAATGATCTACCCAGGCTATATTCCAAGAGAGGGCGTTCAACCTATTCTACTTCACTATGGTTTGCCATTTAGTGTGGGAAATTGGTCTTTCAGTAAATTGGATCACCATGAAGATGATATTGTTTATGATTGTGATCGGCTTTTCCCTGAGCCTCCTTACCCTAGAGAGGTATATGAGCCAAGATGCAAAATTAGTAATGTCTTTTAACAAATGAAGCTGCTTGTATTCTAAAGAAACTTGCTCAGTGTTTTCAAAGCATATTCTATGCATTTCCGTTCTTTGTTTTCAAAGTTTCCACATCAAGTCAGTAAGGTCACCTTTTGAATAGCCCTGACTAGATGGTCAACACCTGTCCATGCTTGTTTCAATATCAAGTACTATCTTACATCAAAATATCACATTTTCATTCTCAATATGTTGGTGTTTTATGGCTAAATATTGGATTTGGTAATATTGAAACATATGGTCTTGCATTTTGCAGGTAAAATCTATGGAATCTGATCCAAATAAAAGGCGAGGACTGTTTTTGAGTATAGAGTGTATCAATACTTTAAATGAAGGTCTCTTATTGCAACATGCTGCGGATGGATGCTCTAAACCAAAATGGTCAAAATACCTGAGCTTTTTAAAGAGCAAAACTTTTGCTGAATTAACTCGGCCGAAACTTCTTACTCCTGACAGTGTAAAAACTAAGGAGGCTGCAAAAGAGCGACAGGTTATTGATGAACCTCAGAAACCTCATCCAAAAATCCACACCATATTTTCCACAGAATGTACTCCTTATTTTGATTGGCAGACTGTAGGCCTTGTGCATAGTTTCCATTTAAGTGGCCAGCCTGGAAATATCACACGGCTTCTCAGTTGTACGGATGAAGAATTAAAGCGGTATACAGGCCACGATCTGGCTCCTACCCATTATGTTCCTTCTATGAGCCGACATCCACTAACAGGCGATTGGTAAATTTTGTTATCTTCATATCTATTTCTTTTGCCCTCAGTAGTTGCATTGCTGGTCTTTCTAGGTTAATTGCAGCACATACATGTCACCATTTTGATTCTTGACATAATGCGTGTACCCTTGGTGTTCCTGCCTTTCATTTTCTGTCATGTCAAATGCTGCTTTAAATAAAATGTTGAGGAACTATGTTTTCTGAAGTAAACCATCCTAGGATTTTGTTTTAGCTAAAAAGCCTGGTAAGGCACTCATAAAGTGCTATATATTCAAATTATGAACTTTTTAATGGAAATGTTTGACAAAACTTTATCCAACTCTGAGCAAAATAGGTTAGTGCTGGCCAGGAAGAGTTTTAGGAGGGGCAAATCTAGAATTTGGTACATTTTGGTATGTCCCCAGAGTGGCTGTCCTAAAATGCCGAACCAGTTCTTTTCTACATGTATGCCTGAGATTGTGTTATTGCACCAGTCAGTTCAGCCACCTTCGTTAACCTAACAAGTACGGTGAATCCAAAAAGATGAAAACAGATTCCAACGAATACAATTCTAAATCTTGCCTTTGTCAGGTATCCGGCGATTAATAAACCAGCTGCTGTACTTCATTGGCTTAATCATGCGAACATAGATGCTGAGTTCATAGTTATTCTTGATGCTGATATGATCTTGAGGGGTCCAATCACACCCTGGGAATTCAAAGCAGCACGAGGCCATCCAGTTTCAACTCCCTATGAGTAAGTCAAAAGTTTCAATTTCCTTAAGCTTGTGTATACTTCATAAGAAATGTGTGCATGAGAGAGATGAGGGATGGAGCCACTTGTGGGCTTTTTGTTGCATAAGAAATGATATTTGTGGCTGATAATTAAATTTATGCATGTCAGCTACCTTATTGGTTGTGATAATGTGCTTGCACAACTCCATACAAGCCATCCTGATGCTTGCGACAAGGTTGGGGGTGTAATCATCATGCATATAGAAGATCTCCGAAAATTTGCTATGCTGTGGTTGCATAAAACTGAGGAGGTCCGGGCAGACAAAGCTCATTATGCCACAAATATCACTGGAGATATATATGAGTCTGGCTGGATTAGTGAGATGTATGGTTACTCTTTTGGTGCAGCAGAGGTATGTCACTTTCCAATAAATGCCTTCCATATGTCGATTGTAGTATTGTAATATGGACATAGCAACTGAATATTGTAGAGAAAAATCCTGTATGTGAGTGTTCCATATCATGACAGGGTACATGTTCAATGTCCATTACTGACTTCTTTTTATTTATTTTAGAGAATATAAACATCAATAGAATTGTTTCTTCTGTTTCTGAAATTGATGATTTTACTCTGCTCTAGTAATAAAAAATTATTTTACCGTTTATTCACTTATTCTTTGTACATGCAGTTGCAACTACGGCATGTTATAAGCAGGGAGATATTAATATACCCAGGATATATCCCTGAGCCTGGTGTTAACTACAGAGTTTTCCACTATGGTTTGGAATTTAAAGTTGGGAATTGGAGCTTTGACAAGGCAAACTGGAGAGATACTGATGTGGTCAATAAATGCTGGGCTAAGTTTCCAGATCCTCCCGATCCTTCAACACTTAACGAGACTGATGGAGACATCTTACACAGAGACCTACTTAGCATAGAATGTGGAAAGACATTAAATGAAGCACTTCTTCTGCATCACAAGAAGAAAAATTGCCCTGATCCTAGCTCATTATCCAACTCAATTTCGGATACAGGAAAAAATGCTGTAAATTCAAGGAAATTTGGCATAATCGATGAAAGTAGTGCCGTTAAGAGCAACCCTGTAACAATAATACATTCTCAGGATTCATCCGTACCTGCTACAACAGACGGACTCTTCAGTTCTTTGAGATTCTGGGTTATTGTCCTATGGGCACTTTCCGGTTTTGGTTTCGTGATAGTCATGTTCATGGTGTTTTCAGGTCATAGAAGTAAGGGAACCAGGGGAAAAGGTTATAGAAGCAAGAGAAGATCACATACTGGTTTCTTGGATATGAATGGCCGTGAAAGGCTTCTTCGCAATGCTGAATCATCTTTATAACCTTAAATTGTAGTTCAAGTGAGTTATACAAGACTGGACATTCCAGCATCATGGTCTCAAGGAAACTTGAAGAAGTCGTATAATGATACAGCAAAACAGTACTAAGAATATTTTTTGCAAGAGAAGAGATGACACCACATCAGAAAAGTTTTGGCTGTTCTTTCCACTGTTGTAACTTTTGACTTGTCATTGTCCTCTCTCAATGTGCTAAAAGAAGGAAAATCTCATGGAAACTGAAGGGATGGCAATTTTTCCATTGTGACAACTGAGCAATTTAGAAAACCTTTTTTAGTAATTTTCGTTTTCCCTTCTATTGTTAACATAAGAAAATTTTATTTCATTTTAAGTACAGAAATGCTTGATGATACCACTACTACGAAGGTTGAAACTGGATCGATGACAAAGCGTAAGGAAGAAGACAACCTGAAGGAACATCGGATATGATGTGACTTGGTTGAAGGATTCTAATGGATACGTTCACCCATCCTATACAATTTAATTAATCTTTTGTCTTAAACATCTATGTCAATGTATGCTCGAGAAGGGACTCGTCTGGAGGAACTTGAAACCCAATTATCCAGTCTACTCTTCTCCACCATTCTTAAACCATGAAACTAAATCTGCAATTATCAACAGATGTTCGAACTTTGGCCGTTAACCGATTTGTCAGCTGCTAAAACCGGTGGTTTCGGTGTTCATTGGTGTTTATTCGCAAAGCAATGACTGAAACTGATACATTTACAACCTTATACAATGCCAATAATGCTGTCATAATAAAAAAGGAATTCAATTTGCCATTGGTTGGGGAAAACTCAGGGCATTGTAGCCGTCTAAAATTAGAAGAGTGCAATAGTACAATCTCTATCTAGCAAAAATACAATCATCAAATCTAATACAAAGTCTCAAGTCAAAACTCATCTATACTTAGTATGATTTTTGAGTCAAAAATAATCTTCGGTAGACTATATCCATAAGCTTCGCATCAATGAGTTGCAGAAGAACACAAAAATGCAGAAATATCGCCTAGTTCTTCCCATAACTTCATGGCCAGTTACCAAATTGCCAACTACTAGTTTTAAGCAGTAAATGGCAGCCAAATCTGTTTTGGTAAGCATGCCCATAGTTGGCAACAGAGTTCAGCATCTGTCTGCCAATTTGCCATGTCCTAAAATTATCTTCCTCACATTTTGCATTCATGTTTTACCGGTTATCTTCCTCTTTTTTGACAGGCCTTTTTGCTTCTGATCCCTCTTCCTCTTCTTTGATTGCTTTTGGAATGATTTTCCAACCAAGGATGGTTGTTGCTTCAAGGCAAAGCTTTTGGCAACATGCCCCAAGTGAAGTTTCTGCACCATAAATATTCTCTTCAAATCTCCTCGGTGGGCTGTGTATGCGCGGACCCAAGAGATAAATGCATTCTGGGCCAACTTATTCATCCTTGGCTGAGGAAAGATATATAGCAACACATCAATTTTGAGCATGAAAGGAGCAAACAACATCAACAACAACTAAGCCTTAATCCCAAAGTAGTTGGGGTCGATTTTATGAATTCTTTATTACCATTTCTGTTCTGTTCGATAACAGCAAGAAATAAGCACCGCATAAAATGAGGAACAAAGGATTTTGAGAAAGAAAAAAATTTTTGGTAAAAAATTTTGAGAACTTTTAAAATCATTTGATTGATTAAGTAACAAACAAACATAAGACAGACAATAACAAAAAAGCCTTAAGTCTAGACTAGTAGGGGTTTGATATAGGAAATAATAGCATGAAAGGAGCAAATCAGACTCAAATATACCCTGGACCGCAAATAGGTGGAGATTAGCAGTTTAATGAGCTTCCAAATGTTAACTAACATTAGGGATGTCAATTTTTTGGGAAGGAGTACAACTGTCAACAAAAGCAGATGTCAATGCACAAATTATAAGGATTGAAAACTTCAGTACACAACTAGAAAGAAAAAGTTAGGCACAATCAAAGTCAGAATTTCTGCAATAAGATGAAGGAAAGAAGTATTAGAAAAAAAATACACAAAATTATCTTGGGAAGTTCATACCTGCACTGAAATAAATGATTCAAGGGCCTTCTGCACTGATAACACCCAGGGATGCAACTCCAAAGAAACAAACTTCTTGGTGCGATGAGTCTGTCCATGCAACAGAAGACTATCCAACACTTTGAGGATGGGATACTCTGTCAATGACACACCATGTTTCCCCAGGTCTTGTAGATAATCCACTTCAACTGGTTGTAGGAATAGCAAGGAATCCCCCATTTCACCCAACCGAGCAGTCCTACCAACCCTGCACCATGATCATAGGTCAGATCATGCTGGACTGTCCATCCAATCTTAACCAGAATGCCTACATGCATGTACTGAGCACATATAAACAGCTGATAAGAAATAGAAATATGCAAACAAACTACAGCAGAAAGGAGTCTCCAAAACCTGTGCACATATTCAGTAGCCTCTCCCGGAGAATCATACTGTATAATGCATCGAACTTTTGGAAAATCCAAGCCTCTAGCTGCTACATCTGTGGACAGAAGAAGAGCCAACTTCTCAGTTTTGAAGGCTTGGAATGTGCTTCGTCGATCTTCCTGCTTCATACTTCCATGCAACCGAAAAATTTTGCATCTCAAAAACATCTCTGAACCCTCAGCTTCCGATTGCGAATTGGGCGAATAGCGGAAATCACTTAACAAAGAATAGTGGAAATCCACTCCATCACATGTTGAAAAGAACACCACAATCTGTAAATTGAGTATGTGAGCGAACTTGACAAGCCAAGTGAACCAAAAACTTATAAGTAGATCATGTATGAACAGTCCAAGAGAGGAGAAAAACATGCCCATAATTCCAGCACAAGCTATTCACAGAAAGAAGCAAAAAGCAACAGGATCAGGAATATACAACTCTTCATGGTGTAAGAGGATTGGGTAATTATCTAGAAAGTGCATTAAAGTCGAAGCTTGAAAATATTAAAGCTGATACTTGTGATAAATTGATGATATTAGTTTCTAACTTCTAAGATAATTGACCGCCTACAGAACAGCTATAATAGAGGCAAGGCTTATAATAATGAAGTGATAAATAAACTTGAAACGATACTCCTTTATTGCTCAACATCATAACTGAATGTTTTCACTATAGATTATAAATTTAGCTCAACAATATTAAGGCTCACTAATTCATGTGGAGATACTACTTCGAAGGGAAAAAATGACAGTGACAAATGCTGCAACACAAAGATATACCAATACATAAAATGCCAACTAAAAGCTGCAAATAGAAATTCAAAGAGCAAAAGGGAAAACAATAATTATATCAGTGAACAGTACAAACTTGAAACGTAACCTTACTTTTTGGGAAGTTTCTTTCTCAAACAGATGTTTTAGAATGGAAATAAGTACTGCAAGCCGCGAACCACAGGGCACTGCGCAGAATTTCAGTCAGGTTTCTCATATCAGAAACAGCAACAAAGGTTCAGAAGGAGAAACATTCTATTTACATATACCTTTCACATATTTCTGAACCAACTGAGACGGAAGTTTATAATCTCCAGTTGAAGGGTTTGTTACTTTGCTGGGACATTCTAGTTCATCATCCGTATTAGACTCTACAGATTCAGTATGTTCAATTAACTGATCCAGTTGCATCTTCTTATCATCAAGACCAATCATAACTGGATTTTCTAAACTTATTTTAGCAAGATTGTTTACTTTTTCATTCAAGGTAGCTGATAATAGCAGATTTTGCCTCTGAGAAGTAGAGATGCTGGAGACTTTATTTCCCTTGACAACAGGTTCAGTTAGCCTAGAGCCCAGCAAATCCAGTATCTGCTCTATTTCCTGGCCAAATCCTAATTCCAAGATTCTGTAAAAATGTTCACCCAAAGTTACCCTGAGCACAGCACTACACATCTTTTGCAAAAGATAGTAACTCAACCATATATGTAAAACATACCTATCTGCTTCATCAAATATTATCCATCGCAAATTTGAGTGCATGAATGATGATGTATTTTTCAAGTGATCCAAAAGGCGCCCTGGAGTCGCAATAAGAATAGATATACCTGAAATGAGCCAAAATGCAATATTTATTACTCTTTTCAACATAGAAAAGCTACCTATTGCACATGCATTAAGGAAGGATTCACTTGCAAACCTTTAAATTAAAGTAAATGGCCTGACTAAGTTAAATGTTTCATAGTCAGAAGTCTATGTCCAATTCAATCAAAAGAAGGAGCAAATGCATAAGTATAATAAACATTTGCTGATTTCAATCAATTTCAATTAATGAGCCTTCATCAACTTTCAAGCATAGTTTTTTTTTTTTTTGATAACAGAAAGGACAATCAAATCAAAATATTTACAAAACAATTTGTCAAGCATACATAACGTATATCATAATTTTCATGGAACAGGTTAAGTCTTCAAATTTTAGGAGAACAATAGGCATATAGCTTGGGTATTTGAGCTCTTTGTTTTCCCACTAAAAGGCAAGTTTTTGTGTACAATTCTGCAAAAACCTAAGAGCCGCTTTCAGTCCTAGTCATTTCAAAATGCAAATGCAATAAATGACAAAGTTTCAAGAAATGACAATCTTGTAAGAAATGGATCTCAAAGCCAAGGTAATAAAGTAACAAAAGTTTCTACCTTTGCGCAGCCTAGCTTTCTCCTTAGTCCTTTTTTCACCACCCATTACATACCCCGGAACAATCCAATGAAAACGGTGCAACAACTTCTGCAAAATCTCATAAACCTGTATGCACAACTCACGCGTAGGCACAAGGACCAACGCTACCACCAGGATACTGACTAAATTAAATTGAGATAAGCAATGACTTATAAACTAGCAAAACAGAAAGTAGACAGAACCAAAATAGGCATAGAGTCAAAAACTTATTTGTGCAATTTTTAGCTCAAGAAAGACTTGATCAGCCATTGTTGCAAAAGAAATGACACGGACATACCAAAAGTTCCTTGGTTACGCTCGATTTTTGGACTGTAACTCTGCAAGTGATGAATAATTGGGGCTAAATAGGCCACAGTTTTGCCAGTACCAGTAGCCGCATTAACAAGTCTATGAATTTTACATTAAAGAACAAACAAAGGAAACAAACCCAGAAGCTGAAAATTGAGAATTAAATAATGAAGTTCGATAAACTTGCTACGTTTATATTATAATATAGAGAAAAAAAGGATACACATGACGACCAGAGAGAACAACAGGAATAGCTTGAGCCTGAACCAGTGTTGGAGCTTCAAAACCCAATCTTTCTGTTTTACATGTATAATTAGTTGCCCAAAAAGTTAGGAATTAAAAAACGTATCTGCATAGATAGAGAGAGACCTTGAAGCTCGTTGCACAGGGTTGGGTGAAGGCCTAAACTGGAGAAAGAGCAGGATGCGAATATTTCTGAATTTTTGTTCAATTCTTTTTCTTCTTCGCGTTCCCCTTTCATTTTCTTTTTTGTATCCATGAGTTTATTTGTTCTTCTTCTTCCTCTTTGTTATCGTTCTCTGTGATAGTTGGACCTTCTGTTTTAGGGTTTTTGGCGTTCCAATTTTTGTATTAGGGTTTATCAGGCAAAAACGACGACGTTTTATGGCCTTTAAATGACACGAACGACAATCTCATTACGCTGTATCCAAACGATGTATTGAAATTGCATTGTTTGATTTGTTGGAAACGACTTACGTAGGCTACAAATAAGTGATTATTATTGCGTGAATTTCATTACAACATTACATTACACCCTCAACCTGCTAAATATAGCATAATTTTTTTTAAACTTCAATTAAACCTAAGCTAATCCTACATAACTGATGGTCAACCAATTTGACCCAATTTAAATTAATAAAAATTTTATAATTTCTCACATATATATCCAATATAATGTATATTAAAATACAATAAAAATACAGTATAAAGTATTAGTATTGATTCGTCATGTCATACATATTTAAATTAAAAGTCAATTTAAAATTATTTTCTAATTCACTGAACTTATTATTCACTTGAAATTCAAAACGATATAACTCAAAAGTGAAAAAACTGGAAATGGTTTTAACCTAAAAACAATTGAAATTCAAAATGAAATTTAAATTCGTTTGACGCTAGGTTATCGTCTCTACACATGAATAATCATATCATACAAATCATTAAACACAATAAAATATTTTCCTTCTCAATTTTATGAGATTTTAATTTTCTATTGTATCTAGTTTTTGTGAGTATTGATATTTTCATAAGTAAAAAAACAAAAATTTACTTTGTACAAGTATTTAAAACACACAACATAAAACATTTAGCACTTCCAAAAATAGTGTTTGGACAAATAAAAATTTGTATTCAATCCCACTAATATTAAATTTGAAGTCCGGCGTCGTTTACCACAAATAATTGCAATTGAGCAACTTTTCAAATTGCTTCCTATTCCATCTTTATGTGTGCACACCGAGCCTAGAGCCTAGAGCAAACAGCTTATTTGTTATAATCTCTAAATTCAATTTTGTTTCAATAAACTAATTTTATACTACCATATTGTACTAAACTTTTTTTTTTTTTTATCATTTAATTAAAAATAGACCATTGTGCTCTGTGATAGATTCCAAGATTTGAACTCTTGAAGGAATGTGAAGCAATCCCACCTAAGCCAAAGTGGGGAAAATTCTAAACTTATTAACAAGTGAAAAAAAAAATCATAATCACCAACTCGATGGGATTCCCTGAAATTCAAATTAACTAACTTTATGGACGTTGAAGGAATTCACAATGTGGGCCCAAAAGGAAGTTGAAAAAGAAAAGCTTAGAGGCTGGAGCTCTTTATATAATATGATGGGTTAGAGACCCCACATCCAGACAAAAAAGATTGCTCCAGCCTCCAGGTTCCTTTTTCTCATTTAAATTTGCCTGCTTTTCCACGGCATATACCCAAAAACTTTCCATTTGAAATTCAAATTCGAACGGTACACAATAGAAATGCTATCATTAGCATAGAACAAGGCCACAGAGCTCGAACTTTGGAAGATTTTTTGAGTTGCCAAAAGACAACAGGCCATGGGGGAACCAACTTGTCTCATGCAACAACAGCCCTTCTCTTATGTTGCTGGCATTCCTAATGAGTCCAATGAGGTTTGTTCTTCAAAGTCTGCATTTTTGCACTTTATCTTTGTCTTTCGAACAAATTTCAATTATTGGGTTCTAATAATTCTTTCAAATCCATAATGGGTTCTTTGATTTCTGCCTTTTGTGATCCACACTTCACACAAATTTTCGTCTTAAACAGAAGAAATAACCCATCTCCAACTAGTTTGGAGTTGAGCTTTATACTTTTTTTGTATATAAAATTTATTTGAAATTTCATATCTTTATGTTTTGGTATGTAATCTTATCCATTCATGTTACTCCAGTGAATTTAATTTGATGGAATTTAAAATAACTAACTTAAAATTTTGTCACTAATTACAACTAAGTGAAATTTTTTGTTTCTTGTAATTTAGCAGGGAAATCCTCTTCATGTTCTTGGGCAGTCCGTCTCTTTTGGAAGGTTTATGTCAGAATCCTTAGCTTGGGAAAAATGGTCAAGCTTTTCTAATAACAGATACGTTGAAGAAGCTGAAAGATTCTCGCGTCCTGGCTCTGTTGCACAAAAGAAAGCATTCTTTGAAGCACATTATAAGAATCTTGCTGCAAGAAAGGCTGCAGCTTTGCTTGAACAAGCAAATTCTGCGGCGGAAAAAAATGAAACTGAAGTTCAAGATGATAATGCAGTTCAAGTCCAAGATTCAGGAGAGGTGAATACAAACTCCCAATTAGGTCTTGATTATAAACAAGTAGACGTCAAGGAGACTATAAATGCCGAGGCAAGTGTTCTTCCGAATGACGATGTACATAACTTGCTCGTTGAAATGCCTATATGTGAAAGCAGAAAGTTAGAAGAAGTTGATACATTGACAGAAAACCCAGCTGTTGGGAAAGACTCTGTAAACTTTGAAACTTTAACCCAGTTTGGTGTTGCTGATAGTGAGGAAGAAGTGAAAGAAAGGGAGATTACTGGATCTAAATTAATGGAGAAACCTCTATTAAAGGTAATAATGTCATTGCAAAGAACTTATGTTTCTTTATTTCAATTAACAGGCATTAATTTACCTTTTTTTTTTTTCTCGATTTGCAGGATTTTATTTCTACTCGGGATGATTTGACATTAATGGGCAAGAAGAAACTACAGATTTGTGGTAAGGCATCTAGGATGCCATCTACACCAGCTAAACCTGCAGCTTCAGTTCGTGCAAAAAAGGAAAACAATTCTACTCCGATCAGCAAAAAGTGTACAATAGACGCCTTGGATAAGAAGAAATCTACTCCGAAATCAACTCACAAGTCAATGAATTTCACTCCTGTTAGAGGAATAAATAAAATAACTTCATCAGTTATTCGAAAAATTGATAATTCTATAATGGGTTCTAATTATAAGGCATCAAAAGATTGCACAACTCCTCTAAAAACTCCAACAATGGTGCCTATTTTTCCTATTTTTGTTGCTTCTTCATTGCAATTTTTAATTAAACCAGGAAAATCCCTATGTAGCAAGCTAAAATGGGGTTCATTTTTGAATTACAGGTACCTGTGCTAAGAGAACCTAAACATACCCTAGCCACTCCTCAGTCAGAAGATAGAAGGTATGAATGTTAACAAATTTGACAAAGAAACAAAGAAATTCCAATTTTCTGAGGTCTTTATGTTCTATGATATTTAAAAATTTCAGGGCAAGGACACCCCTTCACCCCTTGGCATCTGGAAGCAAAACTGTCCGCTCAAGATGGCATTTCCTGCCAACAGAGTAATGTGCTTGACATCTATAAACCATATAAAATTATTGGCTAAAAGTTGTCTAATTAGCTAATTTCAGACTTAGTTATACTGCAAAACATATAGATCGCTCGAAGATGCATGTGGAAATTTCTTAGAAGGAATTTTGAGTTATTTTTAATAGTTTTTCATTTTGTATGCCAGTTGCTCAAATTTTATGAGCGCCCGCAAAAATAAATCTCAGTCCCCAAATTTGTCCACTACACCTTTCAGCTTCAGGACTGAAGAAAGAGCTGCAAGAAGAAAGGAGGCAAGCTGCAGAACTATATTCATTTTTTTCCTCCAAAAAAAAAAAAAAATAAATAAATAGGAGGATTTCTGCATTTTCTTAGCTACTATTATATGATGCCTTTTCCTGATATTCCACCAATTTTTTTTCCTCTACTTACAGAAGCTTGAAGAGAAATTCAACGCTAACCAGGCACAAAAGGTTCAGTTGCAAGCAACACTCAAGGTAAATATAGCATTGTGAAGCAAACTTCTTGAGCATTATATAAGGAGTTCCTTCTCTTTTGCTTAATTAGGTTTCAACTGAGGTTCTTGCTTGCTATTTCTAGAGACAATTCTAGTAAAATGAGCCAAAAGTCATTGATTGTAAGCAATTTTTATTGATCTAGAGTATTTTTGAACAGGAGAAGGCAGAAACAGAAATTAAAAAACTGCGTCAAACCCTTTGCTTTAAGGCTAGGCCGCTGCCAGATTTTTATAGAGAGAGAGCAAAAAAAAATCCAATTGAAAAGGTATTTTTTGCGTATGGCTGTGTACTTCTATATAAATTGGAATCAATGGTTGCAAGTAGTTTGTTATTTTGCTCAGTTAATAGGAGGAAAGATTTTTTCCATCAACATTCAGAGTTTCCGCTATGTCTGCTTACAGGTTCCATTGACGCATTCTCAGTCACCTAACCTTGCAAGGACACCCTCTCCTAGCATCATACAGAGAACCTCTCAACCATCTCTGAGTTATTCATTCAAGAATGGTGGCCCTAAGCATGGAATGGGAAAGAACGGTGGCAATTTGCGTTCTTTAACTTCACGACTCAGATCAATCACTCGTGAGAATACTTCTCCAAATATTCAGTATGAACAACATAAAGTGCCGAAGAAAGTTTAGATTTAGAGAAAAATTAGTTGTAGGTTTTGGATTATGGAAAAGTGAATGGTGTGTATCATTCACTATGAACGATAGCAAATTCCTTCATCTTTGCGGAGGAACTCTTCTTTTAATCATTTATTTAAAATGTAGGAAATTGTAAAGATAATTGTACCCCAGATGTTAACTGGATAAGATTTTAGGCCACGCAGAACCTAAGAAAGTAAGCTACCATTTGTACTTGTAGAAAGATAATCCCTCTGTGAATCTAAAGCCAGCATTTCTTGAACTTGTTTGATATGATAGATAAGAACTCAAAATATTCAACTCTGGAAGTTAGCGTTAGATGCATGATATTGATCGAGTATACGGAAGTTCTGTATTAAAACAAAGGGAATTGAAAAGGAAAGGGCAAGAAGACTAAAACAGTTCAGAATTTTTTATTCTCTCTCATGCATTAATTGTTATTCAAGATGGGATAAAGTGTTAGTTAATACAATATTTATCAAAAGGCCGCTATCTATTTACAGTAGCATCACTGGAACAGTAGCCATAAGCAGTAAATAATTGGCTACTGTCTGATTAATTGCGGTTATTTGAAATGTCCGTAAAACTATCAAACCCTTGCATCTCTTGTCCACCTCTTCAAGATATATTGACTTGGGAGCAACTTGATATTCCTAAAGTCGAGAACTTTCAGCGCATGACTGCACAAAACTCCCATAAACTCAAATTTCATACAGTTACAGGCTACCATCTCCTTGGACGAATTGAAACCAACTGTGTATTCTTGTTCTTGCCCATATATGCTTGCTTTGTACTCAAACATTGATCCACTCTCAGTCCAATGGTTAATGAGAATATTCAAAGAGGTCTCATATTCTTGCTGGAACAATTCAAATATCTTCGGAGTGTATATATCTCTTGCTTGCTTCAAGAGAATCACATCCCCCATTAGTCTCGGCAATCGCCGACTCATATCATAATTAGCCTCCAACTCTTTGTAATGCCAGTCATTCAACATTTTCCCAAGATGCTTGGAAAACGAAAGCACATCAAAATCAAACTTTAGATATCTTTTCAAGCTAGCAGTAAGATCTGCATGAAGTTGCGCAGTTGTAATGTCTGCACAAAAAATTTGCCTTGCATATGGTATGGCCCATTTCTCTCTTTCTTTAAACATATGATGTAACCATTCATTTTCCCGCAGACCATACGCATCTAACATTTGATTCCATGCATTCATGAAAGGCCCATCCTCCTCATGCTCAAAAAAACAACTCCTTAAATCATTTATAAACGAACATGAGCCCACAAACAAGTGGTTAAGCTGTTTAAGTGCATGTTGGTACATATGCCATACACATATTCGATGATGCATCTCAGGTAACATCGAATAAATAGCTTCAGCAATTACAGCATCTTGATCTGTGAGGATTGTCTGGGGTTTCTTTCCAGACATTGCCTCTATGAAAGTTTGGAAGAGCCACTTGTAAGATTCAATGGTTTCATCATATAAGAAGGCAGCACCAAAGACCACCATTTGCTTATGATGATTCACCCCAACAAATGCCATAAATGGCCGACAATCTTTGTACAGTCTATAGGTTGTATCCAAGCAAACCACATCCCCAAAATCACTATAGTCCACCATCATTTTTGCATCAGCCCAGAACATGTTAGTTATCCGATCTTCAGCATCAAGTTGCATGGAATAGAAGAATGAAGGATTTTTCAGTTGCTTACTTTGAAAATATTGCTGCAACCTTTCTGCTTCTCCCTCTTTCATATCTCTCATTCGTCTAAAAGGTAGTTTATTATTGTAATCACTACATTGATATCTATGTACATCCTGGTCTCCTATTTTGTTGCATAATAACTCAGAGACTAACTTTGTCTGCATTGTAGAACCATCTACTTCATTCCCTTCAACTTGAGCTGTAGCTAGTCTTTTTTGTGAGCGTAATGTGCGAACCCGGCACGCAGCAACAAGTTCATGATTGTGCTTTTCTTCAAAATGCGTGACACGATATTTACCATCTGATTGACGAGAAATGACCAGTTGAGCCATACATCCAATTCTCGTTTCCTTCCGAGGTCTCTTCACATTCAAATCTCGTTTGTCTTTCTGCCGAAAACCTTCTCTAAAACAAGTAAACCTCCTAGATGCCACAGCACCATCTATCTTACTCCTATTCACATAATCTTTTCGAACACTAAAACCTACTCCCCCAGCATAGGCATTGTAAAATTCATATGCATGACCTTCCGAGTCAAAACCCATTCCAAGTTTTGGTACCCCATCCATCTCAGAACTTTTAGCCAAGTCAGCTTCAACTGCTGCGGCAAAAGTCAACCTCTTCTGCGATGGTAATATGTGAGCTGTAGAAGCAGTCACAAACTCATGATTGTGCTGTGTTTCAAAACGAGTAACACGAAACTTTCCATTGGGTTGGCGAGCAATGGTCATATGTGCCAAGCAACCAGTTCTAGTTTCATGCCGGGGTTTCCTCACATTTGTAACATGTTTAGTTGGCCGATAACCCTGTCTATAACAAGTGTATCTTCTGGAAACTACATCACCATTTATCCTACTTTTATTTACAAAATCTTTCCTAATGCTAAAACCTTCTAGAACAGCATATCTACTATAACACTTATATGCATGATCCTCTGTCTCAAACTCCATACCAACTTTGGGCACCAAATACACTTCTTCCTCATCCTTTATAGCAGCACCATTCTGTGATTCCTCAATAAAGGGAACATTAGGGCTCCGAGATTCAGGCTCATCCTCAATGGATGTCTCGGACTTGTTAGAGGATTTTGGACTTTCACAGTCCTCACTACTTTTGTCATTAGGAGAACCATCTCCATGACTTTCACAATCATGCTCACTCTCAACAACCACCAGACTCTTGTGAACACAAAAAAGAGAAACTTGTGCGCCTTGATGCTCTTTATCCACAGCTATTTCCACTACAGGTGAGGCTTGGAGATTATTTTCTGAAACCTCTTTCTGTATATAACTTGCTGTATCAGGTTCATGACTATCCATTGATCTTTATTATAATTATCTTAAAGTAAAAAAGAAAATATATATATATCAGTAAGAAAAAACGCACCCATTAATAACTATAAATCAAAACCCTTGAAATCATTCAAAAGATTGAAAAAAAAGTAAATTTAAATATAGTGATCATCTTGAGTACACCAATAGTAAGATCATTACATTATAAATTAATTACAAAAGAAACTGAGCTCACAAAGAAAGGTCGTAAATTTATTATGAAATCAATACGAATGCTTCACTGTAAAAATAACCAATTCAGCAAATACAAAAGAAAGCAGCAGTTCCAAAGATCAACACTTACAGGACAAAATTTTTTTTGCGCTATCACTTAAAATGCATCGCAGGATCGAGAGGGAGAGAGAGAGAAGAAGCACCGGTGTTGCAGCGGTGCAAAAATTGGGATGCTCCGGCGAGGATTTGACGGAGGATATATTATTTTGAGATTCAGGTGGAAATGGCGGGTAAATTTAGAAGTGAGCCTAAAAAGAAAAGAATCGGAAGAATTGTAGGGTTTCGTGGTTAGCTGTTCGGTTACAGGAAAGGGGATTTAATGGAAAATGGAAAGTTTCTTGGCATGGACTAAAACGAATTGGCGTTTCCTACGGCTATGATTCACGTGTATTTCACGTGCTCTTTTTGTTGACTTGGATTGCCTATTTCTTATTGGTTAACTGAACTTTACTTGACCTTAGCGTTATCGCTTATCAATTTATTATATAGAACCTCATTTATTATCTTGTTTTTTTCTTTTTGAAATCGTTTTATTTTCATGTTTCTATTTTATTATAGAATAAAAAAATATTTATTTATTTTTGCCTATAATAAATTAAAAAATAGTTTTTTCAGAATATTAAATAGATCAAATTTAGCTTACCAAAACATTGAAAAAAAAAAAACTGTATGAAACGTCTAAAAGAAGACTTTGTAACAAATAAAATAAATTTATCAGTTAAATTATCTTATTTTTCTGATGGAGTACTTACTATCTAGTCCCTAAAGTTTAATCAATTACATTATTAAGAATTTTAATTTTGAAAATTACAATATTTATAATCATTCTATGCATTATAAACTTATTATTCTAAATTGTCTAGTGAAATATCAAAAATATCCTTAATCGAACAAGCTCAATGCGCTGAATCGCAAGTTTAGCTCACGTTTCAAATTTATCCTTCAAATCCTTAAGAGTGTAGAATTATTCCAAATCTTAAATAAAAATTTACTAATATTATTCAATAATTTTATTTTTCCTTTTCTTCTAATTATATAGAAAAAGTAAATTACATACACATACATTACCTACCTTTATTAATTAATTAAGGTAGGTACATGTAATGTAAGTTGTGAGAAATCATTAGAAAAACAACATATATGAAAATACAACAAATTAAAAAAAAAAAAAAAAGGAATCATTTAACAATGGATTAGTGCTAATTAATTAAAACATTAACAAATTAATCACATTTCTCTTCCACTAAACACCAACCTTCATCTTCTCCTTCAACTTGATCTAACACGAAACCCACATCGCAAAAACTCATATTATCATCATAATCACCTTCTCCAACTAATCCATTATCATCATCCTTATTATTATTATCAACACAGGCATTTTCTTGAATTTCATTCGAATCCTCCAAATAATTACCATAATATCCATCAATTTCATCATCACCATCGTCAGCATAATCATCATTATCATCAATAGCTAAACGATTCAAAATCTCAGACGCAGAAAACCCAGAAAAATTTAATCCGGGCCTTCCATCAACGACCCGCCAAGTCATTAATCTGCAATTAGAAGCAAAATCATGTGATTTTAGCTTATGATTACCTTTGGTTTTGTCTTTCGATTTGCAGCAAGGGTTCATATGGCAGTCATTGCAACGCGGCTTTCCGCACTTGCCGGTGAACTTAGAGTGGTTGGTGGGGCGAGACTGGACTTTGGTGAAAAATCCGGCAGTCGGCGGTGAGTTGAAGGTGTTGATGAATCGTGATTCTGGTTTAGGATTCCATGGAGATGGTAAGATTCTGTAAGTCCTTACCATCCCATGTTGGCGACCTTCTCTCTTCATGTTTAATGGCGGTTTTGAGGGCTAAAGGAAAGAAATGAAGTAAAAATGATCGATGACGGAGATGGATGTTATGTGTTTCTATTTATGGAGTTTCGTTTGGACAGAGAGTTTGATAAGCCTTGTAAGCAAGTTGTTTTGATTGGTCATAGTACGTGGAGACCAAGCTAATTGGGATGACAACTCACCTTTAACAAGTGTCTTGAAAAAAAAATTATATATATATATATTAAAGTTATTTTAAAATTATTTATTAAAAATTTACTTTACTTTGAAAGATTATTCCTATAAATTTTTCCTTTTAGATCAATGCATATATATTTTTTATAATTATCTTTATAGCTCGTAAATTTTGCGAAACTCATCGTAACTCTATATTTTCATATCTCAAAATGAAATATAAGGTATAGAGATAATTGAATTCTTGTAAAGATATTTTATTTTGACGAGACATATAATTATTATTGAAATGTGAAAATATAAATTATACTTGAATATAAAGTTTATGGCACCACAAAAATCCTGAATCGAGATTTAAACTTCAGTTTATGCACCAAACGATACTTTTATTTTACCATATAGACTATCTCTATCTCATATGAGTTCAGTTTGGCTTACACATAAAAAACAAGTAATATAGTTAAATTAGTAGTAATACTTTTTCTTTTTCTATTTCTTTTCCTAATATGTTGTTGTGGTAATGATCTACCAGCTAATAAAAATTTAAATTTTTAACACAATAATCAAGACAACAAATAAAGTTGGCTAATAGATTTATTTTTGAAGTTATTTATACGTATTTCTTTCGTCTCATTTTATTTATATGGTTTGACAAGACAATCATATTAAGAATTTAGTCAATAAAAATTATTTTACTCCTTTTTATCTTTAACTCATTGAGATATTAATCAAGTCATTCGTTTAATGAATAATAATAAAGGTTATTATAAAAAAAATAATCGTTTAAATATATGAATTTAGAAACTTTAGAAACATTAGACATTCAAAAAGAGAATAACAAGTAAACAAAATGAAACAGAAAGAGTATTAATTTATTTGAAAGATATTTTATGAAGCACAGAAGTACTATAATTTTATGTATAGATGCCATTAAATATGAGCAAAATAAGAAAACTAAGTAAATTATCAATTCATGATTCCTAAAAGAAAAGGAAACAAAAACAATAATAGAAAACAAATAGGAGGAAGTATTCTCATTATTTTTCTTTTTCTTTTTCTTTTTCTTGTCCTATGGATTACACATGATTGGATCCTTTTGTTATAATGCCAAATTTTAGGAACAGTTCCGCTTTGGTTCCCGACTACTTAATCACCAAGGCAGGCACCGTGTGATTTTGACCCACATTGCCGACCACAGAAGCTTCCGTTTCCTGGACCTCTGAGTATCCACCATGCCACTCATCTTCAGAAGAAAAACTTACCTACGTTCATTTATGAATCCACTTGCACATCAAATCAATTAAAAAGAATCCATTTATACATCAAACCAATTGCATCAATACATTATTAAGGCTGGCTGTAAAAAAAGTTATGGATTTGTATATTTAAATAAACTTTCAGGCTTCATGTCCTCATAGATCATATCAAACACTGTAAATTACTTCAAGGAATTATTGTCACAAGTCACAACCACTATTTACAATATAATGCCTTTGGACAACTTCATTCTTGTACAACAGTAACAGGAAAATACAAGAGAAACCACCAGACTGACTATCTTTGAATAATCCTGTAAGTTTCCTCGTTAACACTATGAGCCAAACCAAGAATTACACATTTTCTGTTGAATCATCTGAAGACTCTATAAGGGGCTCCACGCCCTCTTTATCGAGCTTGGGAATATGATTTGCTTTCTTGCCAGGATATAAGATATAATGTTGACATATGAAAAGTAGGTCAAAGAAAATGGATACCTGCAAAATGTATCATGTCAAAACCATTTGCAGAGAAAAAATACCATCAAATGATATCTTATTGACCTAAATATAGAGCAAAAGAAACGTTGCATACCAATGATAGCAATATCTTCCCCATGTTGCCGTAGAAGTTTACCCAAGAATCTGGAAAATACAATGGAGATTAGTCTATGTTATTTGCAAAGCCTCATTTCAGATGTGAAGAATATTTAGTTCAGGAAGAGATTATGTACTTTGGTCTATAGACTGCACAGCCATTTGAGCATAATTTGTCACCCCTCCAAGAAAATCAAGCAAAATGTTTCCAATGCTGAAGCCCTCTGTGCTCTTTCTCATGAAGTTCATAATTGCCTGTATCTCAGAGCATTTGAGGTGCCAAATCATATCAGCAACCAAATTCATTAGAATATTTTGCTTTATTAGATAATATAAGTTTAGTATAACACTAACACATTCTCTGATTACTAGAACGGGAAAGATCCTTTAGTGATAGTGATGTATTATTATCATTTATCACAATATCACTTAAACAAGAAGGCCAGCAAGAAAACTCTTGGAGGAAAATAAAGCATGATTACTATATGTACAAAAATGTAATGCAAAACCAGGAGTCCCTGGATATGCTAGCATGATTGACTAAGTGCGACTCAACTATTAAACGCAATTGCATCAAGGAACAAGTGCGAGTTGAAGATAGCAATAAAATAGAGTAATTGTCCTGGTACCTACATTATAATAGGATTGATAAGCAAGTCCATTTGAATAATCCAGAGTCAAATCAAAATCAATTAACATTTTTTAAAGATTAAGCTGACTAAAACCATCCATTTGTGAGCAATCATATGATGCCTAGACGAAAAATCAAAACAACAATATAACATGATGTTATCTTCATCTGATTTAAACGGACAGTAGGGTTAATGCTAGCACCACTTGCAATGTTAGCGGTGGATGGCTACTAGTAAGCAACTAAGCATACAGACAGGTTCGAATTCAACCCAATGCAAATGGGTCAATTAGGCTATACTAACCACCAACTTAGGTGGCCTTTACTGTAGGCTCAAATGGATTCCCTAAGGAAATGTAAAAGGAAACAATTCTGACCTGGGGAATGTACTTGATGACTGTCATAAAAACTTGAATTGAGCTGCAACAGAAAAGGTAACAGGATGCAAACCCGTGACATATAAGAAAGAAATAAATTAAAAAAAGAGGCTGTGAAGAAAAGTTTGTAAATATATACACCAGAATTCCACAAAGTTACATCAACTAATTAGCATTTTTGTTGTTAATTTATTCAATTCCAATACCAATATAACTGCAAAGTTACCACATTGAGACAGTACATTTTCCTATTAAGAAGAAAAAGTTTGGAAACTCTATTTCTTTATCCTCAGGCATAGCCAAGGGTTTCAATTTAAAGCACAGAAAAAAAAGAGGTACCTATTTCAATTTTAAGATACATCTTGAAGCATTAGCAAGAACTGAAAAGTTTTCCTTTCTAGAATAATGACACAGAAATACTCCTCCTAGAGTGGTTTTTTATAAATATGTAACCTTCGAACGGTTTTCTGATTAATGGACTTCAGGAATTGAAGTAATCATATTCAAATAGAAATTTGATATCCATCACAAACCACCCCATACATATGATCTTTTCATCAAGATATCCAGCTCACGTAAAGTTTGAGAATCAAAAGTGCAACTTACTTAAAGATGGAGATTAGCCACAACCAAGAGTGGCTAGGCAAAGCTACGAAAAAACAAGCAGCAGCAGTTAGCCACACGGCGCAGACAATTGCTATGGCAATCTTAGAGACCTTCTGATTTCCACGCTGTTCAGAATATATATATAAAAAAAAAGTCATTGCATTAAGCTTCAATATACAAGATAAACAGGAAAATGTTAACTCACTGCAGAAGACTACACCGCTCACCTCATAGATTGCAATTTGAAACAATGTAATTGCTGTCAAGAGAACAGCATGTATTGAAAAAGCAACATCATTTGCAGCTACAGGTATCATCTACGATAAGAAGGGAAAAAAAAATTAAGAAACAAATAAGCACAATTAGTTCTAACTCAAATGAATTGTATAACTTAACTTTCAAAATTTAGTTCAAATACTGAAAAAATTTTTTTTTTTCAATAACCAAAAACCAAGAGAAACAATCACTCTGATTACTAAAACATCTTTGATTCAAGTGATTACATAATAGACTTAGTATGTAATCAATTCCAAATAAAATATTTTTCTGGGGTTATCTAGGAAAATAAAAAAGAAAGAACTTTTATTGTGCATTAAAGCAAATAGAAGCTTAAAGAATATACGTGGTGTGCCATAAAAGCAATAGAAGCTTAAAGAATATATATTATATTATAATATATAATATATAATATATTATATATATATAACTATATATATTATAGTATTAGCACCCAACCCCTCCCATTAGCCATTATTTTTTTCAAAAAGGTACTGGTTTTCTGAATAGCAGAAGCTGTAAAAGTTAAAGAGAAAAGCGTTGTTAAATCAAGTAAGAAGACGTGGCTTCTTGGTCAAATTCAAGACCACGAAATCCAAGTATTTCAAACCCACCACGCCTTTACAAGCACAGAAAAAAAAGAAAAAATCGGTGGTTTAGATAATAAATGGAATGGGATTACGAACGATGGAATTGAAAATTGATGGGGAAAGGAAAGGGAACCCTTTTTTCCGGCGGAAAATTTAAGATGACTTGTGGATAGAAACTGATAGGAATGGAAAGAAAGCGGACTCCATCCCAAGGTTCGTATGTGATATATAGCACAAACCTCCCCATAGCCATATTTTTCAAAGTACTGGTTCTGAATAGCAGAGCTGAAGTAAAGAGAAGCGTTGTAAATCAAGTAAGAAGAGTGCTTGGTCAAATTCAAGACCACGAAATCCAAGTTCAAACCCACCACGCTGTTACAAGCACAGAAAAAAGAAAATCGTGGTTAGATAAATGGAAATGGGATACGAACGATGGAATTGAAATCTGATGGAAAGGAAAGGGAACCTTTTCCGGCGGAAATTTAAGATGACTTGTGGATAGAAACTGATAGACCATGAAAAGAAAGCGATCCATCCCAAGGTTTCGTATGTGATTTCAAGCGGAACCGAATTCCAAGACGCCATTTTTTTTCTCTCTCTCTCTCTCCAGCAGGTTGCTCTGTTGCTAAATTGGCTAGAGAGGGAGACAGCTTTTTCACCCCCCAAAACAAAGTTTCTTTTGTTGCTCAGAAGGGTTGTTTATATATTTTTCTGTGATCACCGGAGATCCAGTCCTCTACTTGCATCTCTACCGTTATCTAGCTGCGGGTACTTCAGTTTAGTTGGTTGGTGCGGTAATAAATAAAAATCGAATGTGAAAAAAAAAGTTGGAGCATTAAATTTTAAAAATATATTAAAATAAATATTTTATTTCATTTCATAATATTTATCGCATTTGAAAAAAGGAAAAAGCTTTTGGCTCACAGTGATCCAGGATCATAACATTTAAAATGATACATTTAATTTAGTATGTCAAATAACACTCTTATCCTCACTTAAAATTGGTAAATTTGACATGAAAAGAGAGAGATTTAAAATTTGAGACAAAATATTGAATGAATGAGATTATCAATGCATATGTTGGATATTTATTTTGTTTTTACCTCATCAATTAACAAAGTATATTTTTTTTAAGTGTATTAGTGATTTATGATACATAAATAATCATAAGTCACTTAATTTTCCTTTAACTTATTTTTTTAAGCAACACTTTGTTATATTTGGAATCAAATGAAATTAATAGATTTAAATTACAATTAAATTAAGTAACAATGAAATAAGTCATATTTGTTATATTTAAAAATTAGTTCTACATATAAATTTCACTACGCTAATAAGTGCATTAAAGAATAATTAAGTTGTGAAATGCAAAAAAAAATCGTGAATATTTTCTATAATTTTGTGTATAAAAATTGTTAAATTAGATGAATTAAAAATTTAATCATGAATTAGAAAAATAAGTATTATTGCGCTAGGAAGTGTATGTTAAACATATATTGAAAACTTAACTATGGATTGAACAAATGACATGTCTTGCAAATACTCTTTACCACTAAACTAACCCCATTTAAGTTTAATTTATATTTTATTAAGTCACATTTAATAATTAAATTAAATTAAGACATTCAAATTGAAATTTAATGAAGTAATAATTAAATAAATCACACTTGGTAACACTTGAATCAAATTAAATTTAGATAATCTAATCCAAATTAAATTAAATTACACATGAAATTAAATTAAACTAAGTAACCATTGATTATGTCACACTTGAAAGTTATAACTCAAATGACATATAAACACATATTTTGGCATGCGTATAAGTAAAATCTCAAATCAATCCTTGTATAAATCATTTTGACACGTATTATACGTTTTATTATGATGAGTCCATAGAACATCTCTACGTATAAATTTTAATGTATATAGATAAAAACAAAAACTTGAATGGTTAATTTACACTCTATTAAATCATATTTAAAAATCAAATTAAATTAAAATATCTAAACTAAAATTAACGAAGTAGTAATTGACTAAGTCACACTTGAATCAAATTAATTAAACGTTATCCACATATAAATTTTAATGCATATACATAAAGGTAATAACTTGAATGGTTAATTTACATTATATTAAATCATATTTAAAAATCAAATCAAATTAAGATATCTAAACTAAAGTTAAATGAAGTAAAAATTGAGTAGTCACTTGAATCAAATTAATTCGACAATCTAATTTGAATTAAATTAAGTCACACCTAAAATTAAATTAAAGTAAAATACCCTAGTTGTTACATCGTGATTTCAATAAGTAATAATTTTTTTTTTATATTTACCCTTTATATATGACCAATATTTGTTATTTTAATTTAATAGTTTCTTAAAGAATTAAATCAAAAGTAATATAATCTATTTACTCAATAATTTATTATAACTTAAACAAATTTAATAATTTAAAAAAATGTAAAATTAAGTATTATGGAAGAGAGATAGTAATTTTTAAAAATAATTTTATGTTAATTCTATAAAATTAAAAAATTTTAGAATGGGATTAACTGGCAACAGTTAGTGCCGTTTTGTGTCAGGATTTGACTGTAGGGCCAAACGGTTGGCAGCATACGCCACTGCGGCAAACCATGTACGAGGACGGCTACACGGCCACATTCATTCATTGCCATTTTTCCCTTTCATTGTCCTTATCAACTCCGATTTTAATTGACTGAAGACAAGACAATTTAGATACGGAAAATTAGCCTACATATTATCCATTTGTTTCTGCGAGATATTTATTTTAAAAATTTTTTTATCTTTAATGACAATCTTTTTGCTAATTAAATAAATATTTAGTGTTTATTCCATAAAATTACTCAAACAATAAAAAATAAATGATTTAAAAAATATTTTTAAAAGTAAATTATTTTACAGAATCAAGCAAACATAGCCATGGTACATATATTTTTTTTTTCTTTCTCTTACAACATTGACGGAGTTAAATCTTCATTCATACATTTTCTGACCGCAAAGAGCTATTACGTAGCTCTGCATCCTCTTTAGGGGAAGAGAGCTTCTTCTTCTTCGCAGGATAAATGAGATAATGTTGAATCATGAAGAGAAGGTCAAAGAATATGGACACCTGCATAATTAATTACATATGTCAAAACTTAAAACTGCTGTTCTAAACCAATTTTTCAATTTAACAAAGCTCTATCCGATAAGAGTTTTTATATAACTTTTAATGTTTTAACTAAAATAAAGACTATTTGTATTATTTTAATTTTTATACTTATATTTTGAGTGAACAAATTATGAAATGTTACTTCCTAACGTTTGTCGAAATACTGGTAAAAAGAGCTGACCCATGAAGTTGCATACCAGAGATAGCAAAGTTTTTCCAATGTTGCCATAGAAGTTGACCCATGAATCTGAAAAATGATAACATTTTACATATTATACAATTATATGTAACTGATGTAAAAAACATAAAAAGATCATAAACTTACGTTGGTCTATAGATTGTGTAGCCATTTGTGCATAATTAGTCGCACCTCCAAAAAAATCAAGCAAAATGTTCCCAATACTGAACCCATCTGTGCTTTTTCTCATAAAGTTCATTATTGCCTGCAAATTTCAAAGAATAATTACAATTTTTATGTTTATTTTGTTCATTTATAATATATATTATGGGTGAAATAATTCTGACCTGGGGAATGTACTTGATAATTGTCATACAAATTTGAATCGTGCTGCAATGGAAATTAAAATAACAAGATTAAAAGGAGACCAATGGATGATTTTTAGTATTATGCTTAAGTTCAGCGAGCGACTTTTACAAAATTAAAAGGTTGGTTACTGAAAAAATATTTCGCTGGAATAAAATTATGATTTTAAATTAAAATTAAAATATAATTAATAATTAAATAATGAAATTACCTAAAGACGGAAGTGAGCCAAAGCCAAGAGTGGCGATGCAATGCTACAAAAAAACATATGGCAGCAGCTATCCATACAATACTCACAATTAATATAGCAATCTTGGATACTTTTTGATGTCCACGCTGGTTAAAAAAAATATATTAATAATTCTAATATTAATCACCAAAATTAGGGAATAATACTTTTGTAAAGAAAAATTAATGAGTAAAACATCCACTTAATTACTTCGTAGATTGCAATTTGGAACAATGTAATTGCTGTCAACGTAACAGCATGTATTGAAAACGCAACGTCGTTGACTGCCACAGGTATCATCTGAAATTCAAGAAAATTAAATAAATAAAAACTAAAAACTGCAAATTAAAATGGCTGTCATGGCGCCATTGAGATGGAACCATATAAGAGTCCTTTTTCCATGAAGTCCGTCGGCCCAAATTCAGATTAGAAAAAGGCTGCAATGGCAATAAACCGAGTGGTAACTGACCTGTTTATGGCCATACTTATTCAAGTATTGCTTTTGGACAGCAGAGCTAAAGTACATAGAAGCATTATATACCAAGTAGGCTGAATGTTTGGTCAAATTTAGCACTACGAAATCGAAGTTCAATCCGACCACACTGCATGATACAATTTGATTTAGTTATATTAATTTGTGAGGAAGGGAAGGGAAGGGAAGGGAAATACCTTTTCCGTCGGAAATTCAAGATGACTTGTGGATAGAAACTGACAGACCAAGAACCAAAGGCTATCCAACCAAAGACTTGATAGGTTATATGAAGAGGATTTGAATTCCAGGCAGCCATATTTAATATCTCCCTCTCTCTCTTTTCCTGAAAGAAACAAACTCTTTGTAAGGCTTTTTATAGTATGAAATTGTTTGTAAATATATGTTTAGAAAGAAGAGAGAGTTGGCGTCAAGAAATCTTTGAGCTGTAGAAAGTGTTTTCTTGAATCAACAAAGTGAATGGAGATGGTGTGCAATATTCATCCATAACCAAAAACTAAATGCAGATTATCTTTTCTTTTGGAGCATTAAATGCTGTCTAGATTTTCTCATTTTTGTTGGACACTCATCAACTTATGTGACTCCAAAGTGGTTGGGCCATTCTTGGAATGTAAATGCACTAACACCTTGCAAGGGATGGGAAACTCGGAATTTGCACTCTATCTATTACTTCTCTTCTCAAAATATAAAATTTTATATGAAAATTAAAAAAATAATTAATTCTTTTACACTATAATAAAATCAGTTGTAATTTAATAAAATTACCTCTTAACTGAAAATCAAGAGCAACTTGTGAAAAATAATTATTGTATGTAATGTAATAATGATAACATTAGAAAAAAAAAATCATTTGTTACTCTTTAAAATACTTAAAACGAATTATATTTTGACACAAAATATTCGCTAAAAATGACTTATATTTTAAAACGGAACGAATAATTATAGTTCATATTTATTGCTAAGTCTTGTTTCAAACGTAGAAGAGAGAAGAGAGGGAAAGGGAGATGGTTGGAAGTATATATATAAAAATTAATGTATTGGTCATGTAACTAAAATAATGGATAACTCATAGATTAAAAAAAAAATCACACCTTTGCTTACTCTGTTAAAATGAACTTTAAAAACGAATCTATATATTTGACACATTAAAATATCGCATATAAATGACTTGATATTTATAAACCACAAGGATACGAAATAATTATAGATTCATATTTATTGACTAAAGTTCTTGTTTCAAAACGTAGAAGGAGAGAGAGAGGAAAGGGGAGCGATGGTTGGAAAAGAAAAGTTTTATAAATAATAATAAAATAAAAATTTTTTTTAATAATAATTAAAATATAGAATTATATATATGTATATATATATATATAATTCATTTCATTCTTTATAGTAAATTCCTATTAAAGCTCAGCCTTTATTTAAAGAAACACACGTTCATTTATTCTTTATATAAATTTATAAAAGCTGCAGTTTATTTTAAAGAAAATACAGTTAATGCAAAAATACTTAATAGTTAGTGGCGAGTTACGAAAAACTTAATAGCTTTTTATGTCCTGAATGGATATATTGAAAACTTCATAGATTTGTAAAGCAACATTATACTAGAAATGCTATTATGTTTTATTATTGGTTTGTCAAATGTAGTTTATCAAATATTATATTAGTTTCGTTAATTTTGACACTTTTTAATTTTTTTATAAAAATTAAATAAATAATTCAACCACCTCAATTATAAAAAAATAAATATAATTCAATAAATTACTCTTTAATTAATTTTTTATAATTAAAAAAGAAAATTTGATTGAGAAACCTTGATAAGGATTAAAGTTGAAATAAAATACTAATGCTATCTAAATTTCATAAAAATGTCATCTAAGTGGAATAAAAAAAAAGTCAAAAAGTGTTAAAATAATCATATAGAGGTTGGTAAATTTTGCAATACATACTAGAGGTGGTAAATCTTGCAAATACTAATACTTAATACAAAGTTAATAGTAAAATTACAACTATCTGATATACATTAATATAATCTATTATAATATGTATGGTCATCAAATTCAGACCAATTAACTATATTTTATAATTTTCCATAACTGTCACGATTTAGGGCTTCACATTCTTTAATATAAACCATCAATTGGTATCTAGATTAATAAATATAAATTGAATAATGACTACTACAGCATAAGACAACAAGGCATGCTAAACGTTTAACGTTATGCGTTCGCACTGTGGTAGAATGACAAAACAAGGAGTAAGACACATGCACTGGAAGATTTATCAGTTTTAAACTAAACCATAATCGTATTACTTTCGATAAGTTACATAGTATTCAAACTACTAAAAATTAAATTTTCTAGATTTCTTCAATTCTGAAAATATTTTATCCACATCACGAAGAGTAGCGGAGAGATTTGAGAAACACCAAAAATATCGAAAAAGAAGGTGCCAATAATATATACTAGTAGAAATTGAAAAATTTTGGTTCATACTAGCAATAATTAGTGGTTACGTACTATATAAAGCAGGGTAAATAAGGAAAAAAGAACTTATTAATTCCTTGAAACTATGGTTATTTAAAAGAAACTTATTTTAACTCAATATTATGTATTGTAAAAAGAAATTCTGTAAACATACACTCGTAATAAAAAAAAATGAGGTACTAATTTGATGTAAACTGACCAAATATAATTCTACTCATTCTGTTACAATTCTTGACGGCTTTCCGAACTTTTCAAAAAAATAAAAATAATTATTAAATTATCTTTTTCAATTCTAAAAAATGTTGTTGAATAATTACTAAAATGCCCTATTACATTAAGTGCTTATTTAGGTTTGGTATAAAAAATATATATATATATGCATCATTTTAGAAATTACTATATTTATTCCATAACCCTTGTCACGTTTGGCTTCACATTCTTTAATAAAACCATCAATTTATCTAGATTAATAAATTATTGAATAAATTGATTATATTATTTTTAATTTAATATATTCAAACACTAAAATTAAATTTTAGATTCTTCAATTCTCATATTTTATCCAATCACAGTAGCGGAGAGATTTTGAGAACACAAATAGGTAGTAATATATATATAGAGAATGAAAAATTGGAGCAATAATTGTTGGTTATATATAAAGGGTAAATAAGGAAAAAAGAACTTATTATTCCTTGAAACTATGAGTATTTTAAAAGAAACTATTTTCTCAAATATATAAGTATTGTAAAACAGAGGTACTAATGTGTATGACCAAATATTCTCTCGATTCTGTTAAATTTGACGGCTTTCGACTTTTCAAAAAAAATTAAAAAATAATTAAATTATCTTAATTCTAAAAAATGTTGTGAATAATTAACTAAAATGCCCTTTCATTAGTGCTTATTTAGTTGATATAAAATTTAATGCATATTTTTGAACAATGGTAAAATTAAAATAAAATAATTAATGATATTTTATTTTTCTAAAAATATCATTTAAGTGAAATAAAATAAAATAAAAAACTATTAAATTTAACCAACCGATGGAATAATTTACAAGTGAATTTTATACCCAATAAGTCATTAGCTAACATAGTACTATGCTAAAATTTAGTAATTTACTTGAATTTCATTAAAATTACAAAATTGCAATAAAAATGTTTTTGATTTCCAAAAATATACAATTTGGGCCTTCAAAGCATAAATTGTCTTTCGACCCGACCCGCTTCGTGGCCTCCTCCTCCAGTCCTCCTCCTCCCTTCTCTCTGCTGAACCCTAACGATATTCTATAATCAAATTTACACTTTCATTTCCAATTTAAAGATCTCCAAGGTCCCATTCCAAAACCCTATCAAATGGCTACTTCGCTAATAAACAGAACACTAAAATCAATAAAAAACCCCAAACTCCTCAGTCCACTCTCATCATCTCTCACTCGCCACTTCACCTCCATCGCCACCGCCCAACAGTCGCCATCTGACGACCCATCTTCCTCATTCACCTTCACCGGAAACGCCACCGCCACTACTGATAGCATATTTTTGAAGGCACCGAATTCTAATGCTAAACTTGATGCAGCACCGTCCTCTTCAGTGACAATGCCGATGTCATTTATGACAGGGTCGATTGTGGGTAAGAGGTTTTACAAGCAAGTGACCACGAGAGAAGCAGATGATGGAAATGGATGGACTGTGATGCTTGATTACAGAACACTTAAGACTCCTTCTAAAAGACCTCTCAAGTTGCCAACTTTAGCTTTAGCTAAAGCCATAGCTGCTGAATGGGAGTATCAGGTTTGCTTAAAAACCTATTTCATGTAATTTCTATTTAATGGTTGGATGGACTGAATCGGATGTTTTCTGATTGTCTTTCGATTTCTCGAAGAATTGGGTTGTCTTCTCTTGCTTGAAGCTGAATTTGCAAACACATGAAGAAGGAATTCTTTTCATTTGTAATTGAATTCTTAGTTAGGCTTTTGGTGAATTGAGTTTTTCTCCCTTTATTTTTGGGGCCAAGTGTTTACTCTGTATTCTTTTTTTTTTTTGGTCATCTGTAGCATCTGAAATGAATTTTTTTTTGGTATGCCAATATTTTCTTTTGATTTGCTAGTTTTCAATGAAAGCAATTCAGTTCATTCTTTTTGACTAATACATAAATGATGGTATAAAACTAAAATTGCAGTTTTTTTTTTTCCATTTTTTTTTCTCTCATTAATGTAGTTTTACTTGTGTATATTGTGCTTTCTTATGATTGGAGGAATGTGATGAGACGTTTCCTGTTTCAGCAACTAGATGGAATCAGGCCTTTTATGATGCCTCTTATGAAACTTGCGTGTACCGCCCTGGAGAGAGTTCCGCTCACAAGACCAAAGATCATTGAACACTTGATGAAGAAATTTAATCAAGATTTAGTTTTCTGTCGTGCTCCAGAAGATAATGATCTCACAAGGGGCGTCTATGGTATGCGCATCATTTATTAGTTTGATCAAAGCTGCATTTCCCTATTTTGAATCATCATGCCTGTGTTTGTATCTTTTGTCTGAACATTGAATTCTTATAATTTTAATTTAGTATGAACTTGATTTGCAAACTGTAGTAACTCAATAGTTCTATTATTATAAAAGCAATGCCACTTAGGTTAGCAAGAAACTTAGAAGGGAACTTGTATGATTCTAGGCTTATAGTTTTATTGATGACTAGCAAATGTTTGTTGCCACTAGCCAAGGATATTTGGACCAGGACTTATGTGGCTTATGACGTGTCCCAGTTACATATGTTTAATGAAATTTGAAACTATATCAAGTGCATTTAGCTTTCATGTCTGTCTCCTGTGGTTGATTCATTTATTGCTATTAAGAGTTGGGAGAGTTATTTCTTGGTTTCCTACTAATGACAACCCACAACACCGCCCCTTTTCTCTCCCCCCTCCTCTCCATATATGTGTACATTTGCATAATAATGGAATTTTGAAAATATCGATGTTGATTTTTGCCATTTTCAATATCGATGTTGAAAATATCTTTCGAAAATACTCTCTAAAATTAATTTAAATGTGCACATTATTCTTGCATTGCCTTTCTGATGTCCTCTTGGGCATAAATCTCGGCTATATATAAAGAGAAAACATTCTTTAGTTTCAAAATGGCACAAACCTTATCCAATTCATGCTTGTTATAATTGCATCTTGGAAATGACAGTTTTATTCATGATTACTTACTACGTATAGATCTTTATTTGATCTCATGATGATAATCATCTGAATCACCTTGTAAATTTTCAGAACGGCAAGTGGAAAAAATTGATCCGTTACTTGATTGGGTGAAATCAGAATTTGGCTTTAAGCCTGTTGTGCATTCAAGTTTTTTTGGTGGCAAGCAAGAGGAGGGTCTGGTGAAGGCGATAGAAGATCTTCTACAGAAAACTGACAACTTTGAATTGGCATCAATTGATGCAATTGCAGCAGCAGCCCATTCTTTAGTAATTGCTGTTGGAATCTTTCGTGGAAAATTGGATATTGAAGAAGCCATTCAGTTGATCAGGCTTGAAGAAGATTTGCAGGTTCTTGTTTTTGCTACTCTGTCCTCTCCCCCATCCTGTGTCTTTTATTTGCTGTTCTGATGGAGAACCCTTGTTAATTCTTTTGCAGGTTGACAAGTGGGGTTTGGTTGAAGGTGGCCACGATGTAGATATTGCTGATCTGAGGGTACAAGTATCATCAGCTGCTGTGTTCCTTGGCCTGTCAAGAACATAATCTGTGTTAGCATTTTACAATCATAATTTTCATCCCAGATGTGTGTTTCTGCCCTTTTAGTTGTAGATCACAGCATATATGTAATGCTCAGGGGCTTTTGAGAATTTGTAGTTAACTGCTAAGATAAAGCTGACATAATGATGAAATTCAAACTTGAGCTTGCTTGTATTTACAAGTAAAGTCAATAAAATTTATGGTGCAAGTATTTCTCATGGCCTGTTTGATACCAATATTCAGGTCTTCTGTAGCCACTGTTCTGCGTTAAAATGCTTGTCTTTGAATTTGGTTGATCTCTTGACGCTTGGTTGTTTTTCAAATTGTAAATTGTTTGGACTGTTGTGCTATTTTCCGCCTTCCATAGGATCTATCCAATTAGGGGTGGCCATTTTCCCTTTTTAGAACTGGAACTGGAATTGCTGGTTTGGAGCCGGAATTGGTCCAAACGGAAACTGAAATCGGGGGTTCACTGTTGGGTTTCAATTTCAACTTTTGAAAAACTGTGAACCAGCAGGAACTGGCGGTTTTTGCAACTAGGTTAGAACCAGCGGCTCTAATGGTTTGAACCGGCAGTTCTTCCCGGTTTCAATAACTTTTTTTTTTTAAAAAAAATATTCTTGTAAAATCTCCAAATTAACACTCTTAATAACTATATAACTGCTAGTTTTGAGGGTATTTGTCGAAAATTGATTTTTTAAATTTACTATAAATACTCCCTTTGCATTTAAAAAAAATAAATTAAGTTCAAGTCTTTTTCTAAAAAAATAAATTAAGTTTAAACTCTTTTTCTAAAAAAAAAAAAAGTTCAAGCCTCTTTTTTTTTTTTTTTTTTTTGAGGGAATATAATTGTCGAAGAAAAAGAAAATTGTATTTTTTAAAATTTATTTTTACTATAAATACTCCCTTTGCATTTAAAAAAAAAATAAATTAAGTTTCAAGTCTTTTTCTAAAAAAAATAAATTAAGGTTAAAACTCTTTTTCTAAAAAAAAAAAAAAATGTTTCCAAGCCTCTTTTTTTATATTTTTTTTTTTCTTAAGTTTCTGTGCAGGTTGTTGGCATTTGAAGAAGCAAGTACCGTTGTTGTCCAAGTTCTGCGAAAGGGACCTTTTGGCAAATTGCAGGTGTTTGTACGAAAGCAAATCCGCGGTAGTACAAAAATTCCACCCATGTTTGATTCGTTAACATTTCGTTTGAATTTTTATAAAACTTTTTTTTTTTAAATTTTTCTTTTTAAGTTTTTTTTTTTTTTTTTTTTTCTTTAAGTTTGTTGCGGTTGTGGCATTTGAGAAGCAGTCACCGTTGTGTCCAGTTCTGCGGGAAAGACCCTTGAAATTGCAGGTGTTTGTACGAAAGCAAATCCGGGTAGTACAAAAATTCACCCATGTTTGATTCGTTAAACATTTTGAATTTATAAACTTTTTTTTTTAATTTTTTCTTTAAGTTTTTTCTAAAAATTATTTCATAAATATTTAAATTTTAAATTTTCAACAAAAAAATGTTTCTAACTTTTGATTTTATAATGCCTGAAAATCAAGTAGAGAACCGGCCAGAGCTGGAATCGGAATCGTAACCGTAATTAGAACCGTTAATTTTCGATTCGGTTCAGATTTCAAATTTTTTAAAATTGAAACTGTTGGTTTAAAATCGAAACTGGTGGTTACTGTAGCCACTCTTATATCCAATAAGTGTTTAATAAATTTAATTTTACAAATTAAAGTGTTTAATTTGTAATTTTATAAATTCAAAATGTTTAACGAATCAAACATGGGTGAATTTTTGTACTACCCGGATTTGCTTTCGTACAAACACCTGCAATTTCAAGGGTCTTTCCCGCAGAACTGGACACAACGGTGACTGCTTCTCAAATGCCACAACCGCAACAAGCTGTAGCCAAGATGTTGCATCCTGCAAAAGATAAATTATTTTCTATTTTCAGATACCAACAAATTTTTATAAAATTAAATTTGTTTCAAGTTTTGGTTGCTTGCTCCAAACATCGCGAAAATTATTATCCAAGCAATTCCCAGCGAGTTCATCGCAGCCGCTTTGTGGTGTAATTTTAACATTAACAAGCAAGACTTTACACAGTTAAATTCTTGAGGTTCAAAAACAGAAACTGCTAAACCTAACCTTAAACTGTGAAATACATTAGCAAATCATTCCAAAACTGTGTTAAATACTAAATACTTTCGAGGGTAGAAAATGAATCACAGGAATCATGCCGCTACTGTTATTATATGACTAGTGAATCCTAGTTCCTGTTATCCAACCAAGAACCCAAATTAACAAGATTGAAGTTCTTGTACCACAAACTTCCTTTCTTTTTTTCTGTCAAAAAAAAAAAAAAAAAAACGATATACCACTTTAAGGTAGGCATGGCCGGTTCAGTGAACCCGCCGGTTCGAAATATTTAAATTTTGAACCAGAACTGACCAATTGACACCTCCGTTCTTTGTGCCGATTCCCGGTTCCTCTTCGACACGGTTCCGGCTTAACCGACGGCTCGAATTACGGTTTCCAAATCGTTCGGCATTACAAAATTTTTAAAAAAATAATAAAATTTTGATTTTGATTTCATAATAAATAATAATTTAAAATGTTTCAATTTTATTAACTAAATAATTATTATGAAATTTTTTTAAAAAAACTTCTATTAAACTCTCAGAACTTAATTTTTGCAATATTACATTTAAGAAAATTTTGCTAATTCAACTAATACAGGAAAACTATAACATGGACATATAAAGTTAAATGAAATGAAGTTGGGAATTAATTTCTCAAAATTACTAAGAAAATTATTAAAAAAATTAAATGAAGTAATATTTATGAATCGGGAAAAAAATTGAGATTAGAGAAAGAATTTGGGAATTGGATTTTAAGAAATAAAATAAAAATAGATAATTCAATATCAAGGAGGGTAAATAAAGCCAATAGAAAAAATACAATAACTATTGAAAATTTGGAAAAATTTTGATTAAAAATAAGAGAAGAGTTGACGGATATAATTGCGTTGTAAAATAAAAGTCATTCAACTCATTCATATTTATTGATGTTTCTCATATTTAGTTTCCCAAATTGTCCCTTTATTAACAAAAAAAATTAACAGCGTTTATATTTTTGATAAATATTTAGTAATTAACAATAAATAAATAATAAATGCATTAAAAATGGAATAAAAATTTAATTTACCAAAAAATAAATTATATTTTTGAATAATTTAGTAAATTACAATAAATAAATAAATAAATGATTAAAAAATGAATAAAATTTATTTACCAAAAAATAAATAAAAACCACCTATTATATCAAAAACTATCCGTTACACTTTTTTTTTTGTACACTTGAAAATTTTTTTTTTTCACCACTTTTATAACTTATGTACTATTGTACTTATTTTCACCATAAATCAAATCAACTATAACCAAATTATATCAAGTGATATAAATTTTTTTATAAAAATTTTAAGCTACAATTTTTTTGTGCATCCGGTTCGAACCGGATCGAAACCGCCGGTTTCAGTTCATATTTTAACATTGACATGTACCTTAACTGGCCCTTAAACCGCCGGTTCCGGTTCAAAATTAGGAACTATCGGTTCTGATCCGGTTCCGATTCATCTACAGTACGGTTGATTCTGGTTCGGTTCCAGTTAGAACCGAACCGGTGGCCATGCCTACTTTAAGGTCATCGCAAATGCAATCCAAAAGCATTTGCCCTGTTGAAGTTCTTCTAATATTTATTCAGAAAGAAGGGCAACACATTCCAGTCCTAATTTTAAATACAACGGGATGTACAATACAATTGGCAGAAAATATTATTAAGTGAAATATAAAAGAGTTTATGGATCTTCAAAAAAATCCCACATAACTGGTCAGATGCACATCCTCACGCCTCTTCAATCTACAAACTTAAACACCACCAACTAGCTCGAGCCGTTTGATATTCATGATCTGCTTTCCAGGGTTCAAGCCTTTAGGGCAGGCACGTGCGCAATTCAATATGGTATGGCAGCGGTAGAGCTTGAACTCATCATTTATTGCCTCTAGTCGCTCATTGGTATATTCATCACGGCTATCACTAATCCACCTGCATACACCAGCATAATCACAAGTCAGTTCCCTTCCATTGTCTTTGGAACAATGAAAACAATGTCCTTTGTAGACCTTGCCACTAATATTACAAACAATCCATGAACTAGCCAAAAGCCTAAAACACATTGCTGGTAACAAAAAACAAATCTAGCTTGCCGAGTATATAAGACACTATAGGACAACAAGCGTATTTAGAGTAAGGGAAGCATAAGAAAACAAGAGAAAAAAAAAAAACAACAATCTAACATGCAAATTCAGAAACCTAATAGCCACTCAACATAGGCATTTTTAATTTCCTCCACCATCTAACACATAATATGCTATAAGAATTTTGACATTCAGCAGGACCCATGCTGAAGTCTCAAGGTGTTGAGACAAGTCACTCAAGCATCACAACACAAACACATTATTAGATTAATTCGCTGATGATTAAACCTGAAATTACCCACAAAAAGAAAATTTGATTTAGGGGTTAAATCAGCAATTAAAAATTAGAGCTTTATGAGTTTCCACTGAAACACATCCGGTATTAAATGTCCAGATTAAGTTTACTGAAAGAAACTCAATGACAGACTTGGGTTTTACGGTATGGCTTCTGATGATCTTCTGCCCAAATGAATGGCCAAAAGAAGAACTTGATTGCTGTAAATGCTTCAAAATAGCATTATTACAATAACAAAAACTTTTGAAGGCAATAAATTAAGAATTGTCAAAGAAAACAACTGATCATATGCAGTAAATGTGAAAGGAAAACTATCACAAACAAACTTTGATTTTTCAAACACAGAACGCCATAAACTATTAAAGCAAGCAGTTCCTTCGTTGATTGCATAGTTAAATCGATTGCTAGAACTTCTAAAGGAATAAAAAACAGTCGATAAATTTTAACAATTGATTTTTTTTTTTCTCAAGAAAATCACGGAAATGAAATTTAAAAAAAAAAAAAAAAAAAAAAACAATTTGATTTTTTTTTTCTCAAGAAAATCACGGAAATGAAATTTAAAAACAAAAAAAAAAAAAAAAAGCACTGGTGTATTGCTTGCCCATAATTGCTATAAATTTAAAAAACCCGACAACCGCATAATGTTAGGTTCTTGAGAAAACTATAAAAAAAAAAAAAAAAAAAAAGCACTGGTGTTTGCTTGCCATAACTTGCTAATAACACAACCGTATGTTAGGTTCTTGAGGAAAATTGAAGAAACCAGCAAAAAAAACCAACATTTGCTCAATGAAAGAACTCAAACAGAAGCACTGATCATTAAACTACTAATGATAATTAATCACCCCCAAACATTAACTTCTGAAAATTAATGCATTTCAGAAGTACTTACTTAAATCAACTTAAACTACTACTGGTAATTAATGCACAGAAACCATCTTCAGAGCAGCTTAATATTTCACTCCTAAATCTTTTCTTATTATTTGATTTATTATTCCAAATCAGTTCCATTTATCACAAACCCTAAACCCCTAAAAGTCCCGATCCAAAATTCAACGAGCCCATGGTGACCAAACAAACAAAATAGAGAATACCCATTTACATAAACCAATCAAAAAGCCAAAAAAATTAAGAACATAAAAGAGAAAAATACCGATTAGCATGGAGCAAAGCAGCTGGACCCAAGTAAGACTCAGGATTCCACCAATAGCTAGGGCAGGATGTGCTGCAGCAAGCACACAATATACACTCATACATCCCATCAAGCTTAGCCCTATCTTTCTTACTCTGCAATATCTCTTTGCCAGGAACCTGAGGCGGGTTCTTTCTCTTAAGCCAAGGCTCAATACTCTTATATTGATTATAGAAATTAGTCATATCCACGACCAAATCCTTAATAACATACATGTGGGGCAAAGGAGTAATCGTCGAGGAATTTCCGGATGGGATCTTGGTCAAGCAAGCGAGCCCATTACAGCCGTCGATGTTCATAGCACAAGAGCCACAGATTCCTTCGCGACACGATCGGCGAAAAGTTAACGTCGGATCGATCTCGTTCTTGATCTTGATAAGAGCATCCAAAACCATGGGCCCACATTCTTTGAGATCGATCTGGTAGTCTTGAAGTTGAGGCTTTGCAGGGTTATCAGGGTTCCAACGGTAGATTTGGAAGGTTTTGAGGTTGGTGCTTGAGGTCGCCTTCGGCTCCACCTTTTGTGCTTCGGCTTCGGAGGCATGAAACCGAGCCGGAACGAATCGAGCGGTGAACGGCGCCGATGAGGAAACCCTAGCGATGGAAACGCCTCTCCTTATCAGCCCAGTAGCCATTTTTGTTTTAGGGAGAGAAACAGAACCAGAGAGGTGGCTTTAGAGAGAGAAAACGATTCGCTTATTTGATAGGCGGGGTTTTTTGGGCAACGAAGAAATGTCAAGCAGAGGAAAATAAAAGTTGAATATAAGGGTAATTAGGGCATTTGGCCGTGGGGAATTAGAGGTTAAGAATGTCTTTACGTTTATGGGTCTTTATTAGGTGCCGTGGATTAATTGGAACTTTGTAATCTTGTGTGACGTGGCGAATGTTGAGTCGTTCGTTTAGGATATGACGTGGAGTTGGTTATTTAGTGGTTTTGGTTCAAATACCAAAAGGACCAATGATTTATTTTTATTAGTAATAGTCAATGTTCCAATACTATCTTTTTAGGCGTGTGCCCAACATGGTCTTTTTGTCCATTTGGTCACTACCACGCGGCCCTAAAGCAATTAGGCAATAAGGCCCACTTTGGCCCAAAATCAATACGTATTATTGGGTCAGTGATTGTAATGGCCCAAAGAATTTTCAAAATCAATACGTATTATCCATCAATCCAAAAGCCCTTTTTAAAAAAAAAAAAAAAAAAATCCAAAAATCATACGTATTATCCATCCAATCCAAAAAGCCCTTTTTTAAAAAAAAAAAAAAAAAAGACAAAATGAATTAATTAACCCTTTTTAAAAAAAAAAAAAAAAAAAGACAAAATGAATTAATTAATAATTTGGTACAAGAATGGATTCATATAATAGGCATAAGCAAATAATTTCTATCATCAAATGTGATAAGAACATTATTGCATCTTTTTTTTCTTACTTTTTTATGTTAATAATTCAGAAAAATTATTAATTACATAATACATATAAAGTAAATGACATATTGTTACAAAATTTTTTGCAGATTATTTTTTTTTTTCAAAAAATTATGTTCTATTTGTTGTACTCTAGAATTGGTGGCAGCATCAAACCCAAAATTTCTAACTTTAGAGGCAAAAAATTTCTTTAAAAAAATTACAAATAAAAAAATTTTTAAATTATAAAATTTAAGGAGCAATGGCCTCCACCTACTCTTCTTGATTTCATCCTGATTTTTATTTTTAATTCATAGTTTTTAGAAGTATCCTAAGTTTTATTTTTGATTTAGAATCTCTTTAAATAATGTAATCTGTTATTTTAAATTTTTATTTAAAAAAGGAAATATATTTATAAATATGTAGAAATGTAGATTGTGCAGACCTATATTATTATTTATTAACAAAATAGAGTTGTATTTAGGATATGGTTACTAAAATATATATAGATAAATGGTTAGTTCATGAAGCATATAGAAAGCTAGCTGAGGAATGACAAGGTAAATTGTACGTGTATGTATGTATGTATGTATGTATGTATTAATAATTAGGTGATGATTAACATATTCCTTAATCTTCGTTATCTTCTTCATCTTTCTCTTCTCTCTTTTTTGGCTTTTGCCTTTCTATTCTTTCTCTAATTACTCCTTTCTCTTTTTTTTTTTCTCTCTTTTTTTCCTTCAATCTTCTTTCTTTTTCCTAGTTTTCTACTGGGATTTGCTGCATTAAATCCTTCATGTCGGCGGTAAGATTCTTTTCCTCTTTCTTTTTCTTCTTTGATCTTCAAAGAATCCATTTTTGGCATGTTCTTATTCTTGTATTGAAATATAGATGAGATTGATGTTAATTTTTTTTATATATATAATATAAGATTGTCATGTTAAATCATTTTATTGTATGCTTTCATACATATGATGAACAAGTTTGAGCTGCATTTCTTGAATTTCCTTTTGTTAATTGTTGTTTCTTTTGAGACATAGTTATGAGAAAGAAAGAAAGTTGTTAGGATTTCGATCCTAATCTTTCAAATTATGAAATAGACATTCGACAACAGAACAATGACAATTTCATGCAGATTAATTGTTCATAATCGAGACATATATAATCCAAAACCAAGATTCCTATTCTACTGCTAGGTTAAATTTTTAATGGAGGTCTTGAATGAAATGTAAAAATGTGACAGCAGCAAGATAAGGGTCGACCATTGCCGAAATTCGGAGAATGGGATGTGAATAATCCAGCGTCTGCAGAAGGATTTACTGTAATATTTAGCAAAGCCAGAGATGAGAAAAAATCCAATGCAGCCGGAGGTGCAGGTGCAGCTTCACAGCGCAACAATAATCTCCATAAACCTGATCAAGATGCAGCTTATCAGGATGAAACTGCAGTATGATCTTCATTTTTCTTAAATTAATTTCATTCAAATCCTTTATAAGTAATTTTATTCATTTCTTTCTTTTCTTTTTCCTTTTTGGTTGCAGAAGAAGTGGTTTTGCTGTTTCTGAGACTAATATGGTAGGCATTGGAGATTACTTTATTTGATGATTGAGCTATGAAAGTTCGAGCTTTCTTCTTCGTTTCAGATTCAGAGCGGGAAATGAATAACGCTGGCTTAAATCTTTATAAATCCCCCTTCTCCATATCCAATCTTTTCTTTCTCTTTTTTTAAAACTGATTTGTTAATTTCATGTTCCTCTACCGTAATTTCTTCTATAATGTAATTTAGGAACTCAAGAACAAAAAAATCTAAAGTTGGTCGTGAACATCATATTTGCAATTAACTTACATTTTTTAATGTTCATCGTGTAATTCCATAGAACTTGTTTTTTTTTTTTTTTTTTAAGCTTAGTAGACTGTTTCCATTTTTCGTTTCTGATGCTGCTACTTTTTACATTCTTGTTTCTTGCAAATAATTATTTCTTGTCATTAGTGCGGATTTAGATATAAACAAAGTAGGATATGGAACAAAGTAGTTTGAGACTAAAGCTTAGTTTTTGTTGTTGCTGCTGTTGCTTTATGGAAATTATTATTATTATACATGTAAATAGATATTAATGCTAATTAATCAAGGTTACGCAAGGTAATGAAAATCTGAAAACAAACAACTAAAATCATTGCAAAGTACACCTTAAGTACAAACAAGTTAACATAAGTAAAAACAAACAACAGCTTAACAAAAGAAAATCCTAGTAATTAAAACACACAAGAAACAACATATGATGTCATAAGAAGTTGCAGAAAGGCAACTTTAGGAAGTGCTGCGAAATGCAGAACGGTTGGAGGAGAAGCAGCAGATTTTTTCCCAGCATCATCACCATGTCCGTGATGAGAAGTGTAATCCTCTTCATGAGCCATAACTTTGATGATAATCCTCTGTCCTTTCTCACAATGCCCTGAAACTCCACTAATGAAGTAAAATGGCCCTGCATGCTCAAACTTGTAAACTGTATTGCCTGTGTCAGAGAAGAAACTAGGGTGGCTTGAGTTACATTTCTTGTACTCTTCTTCAGTCACTTTCAGTACAGAATCTTTCTCATACCTAAAACCTACAAGAAAGCAATAAAAGCAAAAAATGAGAAAATGAAGATGATATAGATAATGGGTTTGTCGTTTAGGCTGCTTTTGACAAATTGCAGTTGCCGTATTAACTTACGGACTGTGTCACCGATTTGGAAGCGGTTCTCAGAGGCCCAGTCATTGTAGATTTTGGTGTCATTTTCAGGAGGAATAACCCAACCTCTGTTGCCACCAACTTTGAACTCAAATGAAAAGACAGAGAAGTAGTGAAGTGAAGAGAAGATTGAGAGGAGAAGCATTAGCTTGGTGTAGGAGAAAGAGGAGGAAGCCATTGTTGTTGTAGATAAATGTATCTGCGAGAGAGAAGCTTAATTAATTTGTTGCTTTGAATGTGAAGGAAGTTGTAGGTTTTGGGAGTTTGTGAGTTGTGTTGGTGGGTTTAATATAAACGTAGATTGTAGAGTAGTGGGGTTTCATTTCATGGGCAAGATTAGTGGAAATGGAGATGGTGGGGGGTTTTATTTGAGTTGATCAACTTCTGTAATTAACCATCAATTTGAGTAAAATTAAATTTTGAAGGCCCAAGCTAATAAGTATATATATGTAAAATTTAAATTTTGAAGGCCCAAGCTAATAAGTATATATATATATATATATATATATATATATATATAATATATATATACTATATATAATATATATAATATATATATATATACTAGTATATTAAGGATATATAAGGTTTCATGGGTTATGTTCCTCTAATTCTTTGGTCAATTGGGTTAGGTGTAAATTTATCAGACACCGAGTTTGTACATCAAACAAGGTTCTTTCTAATTACCTTAGAGAATCTCATTTCAGAGCTTAAACTTCATGAACTTGAGGAGTAACATGCATCTTTTGCTACTATTTGTTAGAATTGTTATTCTATATTATCTCGTATTATTGTCTTTTCATTGTACAACAAAAAGACACAATAACAAGGGAAACTCTACAATTCAAAACTTCTGTTACATCTCATATGTTTAATTCATTTCCTCCTAATGTTGTCAGCATCCAAATGAGACAGACGCTTATAGAAAGAACCAAGAGAACATTAAAATCATGAATTATGAACTTTAGCAAAAAATAAAAATGGAAATGTTGCGATTTCATTTCCATTATTAACATCCATTATTGTACATATTCCACGTTAACCGGTTGTGACTCTTGATCGGAACCATTCTGGCTTGATCTGTTTTTAAAAGATAAGAAACGAGCGAAGGCACTTTTTGATCTTCCTAGTGCTTGCAGCCCATTGCTTGATTTTCTGTCACCATTCTTCTTGTCCAGATCTTCGGACAGCTTCTTGACAAGACTTTGAAAATGGCGTCTTGAAGTTGGAAACCTTGATATAGATTTAGTAATCCCTTGAAGCCTGAATTGTCAAACAAGATAGATGCAACAGAAATGAAACAGCATAATAGACAGAGGTTTGTATGCAAGTTTTGCATTGTTACCTTCGAGCTAGCGCATCAAGTTCAGCGCGTTTACGCTCAGACTCGGGTGGTGGACCAATATTTCTATTTTTCAACTTCAAGGGATCACCATTCAACAATACTAGTTTGCAGAGATAATCCTCTTCTTCCTCAGAAAGGTTTTGTGCTTTAATTTGCTCTTTTATGATCATAAAAGGGTTAAAAAACCAATCAAAGAAGGTTTCTTTTGGTCTGTTTCTGGTTGTTAACTCAGTAACATTGTCACCTACATCAATGAAGGACATTCGAAAAATTTTAATTTGTTACAACCCAATAACTAGAACTCTATTAGGGAGAGAGAAGTACCACTATTACAAAGAAAAGAATTGACTTACTCAGCAGAATACCCTCAGAATTGGCTTTCACAGAACGTAGGATTGCCTGAAGAAGGCAATAAGCTGGTAAACCAATGCTAACCACCGTGCCAACCTTATTGGACTTGGCGTCTTCAATGTCTTGTGGAGTGATCAGTCCTTCAGAAAGAAAAATCTCTCCATATTGTTGACACTCCTTAAATAAGCCATCAAGCAGCTAAAAAAATGGTGCACACATTTATTCAGTGCTGAAACTATTAACTAAAGTAAATGCATTCAGAAATCAAATGGCAAGACCAATGCAAAATCTAATTCACAAAATGGGAAAAATAGGAAAATGTAAAATCACTACCGTAAATGGTTTCAGATCCACCATAGGTACAAGTGAATCTGAGCGGTTGAGACGATTTCGAAAAGAATTGGCCCCTGAGAAAGAGGAGGCACGAGAAGGGCTCTTTGTCAATTGAGCTTTTCGGTACTTTGGCCTATCGACATAAAAATTAATTGAACTTTGTTAGAGTTCATAAACAACATATTAAAACCATGAAGCATGTGAGAAAGAATAAAAAAAACCTTGGAAAGCAAGATCCTTCTGGCATGTCCAAAACATCATTGCTGTATTCATCGTAAATAGCCAAGGACGCAATGATATAGCAAAGCCCAAACCAAAATGAGGATTCCTGCAGTCACCCGCAATATGAGGGAAATAGACAGAACTCTGTATCTCAGATAACTTTCAAGATTCTTGTACAAAAGTATCAGATTGCAACCGACTATGTATGTGCAGGTGTTCAAAATAGTTTGACATGCGAGTTTATGGTGCATCTGACAAGGCAACAGTTAAGATGTCAAGCAATTTAACACATGTTCAAGCCAAAAGCTTAATACATTGTAAACAGGTTGAGGAAGTCATATTCACAGTACAACATTTCCTCTAGCAGTGTTTGGAACCTAAAAAGACTAGTTAAGTTTGTTCCTTTGATACTAAGTCACAATTGGAGAGTGTAATATCATTATCAGATGTAAAAGAAAAGAAAATAGATGATAGTAAGTTATTTTATCCTGAAATACCCATATAAACATAATGGCTTAATTTGGGAGGTTCCTGTATGCTACTCAATATAGAATCTACGTAAGTATAAAATGCAGTAACCAAACTAAAATCAGTATCGACTTAAGAATTTTACCTGATAAACAATCACACCAGCATAAGCACCAAGGAAGATGCTAGATACTATGGAACCCAAAACTGCTCCAACAACAGCCAACGGCCAAAGAAGGATAGCAAGACCTGCAAATGGTACACATATTGTCTCCAAGAAAGGGCCTTCCCGTCCTATAAGGTCATGAAACAAACGATGCCACCCCTTAAAGAGCATGAATGGACTTTTGTAGATAGCGATAAATGAAATCAGCGGAAAGTCGAACAGGAAACCAAGTAAACTGGCAATAATAGCACTGGGAAGATAAAGTAATCTGCAAAAGAATTTATTAGGAATTGCTGATAAATGCCCATCTCTACAAGAACATCAAAGTTATAACTAATTAAGGAACTGCAAGGGGAGATAACTTGTCTTCCTTGATAAAATTTTTTACGTTTTTTAGCTTCAAAGTTTCAGGCTAGAAATCCCAATTTCCATGCCTTATTGCCTATGGACAATAACACTTTGAAAATTGATCATGTGCCATTCTTTATGATGCCACCCATTGGGTAATAACTTTGTAAGAAATGTCAAGATCAGAAATTATTGGGTTCCTACAATCTTTATAGTTTGTTATATGGCATGCACATACAAGATACCGGTACCGAAAAGGTCAACAGACAAGGAATGTCTTTTACTTTAAGTCCAAAAATTAAGCTGTTGTCAAAGATGACCCAGTAAAAAAAGGTGAATTCTTGGTGGAAGGAATTTGGAAGACTTTTGCTCTGATGTTTGCTAGGGAAGTTGCACAAGGAACAGCTTCAACATTAAAAACTACCCTAAAAACATATCACTGTGTTATCTTCATAAATATGCAGCTGAATTGGTGCAACAGATTTTATTAAGGTAGTTGAGCTCAACAACATTGGAAACTAGCCCATTAGGAAATTCATGGAAGGCTGTGTAGCTGATATATATCAACTTTGGGCATTGAGGGGCATACACTCATTTACAGAAAAGAAAATTTGTTATTTTAATTCCACTATCTATTCTTCAGATTTTACAAAGAGAAAGAAGAAGAGATATGTAGGGGTAAGAGTTGTCTCCCTCAGCTCTAAAAGACAGGAGGCCCAATTAAAAGTTTTTTGGTTCAGTAGGCAGCGGGTTTTGGAAACACAAGCTGCCTTACGTGACTTTTTTGAATCTGTATTGTAAATAATTTTGCTCTTGCAAATAAATTGGAAGCTTATTGTACCCACCAATAGAAATCCTTGAAAGCATCCTGTCTATAAGGAATATTGCTTCAAAACTAAGTCCTTTAAGTGAGGTTCCATCAGTGTGTAACTTGCACCCAATTATTGCAAGCACCAAATGGAAGAGTAATATAAAAGATGTTAAATACTATTGTTGTATCCAATATCCAACTCTTAAAGCATAAAGGTCTTCAGACCATCCAGATGTGGCCTATTGACTTTTTGGATGTGAATTCATTTTATTAATTGTGCGAGCATCAAATTTGGACCTCTACATGACTTCTAAATTCTAAAAATGATTGTATTTAGATATTTTAAGCGACAGTTGACTTAGATGCTGGAAAGCAGCCTGCATTCGACACTAAGGAAAGATAATAAAATAAACCTAATGTTGAATATTCAACTGCAATTGGGGATTCAAATGGTGAAGAGATCAAGAAGAAACTAAAATATAAGGCCTATCATAATATGATACGAGATATTAAATTTCCACGTAAGTGTAAGATTATTTTGATAATTACAGAAGCAAAGTCAATTCCAGTCCTAAGATAAACTCTTTCCAAGGCTATCACTCACCATATAGGTTGCTAAGAATTATTAAGGTCAAGCCTACTTAATTGTTGTAAAGAATGGCTTCATTGCCTTGTCCGAGCAAATGAGCTAAATAGGAACAGAATAAAGGTTTTTTTTTTTTTTTTTTTTCAAAAAAAAGGAAAAGAAAAAAAGAAAAGAAAGCAAACCTGATCTCATAATAGTTCTTATCTGCAGGTTGCTGCCGCAGGTCATCCATGTATGAGAAATAAGAATGATAACAAACATCTCCAAAATCACGAACAATAGTGCAACTCCTTTTAATAGTACTCCAAGTTCCATCCTGCAAATACAAAAGCAGTGAAATTGATATAAGCAAAGAAAAGAAGGTGTAACAACTAGATAACAAAGTCATAAAGAAAAGGTACTAAACTAACGCATACATAAAAACAGTGATAAAGCCCATTCGTCTTCCCTTCTCCAACAGCATCAAAAGTGGCAAATACTGGCGAAAGAAAGCCATACATTGCTCCACCAATAACACTTCCTACAATGCCAACCACAAGCCACAGAATCAAAGGAACTGGTAGGGTCACGCACAGAAGAATCTTCAAAATAGGCCCCAATTGTTTAGCTCTGCCCATTAGAGAAATTAAAAGAATTAAAGAACGCTACAAACAGATGAGCGCCAAGCACAAAGCAAAATATAGAGTCGAGAAAAAACACCTCAAAATTGAATAATATGTCCAAAAAGTATGCAATGGCAAAAGACCTATTATGATAGCAGAATTTCCAATTGCCATGATAAGGCATGCCAATGGGCAGAAAATGATACCTGCAAATAAATAGTTTGGTACACTGTAAGCACTTGACTAAAATCAAATCATATGCATGTACTTATTGGAATTGCAAGCAACTTTAATCCTTTCTATTTTCTGAAACTACATACCTTAAATTATATTTGTGACAGAAATCAAATGACTACAAGGTACTGATTATAAGCAACCAAAATATGAGCAAATATTATTTATTTACAGCATGTAAGGCAGATTGATCAGCAAAGGAAGCAACAACAAAAGACCAGAAGAAGAAATAAGCAAAACTGAACCCCAAAATTGCCACTGTAACTAACCTTTAACAGTTCCCAGTAGCAGTAGCCCGATGAAGAAAGGAAGAAAGCGAATAAAGTTCCAGCAAGAAGCCAAAACTCCCCTTGGAGGCTCCATATCTCCTTGTAAAAGCCACTCAGATCTCTACAAATTTACAACAAAACCATCTCAGAAACTAGCCTAACTGCTCCTGAAAACACCAGAGACACCCATTTTTAGCCTCCGTAACTTGCAAAGCAATTTCTGTTTTTAAAGAAAACGAGAAACCCAGAAGTCTAAAATCAAAATCGTTTCATAAACATACCCAAATAGTAGAATTTGCTTGAGTTCTTGCAAGTGATGGCCAAAAACAAAAGCAAGAAGCTTTTTCTTTTATTCAAAAACTGCACTTATATTTTTTAGTAAAATTTGGAATTTGAATGAACAAGAAATCAGAAAACTTGATTGAACGGTCCAGGCGGTTGAATTTGAATAACCGTCCATTAGAGGCCTCAAGTTAAGATTATACACTGAAAGATCAGTTACAATGAAGAAAACTTAAAAAAACTAAAAAAGAAGAAAAAAAAAAAAAACAAGAAGAAGAAGACGAAGAAGAATAAGATTAGGAGAAGGAAAAGAAGATTAGAAAAAGAATCCTTTCTTGCTTAGTGAGGTCTCACTGTTCTTGTGCTTTAATTAAAAGCAAAGCAAAGTGGTAGCCTATTACAACCTGCGACATTCTCGATACACGTTTGAACTTGAAGACACGTGTGTGGTTGAGATTGTAGAAATGCACAAACTTGGCGAGTGTTGTTATGAAGCAGACAAGAGGGTTTCTATTAGGGGCATGGGTTGGGTTATCTCTTTCATCAAAATCCACAAGACAGAGAGGTTTGCCTGTGACAGTCTGAGAAAGACAGTTAATGGCTAAACGTATTTGGTTTTTGTGGACAAATTAGACAAGCAAGCATGTTTTAGATTCCTAGCTCTAAGTTACCATATCAAGAAAGCCCAAAAAAAAAAAGGCAATATTTATAATAGTTTGTTATATTTTTAGATAATAAATAAAATAGTCGCTTAAAAAAATATTAATTTAAAAAATAATAATAATTATGTTTATGAAATTAATTTAATTTAAAGTAATCCTTAATAAAAAAAATTCAAACTTAACAAATAATTATTTTTCAAATATGAAAAATTTGTTAATATACTATTTATAATTTTTTAGGATAAAAAGCCTAAGAATTCTTTTATTAAATTTTAAATTTAAATTGCATTTTTTTTTCAAAAATCCTTTGAAGTGTTTTATAGTACATATTAACTAACTAACTTTTCGCCCTTATACTTTATAGATATGTATTTATACTATGTTAGATTCTTAACAGATAATTAGTTATATACCATGATTGAGAAATGTAGATGAGAATGAGTCAGCTCATTCATAATTGTGAGTTGTGAGCATGATGCAATTGAGATTGCCACCATTATGACAAAAATATTAGGTGGTAATAAAAATGATAATTCCATTATTTTTAAAACATTTTTTATATGTCAAATAGTAATAATAATAATAATAATAATAATAATAATAATTGATTTCCCTTATATTAACATCAAATTCATGAGTCATTGCACATATGGAATCAGAATCCTAATCAGGAACTATCTGAGGCTTTTTCCATGCTGATACAACCAGATCCTGCAATAGCTGCCCCTCTGGACAAGCTATAAAATTTAATACCGTTAGGGTCCCATAGTTTTTAACTTTTCCACTTGTGTGTCTATATAAATATATTGAGAATGAACATTTAAAAACAAAGTTATTTTGGATTTTATTTCCAACCTGGAGACTTGTTCTGGAGCTCCCAACTTTAATACGACCTATTGGTAGTAAGGACTTCAATCCCCGTAACGGTCTTGTAGGACAAAATGGGAAATTATTAGATAGGACAGAAAACCCTTCCTATGTTTATGAGCAGGGAGCAATGTTATCCTACTCAATAATTTCTCATCCACAGGGCATAAACTAGTGAAAAGGAGAAGTATACTTCCAAGCAACATTCTGTCCAGTAATCAAGTTTGTATAACTTTACATATAAGTAAACAAATCATTCCTAAAACTGGCACTGCATTGCAGTTGCCTACAAAGCAAATACACAAAGATACAAAAGAATACAGTATGATACAAAGACACAAAGTTTGTAGTTAAATTAATCATTATTTTCCTTCTGTAAATGTGCAGGATAAATCTCCGTTCGATCAAATGGTTTACTTCTCCTAGGAACATCTGCTAAATTGCAGAACTCAGTCAATGTTTTCCTGATTTGCACTTTCTTCTTTTTGTCTGGCGGCCGAGGTCCTAAAACATTTATGTCAACAGTAGCTCCAAAAATGTGTGAGGAATGAACAACTGCATCATAAACTTTTGCCGAGAGGTCAAGGCCCTCATTTTGAGCTCTCAAGTACAACTCATATGCAATCCTAGGTTTACCATCTTTTGCAAGAGCCTCAATCAGCATTTCATATGTAATCTTATTCGGTGAGATGTTCTGCACTTTCATACGGTGAAACCACTCATATGCTGCCCCACTCATACTATTCTGCACACATCCACTGATTATTGCATTATATGTGATAATTGTTGGCTCAATGCTAGATGAAGTCATTTCATGAATTATAGCATCAACATGTCCAAACTTTCCTTGTCCAGCATAAACTGAAGCCATAATAGTGTATGCATACACATTAGGCTTCACACCCACCTTAAGCATATGTTCCCACACACGTACAGCCTCATTGTAGAGTTTTCCTTTTTCAAGGGCACTGAGCAATGCACCATACGAAATAATTGTAGGCTTTTCACCTTGTTCAATCATTCTGCTAAATATCTGTATAGCAGCCGAAGTTTCTGAAGCCTTGGAACAGGCAACGAGAACTGCATTCCACTCCCTACTTCCTGGCTTAAGGCCTTTATCTTCCATCTTGTTTAATAACCTAACACCCCATCTCCAAATTCCTCGTTTCCTAGCTGCAGTAAGTAAAACGTTAAAATGAGAGACGATCAATTCATGTGACAAATTATTTGGTCTTGGTCCTTTGTCCAACAAATCCTCATAAATCTCCAATGCTGCCCACCATTTCTTAGCCTTTCCCATCAACCAAATGACATGGTTGCAGACTGATAGACTTATTTCAGAATACCTTTCTCTGATCCTACTGTACAATTCTTTTGCAACGATATAATGCTCTTCACGGGTACAAGCCCATAAAAGACGCTCATAATCTGCCCGACCAGGCTTAAGTCCAGCCTTATCCATGTCTGTCAGAAGTTTCAAAACATTGATGCTAAAGTTATCATGCCTCACAAGCCACCTCCGCATCACTTGGTAGCAAATACGAATTATGAAATTCTCAAGCTTAACGAATTCTTTTTCCCAATTTTCATCAGAATCTTTTCCTATCTCACCTTTCTTATATTTCTCTTTTATATCTACATAAAACGCCAAAGCTCCATTCCCATCTTCCATTTTTCGATAAGCTAGCAAAGCAGTAGAATAGGATGCAGCAGATGGAGTAAAACCGTTCTTATGTATCTCCTCAAGAATATCAAGGGCCTTAGTAGGTTGCCCTTGCTCCACATAAATGCCCATCAAAGTGTTATAAGTTACCACATTAGGAAAAATTCCCTCTTGAGCCATATCATTCAAAATTTTCTCTGTTTCTTCATGTTGCTCAGACTGTTTTAATGCACTCAATAAACTATTATAAATAAACAGGTTTGGACCAATAATACTGCCTGTTTCCTTCTTTCTTTTGAGCCACTCAACAAGAGCAAATGCAGATGCCATTTTCTTGTCCCAGCCAAAACCCTTGATCATGGATGAATAAACTTGAAGAGGCAATTCACCCTTGTCCTTGAGAACCTCTTCAACATCATCTGCCGATTCAGCAGAATGCAAGCTCAAGGCTAGCGCACGAACATCAATTCTCGTATCCTTCTCTTCCCTAACTTCTTCCTCACTTCCAAAATCTAAATGGCTATTTTCTTCCAGGTTACAATTATCATCATCACTATTTTCTAGTCTATTTAAATTATGAGAATCAATATTAACCATTTCACTCTTCCCCGGAAACCCATCATCTAAACTAGATTCTCCCCCATGAAACTTATTCCCAATCTGTTGTTGCTCCAATGCAGAAGCCATAGCAACAGATGACCCAGAAGATCCTTTCTTTGGCTCACAAAAGAGAGCAAATTTTAACTTACTACAATTGGAGAGAAAACCACTTGAGTTTACACAAGTTCCATTTCTATCATACCTTGAATTGCTAGAAACCATTAAAAGACCAGAAGTTTTACCATGAAAAGCTATATCAACAAGACCCCATCTTTTTTCCCTCCTAATGCTAGGAAAATAATGAGAACCCAGTTCAAAATCCAATTGGGGCACCATGGATAAGCCACCTTTCGATGGCCACATACTCAAAACTTGCATTTTCTATATAATTTAGCAGAAAATAAGAAATCCCAGAATGCAAATGTCAGTTAAAGAACTATAAAACATGTTATAAACTCTTAGGGAAGACTCTGCACAGTAGTTTCTACTTTGTGTGTAAGATAAACAGAAAAGTGAAAGCTTTGGCTCAGTATTCATACAGTTTTTTATTAACAGAAGATAGAAAATTAGATTGCACCTGATTTGGCTGTAGAGATTTTGAGTGGAAATATGAGGCTTCAATAGAACCGTCCTTTGGACATCGTTGTTCGTTACAGCAATACAAGAACCAGTCACAAGAGAAAATATCAGTGACCAAACTACGTCGGTTTTGTTTTACCTCCTTGGCAAGCAGACACTAATTTTTGCAATGGAACATGGGCTTGCCTTATTTGTTAGGACAATGTAAAAAAGCCCATCTTCCGTTAATGGGCCTGCATGATGAATGTTTATGTCCCTCGTAAACTGAAAATGGAACCTCACACAGGTTTTTGGTTTAATTTTCAGGCCATAACTTAAATTTATTTTAAAAAAAAATTCTCAAAAGAAAATAATTTTTTACATATAGCTAGATTTTTATTATTTGATTGTAACATTAAAAAATATTAATAAATTTTAATTTATAAGAATAAAAATATTTAAAATTTTATTTTTAAGTATGAAAAGATATATAAAATTAATACATTGCGATAGTTATTGATGATTGACCGTGATAATTGATTCATAATAATTAGTTATGCTGATTATCAGCTACAGATAGAATGTAAATCATTACACTTTTTTTTCTTTTTTTATAATAAATTCATAATGTTGAAAATATATTTTTTTTTCTTGAAAAAGAGAATTGAATAACTTTTGTAAATGCTCTAGCATAAGAAAATTCATAATATTTTTCTAGAGAAGCATTTTCAAATACAAACAGAGCCAATAATTAATATATATTACATAATATATTTTCGAATTAAAAAAGTACAATTTCATAAAGATAGATAATTTAATTATCTTTTTATTAATAATAAAAGAATACCGCATCAGAATTATTTCTTTAGCATTTTGCTATTATATTGATTAATTAGGTGTCAATGAATTTTTTTTAAAAATGCAAGATCTGAGATTAAATTAGCTAATAGACATTATTAGTTGAGTGACTGCTATTTGAATTTGTAGTTGAAAGATTTTTTTTTTTTTTTTTTTTTTTTTGTTATGTATTAAAAAAAATAATTACAGATTTATATAAGCTGATTTATTATTAAAAATTTCAAAAGAAATGAATTTTTTTTTTTTTTTTTTTTGTTATGTATTAAAAAAATAATTTACAGATTTATATAAGCTATTTATTATTAAAAATTTCAAAAGAATGAACAATAATAATTGAACCACCATGCCACCTTCACCTTCACTTTTTTTTTAATTTATTTAGTTAAACAAATAATATTTATTTTTCTTAAATAAATGCTAAGATTCGTTTGCAAGTGAGTTATATATTCCCCATCTCTTGTTTTGTAATTGTAACTTGAATAATTAATTTTTAATAATTTAAAAAGAAAATTAAAGGGACAAGATAATGAGAGACAGACTATTCATGTAATATGAAGATCTAATCATAAGATATATAAAACCTAATAAAAACAAATGCTTAGCTTTTTACAATTTGTTATGAGACATGCAAGAAGATGAAGAAGAAGAAGGAGAAGGGAGTTGTAATGATAATGTCTCCAAATAATATATATTCATGCATGCATATATATATATATGATTGAGATTAAGATTAAAGATTAGTATGGATGCGCATAAAATCTGTGGCAATATCTTCTAACAAGAACCAAATCTCATCGAAGATGTCCAAACCATCCATCTTGTGCTTTGCATTATATGCTCTTCACCTTATATATAATTGCATTCCCATATGCTTTCTTAGACAATATCATAAACCCCACGTGTTCCTACAAATGTTTTCCTTGGTTTAAGTAATAATAATTAATCTAATTAAAATACAATTTAAATTTTGGAGGCAAAAATATGTATTTAAATATTACAGTGAGTCTGTTTGAATCGTACGAGATGAAATTCTTATATATAATTCTCGGAAGGGAGTCTTGCTGGTTTACTTACCTCAATAATATTTATGATTGGTTTGAAAAATGTTTTGAGATTTAGGCGATTGCAGAACTTCTCCTCAGGAGAATAGATGAGACAATTTAGGTGAGATCTAATGTAGATCTAATTTTCTTTTCACTCATGGGATCATTTACTGTGCTCTTCAAAGATTGATACTCTTCTTAAAATCTCATTATAATATTTTGAGGCAAATATTAGAGTATAAGATGAATTTCTATTTTTCTAAAATAGAATTTTAAAGTCATAACATATCGGTTGAGGAGTGTGAAAATATAAATTTGATTTTATATGTATTGATCAGAGTTATTTTGAACAATTAAAATATGTTATGCTCTACGACCCTGAAGAGGGATTAATCAACACCGATAATGTGATTAATGCTTCTTCAAAACTGTATAATATTTTTTTTTTCTTAATTTATAAAGATAGCAAATGGATCAAAGTGTTGCACAATGACATTATTGGTATCTGGCCACAAGACTTGATTCAATGGCCTAAAACAACTGCTTTTAACTGAAACAAGACACTTGACTGACTGCCATATCAACAAGGAGAATATCTGTTCCGTTCCAACATTACGGCCCATTTCAAATGCACTTTAGCTATCTCCATTCCATTATATGATGAACATATGCTCATGTCCAACCACTACCTATGTTATATATTATTTTCCCACTACAAACATGTGGGTTGTCATTTATTAGAACCTTCTACTTCTTTTTTCTTTCTTTTGAATTCTCTTCCTCTTTGTATTTTTCTTGCAACTTTAGTTGCTAAAGTCTTCACCTTTTGAATATAAAAGAATACATCAAGGAAGCATGCAATCCAGAATATGGTGAATCTTGCGGCTGAGTTGGGTTACTTATCCCTTTATTTCCTTAAAAGAGCTTTCTTTTGTCCTGGAAAAGTTAGGTTACTATTCATTATTAGAAAACTTTGAAGAATAATTATGCACAAACACTTTCTTTTTTAATGTTCCGGTAATAGTTTTGTTAAGTAATTTTTAGCTTTTTTGACTAATCAAAATGTTAAACGCTGATTTTTATATTGTTCGGCAATATAACGTTTGGACTAATTTTTATAGATTAATATAACGTTTTATAAAAAGTTAACTCTATAATGTTTAACTTTTAGCGTTTTATGAAAAGCTACTAAAACAGCTACTAGTTACTCAAACAATTAAAACGCTATTAAAATATTTAATTTTATCGACATGCCTTGAATCAATTAGTGTGTTAAATGAATGAGTTTGTATCAACAGAATTGACGGATGAAATTTAAATATTTTATAGAATTGAATTTCTTCGCTTCATTAAAAAAATAGAACCATGATAATGTTTTTGGGTTTGAAGAAATGGTCCAGATTTATGAGAGACTATTATTTTACTAAGACTTCCACATGGTTTGATACCCTATGGACTAAACCAACCACCTCTACGAAGCATACCTAACTAACTAAACCTAATTAAATTCAAAAGCCAATGTTAGCAAGTAAGACAAAAAACTTTTTCTCTTTTGTTTAATCAAATTAACATATATTCCAATTTCCAACCAACCATCCTTTTATTTCGGCGGAAGAAAATGGGTGTTGGGGCCAAAGTGGAACCAAACAAGCTTTGCTCAACCTCACAAATCATGAGCAGCGAAGAAAAGAAAAGAAAAACAAGAGAAATGTAATTATAGAAACTTCTATATAGCTGCATGAATCATTTGAATCAAATGCTCTGTAAGTTCTTTTTATATTAAAAATTTTTAAAAGAGGAGAAAATTGTTCAAGTTTGAATTTTTTTAGCAGTAAAGTGGTAGTGCATATAAATTTTGTGTACGGTAATTCACTTCTTTACTTAAGTTATTAAATGTGTAGATTATACATTGACATATTATCTTCAAAGATTCATAAATAAAGAAAAATTCAATTTGATCTGATTTTGAGAATATTTCAAACGGAAAAATTATATTCTTTTTGGGTTTTCTGAAAAAGAATCAAAGTTAGTTTAGCAATTTAAAAAAAATTAAAAGTAAAAATTATTAATCATGTTAATTTTTTAATTTTTAAAAATAATCCAAACTATAAAAATCCTAATTTTCATTCTATTTGACCATTGTTGTGAACACCCTAGCTAGCAAGCAGCTCAATGTCGAGGGGAAAAAAAAAAAAAGGACTAGCCTTGTTTTGGTTTGCCCTTTTATTTTTCAATTTGGGGTTTCTAAACAAAAGCATAAAATTGACAATTTCACAACATAGTTTTAGCTTATTAGGACCCTAATTGCAAGATGACATATGGAACTTATCTTAGATTTCACATTGAAAGCATGAGATTTCAATGTGGGAATTACATGAACTTGGGTTTTCGAATTTTAACGGCCAACTTTTGAGATATGGTTCTTCCAATATCATAATCAGAGTCAATCATCACTTCTTCCAGTTACAATCGAATGACATCAGGTGATTATGATGTAGTCGGTTTATATGAACTTAGGGTCTCCAACCTTAATGACTAGATTTTGAGGTATGGTTCTACGAATATCATAACAATCAGTGTCAGAACCAACTATTGCTTCTTCTAGTTGCTATCAAATGACATCAAGTGGTTACGATATGGGCAGTTTATATGAACTTAGACTCTCCAATCTAAATGACTAACTTTTGAAGTATGGTTCTTCCAATGTCATAATAATTTATATCAGAGCCAATTGTGGCTTCTTTCAATAATATCATGTGGTTACAATGTGAGCGGTTTACATGAATTTAGACTCTCCAAAACGGCTAGCTTTTGAGATATAATTGTCCTAAAAAAACATAATTAACATGATTATATACTCAAAAAAACCTTTGAACTAAAAAATATTACAAATGCATAATGCATTCTTAGTAAAAAGACCAGCCGACCACATGATGTGATTGTGTTTGGTCCGCTAATCAAGCAAGCGTGTTACTATGCACCCACCCCCATGTGCATGCCTTTGCCACTCTCTCTCCTTCCCTAAAATCAGCACAAGAAACTATTTATGCCCATACTATACTCCATGTGTCATCATCTCTTTTGATTTCTTTTCTACTATTATATCTATGGAGTCTTGTATTTCTTTCTTTCTTCGAAGTAAGTGTGGCTTTATTTTTTTATTCATAAGCTTCTTTTGTCCTTTTGCTTGCTCTTTGCTACTATATAACCAGCTAGTCTCAAACTCTTTCTCTTCCTCCTTCACTTTGAGTTTCGTGAGCAAGTTAAATTATTTCAAAGAGAGGCAAATATGATCAAATTGAGGTCAAAGAAGTTTTGTAGAGGCAGTTTCAAGTTTGGTGGCAATAGTAACAATAGTAGTAATGCTAAAGGAGGAAGTGAGAAAGACACTTGTGGAAATATTAGTGAAATCAAATGGGAGCTTAGGCCTGGTGGTATGCTTGTTCAAAAGAGAGAAAGTGGAGATAGTGTTGGAGAGTTTATTATTGTTAGAGTCTCAACTCTATCTAAATGGCATGATATATCCATTGAAGCAACTTCAACTTTTGGTAAGTTTTCTTATTATAATTAATTAACCTTATATATATACCCTTTCATCTTTATAAAGTCATGTAGAATAATTAATTAATTTTTGATTAGTCAGTTTAACAGCTATATTACTGAACTCTATAAAAAAAAATAACGCTTAGCATTTTGACCGATCAAAACGCTAAAATCTACTTAAAAAGCTGATCAAAACGCTAAAATCTACTTAAAAAGCTGTTGTCAAACAAAACCTTAACCTCCTTAATTGTTGAAATGTTCAGGGGAATTGAAGATGATATTGTCACTGGTAACTGGAATGGAGCCAAGAGAGCAAAGGCTATTGTTCAAAGGAAAAGAGAGAGAAGATAGTGAATATTTGCACATGGTGGGTGTTAGGGACAAAGACAAGTTGTTCTTGTTAGAAGATCCAGCCATCAAGGAGAGGAAACTCCATGGCTTGCTTCCTTGTCGTACTATAAGTGTATAAAACTAATTAATTAAGAGGAATATATCTTAATTATATATTGTCCTTTAATTAATTATTACTAACCACAAAACAGAATTGTATTATTGTGGCAGTTTGACCTATTTAATTATGCTTAAGCTGATGCATATCCTAGTCATTTTCAGGGTGTTCTTTGTTTGTAAAATTGCTGCTTCCTGTACTAGCTTGTAAAAATTAGTGTACTAATATGATTAAAAATGGAGTATATTGCATTTTCAGGGTGTCCTCTGTTTCTATTGTATATTCATATATTAAAAATGAATTTAATTACACTGCATTTTAAAATGGAGTTATAATCTTTTGTCCTAAGATTATAGGCCAAGTATATAAATTAATTTGTGTATTTTTTACAAAAAATTTCGCACCATTCTCAATTTTTTACTTTGATTTGTTGACTGCAACTTATGAAATTGTATATATTAAACATTTTAGCTAATAAAATTAAATGAATTAAATACTTATTGAATGGTTGAAAATGTGAAAATTATTATTTAAAAAAATTATAAAAAATACAAATCAAAACTATATTTTTATCTACAAATTTTAAAATAGGGAGAAAGTACGCAATGTTTAGAGAGCAAAAGATTTAGACTGTTGTATTTTTTTTTTTTTTTTTTTTTTATTTAAAAATTATAAAAAAATACAAATCAAAACTATATTTATCTACAAAATTTTAAAATAGGGAGAAAGTACGCAATGTTTAGAGAGCAAAGATTTAGACTGTTGTATTTTTTTTTTTTTTTTTTTTTTGAAAAGCATATAAAGTGGATTTTATTATTTATTTTTTTTTTTTTTTTTTTTTGAAAAGCATAAAAGTGGATTTATATTTATATATCTAGCCGCGCAGATAGGTATTCATAATTAGTGTTATAAATCTAGAAAATGTATACATAAAGTAAGGAAAATATAATAATTAAAGTAGGAGTCGGCAGTTTAATGAATATGCGTTTATAGAAATGCTTAAGCTATAAGGAAGATCTATGAAGTTTGCGTTCATAGACTTCGATTTGATTACATCTACTTAGATTTGCTTTAAGTTTAAGCTTCTAATAATAATTTGATTGCCTAACTGTCAAGTTTCTTTAATGAAAAAATTACTAATCGGGTGTTGAAATGAGTGATTCAACTTTTAAGAAATACAAATTAATTTTTATAAAATGTAAATTAAGTAAACTTAATTAAGGTTTTTTAGTATTTCGAATTGAATTAATATTTAAGAAAACACAACTTTAAAATTTTTTATTAAAGTGAATTTTGCATATCCTGATCATAGAAATTTTAAATAATTAAACAACACTTCCAAATTATTTTTTTTTCATAATATCTTTTTTTTTTTTTTGAAAAGAAAATATCCAACCTCAATATCGTACAAAATTTTTAAAAACTTAAAACCCCTAAGAAAGGAAAAAAAAAAGAGCACCCATAACTTTATTTATATGAAGCACATATATCATACATTACAAAGAGCAAGCTCATGCACATACACACATACACATATTTTTGAAACCTTTCATTAATTTCCCTCAATCACAATCTCCTTTTTCTGTGATTTCTTGATTTCTTGTTTAGGCACAGTCACAACAAGCACTCCATTTTCCATGGAAGCCTTAACTTGATCACTCTTAACATTTTCCGGCAGCTTAAACCTTCTGAGAAACTTGCCACGGCACCGCTCAATACGATGCCACTTATCATTTTCACCATCTTCATCAGGTCTTTCTCCACTTATCTGAAGCACATTTCCTTCATCAATCTCTACGTTAACTTGCTCTTTCTTCAGGCCTGGAAGATCAAACAGGAAGACATGGGCTTCCTGGGTTTCTTTCCAATCTGTCGGTGTGTTAAGGACAGGGCATTTGTTTATCATCGAAAGGAAAGGATCAAAAATTTCATTAATGAGGGACATGGTGATTGATTAGTCTCTGGTTCTTGTGATCAAAGATAGGTTAGCTCAGTGTTGTAGCAGAGAAAATGGAGAAGGGTTTATTGTATTTAAAGGGAAGGTTTGAAGGTAGAGGTTTCGTGGATCTTCTTGTTTTTGGGACAGTAATTATTTTTAGGAAAAGAAATTAATTAATGAATAAGATAGTTCTACTACCTTCTTTAGATATAGAAAGTTTCTACTTTCTTCTATTCCACCAATAATTGAACCAAAGGAATTTCTAGATTTGATTAATTGGATCGTCTTTGTTCTAGCAAATTCTAGTTATGACCAAAAGTAATTTAAGGGTCTACATAATAATACTTTCGCTTATAGTTAAATAACTGGAAAAGCAAACTATATAAACAGTAATTCGACTTTTATTTATGATAATTTTGGATAAATTTTCTTTTTTTTTTTTTTAACTTAATGGTAATTTCTAAATTAAATATAGATGTTTATTGGAATTTGTTCCATAAGAAAATATAATTTTAATGAATCAGTACTTAATATAAAATATTCCCTCCGAGTCATTTTATGACTTAATTATACTGATTTAAAAAATATCTCAATCGCTCAATTAAATTAAAAAAGAAATTACATCTAAGACTTTTATGGTTTAATTAATTATGTTCTATAGTTTCATAGGATTTTAAAGTGATTATATAGCAAAGGCTATATATTTATTAATAAACAGAAAATAACATTTGAAAATGATCTCCTATCCTAGTGAAAAGGGGTGATGCTTTACGACAAGTTCAATTTTTAACTATGTAATCATTTAAATATAATTTATATTCTTTTTAAATAGCAAAAAAATTTTATTTGTATTCTTTCAGTGTATGGTTAGAAACACACTCGTTTCAATAAAAATTTTATTTTTATTAATTTGATTCATGGATGGAGTTATGAATAATGTTTAAATAAGTAAATTCTCATGTACAATAGTGCTATATATGCAAAAAAAAAAAAAAAAAAAAAAAAAACCAAAAAAAAAAAAAAAAAAAAAAAAAGTTGGTAATTGCTCAATGCAATGTGACATAGACAGAAGCCACTAACCTTCCTTCTTTTTTAAAAAAAAAAAAAAAAAAAAAAAAAAGTTGTAATTGCTCAATCAATGTGACATAGACAGAAGCAACTAACCTTCCTATCTTTTTCCCTTCTCTGCATATCACTATGCCATCCTGCTCTCCCGTATTCTTGATTTTTTTTCAACAAATTAATTAATAAGTTGATTGTCCTCAGAATCATCCAAATTTATATATTTCATTTAGGTCCGGCCAGTTTTGTGAGTCGTTGGATTTAAATCGCTAAACCAGCAGTTCTGAGTTCAAAAAGCAAGAAACCAAAATTAATTCGGCCATGCTCATTTTTGGCCAATTTCGGTTCTGACATGATTTTACTCAGTTTCACCATTTCAAAAATTGAAAATGTGTGTGTAGGGTGTGCAAACCAATGTCTGAACCGACCCATTTTGGTTCGGTCTGCCTGCTCAAGGAAAGTTCAGATTTATCAAGTCAATCAATTTGAACCCCCAACTTACTCTTAGTTCAGCTCAGTTTCGCAGAAATTATTCGGTTAGTCTTAAAACCAAACCGATGAAACTGACTAGTTCAGTTCAAATACCAACTTCAGTTCGATTTCAATTCTGAGAATTTCAGTTTACATTTTTCATCTTGGTTCAGTTTAATCCGAACCGATGTTTGCTCACCCTGTGTGTACTAGCTTGCCCAACTACAGATTTCACATGTATATATATGTACTCGAGGAGACTTACAATTAATTGTCATGTAAGGTAGCATCAAGCTTTTAATTAATTAGCTACACTTTGCTATACCCTATAACCTCAAGCTTTGCAGCAACTCAGCTTCCATGAAAGTTTGTTGTTGTGTTAATCATTAATGAGCTTTTGTTGACAGAAGACAGAGAGCACAATTGAACATATCCAAGAAAGGCTTGTGTATCTCCGGTTTGTTCTCTCTTTTCTTCTGTCAGCAGAAATTTTTCGCTACGACTCAAGAGATCATAGAAAATTTTCCAGTGGATAGGAACTCTTTGCCTTTCCGGTGGAGCTACTGCCAGGCCGGCCATCGGGTATCCGTTTCTCTGTTAAATGGAGGTAACTTTTCCTTCTAACAGAAATGAATTTTATGTATATAAGTAAGATTAGGTTAAATAATTGGTAGCAGATTACCTGCATGTAAATATTTAAGTGATATTAGAAGATAATTAAGGTTTTGCATACTAACGCATAGACTAACGGTAAGGATACGTACGACCTTTTCTTTCGATATTTAAAAAATAATTAAATTTAATTATTTATTTATAATATTAAAATTTTCAGGTTACAAATAAAAAAAGTACATATATTCGACTACAAAAAGATTGTCAAATTTGATAATTTCATTATTTTACAAAATATAGAAAATCAAAAAAAAAATTTTTTTTTTTAAATTTGATGTTGAATTAAATTAAAAGTGAAGTACTGGTTAAAATACTTAAAGTTGAATTATTTCTGACTTGCTGGGCACTAAAAACAAACAGATATTCTTAGGAAAGCCCAAAATCAATTTTTTCCCCCTTTAGATGTAAGAAGCAAACCAGACCAAAAGATTGACTATGGGCTGGTTCTAATTATTTTTCTAGCAAAACAAATCTTAACTGTTCCATGAACAAAATAAATGGAAACTGGGTTTGGATGGCCTCGATAATGGGCTTCTGCATAACCCGAATTCAAATTAATCGGTTAAAGCCGAACAAAAAAATTGCAAGGAGTTTCGTTAAGAGCGAAATCATGAAGAACTGTCTGATCAAATATATTATTGGAAACATGATATTTCTCATCGCTTCAATTGCACCACTACAGCTTAATTTTGTACATTCTTTTCTTTTGGATTCCCATTTATTTTGTTCTCCAACTGATTTAGCATTTATAGGAACCTCTACCATATAAACACAAGCAAAATGGATAAAAAAAAAAAAAAAGAAATTTTAAAGAACTAATTTAAGCACTCTATAAGTCAATATTTGTTCATTAGCCTATTCCCCATTTCTCTTCACAAATCGACCCTGTCGAAAGAGAAATAAAGAAAATATATTAATTCATAAAAATGACTTATCTAAAGTCGGTATACTTTAAGATTTATATTTGATATGCATTGAAAGAAATATAATGTACCTTCAATCGAGGGCGTTTCTCGGCGTTAAGTTTTCGAACTTCATATCGAATTTTCTTAGCGAAAAGCCTACTTTGCCTTTTCTCTTTATATCTTAACACACTTGCCTCTCTTTGCCCTAGTTTCCACCCTTCCTTTTCTTCCCCTTTATCCTTCATTTTTATGCTTTCCATTTCTGGCACTCTCCATAAATTTCCCCAGCCATCCATTGAAGCCTGTCAAAAACATATGTAGAAACTTTCAACGTTTCTATTATAGTCCTCCAATCTAAAAGCTTAACAAAGTATCTCCAAAATTAAGAGATCTCGAGTTTAAAATCTAACCGAGGTGAAATTAAAAAAGAAAAATTAAATTACTAATCAAATAATTGAATATGTATGTTGTAATATAAAAATCCAAAATTCAAAATTTAATCCACCTTATATATTTCAATTATACACTAAATAAATAATTTCCAATGTGTATGAGAAATGATATTCCATCATATTTATTATTAATTTAATAATTGGTTTTATTTGGATGCAGAATAAAACAAAAACTAATTAATTTCATGAGCAACTTGTCAAACTGGGCCACAACCCCAGCTGACCGAAAAGGTCGTATGGGCCCCCAAAAAGTAAAAAGCGCAGGTGCATGGCCCTTTGGGCAGGTCTATCTAAGATTCCAACAATAACCCAAAAATAACATATAAATTACCTCCACACTGCCCCCCACTATTATTGCCACTCACAATCTCTCTTGTGCTATGGCGGCGCGTTCCTAACTTAGCGGCGCGTGTGTTTTGAACTGCTTATTATTTAATTAATCAAATCATTAATTCCTTATACTCATGTTTCCTAGTTCACCGGACTAAACAAAACATGTGTTAAAATTAATTATTGAATAGAAGAACATGTGTTTAATTAAAAAGTAAAAAATAGATAGATTAAAGGAAGAACATTACAGTGTGAGCATGAAGAACATCAGGAACAATTTGTGGGGAATCTCCTTTTATATAAAGTGGGCCCTTATCAGACCAAGCATTCAAGATCTGTTGATAATCAAGCTTTAAACCCACCAATCCAATCTTATCATCTCCTTTTGCCTGCGTCTGCACCATCTTCTCCAAAGCATCAGCAGCAGCATAACAACAACTACTCACTTCCTCTTGCTCTACTAATTTCTTCTCCACCAATTCCCAGTAACACACCCATCTCTCTTCACTTGCATCCCTTTCTTTACATTTCATCGCCGTCTTTACCAGCGATGAGCTGACGTCACCGCATCTGTCTTCGCTCTCTTTCCCTATATACACATAAGTCAGCGACGGCGAAAGCGGAAGCCGCGGGGGAGCACTCCCATCCTCCTCTGTCGTGGTTGTTGTTGTTGTTGTTGTGGTGGCTGTGGAATCAAGAATGCCGTTGAGGGAGGTGGAGGAGTCAGCTGCGGTCTCGAAAAGAAAAGCTACGTGATCGGAGACTTGATCGTCGTTGGTAATTTCTTTAATGTTGTTATTATTATGTTCTTGAACGAGATTTTCTGGATGGAGAGGAAAAAGATTAAGCTGTTGTTTAAGAGGCATTGAGATGGTAGGTTTTTGTGTTTTCTTGGAAAGAGGAGATGAGAGTTGAAGCTTTAAAGAAAGATATTTAGGTTTTCTTGTTCTGGTTCTTGATTTTCTAGCTGGTTTCGGAGGTGGTGGCGCTTTTCTTCGCTTAATGGGGCTATTCTTGTTGCACATATTTCACTCTTTCTTTTCCTTGTTTTCTTTTGTTGGCTTTTATCTGTTTTTTTTTTTTTCTCTTTCCACTCTCAAAAAAAAAAAAAAAAGTTGGCACATATTTTCACTCTTCTTTTCCTTGTTTTTTCTTTGTTGGCTTTTTATTCTTTTTTTTTTTTTTCTCTTTCAAAAAAAAAAAAAAAAACAGGAAGAGATTGATTCACTTGGAGAAATAATGTTGGCAAACTGGTAATGGGGATCAAAATAGGAGACGATGGTGATGGGGTTGGACTATCGACACGTGGAAGAAAGAGATTGGGTGAGGGAGTGGATAGAGCTGATATCTGAGATTTCCAGATGATGGGGTTTGTATATTGGAGGGTAAATATGTAATATTATATTATTTATTTATCATTATTATTATGCCCTTGGATTTTAATGCAAATCACGTGATGGGTATACAGTGTTTCTTATCCTGCTCATGCTGCAAAATAACCCTTTTTTAAGGCATGGGAATTTTACTTTTGGCGTAGGGTCTTTTCTGCATCTCTGCACAAAATTATGGTCAACTGTGTCTAATATATATATATATATATATTATATATTATATATTACTAAAGGCAGTATATAATTTTTAAATAATAATATATATAGTAAAGGAGTTATATTTTTAAATAATAATCGCATATTAATTAAGTATGAAAAATTATCATAAATTTAATAAATATTATGAGATGGCTATACTATTGTGTATTCTCCCGTAAGCAAATATTTTCTGAGTATTACTTTTAATTAACACCACTAAATATTAAATTAATATTTTTAATTTTTTAATTATCTAAATTTTTATTTAAATTGAGAATTAAAGTTGTATTTCATAACAGTTTTTAGTGTTTTGATTAGTCAAATAAAAGGCTAATTTTATAATATTTAATTTTTTAACATTTTATAAAAAATTACTAAAACAGATACTAAGTTACCAAAAAATATAATTTTTCTAACAGACCATAAGACGGCTGTATATCTAAATCCTGTTGGCTTACATTTCCCTGGATTACATTAAACCTAACATCATGAGATTGACAGGCTTGGCTGCCAACAATATTTCCAAGTTAACTGAAGAAATTCTCAAGAATTAGGTGTATGATTGGTAAATTAGCTAAAAATATCAAAAAAATAAAGAAGAACTCATTATGAAAGGTATGAAAGGGTCAATAACCCAATCCAAAGGCTTATCCTTCAAGTCCCATATTAGGATCATTCCTGCTGCTAGTGTGATTAAATGTTCAGACCCTTTCGAGATATGGACAAGCCAAGAAAAAAGGGCAGAGATAGACACATGGCCAAGTAGCACTGACTTACACAAGAAAGTGAAGGACACTGCCAATTGGATAGGTCCCACATCACAAAAAGTACTTCTATATTTTCACTTTTCTTTTTTTTGTAAGTTTACGTGTACTGTAGGTCCTACTTGAGGAGCACTTTTTTGGCCTTTTTGCTTACTTGTGCAAAGTACTACTTTTCAAACTTTTTTTTTTGATATTTTCAAGATGCTTCTTCCCTTTGGCAGCTACTAATATTATAATTTACGATCAACAATATTAAAATACATATACATCATGATTGCGTCACAGAATAAAAAACCTTTTTGCTATAGTTAAAGGGGCATTCCGAGAATTGAACTCGGGACCTCTCGCACCCTAAGCGAGAATCATACCACTAGACCAAATGCCCTGTTGTTTTGAGTCTCTTTTTCAGTTTAATTAAAAATTTTCTATTTTATTGAAATTTCAAGATGTACATGTGCTTTATTCTGTTTTTGGTACCTTAAAAATTCTTAAATAAAAAGGGATTGGAGCAACTTGAGGTTTTCAACTTCATTAGAAATAAATTGTCCAATGCTATACTAATTAACCTTAACCTAATAATAATTCTTGTCCTTTTGCAATTGAAGAGTAGCATATGTTTTGATCTATTTTTATAACTTGAGAATGCTCCTCCATTAGAGTTCAAGAAATCTAGAGAAAAAAAACAAAGAATTAAGATACACGTCATCAAGTAGACGCTTGTGGGCCCATGTAATCAATCAATGGGGATTGGCCATTCTTCATTGACTGGACAATGTCAAGGGTGTCGGTGGTGCTGGTAGATTCGGTATATACGTTATGATTACGTGAGAGCCAAAATACTCATGTGCTTCATGGTGCTAGTTTTAATGGGGAAGCTTGATTTGCATTATTATAATTAAAAAAACTATTTAATTTAAAAATAAAAATAACAACAAAAACTGACCTCAATATTATCCATGAACCTCTTGTATGCATAATAATGTTTATTTAAAGAGTTAGTTATGTTATCAGTAAGTAAAATAATTTATGAATCTACGAGTTGTGATTTAATTTGCACCGTAGTTTAAACATATGGGAAGAATTCTTAGATTCGATCCTTATTAAATGCACCTGCAGAGAGAAGTGATAAATCTTAACTGTGACTACGCCTCGAGCTACATGCGGTCTCTGGTAATAGAATCCGGATACCGATGATTTACACAAAAAATAAATAAATAAAATTTGTTATGACAGGATGATTTATAGAGATGCCCTTATTATCCATAGTTGTTTCTTGGTCAGTGACAATATTGTTAAAGGTGTTATAGCTTCAGCTTACGGGGAAGGAGGAAGCCTTGCAATGGAACTAGTCGACACCAAGTCACTATCTTGGTTATCATCATTCTCGAAATTTAAGGAGTAACTCTTTGGATCGTACCTAAAATCGCTGGAATAATGATGTCTGCGTTTCTTGCATCTCCTTCCTATGAATTTTTGCACCATCGATTTGAACCAGGTGGTTGCAGATTTCGACTTGGAATTGTCTTTCTGACTAATGGAAGTTTTGCTCTCATTATTCTTTGGCATCGCCATTTTTGAACTTTGAGATTGAGAAGTGCCTGTACGTGCTGAGAGAAAACAAATATATTATCAAAGGGGAATGAAAAACTGGATACGGAATGTTTTCATTTAAAACAATAAATTAATGCCTTAATGTTCTCATCTAAATAATTTTTTTGTTGGGCTTTGGGCCTTTATTTCCAAGTCTATTGGACTACGTTGGCCCAATCGTTATGACTTATGACTGAAACGACAGAAACGCAGTTTTTCTCAAAACTGATGCGAGGGAAAAATTGGCAAGTTTTCCTTCACGTGAAATTGTCGTTTGGATTAATGGAAAATTCTTTACCATATTCCTTTATTTGGTTGATAATATTAATTTAAAAATCTATAAAATTAATAAATTTCATTATGACCGTTAGTTCCATTATTTTGGGGGAGGAGGAGGTGTTATTTCTCTACTTCGTCATTTTCAAAAAAATTCTTTAAATCAATATTGTCAGTATTAAATCAGCAATCGAACTGGTATCATGATGGATTAAGGTTAAATTGATTCAACCGGATTTTCTATTTTCCAACATCAATGCTTTAAATCCATAAATATTATCTTCCAACCAAACAATTTAATGTGAAAATTCTATTTTATCAACATACCCTATTTTATCAAAAATAATAAAATGCAATGTGTTGTACTTTTAAATGATAAAAAAAATACTTGTAACTTAGAACATTCACAGATAAAATTAATTGATTTATCTTAAAATAATATAAGATAGGATAAAATAAAGTTATATTCGAATAAATTACAAGAAGGATATATTATTACATATAAATTAAGTAATAATAGTCAAATATATTGCGTTCAATTTTAGGATTTTAACATTTATACAGTTTTAAATAATTATATTTTTCATAAATATATAATTAATTTTAAACATGTAATTAATCCTTACTTGAAAATAATAAATATACATGTAAAACAACCTATTTGCTTTTACTTACCACATAGACATCAATAGACATTGATATTTGATATGGATTATTTTAATAAATACAATAATTAATATAAATTGATATCTTATTAATATAAACTTATTATTAGAATATTTCACATAATTACCTATGAGTTAATTAAAAATATAAAATGATAATAAAATTATTTCAAATTAAAAGAATTTAATACTTTAAAGTTATTTTCGGTCTCGATTTAATTAATAATTATAAAAGGATAATAAAATCTGATGGGAAATAATTAATTTTCATTAAATATAAATAGTAGCAAAGATTTTAAATATCTTTTTCGTTAAAGTATAAATTAATTAAAGAAATAAGGCATGCAAATCCTTAATCACAGAAAATCAAATGGTGTAAAGGAAAATTAATGCAACATTAGTCAAGTGAATTACTATTATTTTTTTATAAAAAGTTCATATGGAAAAACATATATATATATAGAGAGAGAGAGAGAGATGAAAAAGAGAATATGAGAATAAAATATTTGAAAGGATATCATTTTTTATTTAGTATATACATGAGTCCATATATCCAATGTGGTGTGTGTAAGTCTTTCTATTAATGTAATTTTTTTAAAAGTTAGAAAAAAAAATTAAGGATTAAAATTTTCGATAATGTATTAATGAATGGGATCTTAAAAATTAGTATGCATGAGAACACGATAAACCTTTTAGTCAAAAAAGATTGACTTGTTATTGGGATTCCTTTATCCTCCTTGCCTGACAACGGTTTAAAACTACCAACAAAAAATGAAGACCAAACCAATACCTGAAATTACGATCCATTAGCTTCGACCCCACCTCCTTATATTAATCACGCCTTTACTCCCGGCTTTTCACTCCTTTAATACCCCCATTCACTGCCAAACCTGACCTATCAAAGAGAAGAAGAAGAAGAAGAAAATGCAAATGTCTGCTCTTCCAATCCTTTTCCTCTTCTTCTTCTCCACACTAGCTCCACCTTTTGTTTTCTCTTCTCCGGTTCAAGATCCTGAGCTGGTTGTACAAGAGGTACACAGGTACGTACTTTGTTAAGTAGGGCTACAATTAAATGACTCGGCCGTTCATGAGCTCTTAGAAGCTCGATAAAAAAAAAAGTTCATTTTGTAACTTTTTCGAACTTATAGTAAGGTTACAAAGTGTTTTAAATATCTGTCGGATTTTGTTTGTGTAGAAGCATTAATGAATCAAGGAGAAGCCTTGCCTACTTATCGTGTGGAACAGGCAACCCCATCGATGATTGCTGGCGCTGTGACCCCAGCTGGGAAAGGAATCGGCAGAGATTAGCTGATTGTGCTATTGGGTTTGGCAAGAATGCTATAGGGGGAAGAAATGGTAGAATTTATGTGGTTACTGATACAAGCGATGAGGATGCTGTGAATCCCAAGCCAGGGACTTTAAGGCATGCAGTGATTCAAGATGAACCTTTATGGATTATTTTTCAAAGAGACATGGTAATCCGGCTTAAACAAGAACTAGTCATGAACTCTTACAAGACTATCGATGGTAGAGGGGCTAGTGTTCATATTGCAGGAGGACCTTGCATTACTATTCATTATGCTACGAATATTATTATCCATGGTCTGCACATACATGATTGTAAGAGAGGAGGGAATGGTAATATAAGAGACTCTCCACACCACTCTGGGTGGTGGACTCAATCGGATGGTGATGGGATTTCCATTTTTTCTAGTAAGCATATTTGGGTGGATCATTGTTCGTTGTCCAATTGTCAAGATGGTCTCATCGATGCCATCCATGGCTCTACAGCCATTACCATCTCTAGCAACTTCATGACCCATCATGACAAGGTCATGCTTTTGGGCCATAGTGACTCTTATACTCAAGACAAGAATATGCAAATTACAATTGCCTTTAATCATTTTGGAGAAGGGCTTGTCCAGAGAATGCCAAGGTAATAGAACTTTTTATTTCTTGCTATTTCGAGGCAGACACTCCACTGCTGAGTTATTGGCGTATTGCTAATGGCTATCCATAATTATATACATGCATTAACGGGTTTGAAGAGCTTTTTTTCAAAGGGTTTTGATTTGTTTATCTTCATCAAAATTTCAGGTGTAGACATGGATATTTTCATGTGGTGAACAATGACTATACTCACTGGGAAATGTATGCCATTGGTGGGAGTGCTTCACCTACAATAAATAGCCAAGGGAATAGATTTCTTGCACCTAATGACAGGTCAAAGAAAGAGGTAAGTTCACACATTAAGAAAATCTTGATTGTCAAATCATCTTACTTTATTATTAATTAATACATCAATTAGGGTTATACTTGTAATTTTAAAATATTAATTAGGATAAGATTTTATAATATTAATTTTAGAATCACTATACTTTTGGGACCTATCCATATCACAAACTAATAAAAATAATTGTTAGTTTTCCTTTTTTTCGGTCATAAATACCATAATTAGAATAAAAGTAATTTTATTAATTTGGTTTATAGATCGTTATGTATTAATTATACAACACAAATTGTACCACTAAATACAAAAAGTATATAAAACTTGTAGGTGACTAAACATGAGCATGCACCGGAGAGTGAGTGGATGCACTGGAACTGGAGGTCTGAGGGAGATTTATTTTTGAATGGTGCCTTCTTCCGGCGATCAGGGGCTGGAGCTTCATCAAGCTATGGCAGGGCTTTTAGCTTGAGTGCAAGACCATCTACACTTGTGGATTCAATGACTAGAACTGCTGGTGCACTTAGCTGCAGGAGGGGTTCTCGTTGCTAGTCTAGTGAAAATTGGTAACTTTGTATGAGTACTAGCAATAGAAATTATAAAAAGAGGGCACAAAAATGAGAAATAGGCCTTAACTGGTCACTCATATAGTGTGTACTAGAAGTTTTTTTGTGTATCTTATTTGTTGACAAGAAAAAAGTTTTTTTGAACTGGACCTCTGTTAAAAAAATGGCAGAAGTATCTACGGATTGTGGCTTGGTTGATAACGCATGTTGGACATGTGGAAGCTCTCGGGTTCGATATTTACTAAACGCATTTGCAGAAAGGGACAAGAAGCCTTAATTGTGACTAAGACCCAAGCCGAATTAGGCAATCCCTAGTAACGAGTTCCGGATACCGTGGTTTAAAAAAAAAAAAAGCAAGAGCAGAATTGTTGGTTTTTAAGTTTTAAAAGTTATTAAAACTTAATTAATTAGCTATAATGAGGTATGGTGACTAAAGGGATGAAAAAACAAAGCAACTACAAGCAAAATTTATGGCTAATCCACTCACTTAGTCCAGAAGAACTCATAAAAACCTGAACACTTAAAGGGCAAGGACATAACATATAATCAAAATCAAATAATTAATCAATCCGCACAACAATTAGCTTTTCAGTTAGCATGTGAAATGCTGCAGATCCATCCACCATAAATTAACTATTATAAAATTGAAGTTATATGATAACAAGTTTATCCGTCATTTCACATAAAGAAATACATATATTATTAATGTAACTTATCGTATATAATACAATTCTAGGTCTTATTCGATAATATTATTTATTTTAATAGTTATTAATTAATTGATCGTCGCATGCATGTGACATTTTATTATCTATTTTCTCAACTTGTAAACATTTATATTAACATTACACTGACGAATAATATAAATAATAATGAATATATTTTGATCTTCACTAAACACTACGTTAAAAATTATTACTTAAACAAGTGGGTAATCTAAGAGCATAGGCATACTTATTTTCGTACAATTTTTGTAATTCATTATCAATATTTAACTATGAATTACTGTACCCATTCATGCATTGCTCTATAATTAACTATTGATAGATTGTCCAATCAAAATAAAATTATTTAACTTAAACCAAGATTAGCAACACCATATAATTAGCTTCTAATTAGAGTAATAATTAGAAAAGGAGGTGTCAAAGTCATTATCAAAGACTTGTAAGGATAGACAAATGTGGAAAGGAGCAGAAATGACAGCTCCAAGAGCCAAAAATTCCCTGGATTTGGAACAACTTGCCATTGTTGACTTAATGTTGGGATGTGAAAAATGCAACAAGAAGCTAACCCCACCACGCACACCACTACCTCATACTAATTATATATGCTTTCCTCCGTCAATTGTGGAGAAACACCTGGAAAATGGGGCCTACACCCGACTGTGTTTAAGCCTTTAACAACTTTTAATTACGGGTATAGCAATCCATCATAATACTGTGCTCGTACAAAGCAGATTAACGCATTCCATCATTTCATCAGCTTCAAGTCAAAATTGGTTACTTAAATAATTGCAGTTTGGATCTTTTTTCTTTTGGTTAATTACTTTTGGATATAGCAGCGGAAATTATTTGTTTTGTTAGCGGTTAATTGACTGATTGAGTAGCTAATAACTTTTTGGACAATATTTTATAAAATATTAAAAGATAAATATTTCAGGGTAAAATTTTTATAAAATCTATTTTAATCTCTAAAAGTTAATTCAAATGTTATGTTACCGAATACATAAAATAAAAAATAGCGAACATTAAAATTTTTTTAAAAAATTATTACTAAATACAGACTTTATGGATTAGAGTTTAAATTTGCAATAAATAGATATGAACATTGATAGTTTTAAAAGTAAAAAGACAATGAAAGCGTAAAAAGATAATGTGTAAAACATATCAAGTTTGACATTTTAATCATTGAAATATTCTGCATTTTATAGAGAAAGAGATAATATTATTAACAGGAACAAAAAGAGAACCAGATAAATCAAAGATGGGCAGACACAAGGCATGTGAAAGACATGGATGCCATCCATATACTCAGACCGTTTATAAAATCCCCTGCACCAAAAGACTGACTGATTGACTGACATCAAAAAACCTCAGGATAAAAAAGAAACACCTTCATTATCAAATAGACCAATTTTCATGCCCAAGAAATCATTTTATATTCCTTTTTCTTTTTGGTAATTCTTGGAAGGTCATGGATATATAATATAGGGGTGGATAAGTTGCAGCCAAGCACCTCCAAAAGAATCAAACTGCTTGGCTTAAAGTTTATAGATCAAACTTATCTAGACAGACTCCATTTATGGATTAAATTAATAAAAATAAAAATTTTTTAAAAATTATTTTTACTTTATCATTTTTTTTCCACTATATAGTCAGAAATACACTGTTTTAATAAAAAAAAAAAAAAATTTCCATTACTATCCATGAGTGAGTCCATACACTAGTTCGAGACAAGTGAAACCCTTAATCTATGATGTATTATATAGTATCTTGTGACTTTTTATGTATAATAAAGCTTTAACTTAAATAAGTTTTAGAATAAAGATAAAAATATATATATAGTAAAACTGGGCTGTCCTGGCTTGGGTTCGGGCTTTAAGATTTTTTATGTAAGGGTGAATTTGGGCTTAGACATTGAGGCCTGCCTATGAGATGAGCCTGTTAGGCTTTCGGCCTTAATTATTTTGTCAAGCCTACTCAAAAAAAGGGGGGGGGGGGGGGGGGGTGTCCTGGCTGGTTCGGCTTTAAGATTGTTTTACTTGTAAGGTAATTTGGCTTTTAAACAATTGGAGGCCTGGCCTATGAGATGAAGCGTGTTAGGCTTTCGGCCGTTGAATTATTTTGTCAAGCACTTGAGCTCAAAAAAAAGGGGGGAGGGGGGGAGCAAATTTCGCTCATTCACCAACCTTTTTATTGTTATTATATTGTTAGTTAGTGCTTGGATGTGATAACAATGAGGGGGGGGGGGGGCAATTTCGCCATTCACCACGTTTTTATTGTTTTATTTTTTAGGTTAGTGCTTGGATGTATAACAATGGATTGTATTTGTTGATCAAATTTATGTGCATGGTTAATGATAATAATCATTTGGAAAGTAAAAATTGAAATGTTAACAAGGATGAAATTAGGTGTTATAAACATAATAATTCAAATAATATCAATTAATATTTAGTGTTATTGCTTATTGATCAGAAAGCACAAATTAATAAATGTATGAATTACAGAGAAAAACAATTGAAATCAAATAAAATAAACAAAGAATTTTCAGAAATTGCACCCTATAGGTAAATAACAGTAAACATATTAATTATAACAAACACGCAAGCCAATCTTATGGATATTCAACCGCTTTGGATGGTCGGATTACATATATAAGACTTAATTTAAAAGGACAAGAACAAGAAACCAGCAGCAATGCCAGCAAAAGTGGATAATTTGATGGTAGCAGCGCCGCTATCGGAGGCCGGAGCATCAGCAGGAGTATCACTAACCGGACCATCAGCAGTTGCTGTTGGGCTGTCAGCATCAGCGGGAGAGCTCTCGCTGGCTGGAGAAGGAGGAGAAGAGATTTCCTCCTCAGGTGATCCTGCAGGACTGGAGCTACTCTCTTCACTAGCTGGAGATGGGCCTTCGGAAGAAGTAGGACCGGAGGAAGGACCCTCAGATGAGTCCTCTGGAGATTCAGCTGTGGGAGCTCCATCAGAAGATTCTGGAGCTTTACCGGCCGGAGTTTTTTTACTTGCGGGAGCTTCAGCATCAGCAGCTTCACTGGAAGGGGCTTCACTTTCTTTACTGTCAGGAGACGAAGCTGAAGCCTTAGGAGACTTTGACGGAGCATCAGAATCACCTTTTCCAGACGGAGCCTCAGAGTCACCCTTTCCTGACGGAGCTTCAGAGTCACCCTTTCCCTTTCCTGATGGAGCCTCAGAGTCACCCTTTCCTGATGCAGCCTCAGAGTCACCCTTTCCTGACGGAGCCTCAGAGTCACCCTTTCCCTTTCCTGATGGAGCCTCAGAGTCACCCTTTCCTGACGGAGCATCATCTGGAGTGGCGGCAGGTGCCTTGGCAGCGAAAGCACCGGCAATGGCAATAAAGATAAGAGCAAGAACAAGAACTTGACGTGCCATTATGGTTTTTTTAGGGTTATGGATATATTTTCTTTTTGGTTTTGATTACTTTTATGATTTTTTCTTTTTTTTTTTCTTTTTTTTTTTTTTGGGATTCTATAAGAAACGATGCAGTGTATCTCTGTAGAAAATATACAGAAACACTGCGCAACTATAGAATGAGGTAAGGAGAGGAGAGGGAAACGGATTATATAGGGTAAGAGAAGGAGAAGGAAGTTAAGGAAATGAATGGAGAAAAAAAAGACATTTTCTATTTTTTTTTTTTTACTTGTATTTTTGGTATTTTTGTTGGAAATGTGAGAGTTTAAGGCTATTGCTTGACCGAGTTTATTGGGTAGTTAATTAATTATGTTACATAACTTAAAAAAGATTAGTGGTTGTAATTTCTTTTAGAAGAATTCTAGTTCTTCTAGTGGTTGTAATGGTAGATATAGAAGTCCGTCTAATCCGCTGGGTCAACCCAGAGTACCAGTGAATTTGCATATCCACAAAGTTCTGTGATGCTCTCAGATTCATTCTCATCCCGATCCACCGTGAAATTTTCATCACTTTCAAAATCGAGTTGATTTTGTTTTAGAAACATTTAAGAAAGAGAACTAGATTGAACCGACTTACCTATAGTTAAACCAATTAACCTACACAACTTTGTTGATTTGGATTGATTTTCTGATATTTTTAATTATGTTATAGTTATTTTAAAATTATAATTATTAATATTTTCATGATTCACTAATTAAATTATTAACCTACCGGTTAAACCAATAATCCATCCATTCATTATTTAGCCAGATCAATGTCCGAGTTGGATTAATAATACTAGTTGTAATTAATTGGATAGGAAAATAGATAACATCTTAACCTAATTTTAATCTTAATTAATTAGATGCTAAACTTTTAATTTTTATTTTGTTTGAGTTATCACAATAGACTTCATTTACACACAGTAATTGTGATATTTATGATTAAGATAACTTTTTTTTCAGAAAAAAAAACATGGAACTTCCATTTTGTGATTTTATTTTATTCTATTTTAAGAAAAAATGAAATATATTGTCAACGAATTTTTATTCAATGATATTCAATGAAATATATTCAATGATATTCAATAATTAATGATAACTTTTTTTTTTAGTGGAGAGATTGTAATGATATTTTTAATTAATCTCCAAAATTGATTAATTAGTTTAAACACTGATTTAATAAATAAAAAATTAATATATAAAATTTATTTATGGTTCAAATTGTATTTTGAAAAATAACTTATTTAAAAAATTTATTGGATTGTGCAAAATGAAAACTATTTATGGTCTAATTTGACTGGAGGCTTCGTCAAAATTAAAGGGGTACAAATTCGTCACAACTATACTTAGCAATTTAACCCGACTCGGCAGGAACTCGACCAGATTTAGTACGAATTCAAAAGGTCGAGTAACCACTATCCACCTAATTGTCCATATCCACCCCATTGTCTATATGATTCAAAGCAAATTTTTTATGATGATCGGCAGCATCGAACCATTAACTTTCGTATATTAATTAAGTTACTTTATCACTAAGCACTTTATATTTTTGTGTAAAAAATATACAAATATATATATTGATAACTATATCAATTTATACTTTAAACATTTATTAATAAATACAATATTATTGGATAATATATCTAATGCACAATTAAATTTTAATAAAATCACATACATTAAATTATAATATATTAATAAATTGAATTACTTTAAAACATTATTAATTAAATAAATTTACAATTAATCATGGATTTAATAATATCTAGAGTGCACCAATTAAATTTATAATAAAAATCATCATACAATTAAAATAAAATTATAATATATTAATAAATTGAATTTAGTTTTTTTCATAAAATATATTAAACAAAATTATATATATCGTATTCATGTCATGTCTTAATAATTTAATTGAATTTTTTATAGTTTGGTAATTATGAAATTTATTAAAAATAAAAAGTTATTAATTGAATAAAATGCTAAGAATGTTATAATTAAAAATTTTTAAAGCTACTCATCAATATCACTAGTAAACTTCTAATGATAAATATAATTAGATCTTAATTTAAAATATGACTCATGTGAAATATGAAATCTAAATATTCTTTTAATAAATTAGAATATGACTCATATAAAATATTGCCGATGAGCTTATAAACGTAATTATAATTGGATCTTAGTTAAACATTTTTTATTTTTTTATTAGTATCATCATATATATTAGTATATAATTATAGCCTATTAAATATATTCTCTAATAAAAAATGTTAAACTTAATGCCTTACCTAATATTTTGTTCTTACAATTACTATAAAATTGAAATGGCATTATAGCATTTTAATTAATAACTAATAATAATAATAATAATAATAATAACAACTTTAATAATAATAATAACAAAAAATAATTAATTTACCATCAAAATGCGTAGTTTTGATGTAGAAGGTTTAAATAAATCCAAAAAAAAAAAAAAAAAATAACTTAAATGGTTACTCATCAATTATTATGCGTAGTTATTGAAGTAGAAGTCTTAAATAAATCCAAAAAAAAAAAAAAAAAAAGGTCGTTTTAGCTTAGGCTTGCATTTTAATCATACAAACAAAAGTTCTCTCAAACTCGAGTGAAACGTATTGTCTTTTATATATATATATAAAAGACAAATTATGGTGAATATAAGCCAATTCATGGTTTGTTAAGTGAAATGTGATATGTTTGGTTTGTTAAATCAAAGTTTGGTTTGTTAATAATGATTAAGATTGTCTAGAAATACTGATAATGAGATTATTTGCATATAATTGTTATATATTGAGAATGGTTTATTAATTTTTCTGCTACTAAAATTATTCAAAGTTTGATTTTCATAATAGGATTCCAAATTTAAGATTTGATATTGTAAATAAGATTAGCTACAAATATCAAACTTGATAAGCAAAACACGTTAAAAGGAATCTGCTTTTTGTACAAAATATAAAAGTAAAACCATTGACATGATTAATTTGTTCTTGTTTTTCTCTTTTACCATGAGATATTTATACAAATCTATCTAGAAATAAGCTTTTAAAAGCAATAACACAAATTACATATGGGATAAACATAAGATTTGATATTTTGTATTTTGAATGGGGCTGATTTTTTTTTTTTTTAGTATTTTGTGATTATTTTGTATTTTGAATGGGGCTGATTTTTTTTTTTTTTAGTATTTTGTGATTTTATATAGGGCTAGATGTTTCTTTTTGAGAAGGATATAGGGCTGACTTAGATAACTTAAAAATGTAAGTATTTTAGTCATATTGCTAGACTTTGAATTTGCTAGTTTCATTTGCGAACTTGTTTATTATCCCTAAACTCGTTTGCAGCTAGTTTAATTTGCTGTAGGTAGTTTTAAGTTAGTTAAGCCTAACTAACTAGTTGATTTGATATTCTAAATTGCCTTTTCTTTTAGTTTTAAATTACTTTTTTTATTTAAATATGTGATATATTTTAAATATATTGTGTCTAAACATAGTTTTTATTTTGTAGGATATAATGTCAACATTTGAGAGTATAGATTGTGAAGATAGTAGCAAAAATGAGACAAATATATCTATGCCTTCTGCAAATATGTTTTTATTGTGGTATTGTTTTGTTTTGATGTACTTTTTAATTTAGTAATTTTTTTATTTGAAATACTTTTTATTATGTTTTATATTGATTTAGTTCTCATTTTATGATAATTTGTTACAGTTTAGTATAATTATATTTTAGTTAGTTTTTAGTTCGTGGTTGATATTATGGATATTGAATTTTAATAGATGTTTGATTGTCAAAATTGTTTAATTGATAATTGAGATATTTGTTTGAATTTCAATTCTTTTGTTCTATTTTAATATTACTATGTATTCTTGATTGATTGAAAATATTACAAGTTCATTTGTTTTATTATTTGAATATTACAGGTTAAGTTGTTTTACTATTTTGAAGTTAAATTTTATTTTATTTCATTTTTTTACACTTTAGATTCGGATTCGAGTTTCATGGGAATTTATATTTTATGGATTAAATGAATTTGTGATTAAATAAGTATTTAAACAGATTTGGATAATATGCGGAGATTTCTAAATAGATTTGAGATGAATTTGGGTTTGGATTCGATGGTTTATTTTTCGCGGGTACTGCCCCGCTGTCCACCCTACCCCGTAGGTACCATTTATTAATTTTTTTTGTTGTATTAGTGATCCCTACAGAAAGATTTGAAAAAAAAAGAAAAAAGGCAGCGTCTTTTAGGGCGTAACCACCAAACAGAGGTCCATGGAAGAGGAACCCGCCCAAGTCCCTGGATCTCGCGGCCGGACAATTGAAGAATGCCAAGACATGATTCGTCGAAGTCTCCGAAGTAAAATCTCTAATCTCTGCTGCATTTCCTCCTCTTATATTTTTCATTGATTTGACTTGGGTTTAGGGTTTTAGAAGTCGAGCAAACCATTTTATTACTTCAAAATTTATGGAAAGGCGAAATGGTTACTTGCATTTTAGTCTATTATTAGGGTTTATCTGCTTATAGAGTTAATTTGTTGTGGGGCCTTTTTTGTGGGCTGTAGCTCCAATGGCGAAATTTTTAAGGGAGCATTTGGAGAAAGCTGGGTGTGGAGTTGAGGAAAATTTGATCAAGGCCATTAATTGTGATTCAAAAATCAGTGGTGGTTATATTTCCGGCAAAGGGGTAACAATTCTGTGCTTATTCATATCACTTTTTTTTTTTTTTTTCCCTTTCTTTTTATCTTTTCCTGACAGTGGTTTTCCCTAATTTTGTTTCTGTGATTTCCTTGTAATAATTATTGCTTGGTCCTTATATTCTTTTTTGTCATTCTTTGTAAGATAATAGTGTGTAGCAATCATATGAACATTCAAGATGAGGTCAACCAAGTGGTTATACATGAACTGATTCACGCTTATGATGATTGTCGTGCTAAAAACTTGGACTGGGCTAATTGTGCTCATCATGCCTGTAGTGAGGTGTGCATCATGGTTACCTAGTCTTATTTTTAACTTGTCTTTGTTTGCAGTTGTTTTACCATTTTTCTTAAATTCTGGTACATTTTTTCCTGCTTTATTCTTTATGGGATACAGATTCGTGCTAGTCATTTAAGCGGTGATTGCCACTATAAAAGGGAACTGCTGCGGGGTTACATGAAAATGAGAGGTCATGGACAAGTGAGTTTTTAGATTCTTGGAAAAGCTTTTGTTTATTTTCACTTGTACGCAAGTTTATAATATCCTTTAGTCAATATGAAAAAGTTGAACCATCCATTTCCTGTGAAAATTGAGAATGTCTTAGCATCTCTCCCATTATGAAGTCACCATCACAAAAGAAAGCAGGAGATCTCATAAAATGTGTAAGAGTTGAACACTATTGGATTCAGTTGTTCAGTTTCAACGTATGAACTTCCGACATAGTTATTGACAGCTTGCAAATCGGCGGTAATGCTGTTTCAAATTAGCAATTCAGCATGCCAATTTTCTCATGTTTTATTGGAACATGAAATGAAACTACTTTAGAAGATAAAAACTGTACTTTGTTGTTTTCTTATAACTTGCCTGGTCTGACTCCAAAAGAGGGCCTGGTGATAAAGGGTTCACATTGTATCCCAAATGCACGAGGCTCCCCCCATTAATATGGTCAGGTGAAGGTCCTCTGCCATTACAGCTTTCCTTGCATTGAACCCATGAGATCTAGTCACAAAGGGCCTGGCTATAGTGTACATTGAGATGGATGGATTTGAGCATCAGAAGATTCAGAACAACCATTGGCAGCAATCTTTCGCTCTCTTACTGTATATTTATGCTCTTTCTCATATCTAGTAGCAAAGCATGCATCACCTATGTACACAGAAAGGAAACATGTGCCGTGTAAAACAAGAAAATGCATCACGTTTTTCACTTTTTTTTTCCTTTCTAATTTTTCTTGCTTTTTTCGCCTTCTTTTTGTGACTTCTTCAAGTTTGAGAATGTCTCATTAAATTTTCATTGTTAAATTTGAAGGAATGCGTGAAAAGAAGAGCAATGAAATCAGTGATTGCTAACCCATACTGCTCTGAAGCTGCTGCAAAGGATGCTGTGGAAGCTGTCTGGGATGTCTGTTATAATGATACGAAGCCATTTGATAGAGCTCCTTGAAACATGCTATGTCTACTAATTTAGCTTCTGCTGCTGCAAATTTTTTTTTTTTTTTTTTTTTTTTGTTTCAATATAACAATAATTTCTGCTTTTTGTCGCTTCTTTTGTGAGCTTCTTCAAGTTTTGGAGAGATGTCCCTCACTCTCACACCCCATCTCATTTTTAAAATTTGGATATATGTGATAAAAATAAAGCGTGTAAAAAGAGAGCAAAGAATCAGTGTGTGATGCTAACCCATACTTGCTCTGAGAAGCATGTTGTGCTTGCAGTAAGGATGCTGTGGACAGCTGTTCTGGGATGTCTGATATGGATAATTGATAGCGAAGCGCATTTGATAGACTTCGTCTGGAGACAACGATGGCACTCCCATCTCTGTTCGTAACTTTGTGTGGAGTTACGCGTTCTAGCTGTACCTGGCGATAAATTTTATTTTTTTTTTTTTTTTTTTGAAGATGATTAATCAAAGACTACCTTGCATTCAAGTGCAGGAAGCAAATTTTTTTTTTTTTTTTTTTGAAGATGATATCAAAGACTACCTTGGCATTCAAGTGCAGGAACGAGTCCTACATATTCAACAAGATTATTCAATTCTTCTAAAAATATTTTACTCGTTTTTCTCTGATATGCTGCGGCACCATAAAGATTCTTCTATTTATGGACATTAAAGCGAGGTCCATGCCAGTTATTGATATTTTTCTTAGAGCTCAGATTGGAAAGGAAGTTCTTGTCAGTTACACCTTTCTGAAAAGGGGATTTATTTCAAGAACATCGATTCTTAAGGATGAGACGTATGTATTTGAATTATGCTAATAAGATGCATCATATGCTTCTTTTTGACTGGATTAACAAAATGCTACTAGGATTTGAGCGATTGACATTACAAATACAATGTGTAGAATCAACATCTTCTTCATTACAGGAAATAGGTAAACTAAAGGCGTTTCTTTCAATTTCAATGGATTGTGATTTTTTTTAATCAGTTGTATCCTCATCTTTCTACTTACTCTTTTATCTTAATCTTTACTAAGCTAGTTTTTGTCTCTTTTTGATTATATGGCATGAAAAGCTAAATTGAACTCGGACAACCTTTGTTTTTATTTTTTTTTATTTCGTCTTCTTGTCTCTGTCTTCTATGGTTGCTGGTTTTAGTACTAGTACATTGTTACTTAGCAACATCTCTAGCAAACACAAAACGCAATGGCTTGTAGAATTTTCTACTGGATATTTATCTAATTTGGCTCACAAATACCAAATATGAAGTTTGATATATAAACATTAACATTAATTCATTATATCTAACAAATATCATGGACTTGAAGAAAATCAAATTAGAAAAATAACAAAATGATTAACTATTTTATTTTTGGTGGAAAGAAGATAAAAATACAATAAGCTACACCATTTTGAAGCAATCAGTAATTGAAGTCCCTCAAGAGAATTCACTAAAATATGAAAACTCGAATCTGTAGTAAAAACATATTTTGTCAACTAATCAACACAAAAATTTACCTCATGAAGAAACATTAACGTAAACTGAAGATTATAAATTGATGAAACCAAACAACGAAACTGATTGCACAATCAAAAGATTATCACTCTCAACTACAATTTGAGGGAAACCCTTGAAATAATCTCAAGATTTAATCATTGTATTTTTTCAAAATTAAGTTCCAAATGGCTAAATAATAGAGTATATATATGTTCAATAGTAAAAAAAAAAAAAAAAAAAAGAATACAATAAAAAGACAAAAAAGAAGAATACAATTGATGGGGAAGAGTAAAACCGTAGCATAGAAGAGATCGCCAACGCCAACGGACGTTGAAATGTGGGCAAAGATCTAACACATTGTTTGTAACACGAAGACAAGGTCTGTTCTATTCGTTCGCCCGGATGCGTCTCTGTTTCCCATATATCATCCTCTCTTCTCTTTCTCCTTCTCCTCTGTCATCATTAACCCATTTTCTCATTTCTCGTTTTTTCCTAAAAAAAAAAAAAAAAAGAAGAATACAATGATGGGAAGAGTTAAAACGTAGCATAGAAGAGATCGCCAACGCCAACGACTTGAAACATGTTGGCAAAGAACTAACACATTGTTTGTAACGAAACAGGTCTGTCTTCTTCGCCCGGATGCGTCTTCTGTTTCCCATATATCATCCTCTCTTCTCTTCTCCTTCTCCTCTGTCATCATTACCCATTTTCTCCATTTCTCGTTTTTTCCTTTCTTCTCTTTCTCCTTCTTCCCTCATGGCCCCTCCTCCAGCTGCTGCTGCCATGGAATACCAAGAAAGTGCTCCAAGTAACACTTTTACCATCAACGATGGCTCTGGTGCTGCTTCTGGTGCTTTTCACATGTCTAAAGTCACTGTTGTGGGTAGTGGCAATTGGGGTAGTGTTGCTGCTAAGCTCATTGCTTCTAACACTCTCAAGCTCACATCTTTTCACGGTATTTACCTTCAATTTGCAAATTTCATAGCTTTCACGCAAATTGGTGGCAATTAGAATTTTGGGTTGCTTAAAGCAGCATATTTTGTTGTGGTTTGTGCTTGTTTATTGTCAAAACTAAATAAATCGAAAGGAAATTAGAATTCTTGTGGTATATAACGGAATTTTAGGAAAATGCTTGCCTTGGCAATGCCTTTTAGTTTGTACTTTGCCATTTAATTTTATGTGATTTAATGATTAAGAATCCCTTAAATTATGCCAATTGAGTGAAGATTAATTTAATTTAATTTTGCTCATATATAGAAAATAAAAAGATATCTCCAACAAATTAAAGGAGATTTGAGATTTTAATAATGGCTGAATTTGAATTTTTTGCATTGGAATTCAGATGAAGTAAGGATGTGGGTGTTTGAAGAGGCGTTACCAAGTGGTGAGAAGCTAACAGATGTCATTAATCGAACCAATGTAAAGAGTAGTGAGCTTCATTTTACTTTGATTGATCATGTGTATCATTTTTGTTTACTTGAACATCTCATTTTCTTGTGCAGGAAAATGTTAAATATCTCCCTGGTATAAAGCTTGGTAAAAATGTTGTTGCAGACCCTGATCTTGATAATGCAGGTATTCAATTTCTCGCTTTGAGATGAGGTTTATATGTTCTACTTCATTGGTTTGCTGGTTTTTACTTTATCAGTCTTTTGCAAATCTTACATGTGAATTATACAGTGAGGGATGCAAACATGTTGGTATTTGTGACTCCACATCAGTTTATGGAGGGTATATGCAAAAGGCTTGTTGGGAAGATAAAGGAAGGTGTAGAGGCTATTTCACTTATCAAAGGAATGGAGGTCAAGATGGAAGGCCCTTGCATGATCTCCAGTCTTATTTCGTCGCAACTTAGGGTTAACTGTTGTGTGCTAATGGGGGCAAATATTGCAAATGAAGTAACTAACCAATTTTGGAGTATTTATAGTCAATTCATTTTCTTTCACTGATGTTTTTGTAAAAGATTAAATGCTTCTCGCTGCAGATTGCCGTTGAGAAATTCAGTGAGGCGACAGTTGGATACAAAGGGAACAGAGAGATTGCTGAGAAATGGGTTCAGTTATTTAGTACTCCTTATTTCATGGTCACTCCGGTACGTTCATAGGATATGGTGTTATAATCAATGTAAACAGACCTATAAATCTATAAATCAATCACCAAAAATTTTCTGGCATATATTGTGTGCTATAAAGTGATAATGCAGAAACATTTAAAAATATGCACAGTTATATTTGAAAACACAAAATTTTAAATTGATGGTCTTAATTGCATTGTGTTATCATTTTTTCTTGTATGATTGCATAGGTCCAAGATGTGGAGGGAGTAGAACTATGTGGGACCTTGAAGAATGTTGTGGCACTGGCAGCAGGTTCGTATACAAGAATTCACTTCTTATATTAGCTTGCTTTTGTACCTCTCTTAGTGATGGAACAATTGATTTCTGGTGGGACAGGCTTTGTTGATGGTCTGGAAATGGGTAATAACACGAAGGTAAATGATGAACAGTCGTAATAAGGTTTAATGCCAATTTTTATTGCATTTCTCTTTGCACCTTAACTATTTCCATTAATTACTAGGCAGCAATAATGAGAATTGGTCTAAGGGAGATGAGAGCCTTTTCCAAGTTGTTGTTTTCATCTGTTAAGGACAGCACTTTCTTCGAAAGCTGTGGTGTAGCCGATGTCATCACAACATGCCGTAAGGAACCATGTAAATTTCTTTGTTGTCTGTAAAGTATAATGCAGCTTTGAGCATAATTAAATCATCCGTGGCAGTGGGAGGAAGAAACAGGAAAGTTGCAGAGGCCTTTGCAAAGAATGGGGGAAAGAGGTAACTTCTTGCAGTTTTGCTAGTTAGTGCAAAATGTATGGAAAAATGGTAAGACGTTAAGACATTAATCTTAACCTTGCTGTTCCTCATCTCCAGGTCTTTTGATGAGCTTGAGGCAGAGATGTTGCAGGGCCAAAAATTACAGGTACTTCGTGGCTTAAGCTAATTATTAAAATGCTGAAGCTATTTCGTATCCTGTCAAATGCTTCTATATATGTTTTCTTTCTGTTGACTGCAAAGATAGATGTAATTATGAACAAGAGATATGCAGTAAATTGCGTATGCTTTAGAAGACTTTACTGTTCGTATGAACACTGTTGTTTTATGTGAAGAGTGAAAGGTTTTTTATTTCATCTTATGTAAAAAATGGTTACACATCTATTTATACATAGGAAGTATATGGAAATACCTATGCTACCCTTTACACTCAAGATTCGATAAATAGCACATTAAACTCTATAAGACAACACTCCCCCTCAAGTTGGTGCATAAATATTAAGCATACCCAACTTGTACACTAAATTGTGAAAGATTTTGCTACTTAGCCCTTTAGTGAAAATATCCGCCAGTTGATTATCTGATGTCACATGAGTAAACCTCAAGACACTCTGGTTGATTTTCTCTTTTATGAAGTGCCTATCAATCTTTATGTGTTTCGTTCTATCATGCTGAACCAGATTCTAAGTAATGCTAATAGCAGCCTTGTTATCACAGAACAAGGTTGAGGCTCCAGACTCCAAAAGTTTCAATTCACCCATTAACTTTCTCACCCATAGCATCTCACAAACTCCTAGGGCCATGACCCTATACTCGGCTTCTGCGCTTGAATGAGCTACTACAATCTGCCTTTTACTCCTCCAAGTAACCTGATTTCCTCCAACAAAGGTACAATAGCTTGAAGTCGATCTTTGGTCATCTGGAGATCTACCCAATCTGCATCAGTATAGACCTCAGTTTTGAGATGACCGTGCTTTAAAAAAAAGTATGCCCCTTCTAGAGGCAGACTTTAGATGCCTCAAAATACAGAAAACAGCTTCAAGGTGAGAGTCACGAGGGTCATGCATATACTGGCTAACAAGACTGACGGCATATGCAATATCAGGCCTAGTATGTGAGAAATAAATCAATCTGCCAACCAACCTCTGATATTGGCCCATATCAACCGTCTTTCCACGTCATGCTTGCAATCTATGATTGAATTCAATTGGAGAATCAAATGGCTTACATCCTAGCATACCTATTTCTTCCAAGAGGTCTAGGACATATTTCTTGAGAAATGAAGATACCTTTATCAGATATAGCAACCTCAATGCCTTGAAAGTATTTCGGACTCCCTAAGTTCTTAATCTCAAACTCTTGAGCCAGTAGTTTCTTCAGGCGAGCAACTTCTGTTTCATCATCTCCTGTTACAATCATATCATCAACATAGACAACTAGTAATGTGATCTTACCATTGCAGTGTCTGATAAACAGTGTATGATCAGCATTACTCTGAGTGCAGCCAAAGGAGATCATGGCATTACTAAGTCTGTCAAACGATGCCCTAGGTGATTGTTTGAGACCATATAAGGCCTTCTTCAACCTACAAACCTTTCCTTTGGTTTTTTGATAATCAAACCCTGGAGGGATATCAATGTAGACTTCACCTTCTAAATCTCCATGCAAAAAAGCATTCTTTACATCAGATTGATGTAAGTCCCAGTTTAGATTGGCTGCACATGATAGTATAATTCTGATTGTGTTCATCTTTGCAACTGGAGCAAAGGTCTCTTGGTAATCAATACCATAAGTCTGAGTGTATCCTTTAGCAACCAACCTAGCCTTGTACCTTTCGACTGAGCCATCTGTCCTGTGCTTTACTGTAAACACCCACTTACATCCCACTGGTTTCTTTTCTACTGAAGAAATAATAAGATCCCAAGTGTCATTCTTTGCTAAAGCTTTCATCTCCTCCAGCATTGGTTCCTTCCATTTTGGATCCTAATATGCTTCTTGCCAATCCTGTGGAATAGAAACAGAAGAAATAGACAAGACAAAGGTTCTATAGGAAGAAGACAAAGAGTCATAGAAAACAAATTGAGAAATGGGATGTTTAGTATAAGATCTCACACCTTTCCTGAGAGCAATAGGAATATCAATGTCATCAATAATAGGATTAGCAACAGGGTCAAAATCAACACTATGTATTATAGAAGTTGTATCAGAAGTAGGAAAAGTAGGAGTTATTGGAAGCTCACCGCGTTGATTTTCTGGATGTGATTGCAAGGAAGACGATTGGGCATTTGGATCATGCACAATGGCACTAGTCTTCTCCCTTCTGCTGTATCTCTTTAAATCTGTCCTATCTAATCTCTTTCTTCTTTGAATTTGATGATCCCTTCTGGGTTGTGATTCATCTGTTTTCTGTACCTCTTCATTAATATCAACAAGGTTCATAAATTGTTCCGGTACAAACACAGATATAGGAGTCATTCCTACTTCCTCTTCTTCCATCCTAGACTCCCCCTGAAAAGGAGTGGGGGGGGGGGGGGGATCATGCACAATGCACTAGTTCTTCTCCCTTCTGCTGTATCTTCTAAATCTGTCCTATCTATCTCTCTTACTTTTGAATTTGAGATCCCCTTCTGGGTTGTGATTCAATCTGTTTTCTGTACCTTCTTCATTAATATTCAAACAAGGTTCATAAATTGTTCCGCGTACAAACAAGAAGATATAAGGAGTCGATGTCCTACTTTCCTCTTCTTATCCATCCTAGGACTCCCCCTGAAGAGTGGCGGGTGGGGAGAGAGGCGAAATAAGGTTCAGACTGCTCATAAAGGTAACGTACCATTACTTCACCATATATTTTGGAGGATGGAATGGTGTATAACACTTATACCTCTTGTTGTGTAGAGGAAAGAATTAACCCAAACAAATACACACATTTTCAAAAGCTCTAGTTTCTAAATTTTCCCTCCATGCTCTTGTGATTGAACGGGAAACACACACAACCAAAACACTTTTACGGTGGAAACAGCTATATGAGTTATGACCTTGTAGGGCTTCTAATAGGACTCTTTAAAGTTTTAATGTTCTAAGGCGGCATTTCTGTTTAAATTAAGGATATGCGTATAGAAAGAACAGCATTTTCTCCAAATAGGTTTAGGACACAATTCATAGCTATGTAGTAACAGGAGAGATCTAGTTACTTCTATTCGAATGTCTATCTTCTTTTTGATAAATAAGGTTCAGACTCTCTAAAGGTAACGTCCATACTCACATAATATTTTGGAGATGGATGGTTATAACACTTATACCTCTTTTGTGTGGAAGAATACCCAACAAACACACATTTCAAAGCTCTAGGTTCTAATTTTCCTCCATGTCTGTGATGAACGAAACACACACAACCAAACACTTTTGGTGGAACAGTATATGAGGTATGACCTTGTAGGGCTTCTATAGGACTCTTAAAGTTTTAATGTTCTAAGGGGCATTCTGTTAATTAGATATGCTATAGAAAGAACAGCATCTCCCCAATAGGTTTTAGGCACATTCATAGTAAACAAGAGAGATCTAGTTACTTCTAACGAATGTCTATTCTTCCTTTTTGATACCCCATTTTGAGCACTTGTGTTCACACAACTAGTCTAATGTATAGATATGCTTGAAACATGTTCTTCATGTACTCTGTTCCATTATCAGTTCTCAATATTTTAACATTGGCACCAAATTGTGTCCTAATCGTATTATGGAAGGATTGAAAACAAGAAAACACTTCACTCTTTGTTTTCAACAAATAAATCCAAGTTAATCTAGTACAACAATCAATAAAAGTAACAAACTACCTATATCCAGATAATGAAACAGCAATAGAAGTAACAAACCTCCTATATCCAGATAATGAAACAGTAGAAGTAGGTCCTTATACATCAAAATGAATAATCATAAAAGAAATAGAATTTCTTTAATTATGGGAAACGTAAGTGTTTCTTGCATTTTAGCAAGTTCACAAGTATCACAAACTAAAGAATCTAATAGACATTGGCTAAACAAGTTAGGATATAATCTTTTAAGAACAACAAAAGTAGGATGTCCTAATCGCTTATGTCACACAACAGTTGTTTGACTAGGACTACTACTTCCTAATAGTGCTTAGGGAACTTTTGAGACTAGGCCACAGCTACTTTTCTCAAGGAGATATAGGCCATTGTGCAATTTACCAAATCCAATCGTTTCCCTTGTTCTCAGATCCTGCAAAACATAATGAGTGGGAAAGAACTCAACTTTGCAGTTTAAGGCGTTAGTAATAGCACTAATAGACAAAAGATTTATTGGAAAGCTGGGAATATGAAGAACATAGTTTAAGTTGATGTTAGGAGTGCATTGAATAGAACCTATTCTAGAAATGGATGAAAAAGAATCATCTGCAATACGTGCAGTTTCTTTACTAGAACAAGGTAAGTATGTCACAAATTTACTAGATGAGCTTGTCATATGCTTGTTTGCTCTCGAGTCTATTACCCGTATTACCCATGAATCATCAACAGAATCAGCTAGAAGGGCCATACCTGAATGCACAAAATTAGAGGAAGCTTCTGGAGTGGATGAAGAGTTGAGTTTTGTCATAAGATGCCTCAAGGTCTGTACCTCTTCAGTAGATAAACCTCCAGCTGGGGTTTGCTGAGACTACTTCATGAGCTACAATTGCCTCAGATTGATGAGCAACATGTCGAGTAAAACTTGGCCTCCTACCCCCACGACCACGACCATGTTTGGTAGTTGGTCGCCATGTAACTTCCAATATGAATCCTTAGTGTGTCATGACTTTCCACAATGGTCACATCGGTAGAAATCCTCCTCAGATGAAGCACGAATAACCTGTAAAGGTTGAGAAGCTATAAGTCAGCTCTCTCTGATGGCTCGGTGGATAACATCACACCTCTCCTACTTTCCTCCTGTTGAACATAGGAGTATGTTTCCTCTAAGGAAATCAGAGGACTCTTTCCCAAAATCTGGATTCTAATTGGGTCATATTCAGCATGCAATCCGGCAAGAAACTCATAGACTCTCTTAGTCTCAACCTTCTTTTGGTATCCAACCACATCCTCTTCGCACTTGGGATGATAAGTCTTATAGTAGTCTAGCTGTTGCCGTAGGTCATTCAAAGCAGTGTAGTATTGCTTAACTGTCAAATCCCCTTGCTTCAAGCCACGGACTTTGTTGCGAAGCTCATCAACTTGAGCAAAATTTCCATAATGAGAATAGGTCTTAGTCACAATTTTCCAAATTTTTGCTACGGTATCCAACATCAAATACCCATTTGCAATCGTAGACTCCATTGAATTAATTAGCCAAGACATAACTAATGAGTTTTCGAAGTCCCATCTATCATAAGTGTCACTCAGAGGTGCGGGTGTGATTTTAGAATCTGTAATATAGCCTTGATAAACAATAAGCAAGACCTTGACCAAGCAAGGTAATTTGTTCTATTGAGCTTTACCGAACTAATTTGCAATGAATGGTTATCATGTGAAGGGACAACTTTAGTGTCTACAATTACTGTTCCATCACCCATTGTAAAAAACATAGAAATAGAGTTTGAAAAAAACAAAACAATCCGAAAATAGTTCGAAGTCAGGCAAAATAGGAAGAACAGCCTTGAAAAACTGAAAACCAGACCAGGAAAATATGCTAGATGGAGGCGCACAACCAAAACGAGTCTGCCGGAGTAAGCTGTCGCCGGAGTGGTGGCCAAAATCTGTGTCACGTGCTGCCCTGCGCCGGCGAGTGGAAGAGGTGGCAGATTCTTCTGGTGGCGCGTAGGCACATGCGCTGTGTTGGGAGGCTGACGGATTCAGGGGATAGGCCGATCGGCTGGTGCTTTTCCTCCTCAGGTGGGTCGTGTAACACACCTCCCTCTTTCCAGTTGCCGGAAGGTGTTGCCTATCCTAGGGTTTTTCTCTCTCTATTTTGTTTTTCTCTCTCTAGGTATGTGAGCTGAAAAAAGTCAGCAAGGCTCTGATACCATATTGTTTTATGTAATGAGTGAAAGGTTTTTTTATTTCATTTTATGTAAAAAATGGTTACACATCTATTTATACATAGGAAGTATATGGTAATATCTATGCTACCCTTTACACTTAAGATTCAATAAATAGCACATAACACTCTACAAGACAACAAACACATTGCATTACTCATATTGGAAAGGAAAATTTCTTTTATTGTCATATTGTAGATGCAGTCATTTCAAGTAAGAACTTGCTAAACTCATTCCATTGCTTGTAAAGGCGTATTCTTCCTAGAAGTTATAAAAAAAAGTTCTTACAGATCTTTGATTTCAAAAACAAGTTATTAAAGCTAACTATCTTTTCAATACTGGTTTCACATTCTGAAGGGTGTCTCAACAGCAAGAGAGGTGTATGAAGTTTTAAGTCATCGTGGATGGCTAGAGTTGTTTCCACTTTTTTCAACAGTACATGAGATCTGCATTGGTCGTCTTCCACCATCTGCTATAGTTGAATATAGTGAGCACAAACCCAACTTCGCCCTGGTGGAAGGCTCAGCTCAATATTATTGACTTTTCCTGAAGAAAAAAGTAATATATTTCACGCATTTTAGCATAAAATGTCAGCATAATTTTCTTATGTTGAGCGTCATGGCACAGGAAAAGGTTGGGTAGAATTTTGGATTTTCAGATATGTTTGGTTCCAAGATAGCAAGATGGTTCACCGGGCTTACAGCCTTCCTACTAGGGAAGCTTCAAGGTTGAAGTCGAAGGCAATTAAGATTAACACTTAATGCTCCTTTAATTTTCTTGTTTTACTGTTATATCAAATAGTAAAAATTGTAGACATGAAATATTTATGCAAAATGAATAATAATTTTTGCAACGTTATACAATAAAATGAATTGGTGATGTGCATAGCTGTAATCTGATGAGCCTTTAAGTTTCAAAAAGCTTTATGCAAGATGTGTCAAATTCTACTGTAATCAGTTAGTGCATTATCATTGAGGTCGGCCTCAACAATTTCCAGGAGCTGTCAAGCATAAAACTGTGTAAAAAGTTGAAACCAATTTGCTCTTATAAACTATTGAGCGGCAAAAATGATGAAATGGAAAATATTGCAAGAGCCATTGATAATAAACCAATGTAACACCAAACCCTTTCTCATTTAATGCTCGTAGTTATATTATAGAGACAACACAAGCCAATTACGCAGCCCAAAACCATATAAATTAGGAAATAAAAAGCCAAATAAATTGCCCACAGCACCAATCCCATGCATAACTTTTTGGTTGGTTATAAAGTATCAACCAGTTCGTATTCTATCCAACCTATCAACACTTTTTCGTGCTCTTTCCAGTTGGTGGTCAATGCTTTTCCGGGACTTCTCGTGGCAATCAACACTTCTCCGAGACCTTTCCAGTTGATCGAATGACATCCGTAATTTTTCTAACTTATCAGCATTATTGGACTGACTTATGAGTTTTTCGAGCTTGTCAGCATGATTGGACTGGTTTTTTAGTTTCTCGGGTCTGTCGGTACTATGCCTTGGTTTCTCCCTCCGATCTGTACTTTTCCTCGAAACCTCATACACATCAGTGCTCTTGCGGGCTTGCTCGAATTGGTTTGTACTTCTCCTTGAACTGTATCTTTGAGAAGGAGATTTCTCAACAGTTGATATGAACTTCTTCAGATGCCTTATATACTCTGGAAAGTGCTCTAAATCACAGTGATTCCCTCCTTTGAGCCAGAGTGGTTCATATTTTTCTTTACAAAGTTCCCAGAGTTGTTTACCATGGGAGCAATCAACAACTTCATCTGAAGTTCCCTACACATAGATACAAAAGAATCAAAATATGAAGCATATCACAAAAACGATACACACTATTCGGAAACTAAATCTAAACATCAAATGCAAAAAAAAGAAATGACAGTATTAGCTTATGCTTATCGACAACTGTTAAACGTTGGAACTCTTCTATATTTAAATAAAACAATGGTTCCTAAATTGCAGATAACTGGCTAATGGTACAATTTATTTATCACAACTTATTTATCTAAATTCATGCAATGAATCCTCGAGAATGACCATATAGAGTCAGAATTTAGAAATGAAACTTAGAAAAACAAGACTTTAAGGACTTGAGTTTTTCCAATATTTAATGGAATAATTACATTGTTGACCTGCTGATAGAAACAAATGGTTCAAATATTAAGATATCAGACAAGACAAGATCTACTTAGATGTATCATTTTGCATCCCCAGGGCAGTGAAATACCAAAAACTCAGTGATGCCAGCATACTGCATTATCACTGAGTACAAACAAAAGGCATAGGAATGCGGATTAGGACATCCGTGGGTCTGTATGGGTTAAGTTTTGGCACAACATGCCTTCTCTTAAAGGATGCTTTATATTTTTATTTTTACCTTTTCTTAACAAACCCGCTCTCACAGTAAGGAATTCACTCAAGTCTATGTCAAAAACAATCTATGTGGCTTCAAGGCTTAATTTACATTCAATGGGCACGTGATTCTTTAAACCTGAAAAATAAAAAAGCCATAAACACAACAGCCATCTTCTTGTTTCAATTTGACATACCTGCATAGGCCATAATAAGATCAATGCAGAATAAGACTAATGCAGGTCCAGTTATGTCAAATTTATTCGAGAATATGGGATAATGCAAAAACCCTATACTAGGAAAGGAGAAGTTCCACAAAATATTTCATGGCTAGAATGTAAGAACACCAAGTAACATTTAGTTAAAAAAGATTCCCAGATGAACTAACAATCTAAAATCAGAATATTAACATATACTCTGGGTTAGATGATAGTTTCAAATTCCCCGAGCAATTCAGAACTCTAAATCTGATGACCCAAACAGGATGCAATTTGCATTCCACCTTAAAAGAAGGAAACAATAATGAGAGAAAGATAAGCAAGTGAGGGAGATAAATCAAGTAACTTGTGCCTGTTGTAGTGTGACATAAAGATACAAAGGTTTAAGAAAATTATATGCTAATGCAAAAGAATACAACTTTTTTGGAAAAAAAAAAAAAAAAAGAGCTAAGGATGTTCTTCTGTGTTATTTTTCTATGATTTGCAGTAGCTCACTTACATGAATTATAAGAACAGGACAATTAACTAGTGGAATTTTGTCGATATTCTGCAAGAAAAAAGAAAAACAAGACAAAACACAAGTTCATTATGTTAAATGATAAAAATTTTTAATCATCAGCTAAGCAATGAAACAAAACATGCTTATTAAATATCTTACCTTGTAAATGTCAAACCAGTATGTACGCTTAACGGGGTACATGACTCTTAAGCCTGAAAGTATGGGACTATGAAGAACAACAGCCCGTAACTGAGGCAATCGAGCAGCAAGATCTAAGGTGGGACCACTTCCAACAGATTGTCCGTAAAGAATGATGTCTTCCTGCTTAGTGCCATAACTTTCTTCAAGACACTTATATGCAGCTTCAATATCGGCATATGTATGCTGCTCGCTTGGCTGCAATACAGGAACAGGGCTTCATATGAAACTTGTATCTCACAGATAGGGGCCTGGGGTTGAAATCTGCAGATAATTCATAAACAAATATCTTTTTTCTTTTAATTAAGTATTAAGGTGTTTAAAGAGCAAACCTTTCCAGATGATTGCCCGTACCCAGAATAGTCATACCTGCAAAAAGGTTGCAAATACAAAACTGTGAAAATGCTTCTGATAAAAAAGATGCAGTGATAAAAGAAATGTCTATAACATTTTATTCAATATGAATAGAGTACTGCATCTTCAGAAATGGTAAAAAAAAAAAAAAAAAAAAAAAAAAATAATTCATACAACAAATATCTTTCTTTTTAATTTAAATTACTCTTTAAGGGTGTTTAAAGAAGCAAACCATTTCAAGCATGATTGCTCGCGTACCAGAATTAGTCATACCTGCAAAAAGGTTCAAATATCAAAACTGTGAAAATGCTTCTTGATAAAAAAGATGCAGTTGATAAAAGAAATGTCTCCTATAAACAATTTATATTCAATATAATAGCTTAGTATCTGTCATCTTCAAGAAAAATCGGTAAAAAAAAAAAAAAAAAAAATAGAAAAAAAAAGAAATACATCATCAAACTCAGCGCACCACATCATCACCAGATGTTCACTAGTAAGCAAGTGGGTCCTATTAGTCTGAAGGTGTTGGCAAGATTCTCAATTCCACAAAAAAAAAAAAAAAAAAAAAAAAATCAATCAAACTCAGGCACCACTATCACCAGATTTCACTAGAGCAAGGGGCTATTAGCTGAAGGTGCTGGCAGAATCTATCACTCGAGTAACCACATGGATTAAATCAATTACCAACAGGGCTAAAACCTTAGTTCACTTAATTCATTTGAGCAATGATCTATCTCCAATGCTGCTGGAGATAATTCACCAAGTAACAGAATCAAAGGCACTAGCAATCAACGTAAACCACAATTACCCCAATTCTGCAGATACGCCAAGAAAACTCAATTGCTTTTCTAAATTCATAAGACATGAGTTAAAATAAAACCAGGCCTGAAAACAACGATTAGAGTCCACCCATCTTCATCATCCTAAATGGTCTTTTTTATGAACACAATTTTTCAACAACCTTGTATACGTCCATGTATTTGAAAAACTTTGAAGCTACACATAATCACAATATAAAAAGAAAAAAAAGACAGAATATCCAATTTCAGTTAATTTAAAAGATTTCCAGCTAAAATAGAAAATCATAATTAAAAAAAGGGTGACAGAAGCTTAAAAAATAATTAACTAAATCCTAATTTCTTGTAAACTAATTCCAAAGCAAGAATTAAAATCAACCAGAAAACACAAAGCCAACTCATCTGAATCATAAAAACACCAAAAATCCAGATACCAAAACTACAAAACCAACACAAAAAATCTCCCCCAGAAGCTCAAAAGCTCCATAAGCCACGTATCAAAACACTTCAACTTGTGCGGTAAAGGTAGTAAGAGTAACAGTTATATTACCCCATAAGATTAACTCTCAAGTGGATGCTCAATTCGATGAAGAGCTCGTACATCTGCCCCAGATCGGCAGCGTTTCCATGAGAGTAAAGGAGAGTAGAGCTGGCCATAGGATGCCTTATATACATTGCCACTATCTCTGTACCTTTTCTAGTAGGCAATTTCAAGATTTCAACATTTTCGCGGTGAGGAAATGGGCTCAAAAGTAAAAGACCAGTGAGCTCGTCTGTTACTAGCTTGTATGATGGTGGGTTTGGTGGAAAGAAGGCAAATTTCGCCGCCATGGACGATGTCACCCCTCCCATCTCTTTTCTCTGTCCCTCCTGCTCTGTTTTTTACTTTCTTTTTGCTCTGTTTCCTCTGTTTTCTTGAAGGATAGTCCTCTGTTTTAAGAGAAAGACTGAAATCTACACCTTAGTTTAGATAAAAAAATCCTATTGCATTCCCCTTTTTGCTATTTCCAGAAGAATAAACTTTTCTTTTTCCTTTGAGAGAGAGAGGGAGAGAGAGAGAGGAGGTTTTGTTCTTCTTGTAGCTATTTAGGTGCTTAAAATGTGGGGGGGTGTGTCTAATTAGAGGGCACTTGAAAAGGCTTTTACTTGCTTTTTACTTGAGAAAGAAGAATTTAAACTTAAATTATTTGTAGGGTCATGCTATAAAGGATAGTGGACAAGAAATTTTGATGGACAGTGGAAATGGGTTTTGGTACCTAACAACAATATACCAATGTACCCATGTGGATAAAGTTGATTCTCATTTAGGGATTGACAATTGATGAACCATTTGCATTATAAATTTTGATTTCATCTTCTTGTTTTTATATTATTATTACTTCCACATAAAAAGATCACCAAGAAAAAAACCTTGTTTGACTCACTCACTTACCACCAATTGCTTTGAACTAACACATCAATCATTTATTTTGTTGTTTTTTATTCATAAAATCAATTAAATAATTATTTGTTAGCTTCTTCTTTTTCATTCTGAAAATTTGTTACTGAAGTAACATCAATCTTATTACAAATATTCTTTATTTATCATGTACCGCTCCCTTCTCCCATAATTTTTATTATACTTTCCTTTCTTATCCGTGTCATATTATTTCTTTTTTAGAAGTGAATAATATTTGAAATTTACTATTTTACTCTTATTTAATATGCTTATTTATCAATAAATATAATATTCAAACTACTATATTATCATTAATTAAATATTGATATAAATAAAATTAACATATTAATTTTATGGATATAAATGTAAGACTATATTAAAAAAAAATGAAGCAAAAATTATAATTTAATTATATTAACGCAATTTTCTTAATTCATATGCAAGTTAATTTACGACACAAGTTATGAGACGGAGAGTATAACTTTTTTTTTTTTTTTACAATTTCTTTAATTCATTATGCAGAAGGTGTGTAATTATACGCGAGCACAAGTTATGAGACGGAGAGGGTATAACTTTTTTTTTTGAGAAGAGAGAGTAGAACCCTCTCTTAAAGTAGCAATTAGTGTTTTAATTAGGGCAACAACTCCCATAAAATATCTGTTAATTATAGTTTTTGCTTTTCACCCCTAACATTTTATTTTTTTTTTTTTTTGAGAAGAGAGAGTAGAACCCTTTTAAAGTAGCAATTAGTGTTTTAATTAGGGCAAAATCCTAAATCTGTTAATTATAGTTTTTCTACTAACATTTAATATTGAGAGTGTTTCATAATAAGTTATACACCTAACATTTAACAATAATTAATTAAAATTTTAAAATATTTTACATTTAACATTAATTAGATAACTATTTTTACGGAATATTTTTATTTTAAACCACTATATATAATTAATTATTAAAATTGGTAATATATTAATAAGTAACAGATAACAACTGTTTTATAACTATTTCAACATACAACAATTACTAAAACAACAAAAGGGAAAATGTGATAAGAATTATCTTTAATTAGATGTCAGACAATTTTTTTTTAATAAGTATTATTAAGTGATTAGCCTTATAATAAAAAGAGATTATTTAACATACAAGGTGTGGCTGATCAGTTGGCAATGCATGGCGGGCAGGTAAGAAGAGTTTTTGGGTTGAATCCTCATTAAACGCATCTGCAGGAATGGACGATGAGCTTTAATTATGATTTAAGTAACGTTTGATCGGGGGTAAGTAAAGAGAGGAATTGAAGTTCCCAGAAAATAAATATTTTGAACATGTTTGGTTGGCATAAAATGTGTAATTTCCGAGAACTTAAAAATACAACTTCTTTAGTCGGGAAGTAGCTTCCCTTACTCACCCATAAGAAGTGGACTTCCTTCGCTCAAAAACTTCTCATTCTCAATTTTACCCTTATATGCTTCCACTCTACATGTATTTGTCCATCAACAATATGATTACTTTATTTTTACTTTACTACATTGTATTTCTAATTCAACGCATGCTCTTTCTTTATTAGTCATTTTTTTAGAGAATTATTATTCTTATTTTGTTTGTAATTATAACGTTAACCAAATAAATAAAATTATAACAATATTTTGTATAGTATGTAAGTAAAAGTTATGTTGATTACAAGGTGGTAGATCGTATAAAAATTGTTTTATTAAATTGATTTTAGGTTAATAATTTTTCTTTTTATGAAATATTTCAATTATTTATACATACATATGATAAGGGTATTTTTGTCAATTACAATCTCACATTTTATTAACTTAGTTTTATTTTTTGGGATTTCAATATATCAACCAAACACAATTATATTATATTTCTCAGGAAGTAACTTTCCTAGAACTCTACTTCCGAGGAAGTAAACTTTCTGGAAATAGATCGATTTGAACCAAATAAGGTCTAAACCCCGAGCCGAATTAGGCTGTTGGTTCCTAATAGTAGGGTCTGAATACCGGTGACTTAAAAAAAAAGAGAGGGAGATTATCTAGATTCATTGGATCCTCTTATGATAACTATGAGCCAGTTGGCTAAATAAGTGTTCTTCTTTAATTTTTTTTCCCTTTTTCAGAAAAAGTTGGCTTCTTGTTGTATATTTGATTCTAAGAAGCTGTTTATGGCGGCTGTTTGGGGATTCAGTGCCTATAATTTAAAACCAAAATGACATGAGAGGCAGCTTCACCTTCAATCTCACCATATTACCATTTTCAGGTAATCATAACCTTTGATCTTTCTTCATTTAAATTTATATGTTTCTAAGTTTTTTCTTTCCATGGTTTAATGTTTTTACTCAAAAGGACTTATGGTTTAACCACTCCACCTACCCAATGCTTCATCAACTTAACTTTGTAAATTTCTTATCCTTTCCATATTAGTTCTAGTGGTCCTTCCAAACCAAATATGGTACCTAAAAAAGATAAAACACAAATGCCGTAAGAGCTAGAAGAGGTCTTAAAATCCTTTTTCATATACAAAAATGGGAGTAAATATATATTTTGCATTTAAGAAAAAAGAAGAGAAAGCATAGTAGTTGGAGTGTAATTGTTGTCCTTGTTTGGTGTATTTTTCTCTGTAAGAGAGAGGGACTTACCATTTCAACAAAAATAGTACCCGTTTGGTTCACTCTTGAAAATAAAATGGAAAAATTAGATGTTTAGTGTCAGAAAAATCTTAGCCAAAGTTTATTTTTCCAACAAGCTCGGTTCGGTAAATCGGTGATTACCGAAGTTTATACACTCCTAGTTTTAAATGATTAAAATGCTAAATATTATTTTTGTACAGTGTTCAGTAATATAGTAGGTTAACCCGTATAACGTTAACTTTTAGTGTTTTATTAAAACAACTGAAGATAATCAAAATAGTTAATTTTATCGAGCAGAACTCATAAAAACAACCTAAAATTTTTTTATGAAAAATAATAATAAAAAATTTATTGACCCTAAAAATGCCATTTCTTTTTTGTTGCTTAATCAAGAATATAGACATTAAACTCCAAGTTTTAACATGTGAATCCCCACTCCAATCCCTATAAAACTAGTGGTGACCACCACTTATAATGCCATGCACGTGCACCTTCTGTACCATCCCTTGAACCCAATTAAGTCGCAATTCGCAAACGCTCCTTCCTACTTCCCCAAGAAAAGTAGAAGACTATTTTACTACCCGGCCCTTGGTTAAACTACAATCTTTATTTCATATGAAACAAAATGAGCATTGCTAGCGGTTCAAAATCGAAATCCATTCACTATTTTCTTTTTATAAAAGACTCTAAATATATATTTTTGTTTCTTCGTTCTTTGATTAAGATTTTAATTTTTTTTTTCATAAAGAAATCTCATTTTTAAATCCTAAATAAAAGTGGAAATTGAGAAGAGCTACCCAGAAATAATGGTTTCATATTTAATACAAAACTAAAAATAACATTCTAAGAGTATTTAACTTTATTTTCTCAGTCTCTCTTTTTTCTTGTTCATATATACGTTTGATTTTTTTTTTTTTTACTTATTTCAATTTTCAAATTCTTTCTTCTCATTTTATTTCAAATTTTGTTTATTTTATAATTTTCAATTTTTTTTGTTACTTATTAGTAGAAATTAATTTTGTTTTTTTATTTAATAATATAAATCAATTTTTATTAATGTAGTTGAGTCGTCTTGATAATAAGACTTTTCATCAATTTGGTAAGTCTGGAAAACAATTCCTAATGTATAATCTATATGTTATTTCGATCTATTTGACATTCTAATAAATTAAAAAAAATTATTTAAAAAAAAAAAAAAAAGACTAAACTGACCTCTGAGAGAGAGAGAGAGAGAGTGTTGCGTGCTAATTTATTGCAACCTTAATTTTGGGTTTGATTGAAGCAATTTATTGCAACCAAACCGAATTGTGAGTTGATTTCCAGCTCATCACAACACAACTAATCCAACATAACCAGCCAGGAAGGAAAAAAGTTTGATATGAAAAATCTCCGAAAGGTAGATTGCTGATATTACGCTGTCACTCAGTCAAAGCTAATCATATACTAATTTTCAGATTACAATTTTTTTCAAGGGGAAAAAAATAAATTAATCTCCAAAGGGAGATCATAAACTAATCTCCTTAAACTTATTTTCCGAGAAAAATGTTTTCCTTCAAAATTATTTTCTATTATAGATCATTTTTTTTTGTTTGGTTGCAGTACACATTGTGCAAAGACAAGTCTAGGGCTTTTCAATATACAATAAATGAGCAAATATAAATAAATCAAGAGGATGTTGAGAGATGAAGGAATAAAAAGGGATGTTTGTGAGAAAATAGGGTCCTTGAAATATTAAGCAAATGACAAAAAAAGCAGTGGGTCTCACTCACCTTAACTCTTTCTTCTTCTTGTTGAGATGGTATGATGAGACATGTCCCTTTTATGGAACAAAGTTGTTCAAACAATGTCTCACATAACTTCTTTCAGATTCATGGGTGGTTCATATCGCCCTGCTTATCAAAATCAAGTATTGCTAGATTAATCGAAACTGTAAGAATCAAGTTGCTTATGAATTGCTCGCAGTTCGGTTTGAGAAAAAGTTTATTCAATAAGTCTCAAGAACAGAGTCGAACAGAGTCCAAGACTACTTATCGAGCTTGTTTAATATAGGAGTCTAAGCATAAACTTATAAAGAGATGACTTTCTTTTCTAACGATAAATTGCAAATGAAATAAGCTCAAACTTAAGTATACTTTTACCAAACCAAGTTTGAGCTCAACAGAATTCGGCTCGGCTTATTTACAAGCTAGCAAACATGTTAATTCGTGTAGGTATTACTGATCAGAAATAGATTAACATTAGAATCATAGCCAATGAATATCAAAATATAGAAATTCATGTTTAATTGTTTATATTACAAAATGTTCACTAACCTCTGATGCCCTGCTCTAAATCAAGGCAGAAGAGTACAAATTTTCAAATTTCTCTGCCAAATTTAGATTACATGACAGAAGCAATAACCCAACAATTTTTGGGCGGCAGAGCTTGTGTCGTGCTGGTCTGCACCAAGCAGTGTAATTTGACTTTGCTAATAATCACTAGGGCTGTCCCCTTCATCAAGAACAGTGGGGCTTGGAGCAAATTATAAAATGGGCATAAAAAAGAATGAGAAATACAAAGAATCACAAATAGAGCATCTTCACCAAAACTTTATGGCCTAGTATATGCTGAGAAATTTAGATTCTATTTCTATTTCTAAAGCAACTACTCAGATATATGAGTTTATCTGTGTGATAAATGCTCATCAACTTTGAAAACACACATAAATGGATTTCTGCAACTTGCTAATTTGTAAGGTTACGTAATAGTCAATAAAGTTTATTTTTCACTCATAAATGGAAGCAGTTGTTCTCTGAGCAAATGAATCTTAGTTTATCTCTATAATATTACTGGTCTGTAAAAAATAAAAAAATTGAGATAGGATTTTCCTGCCATCAGGACTGCCAGAATGAAGACAAGCAATATAGAGATGCCTTGCTATCATTTTTAGCTCCATAATTAGGTTCCAAAGATCCAAGAAGACACCTTTCATAAATATCCAAGCAGAAGGCTTTCTATCTATGAGTAACAGCCAGAGAAACAGGTGATGACCTATCTCATTATGTTTCCTGACATGACTGGATAGGAATGCAAGGTACTGATTAAATCGAAATGAGGTTTTATTTTCAAGATTTCAATTCATATCTTTTAAGAAAGCAACTATACCTAACTATTGCAGTACTGGTTTAACAAGCAACTGATGCAACATTCATAAAACATCCTACAAAGTAGAATAGCTAAATGTACGCTTCAACCTAATCCTGTGTACTCATGAAAACTGATTTCTATTACCAGAGCGACCACTGAATGGTCAAAATAAAAGAAACCCAAATGGAAACAACCATGCTTGATGTTGCCAATATAACTTAAAAAGGAGGAAAAAGAGGTGAAAGAATAAGAGGGACAGACAGAGAGCTACAAAAATAAACACAGGTTACATTTGTACAAAAACTACAAAGATATAGAAGTGGAACCAGCAAATTTCTTCATTCAAAAACAGAATATAGGCATTTACAGTACATCCATTAATGCCACTGCTACAGTGCTACTGCTTCCACATAATTCAATGCATGAGAATGCAATTCTCAGTCCCTTTTGAAGTATTACCTTCAAACTGAGAGAATATAGAACCACTATTAAGATAGGCAAGGGATGAAAGAAATACACTCCTTTAGAAAGCACAAAACAAGAATACCATGAACAAAAAAGATCTTAAGCAAATAAATGCTGCTATAATTCAGGATTACTTGAGCATAATTAATAGAAATATAAACATATACTCCTATTCTGCCAATTTTAAGTGCTACTGTACTAACAGTATCCTTCTGCTCAAACAAAGGAAACAGGAACTTCTTGATCAAAGGATTTATTGCTCATAATAATGATAAAGAGTGTAAAAAATTTGATCAAAATGATCAAGATTCTCACCATCTGTTAGTTAGGCCAATTGACCTATCGACGTGTGCATACAGACTAAATATTCTACAGATTGAACATGCTACGCCATAGAATCTCAAGGAATTTAACACATTGCATGTAATAGACATCATACTCTCATCTCTTGTTCACTAATATTCAACAAAATGCACTGACCAAAATAAAGGCTTCAACTATTACCAGAAAACGCAGAACATTTACACTACAGTGTCCAACAAAATAAGATGCAGATAGACAGAAGAAAAAGGTAAAAAGCTTGACATTGTAGAATGTAGTTCCCCAAAAAAGCAAATTGAGCTTCCACCGTCACCCTATAATATACTTGGAATAACAAAGAGAAGGCCTGAATGCTTCCCTCAAGAATACCATTCTAAAATATATCTTGATAGGCATCAGTCTTTCCTGAGCACGAAGAAGTCCAAAAATGTCCAATTTTTAATGTTTAACTCAACATATTTACACGAACAACAATGCTAAAAGTTAATCCAACATCAAAGTATACATCTGATAACTTGAACTGCAAAATCTTTCTCATTAGAGCCAAATGACTAGAAATAGAACTGTTCATTTAAGATTTTGATTAATCTTTGCATAAAAAAGCATGTTATCAAGAGAAATCAATCAACTATCGCTAAAACTAATAAGTCAAATATAGTGATCCCGCCCTAAAAAGAAAAAGTTAACATTATTAATAAAACCCTCACTCAAAGATATACCAAAGAACAACTCTAAGTCTGTCTTCTAAGCCGCTTCCTCAGCTTCTTGTACTTGTGCTTATTCATCTTCTTCTTCCTCTTCTTCTTCACACTATCAGCCCAAATTCCCGACTCCTCGTTCTTAGTTGGCGCATCTTGGATAGACCCAGTTGATAAAATGGGGTATGAACAAAACCCAAATGGATGGATCGAAGAAAACGGCGAGGAATCAAAATGGGTCAAGCTCTCTTCTTTGTAGGCATTCATTGTCTGGTTTTCGTTTGGTTTGCTGTTAAGTTGTTGGATTTGAGGCGCAATAATTGAAGGTGGCGAGGGATTTGTTGAGTTGATACATGGGTTGCGGAGGGAAGCAAGGATTATTGACGGAGGTGGTGAATTTTTGAAGAATTTTTGGAGGGTTGACAGTGCCATCGAAGTGGAGGTGACTGCGGAAGTGCAACAGCGGTGTGGGCTGGGAGTATTCGGTGTCGTGTGAGTAAACCGAAACACGCGAGGAAAATAAAATCCAATCTAATTTCATAGAAACTCCAATTCAATTAAGTCAAAACTTTAAAAATAATTGAAAAATAAAAAGATAAATTGGCCTCTATATCATAATCACATATATCTCTATTTCTAAAAACTAATTATGAAATCTTTAAATTATAATTTTATTAATATTTTGATCCTTTTTTCAAAAATAAAACAAATAAAATTTTAATGGAAAATAAGTGAATTATTAAAGTGTTACCGTAGATCATAAATTTTATTTAATTATAATTTAATGATTCATTTTTTAGTTAAAAGATAGTATTTTTAATAGATGAATCAATGTATTAACAGAATCAAACATTAAAAATTCATAGTTAGTTTTTAAAAATAAAAGTACATTTGTTTTAATCTTTGCCTATAATTTAAAAAGAAATTTAATTTTTCCTTAAAAAATTGATGACAATAATCTAATTAATCAAAATTTCAATAATATACATAAGTTTTGCTTCGATTCTATTATTTAGTTATTTGTTATTTAAATTCAGTTCAACTTAAATAATTGAAATTTAATTAAAAAATAAAATAAAATAGAATTAAATTATTTTGAAAAAATAAAACCGAAAGTATCAAATAAAATCACCCTGATTTGCTTATTGCTTAATAAAATAAAATCACTAAAAATTGAAAATAAATGATTTTTAACCTTACATTTTCACATTAATAATTCATTAAAATGAACTTAATTCTATAAGAATTTAAACATGATTCTGCACTTTTATATTTTATTTTGAACAGAGGCTGTAATTATCAAAGAGAAATAAATTTGAATAATAATTGATAAAACGAAAAATATTGGCCAAATTTAACAAAAGTGTCAAAGTTGATATATATATATTTTTTTGATTTAACGTATTAATAAATGTGTATACATTTAAAAAAATACGAAGGAAACAACCAGAAACAAAGCTTCATAAAACAAAAACATTGAAATTTATATTAATCGATATATGATAATCAAAGAGAGATTACAAATTACATCACAAACTCTAATTTATGCCTTCAAATGCCAACTTATGGCTATCATATTATTATAAGACAAAAACATGCAATCAAAGAAGAAAGAACGGTGGCAAGTGCCTCACACATAACACATCATTTTTTAATAATAATGCCATAACGATGGGCAATAAAAAAATGAAGCAAAAGCAGCATAGTTTAATAAGGTAGCTCTGAAGTTTCCTCCTCATGGCAGCAAAGGAAGGTGATATGTTTCTCCATGTTACGGTTGCACTCGGGGCATTTCAGGCGCTCCGGGATCCTACCTGTGGTGCTCGGAAACTCAAAACGACAACAAGGATGAGCAATACCATGAAGCTTGTCGTGATGCTCTTTAAACGACAAATCAAATCCCTTGAGAGACACATTCTCCTTCCATATATCATATTCTAGCAATGTAGGCAAAACTGTAGTGCTATGTCCATTGACAACAATATTAGACCCTCTACTTAGCACAGCCCAGCCACCTTCTTTGTCATAGCTAAGTAGTTTCTTGATTTCTTGCATCATCGGGTCATGTTCGTCAATCTTGCCTAGCTGAATCTTGGAATATAGCATGCTTTGTAGTCTAGTCCAGAAAAACCAAATCATTGTAAGGTCTTGCCAGACATAACTAAGCTTTTCAACCGTAATTGTGGATATGATCCTTTGGACTTTGTCTCTCTTGCAACTCTTCCCTACATATACCATTTCAAGTGAGATGCGTGCTGCCTGTGCGACTGCTCTTGCTGTGTTTGTGAACTTCCTTATCCACTCAACATCATCCCCTCCATACAAGAAAATGTACTTTCCTTCTTTAATCTGAGCAAGAAAGTTTCTACTACTTATTTTGCATATAATCAATCTTTTTGGAAATCTCCATGAAAAAACCAGATTAATTATTTTATAAATTTAGAACGAAAGTAAAGGTGAAATTACCCAGTTGAGAATTGTTGGGTCAATGCCATCAATAAGAAGCTCAAGCCTCCATGTCTCTTCCTTCCACAAAGACTCTTCTCTGTAGCTAGTGAAAGGGAAAGCATTGCTTGCCCAAATCCACATCATATGTAATGCATTAGGGCATACAACTTTTCCCTGAGGGTCAAGCACCACAAGAATAGGCCTTCTCCTGAAGTGCCAAACCTCCTTAATGAATCTAATCACAACTTTTTCAATCAATGTTGGATGATAAACTGTATACCATGGCATCACAGTTTGCAAGGACTCAAACTGCTTATGCATAGCATCAGTATATGGAACTGTACGATCAACAACAGGAACCCAAACCACCTCATACTGGCTCTCCAGTCTCGTTGCATGGATTCTTGATTCATTGTAAATTTGTTCAAGAATTGAAAGTTCGTCATGCGAAATGTCGAGGCCAGAAATGAGCAATAGCACATTCTTCCTCCTCAGGACATCAACGTTAACCTATAATATATATATATATTCATATGCAAATACAAATTGAGATTAATCAAATAATATTTAGGTATATACATAAAACACTAGAAGGTGAAGAGCAAACCCTTCTCTTAGTAGAGCCATCAACAAGTGGCTGTATATCATCCTTTGCATATATTAAGGCCTTGAGGATCTTCATATTGTCAATGTGGATCGTGTCAAAAAGATTCAAAAGCGCTTGATAGGCCTCAACATTCCTCTTCTCCTCTGCATAAACCAAAATTTATACTTCAAATTCATTTATATTAAATAATTAAGGACAAGGTATATCTTTTTTTAGGAGAGTTAGCCTTATTGTGACCTATGTGTTGGTAGCAAATAGAGAGTTGCTTCCTTAGATGCTCAAGTATGTTTTGGAGTTTATGAGCCAAGGTGGATAACTCCCATGCTTCTGTGGTGGCAAACCTGCAGAAATAATTGATAAAATGCAAAAAAATTAGTACTAATTGCATTTTAACAATTAATTAAGAGAATTAAGGAGAGAAAATGTACTCATGTCCCATGGTGGTAAGATTAGTAATTTGAGTTGCACAAGCCACAACACTCCTCATGGTCCAATAAACAGCAGTAGGAATATGAGCAATGGCTGTAGACAATGCAGGCACTTCTGAAGAAATGTATGAGGATGGCAATTCTTTGAACTCAACTATGCACTTAGTCACATCCATCATGACACTAATAAGATTGTTAAGCGCATCGAAGCGGGGCTTCAAAGGGCCTGTGTGTTCTAAGATGACAGGCAATTGCTTAAGGATCGCCATTGATTTTGCAAGTGGGTTTGAGGAGTAAATCTGTGCTAGAAGCCAGAATTCTCCATAGTTCAAAGCAAAAGCTGCCATTGTTAACACCACCTTAGCATCCCATGAATAGCTTGATAACATGTTGAACAATGAAAGAGTTGTTGCGTGGGCGTCTGCTCCACTTAGAGCCTTGTAAGAAATCTGAAATTTCATTTTTGTTAAAGAAAATTTAATTAATTTTAGTCTATGTAATTTTATTTTTTATCATATAATGTAAAAACGAAATAATTAATTTATATTTTTTTTAATTAGTAATTTATAAGTACTTACCTCAGAAGCAATTCTGTCTATAACAAATGACAATGCTTCAAGCATAGCAATAAAGTTGGCTTGACGGTTCTTGTCGTCCACTTCAGCATGTGTTTGGTTAACCTACATTAATGATAAACACAAATGTTGATTAATTAGCTAGCAATTACTTACTAGTAAAAATTAATAAAAATATGTTGACCTATTTGTGAGTATAATGAATTTTAGGAGTCAAGTTGGTCCGTCATCTAAAAAATTTTACATTTTCCAAACTAAGCTTGATGTATATATGAATAGTTATAAAACTAATTATACATTACCATCAAAGCACTATCACCATGAAGAGTGGCACGACTAAGGATGTCATCAACGATGTTCAGAAGAGGTCTAACATCAAATTCTCTACCATCAGGAGCATGAGTTGCCTGAATTTGTTTCAGCATCGAATTTTCATCGGACAATGCTAACATGCTACGGTCACCCTTGATCAGTTGTTGGGAAAGGCCGCCGCTGCCTGATGGAGTTGGAAGTGACCGGAAGGCCATGGCTAGCTAAGGATGTAGGGCAAGTTTCTAGGGTTTTAAGATAAAGAAGAAGGAAATATATATTTATATTAGCTTGTGTTGCTGCAATGGCAAATGATACTATATTTATAGTGATCAGAAATGGAATAAAGCTATGTATAGCAATTGAATCAACTTCTTTGCTTCCATTGTAATTAATATCGTATTCAAAATAGTTAAAAGGAAGTTTATATATGCTTTTTTTGAGACACTTGTGCCCCATCTTCTCCTTTGCTAGAATTTGGAATCTAGATGTAGCTCAACACTCACGGCAGTTATTAGGAAGTTCCATGCCTTAACAAGAGCTGCTTATGGGTAGTTGAGGGTTAAACTTAACATAAGTTAACATGTTTATGTCTTCTTACCCATACAATTTGAGTAATAGCACAATTAAATATAGGTGTTAAGTAATATTTCAAATTAACTTAGCGGACTTGCATAAAACCTTACATGTTCCAATTGCTAAAAGTAATAATAATAATTATTGAATGTAGCCAATTAGGTGTGGTCTGGTTGGTTTTTTCACTTGCATGAGTGGAAAGTTTCGAGTTCAAGTTCTCTCAACCACAAAATTTTTTATTAATTTAGAGGGTCAGGAAGATGACTATCCTATTATATGACTTGCAGTGTTATTTCACGCTATCAAGGCGGGTTATATATGTCATATTTTTATGGAAAAAATGCTATGTGCCTAATAAGTTGAGTAAAGAAATAGTCTAAGTTTTGTTAATAGTGCTTATTTAATATGGACATTGATTATTGAATAGGTGTAGTTGAGGAGAGAATATACAGTGAATCAAACAAGATTCATGAGTTGATGTTGGGGCATAAAAAGTTGTTAACCATGAGAAACATCCTGATTGGCCATATCTTACGGTTTGCTTCCTTGCTTGATTCCTTTTTTTCTCGTGTTCAAATAAAATGGAGAATTTACTTTCTTTTTCCGAGAAAACAAGAAAAAAAAGTGAGATTTGATTCGTTGCTTTTGTTCAGTTAAAGTATAGAAATATTGATTTAACAGCCAAGCATAATCTAATACCAAGAAAAGTGTACGAATGTCTTTGCAAGCTTTAGTTATAATTAATGGATAATTTAATTTCCATGAAGACATTTAATTAATAAGTAGTAGGCTTTTAGGCAAGCAAAGGTTATTATTTTCTCCTTACTTTTTTCCGCTAATACTTGTAATATTACTCTTCAAAAATATTGTTTTATCCTTGTATCTTACCAAATTTACTAATATTTTTTATTATTATTTATACTTTTAATGAAAAAAATATAAATAATTGACAGAAGGATATAACGGTGTAACAAAAGTAAAAATAAAGATACAATTGTGTATTTAAAAATTGTAAGGCAATATTATATATTTGATAAAATCATAATTTTTCCTTTAATTTTTTTTATTGCTTCAATAGGGTTCTCGTTCTTCTCAGATTTATATTCTGGCTTTTCATATGGAGTCCATATTAAAACTCATCATTGAGCTCTTGCATATGATTAATTAAGCTTGAAGTTGTTTGATAATACTTATTTTTTCATCAATTAAAATTTTCTATTAATTAAACTAAATTTTCTTAAACCGTGATAAGTTAAAATTTTTAATTTGAATTTCCATTGATTAATTATTAATCATCGAATATATCATTCAAATGAAGTTCTTATATATCCTAGTAGTTGAGAATCTCAAATATGAAAAGAAGATTAACGCTTTCTATATATATGTTGCCATGATTTTATGTACTATATATATAGAATCAAATAATTTTTCTTTCAAAAAATATTTTACTTTAGAATAGAAGGAATCTATACGAAACAACCAAAGCATAGTCGGTCCCAAGCCCGAAGAAAGGACGAAGGTTACAGTCGGTTGATAGTCAACGCAAAAGTAGTCAAACTGTCAGGGACTGCACCTTAGGCGAAATCCCACATCGGCTAAGCACAAGGTGGAAGTACTGTACATAAGGAGTAGCAGGCCTTGAGTTCCCGAGACGCGTTTTGGGCAAGCAAACAAGTGGACAGTACTGTACATTAAGGAGTAGCAGGCCTTGAGTTCCCGAAGACGCGTTTTGGGCTAGGAGGTGCGTTCCCTGCCCAGGAACAAAACCTGCGGGGGCCCTGAGCCCAAAAGCGCAGACAATATCTCTAGAGCCTGGGATGTTACAAACTTGTATCAGAGCCAAGCCTATGTCCCTATGGCTGGTGGTGGGGCAAACCTTCAGCGAGGACGCTGAGTCCCTGAGGGGGGGTGTATGTCAGGGACTGCCACCTTAGCGAAATCCCACATCGGCTAAGCACTAAGGTGGGAAGTACTGTACATAAGGAGTAGCAGGCCTTGACGTTCCCGAGACGCGTTTTGGGCTAGGAGTTGTTTCCCTGGCCCAGAACAAAAAAACCGTCGGGCCTGGGCCCAAAGCGGACAATATATCTCGGTTAGAGCCTGTTGGGCTAGGAGGTGGTTCCCTGGCCCAGGAACAAAACCGTGCGGGCCTGGGGCCCAAAGCGGACAATATCTCGGTAGAGCCTGGGATGTTACACAAACCATATTATGAATCCTTTGATTATTTAGCATAATTTGATGATAATTGTAAATACTTACCTTTGGAATCTCTCGTGCTTTAAAAAAATCATTAAATTTATTTAAGTGACAATAAATTAGTTATATTACTCTTAATTTTAATATATCTAAACACTAAATTAAAATTTTGAAGCGAATCAAAATAAAGAATATATCTTAGCTATCTATCTCTGGCTCTCTCTTTTTTGTGTTCTTTTATATTTTGTTTCTAAACCATCGCTGATTGTCTTTTTTGGTCAGCGGTAGTTTCTTTTCATTCATCTCTATCGTTTTTCTTTATTTTGTTTAGTTTTATTTCTAACAATTTTCAAATCTATAATCGTTTAGAACAAAATTTAAATTTAGTCTCTTAAATCTATAGATCTTGCGTATTTTTGCTACTTTCTTAGCGGGGTTATTAATTTCTTTTCTTTCATAGCGTTATTCCTCATTTTTGAGGAGTTTTACGTGGATATTTTATTTCTTAGGCAATTCGAAAGACAAGATAGATTGTTGGTTGCTTGTGGTCGGAGATTTTAGATCTTCAAGTTCAGGTAAGTTTTTTTTATCAACGGAAGTTGGTAGTGCAGCTCGTTCCTCCTTTAAAGTTTGGTATATTAAATTCTTCTACGGGTATCAGTTGTAACAAATTTTCGAAAAAATAATATTCGGGACAATATTGTGGAAGGTTTCTTTTGTCGTCCTATTTGAAAATGAACCAGTTTTTATTTGAAAAATTAACCTCTTCTGTCAAAATCAAGAACATCTCCAAATAGAAGATTTCAATTTTCTATATTTGTATTTCTTATTCCTGTCGGAATATTATGATGTACTTATATTTATTATTAATGAATTATTAAGTTTTTTTAAAAAAAATGTTTTTTGAAGCAATAATTATCGGTCATATATAAAGGGTAAACATGAAAAAAAAATTCATTACTCCATAAAATTACAAATATGACAAGTATTTTGAAACACACTATTTTCTCACATGTGATAAGTATTTTGAAACAGAGATAGTAATATTTAAAAAGAACTAAGAATGTTCATAAATTACATAATTATTGATAACTCGCATGTCTTTAAACTGCAAGATTTTACTTTCAAGAGATTGAAAAGTCATTATAAACTGCAAAACCATTTCTAAGGAGGAGTTTAATCTAAGGTCCTAAAGATACATTAAATGAATTCAATCAAAATCTATAGTAAAAGATTTGTGTGGTGTAATATTTAGGAGGCTAAGAAATCTCATTTTGGAGTAGCTTCTTTGATAATTGAACTCTCTGCTCTTGAGATGATGTTCATTTATGTCGCTCGTACATAATCAAAATACATGCAATACACCGGGTCTCAAGCCTCTCAGAATTTCTTTTTTAAATGTTACTGTTTTGTCTTTTTTTATATGTATGGTCATGAAATACCCATGTATGAATTTGCCTATAAAAAATAATTTTTTTATTTAAATCAAGATATTTATAATTATTCATTAAGGAAAAAAAAATCAAATGGAAACAACTTTTAAAAAATTTCTCTTTTATCAACTAGGTCTATGAGACGAGTCCACAGACCGTGTCTAAATAAATCTAATTCGAAAACACATAACATTAAATTAAAATAGGAAAGTATAAGATATTATGCTTTTTGGATAAGACTTGCCTAAATTTGAAGCATGTGGTGATTTTATAAATCAAGCCAATTTATGAGGTCTTTTTTATAATAATAAATTCTTGGTGAATTAGTAAAAAAATATTACGAAGGCACAACATAATCGTAAGTGCATATATGATCTGACAATAGATTCAGGTTCAAAATCCTCTTCCCAATACTCACAAAAAAAAAGAAGAAGCAAAAATATTCTCGCTGTAACTAAAAACTTATTTTTAATTGATTTAGTAATTTATCTATATATCCATATAAACGCTGAACAGAAAGTGTAACTCTCTTTCAGCATTTTATTTATCTTTTTTTAGAAGTTTTTTTATTTTTATATATTTTAATTGGCCAACTTAATTTTTTAATTTAATATTTAATAGATAACTTCTGAAACCTATAATCTAATGACATAATCCAAGTAATCTAATCACCTAATCCAACTAAAACTCTAAAATCTTTGTGAATTGAATAGAGTTATTGGGTCATCTCCTTCCCATAAACCCTGCATCTATAAGTTTCTGTCAATGCTTTCCTCTTGCTAAATTCCTGCCACTTCTTTCCTCTTACTAAATTCCTATCAGTTTCTTTTTTTTTTTTCTTCCATTGATTTTTAGCATTAGAAGTTACATATTACTATTTATTTATGTAGACTTTTTTTGTTAAGCATGTATTTTATTTGGGATTAAACTGATTATTGGGTCTCTTTCTTTGTTAGACCATAACATGTGATGAATTGGTTTCTTCTTTTTCAGGAAGCGGAACGACACCAATGCCAAACAGACCACCGCCAACTGATTCTCAGCGCATCACACCAATAAAACTTTGTGTTTGATTGATGATTTGTTTCTCGAAGG